TCAGGACTATGCTGACTCCGTTCATCGTCAAAGTCAAGATGAACAAGGAGAGACTTGATGACATCAAAAAAGACTTGAACAAGAGATGACGACTGATTGCTGATTGTAAATATACTAGCATTATTATAATATATTTAAAATAAAAACATGAATGTATCAATGACTGTAATCATGTCAACGAGACCAAAATCACTCATAATTGCCATGACCAGAGTGTTGAATGATCTGTGAGTATTATTAGATGATTGTGTAGTTTAACTTGTAGAGTTGATTGTCTCATTTGTCTCACAGTCATGACTCACACTTATCATGACTCAGTCGTGCGTTCCGATTGAATATTCAACATCCGATCGTGTGAATTGAATAAATTCAAACAACACATTGCATGACTTGATATCAACACTGCAATACAATGAATTATCAATACCAAATTGTGTTACAAACACTAAACATTGTTGTTTGAATGTGTTGTATTCAATCCATAACAAACTACTAATCGTGTATTTTGAACCATTCATCCATATACAATAATGTGATGTGTTGTCAATATACAATAGTACACTATACACATGGTTGATACAATCAATTGATGTGTATGCATGTATTAAACACAAGTATGAATGATTGTGTGTATCAAACTGGTTATTGATTGTTGTGATGATATATCGAACAGTTGAATATTTATAACATTACAATGTTGTATTCACATAAAATCAAATATTTGTATGTTGCAGTGATTGTCAGTATTTTGATTTGGAATAAAAAATGATCAAATGTTGAGTTTGCTGAATATTGACTGGACTACTTGTTCAATAAACGATATTCATCATATAATCAAACTGCAATTCAAGAAAAGATTGCGCGTATCAAGAATACAACTCAACATGACAATCCCAAACTCATATATTGTAGTTCAGATATTGAGTCTGTTCTGATGCTGCCAATTAAAAACATAATAGATATTGAGCATGGCATTAACAAGATCTATTCGATAATAATAATAAACTAATAATCGCCACCACCACCACCCGTATTACCACCAGCATGACGAGTGATTGATCCAGCCATAGTCGTTCGTTGCTGTTGTTCCAGTTTAGGACAATTTGTAATACGATGTCCCAATCCACCACAATAACTGCATTCAGCACTCGCTATTTCCATTTGAAATCGACATGCAAAAATGTTAATTGGAAAAACAGCACAAGTAATTATTTAAAAGCATCTACTTACCATCTTCAGGTGCATTGGACTTGAATTTTTCAGTCGGGTCGGGAATGGCTTCCAGAACGGGTGGAACACGTTGCTTGGCTTCGCGCAATAGATATTTTAGATCAAGTAGAATCTGCTCTGAAGAATTCCGGTTTATAAATGTCGTCGCCACACCTGTTTTACCTGAACGACCAGTACGACCAATACGGTGCACTAAAATATACTATTAGTATGAATTTGAATGGCTTCTCAAATCATGGCAATGTATTGTTTTGAATAGAATTACCGTAATCCTCAATCTCTTTGGGCATATCATAGTTGATAACATGTTGAATCATGGAAAAGTCCAGCCCTTTGCTAGCAACATCCGTAGCAACAAGTACATCGGCTTTACATGCCTTGAAGCTTTTGATGGCAAATTCACGCTCTTCTTGATCTTTACTACCATGAATGGCTACTGCCTCGATGCCCTTCAATAGTAAATACTCGTGTATATCATCCACGTCATTTTTGTTTTCGGCAAATACAACGACGGGTGGAGGTGTCTTTTGAAGACATTCTAAAAGATATACCATTTTAGCCTCTTGTTTTACGTACTCGACTTCTTGAATCACATCCAAGTTGGCAGCACCAGCACGGCCGACATTGACTACTACAGGGCTGATGAGAGCCGATTTGGCAAAGTTTTGAATTTTCTTTGGCATGGTGGCTGAAAACAAGAGTGTCTGTCTTTGGGACTAGAACATAATCGCAGCAAAATAGTATACAACCATTGAATACATTATTACGAATCCTCACATGGCATGCATGTTTAAAATAGCAAGTCTGTCTATTTATGATGTAAAAACCCGGGCACGTACCTTGAAAAACGACATGATATTACGCACATCGTCTTCAAATCCCATGTCAATCATGCGATCGGCTTCATCCATACATAGATACTTGCAGTTGTTCAAATTGAATTTGTTTTTTTCAAGCATATCCTGCAATCTACCTGGAGTAGCAACAACGATATGGGCACCGGCACGAAGAACAGAACCCTGTTCGGCCATAGAAATACCTCCCATGCAAAGCAAAACACGAATGGATGGATATCCTGTTTAAACAAGTGTCATTTCAGTAAAGCAGGAATAAAAGCAACAGTAAAAAAGGTTTAAATACCTGATTGTTCTAATGCTTCACACAACTCTTTAGTAAAATCATATGTTTGTCGAGCCAACTCTCTCTAAACGTTGCATTAAAGTTATAATAATGAGCAACTATACACATTGCAATATAAGTAGCAACTACAAAAACTCACAGATGGACATAAAATCAATCCAACTGGGCCCTCGCCTTGGATCCAAGGTAATCGAGTTTCAGCTTCCAGAGCCAGCATCACCAAAGGCAAAATAAACACAAGAGTTTTTCCAGATCCAGTGAATGCGATGCCAATCATATCTCTACCAGAAAATGCAGTGGGAAGACCTTGTACCTGAATGGGAGTAGGCTTTACGATCCCTTTTGTATTCTTCAAATAACTGACAATTGCAGATGGGATACGCATTTCTCTAAAAGTTTTTATGGGTGGAGGCAAGTCTAATCCCTCGCTGAGAATATGGAATTCTTTCCTGGTCGATTCGTGCTCTTTAGCAGATATATCCCGAATATGCCGAGGCGGAGTCCATCTATCAAATACAATGAGTGCACATTAGTAACATGATCCAGCCCAATTATCAATTAGCCAGCATCATGCACGAGCAATTTCTTACGAAGTACGCATAGACTCTGTGTATTTGATATCCATTGCAAGCTCCTTGTCAGAAAACAGCTGTTTTCGTTGGGACTGAGCAGCAAGAATCTTTTGTTCCTCCTCAACCTCCTTTTCCAAGTCAGTCTTGGGTTTCTCATATTGCTTGAGTTCAATAGCTTGATCAATGAGCGATACTTGTGGTCTGGCTATTATCTTGTCATCATCACCAGTATCAGTAGATGGAAATGCAGACTGAGTGTTCTTCAAAGGCAATTTCTGCTTCAGTTGATGTAATGGAGTTTGGGTCTTTAATGCCATCTGGTCCAACTTGGCCTGTCGTCGTTGATGAACAGGAATGTACTGCTGATTATTGTCAGAATCAGAATCTTCCAAGGATATAATTGGCTCTGCATCATGCATAAGTCTTGGTCTCTTCTGTCGTTCTGTTGAATCCATAGTTACTGCTGTTATTCACGTAAAATACAATACTAAAAAGTATTTATAATAAACTGCTAATCTCATGAAATAATTCTCCAAATTTCCTAAACAGTGTTGACAACGAATTTTTACATTTCAGTTTCAATCCATTCCATATGCTGACACTTGTTCAATATTCAACTTTATTTTAATAAAAAACAAACATTGAATGATTGGCATGTCTAGTTGCATTCCCGAAATTGTTCTTTTGAACTAGAACGTGAACGTACGAGTTTAGAATATAATAGTTTGATTAATAATCAAACCCAATATTTGGATTACAATGCATGAGTTGTTTTAAAAGAGAATGATGTTAATTCAAAACTATAGTTTGATTGTATGAGCACCATACAATGAATGTTGTGTTATCAAAGAATTAGAAATGTTCAACTGTATATTTCAACCCCAAATACAGACAGCCATTACAGGATACAAACGTGTTATATTTTACATGAACACAGCTACAACAGTAGATTCCTTGATTGAAATGAAAGCTCAAAACACTATAATTTGGTGCAGCCAAACTCGATTCTAAATGATACTGTCCATGTACACTCAACCCCAATTGATCATGAGTACTACAATGCTCAGATCTGGTAATAAATACATCTAGTCAGTTTTTTACAATATCTAATATGCACGATCACGTCAAACTAACTTTATATCACACATTTCAAATCATTTGTATCTAAACATGACCTGAATGCATGATAATTTAATGTATTACCAACGTATGGATCAATTAATATGAAATGGTTTCATTGAACATTATCGATTTAAACTTGTTCGTCGCCCTCAAATTCTGCTTCGACAGGTTTGTCCATGAATCCGGCATGCCCACATACCACCAACGCACAAATGAATGCAACCCAGAACAATGTTGATGAAATGCCAGTGAAAAACAGCAGAATTAATGAGATTACGGCATAGATTCCCCACAACTGGAGCTGAGTGAAACTCTCTAATACAGCAGTTGAAACAGATTCATGTAAAATGTTAAACGAGATATCTGGTTGAAAACAATCACTGATACATGTAGATATACTATATGAATGCTCTTACTTCCTGCAATGACTGTTGGTTCATTTGTTGGTAATGATGAAATCCACTTGAATCCACCTAAAATAAATAGTTGGACGAATGAGACCACAATTCCAGATGAATAAAGCTTCACAAGTTTACTCACAGACAAGAAATGCAACGGATACCAGCAGCCAAGGTTGGGTGATCAGAAAGTATGCAATAACCAGTAGCACGATTAGTATATAATTATTTTGAAAGTAGCGCAGGTTGAATGACAGTCTTTGCGAAATCCCTGATTGAGCATCATCAACAGGGTTAGTAACAGAACATGTATTGGTGACATGCATCAAGCTTTCATCATTGTTTCAGTACCAGAATATCCATTTGGTTTTGATATGCGTTGACGGTCAAAGAACTCAGTCCAAGGTCGAAGTGCCTCGAGTCGTTTCTGTGATTCTTCCTTTACAGACTGCCATGCTTGAGGGTCTATACATATATAATGAGTGATTCCTTTTTACGGTCATATGCAACAGAATGGTATGAAATGCAAGCATTCTATTCACCAAAGTTCAACAAACTTGCCTAGACGAACGTATGAGCCAAGCTTATTAGCAGCAGCACTCATTGAAGAGCCAAATGCACTGGCAGTAGTTCCATTGCTTCCACTTCCCATAGCAGAGTTAGCAGCAGTTTCAAATGCAGCACTCGAGAGCATTGTAATACAGATTCAATGTAAAGGGTGTTCAATATAACAATGTGCAAGTTTGTGTTCAACTGCTCGAGGAAAGGGTCGAGTTGAAAGCAATCCAATACTAGACTCGACAGTCCAAGATTATACTTTTTATATTCACGTTGTAATCATCGTGCATAGATATAGCAATATGTTTCATTTATTACAAACGCTATCTGTTCGTCTCGGTTGTAGAATTGATCACTACAATTGAAACGTGTCTTGAGCTGGTCATTGTAGACGATCGACTCGTTTCATTGGGATGTGCAGCAATATCATCAAAAGATGATTCGTCCGTGTTGGGTTGGATTAGAGTATTCACAGTTATATGGCAATTGACCGACTTATTGATGCAGCAGTTGCATAACGGACATCTACTCCGTTGTTTTAGCCATTTCTTTGAACATACAAAATGAAGGTGGTGTCCACATGGTAAGTGGTGTAGTTGATCGCCATCTTTGTAGTCGTCGATGCATATTGCACAGTGTGCGTCTTCATTACTAATGTACAGCTCCTTGATGGGTACATTCGTCTTATTTTGGGTGATACCGTGGGTACCTTTAGCTTTTGGTATGTGATTGTTTGACTGATTGACTTTGCATATGTCCGTGTCAACAGAAGGAGATATGGATTCGACTGGCTTGTGAATGTCCACTGATATATCTTCAAGTGTGTCCTTTGAGCTCTCATTTTTGCTTAAAGAGCAATACCGTACAATATCAATCTGACGAATCATATCTTTGGATGCAGGCAGTGCACCTGGATGATGTTCAAGTTGATCTTGACGAGATGACCGATGCATTCTCTGTCCCTCTAGTTGCTGTAGCTCCTGTTGCCGCCCTGCTGTCAAGACACCTCTTTGTCTAAACCTCGAAATCATATCTATTAGTTCGCCAACATGCGAGCAAGCAAATAGAGCCCAAAACAATAGTATGATCAGAAAGTCCATAAATAGTATTTCGAGGAGAACAGGCGTATGTGGGCATACTAATCCATCGACAGAGATTGCAATGATTGATATAAATACTCCAAGAAAGCAAATCTGCTCCATGAGCGAATCTCTAATATCACATTCTGAAAGTTAGTTACAAAGATTCAAGCAGTTACTTGTGACCGGTTGGTTTATGTTTGGATAGAGCAGTAATTTTTGGTAGGGTTTAGACCAAATGTACAGTTCAAGCCATATCAGTATAATCACATGAATTTAATCTTACTGTGTAGTTCCAGTTGTATGCAATCGATAGGCATCCAGATTACTTGAAACTACCAAAACCACCCAATGAGATAATAAAACAGTCATGATTGCTGGACAAGTTTCGTTTTTGGTGGATGCATAGATCAAAGCCAATAGAATTACTACTGCCAAGATGGGCTTTGATAAGCGATATAAACTCATTGACTCGATGGAATGAAACCCACGCAGAATAAACAGCAAGTTGTGAACAGTTGTGTTGGTAATAGATGGTGAATCAGATGTAGAGAGAAGCTTGAATTTGCGTATAGATAGTTGGCTATGGGATATATAGTATTGCATTTGACACTTTGAGGCGATGCAACTGCTCAGTAGTGTTGAAGCCAAGCTCGCCAAGTTGAAAATCTGAACGGATAATTGCAAATTGCTTCAAGGCTGAAACCATCTACATGAAGCTATTGGACTGAAGCATTCAGTTGCTAGATATAGTCAGTCAAATCACATAAGAAACGACCAGTCCCACGTTGGATTGGTACCAGTTTACTGGAAAACACTGTTTTAAACTCTGGTTTCTTGGTGATTGGCATGTAGAGTTGCATTCCTGAAATCTTGAGCTAGATTACAAACACATTTGTGAGTTTATAGCATACAGACATGAGTCTGATTGGCAACAGTCAAATCCAATATCTGAATCGCAGTGAATGAATCTGGTTCCAAACTTGGTGATTATCCATTTTTGGCATAGCCCATATATTGTACAATCACCAAGACCATCGTTTAATTTTGTGCATTATATTGACAGACGCTGTGTTTAAAAGAATTCAAAATGTTGATTTCTAGAAATAGCGGATACTCGGCCATTGTATTCCTAAGCAAAATAGTATTCCGTTGAGTGAATATGACTGTAAATCAAATCAGTCATTTTACGGTTAACAATAAAAGGGTTGAGAAATTGTTGGCAATTATTGGTAGATTGTCTGCTGATTTCAAGGACAGAATCATCACTTTGGTCTTGCTCAGACATGAACTTTGACATTTTATTTATATAGAATTTGAAGCAACTGTACAATTTTATAAACCAAAAACTCATGTTTCTCAGACTGCAATAGCATTCTACTTGATACTATCAGAATGCTTTCAAGCCATAATTAGAGTGGTTTCATATAACCAAAAAATACTTTTCCTCTCGTTCATCTTTTTTGTTGGTACCCGTAAATTTTTGACATTTAGGACATCAAATCAACGTTGACCAACAATCTTGATATTATACTACTTCTGATATACTATTTCGGTCATTCGTGCAAGTTTCTACATTATCTTTTATTATAGCACTTTTATTTGCTTTAATAATGGACCATAATCAGAAACCTCGAGAGCATAATTCTTTTCATGATAACCTGCATCGGCGAGAACCTCCGCCACATTTGCAGTATCAGCACAGCCAACAACAGAAAATCGGTTCGTATGAATACAATGGGTTTGAGCATCGAGTCCCTACTGATGTATCGACTGGTACCGTCTACGATGCTCATGGATTCATTCCGCCCATTAGTGCACTATCTACAGGCAGTCATGCTACTATGGCCGAGTCGACTGATATTTTACCGACCAAATCTGAAGATAATGCCAATATAAATCGTAGACCAACCCTGTTTCGCAAAGGTAAATGCTCATACCATTATAATCTATCCTTTCAAAAGCATCATATTAGCGTTGCAAATTCTAGTGATAAAGCTCATCTATTAATTAATCAATCTCCGACTCTGTTGTCTGAAAAATGGCAACCTATTGCTGAGCCATCCATTGATGTTGGCATGTTAAATTCCGCTCCACATTTGCATTGGTTGTTTGAAATACCAATCTTGAACTTGCTCAGCTATAGAAGCTAGGACAATGATCAATCTGTTATATCATTAATGTACTTATACCACCAAAATGTATACAATTAGACTCTGTCAAACAACAATACTCTGATGCTGGCGCTCACTACTCTGTGTACTCCAACACATCCGAGAATCATGGTAATTCACTAGTGGAAGCCACTCAGCCATCTTCTGCCAAGACCACTGCTGCTCTTTTAAAACGATCCGACCGTGCACCTTTTCATCAAACAGGCAACTCGCAGGCAGCCTTGCCAAACAACGGCGGTCCTACTCGTAGCCGCACATTGCGTCGTAAAGGCACGCAGAGCAATGCTCATGCTGCAGGAACACTTTCTCATCAAAATAACAATATGCTTGCCAAACCACTGGACAACTCCAAGCCTACACTATGGGTTATCTTGTCATGGGCATTGACGTGCTGTTTCCCTTCAATGCTGCTGAATTTTGTAGGAATAAATACCAAGAACCAGCGACAGGCATGGAGAGAAAAGGTCACCTTGTGCTGGATTGCCGCATTACTATCAATGTTTGTTGTCGTCTTTTTAATCTTTTTCAACGCGTTGCTCTGTCCCAACGATATTCTTGACAATACAGTCGATATCAATGCATTTGGTATGTCTAGATTTGTCAAATCATGCTTTTATGCTGTTATGACTAACTTGATGTTTCTGTTTATTAGGTGGAGTTGTTGTTTTTGGCAGAATGTACAATTCCTACTATACCACTCCTCCATACAACACTCTTTTTGATCAGACTGATGCATTTGGTGGAATTGACGTGTCTGGTTCATTTGAGCAACCCCAAATCTCTGCTTGTCAAACTGCTGATGTTTCCAAGTTTAATTTTGCTGTACTACCATCGTCTTGTGCACCAAATTGTATCAATCTGCAAAAACTAACTACTCAGCAAAACTTTTTACCCTATTCCTCTGTGGTTGGCGAATATGGCCAAAATGTAACTGTTCATCCAGATCCTGCTTATGAATGGTCTGAAGTGAAACGTAGAAAACTTTTAGTTATTCGCCAAACGGTTTTAAATCTTGCACCTTATTTTGAAGCCAATCCTGAGCCAATTGCTGGTGATGTTATGGATACCCTACTGCGTCAAGCTCAGGCAACCAATGATGGCACGCATTTAATATGGACAAACAAAAACGTATCTAAAGATATGATCAACTGCTTGGTTCAGAAATACTATGCCGGTGTTCTCTCCCAATTACCCATGTCGTGTATTCTCTCTCGACTCGTTACTATTGTAGTGTCGTTTACAGTTGTCAGTATTTTAGTCACTCGGTTTGCTATGGCTCTGTTTTTTGACTGGTTTATGACTTCACATTTGATCAGATTTCCAAAAAATGCTCCCGATAACCCGTATGACCCATCGATTGCCAAGAAATATGATGTAAAACCTGTACTAAATCTGCGCATGTCTGACGAATCTTTAATGAATGCAAACAATGATCATGCGTCGTACATGAAACCTATTTCTCAAATAGGTACAATTGTACGTTTACAAGACCCAACAATCCATCGACCAGCACCGAATCCAAGCGATCTTTACACTGTTATGTTTGTGACATGCTACTCGGAAGGTGAATCTGCACTTCGTACAACACTCGATTCGCTTGCCCTAACTGATTATGACGACTGTAAAAAGATTTTGTTTGTTGTTGCTGATGGGATTGTCAAGGGTTCTGATAATCAAATATCTACGCCTGATATTCTGATTAGCATGATGCATCACGATGAAGCATTTGGACATTCTCCTGAAGCGTTTTCTTATGTTTCGATTGCTACCGGAACCAAACAGCATAACATGGCTCGAGTGTACTGTGGATCTTATAGCGTTCATGGTCGTCACATTCCAATGGTGCTGATCATCAAATGTGGTACAGAATATGAAGCTGGACAGTCCAAACCAGGAAACCGTGGAAAGCGGGATTCTCAGATGATTTTGATGAACTTTTTTTCCCGAATTGTTCTTTACGATCGCATGACTCCACTCGACTACGATATCTTTCGCAAGATCCATTACTTGACGGGTGTTACTCCAGATGTCTATGAGCTTGTTCTTATGGTGGATGCCGACACTCGTGTTGCACCCGACTCGCTTAGATTTATGGTGAATACAATGCATAACGAACCTCGTATAATGGGTTTGTGCGGGGAAACACGCATTGCCAACAAAAAAGACTCGTGGGTAACCATGATTCAAGTTTTCGAGTATTTTATTTCGCATCATCTTGGAAAAGCGTTCGAGTCTGTGTTTGGTGGTGTGACGTGTTTACCTGGCTGTTTCTGCATGTACCGTCTCAAAACAGTCAAGGACGGTTCAGTTTTGCCTGTTCTTGTCAATCCTGATATCATTGAACAATACGCCACGAACGAAGCATTTACTCTCCATCAAAAAAATCTATTGCTGTTGGGCGAGGATCGGTTTTTGAGTACGTTGATGCTGAGAACGTTTCCCAAGCGGCTGATGATGTTTGTTCCAGCGGCATATTGCAAAACAACTGTGCCTGACAAGTTTTCTGTGCTGCTTTCGCAACGACGTAGATGGATCAATTCGACTGTCCATAATTTGATGGAGTTGGTATTTGTCAATAATCTATGTGGCACATTTTGTTTTTCGATGCAGGTGAGTCATTTAATTTAGCAATGTTTCAAACTCTTGGACTCATTTTGGTGTTTTAATTGTAGTTTGTTGTGTTTATGGACCTTCTTGGCACTGCAGTTCTTCCAGCTAGTTTAGTCTGCACATATTACTTGATCGTTTATGCCATCTTGCACCATGGCTATAACAACATTACAGCGTTTCTCAACCTTTTTGTCATGGTCATCACAATGTTTTTGCCCATGCTTCTTGTATTGTTGACAGGTCGTCGAGCCCACTACGTGCTTTGGATGCTTGTATATCTGCTTGCTCTTCCCATATGGCATATTGTGCTTCCCGTGTACTCGTTTTGGCATTTTGATGATTTTAGTTGGGGCGAGACTAGAAAAGTGACTGGTGATGAGCCCAAGGTATCGAGTGCTGGTACTCGACACGATGATGAGCAATCGCACGGACTGTTTGATGGATCTCGTATTCCGTTCCGTCGATGGGATGAATATGAACGTGAAGCCAGGTTTGAACAAAGAAAACATATACTCAGCATGTCTGAACCATATTCTCAACCGACTCAAACCCAGTCGTGAATCACAACTCCATGTTGCATCTATTTTGAATTATAAACTTTGAATATCCATGTTGATATAAAACTTGGTCATGATGTTTAAACTGGTTTGAATGGATAATGTATCATTGGCTATTTTAAAATAACTACGAGTTACCAAATATATGATGCCATCAAACCTGTAAACATGGAATGTCATTTTTTCATTCTGTTGGTGCTACAAATTCAACCACCATTCTCCACAGTGCTGTTAATGTTCAACATAAACGCTGAATATCCTTGACCAATAATGTAAATACATAAACGTTCAAAATATTGCTTTACGACATGTTCATTGTACCATTTGGTAATACTGTTGCGAGTTTGGATACTCGAGCAGACAAATCATGAAACTTTTTCAAACCTCTGCAATCATGTACAATTATTGAAAATGTGTATTGAGTGCTATGGAACCATCACGCCAGGTGTTCAAGGTCATTTCCCGTAAATCCGAGATCCGAATATTTTATTTATTCCTAGGTTTAAAATAGCCGATTCAAGTTTTTCAATGCATGGTATGTATTGTTTAAGCAGATGTTATGTTGATACCAACTTGAATCCACTTTTACAAATCTTGACCAAGAATCCAAGGATCGGATGGTTTTTTGATGACAGTAGCTGGTTGGATGCATTTTAGATTTACAAAATGTAATGTTATTTGATCAGCGGTATCTCAAACAGCCAAGATGCATTATTTGAGCAGTCTCCAGATTTTGTCAAGCATAGTGTACAGCCTGTGCAATTCGGCCTTATCGGGTATTAGACTACACGATGATATTCATACAGGGGGAAAGGTGGAATTGAATCTACTCTGTGGCTTATGAGGCGGTGAGGATGGCTAAATAATAACATATGTTGACTAAACTACACCCAGTATCTAAACTGGGTATGCTTGGAATACACTTGAAAAAGGTATAAGCAATGCTTGTATTCCTGCTTTCAATCAAGTGCTAAATTGAATTTGGATTTAGACTGTCCCATTGGTTTTGTTATTCAAGAAAGTGTATTCATCACGTGTTGATTTACTTGGACTTTAGCACACCATCTGCTCTTTGTTATAAACCGATCTCATGATCTTCAGTGAAAAGCACTATCGCATCACTACTTTGGACTAAAGCAGCACAAATGTTTTAGACTAGAATAAGCTATACTTTGTACAGCCAATACTTTGGAAACGTGATCAATCATGCAACTATCAAAAAATTACTTTGCCACATGTATTATTCTATAAATAGCCATGCCCAAGGTCGATGCTAATTCTTGGCTATATCTCGGATTCCCGCGTTTAATTATTCGATTCGAAGCCTTGATAATAATGAAGGCGTATATTGTTGAATTACTGTTGATCTTTGCTGCTGGTCATGCTGCCGCAATTCCCAGGTACGGACAAAGACCCGTTCCTAACCCTAATGCGCCTAGTCGATTCACACTATTGCACACTAATGGTAAGCGTGCGATTTTGCTTGGTGGACAAGTACTTGCATGATGAGCTGAGTGGATATTTTTCACGGCTTGCATAATTGTGCAATGTACACATTCTCACTATTCCCTTTGCAGATCTTTCTTGGGGTTATGGCGTGGCCATTTTACAATCTCTATTCCCGAAATATTAACAGCCATATATTTCGGGAATAGAGCTGAACCCCAGTTTGGCTTGACCAAGTTTTTTTTAATTTGAAATTGGACTAATAATATGCATTATAATTATCCGCTTTAGATATACACGCCCATTTTGATGAATTCAATAATGGCGGTACAGACTGCACAGCAGCTAACAAAAAAAGCAACACCTGCTATGGTGGTGTTGCTCGTCTCAAGACTCTGGTCGATGCCTATCGCAAAAACTCGTCCCAAGTGTTACTTCTTGATGCTGGCGATCAGTTCCAAGGCACACTGTTTTTCAACATTTTTGGATCGTCGCCTTCTACAGAGTTTATGAACAAGCTCGAGTACGATGCGATGGCTATTGGTAATCACGAATTCGATAAAGGTGTCAATTACCTTGCTAGCTTTATCAAGACGCTTCGATTTCCTGCTCTTTCATCCAATATCGAGCTTAGGACAGCACCAGCGCTCAAAAATGCTGGTGTAAAGCCCTACATTGTTATCAACAAGCTTTCTGTTGGAATTATTGGCTATATCACCAATACTACTTCAGACATTACCACCGGCAGCAAGAACATAACCTTTTACGACCCAGTCGGTCCTGTTCAACGCCATGTAAATGAGCTGCGTGGATATGGTATTAAACGTGTTATTTGCGTTTCACACAATGGTTATCTGGCTGACAAGTATCTTGCCGCCAACACTCGCGGTATTGACCTAATTGTTGGAGGCCATTCTCATTCGCTTCTTCTTAAAAACACCTCGTTCCCTGGCGTTGTGGGTCCTTATCCGACCAATGTTACCAACTTGGATGGCAAGTCCACTTGGGTCGTTCAAGCCCATCGTTATGGAAACTATCTCGGACATCTTGATTTGGAATGGGACAAATCCGGTCATATGCTTCCACCTGTGGGCGATCCCATTTTGATGGATCAGTCAGTTCCACAAGACCCCGTTTTTCAAAAGCGTGTTGATGAACTCCGAGTATCGTTTGCCAATCTTACACAAAAGGTAGTTGGTACAGCTACTGCCGATTTCTCCATCACTGACTGCATTACTGGTGAATGTGCTATTGGTGATCTGATAGCTGATTGCATGAAAGATGCTGATCCATCTCCCGGGCCCAAGATTGCCTTGATGAACTCTGGTGGTATACGTGCTTCGTTTCAAAAGGGAAACATATCCTATGCTGATGTTATGACTGTTTTGCCATTCGGAGACTCTATTGTTAGTTTCCCGTACACTGGTACTCAGATCAAAGCCGTTCTTGAAAATGCAGTGTCTATGCACAATATTGCTACGGACAAGCCAGTCATATCCGTTGCACAATTTTCTGGCATCAGGTTTTCGTTTGATGCGCAACAGCCTCTTGGCAGCCGTGTTGTGAATGCCACAGTCGATGGACAACCGCTAGATCTTAATACTTCTTACAAAATGATTACAAACGAGTTTGTTGCAAATGGTGGCGACAATATCATGGTGGCCAACAAACTGGTTACTACTGGTAATCCTTCTGTTGATGTTTTATCTTCGTGTATTCAAAAGCATGTCAGCATCACCCCTACTGTAGACGGTAGATTCCCCAAAGTCAGAAACGGAAAGCCTTGATTGTTATTATCGAGGCGTTTTGAGTACCAAGAGTTGTAGCACCGAGTATTGGTAAAATGATGTATTTGATCCTTTGAATTGACTTGATTGAGATTCAAGCAGTTGATTGGATTGATTACAAACTTTCTGGTCAAACCTAAATGAAATCATTATATTGAAATAAACCAAGATTGAATGACATTTGTTCAAGCCAATCAAATTGCATTTCAAGATCTGAAACAGTGATTTGGAAAATTGATTTATCCTGCAGAATATTATTTTTTAATGTTGCCGCGTTTTGAATTGGCAGCAATTATTTTGTGGATTTCATTGAAAATGCCCAAAAACAGCCTGACAACTCGCATTACCATTGCTTGTGACGGATGTGCTTTCAAGGTATGTTGCAATGTACTTTATAAAAGACCAAGACTTTGCATTGGCCAAAGCCTGTCAATACAATAATGATTATTACTGTTTCTAATTCAAAATGACGATTACCGATGTGGTTCCATCAACAAAAATGGTTTATTGTCCAAACTCGATTCGGCTCACTACATATTTTAAACTGCATGCAAATATACTGATTCAACCTTCATGTCGTATTGTGTTCAAACCGGCTACATTACATGATTGCAAATGACTAGAGAGTCAAGTGTGATGGAAAGCAACCGTCATGCTCACTCTGCACTGGACTTGGACAGGCATGTGTGTTTTTACGAAAGATACGAAAGAGAGGCCCAAAGAATGGCCATGTGGACAGATTACATGCTCGCATTCGTGAATTAGAGGCCAAACTAGAGAGCTTACAATCCAACAACGATTCAAAAGACCAATCTATTTCAACTTCAGCATCTAATGCCGGCATGAATGCTACTTTTAATTTGATTGCTGATTCGGAAGCTTGTGATGCACTTAGCATGACCTCTGCTTCTTCAAATGCAACCGCTCTTTTGGATAATCTCGAATTGCTAGATCACCCCTTTGCTGCAACGGTCGGTAGTGGTGATGGGTCTGGTAGTGGGTATATGATGGCCAACAACGATCCATCCATGCCATTCTCCTTGCCCATGTCTGCTTTGTCGCAGATTTCATCATTCAATGCTATACAATCACAGCTATCCTTTACACCACATGATACAGTCACATCACAGCCCAATGCTCATATGCTAATTGGTTTTGATATACCTGCACTATCACCAAAATGGGTTAAATCTATGTACATGCAGCATCTTCCAGACCACATTCCAGGCACCACTTCAACGCCGATCCATAACGAGATTCACATGGATCTTATTGATAGATATTTCGAATACTTTCTTACACAGTTTCCCATTTTTCCAAAAAAAGAATTTGTTGATAATATCCAAAAACAATCTCCGTTGCTTCTGAATGCCAAATATGCTTTAGCATTAACTCAGCCCACTCTGCCTGACCAAGACACGTTCCATGCTGGTGACTTGTATTTTAAGCGTGCTACATCAATTCTAGACAACTATTTAGAGCAAGCAACCTACTCGACTGTTGCTGCACTGGTGCTTTTGTCCTACTACTCTGCCTGTTGTGGACTTGGTGAAAAGGGATATCTATACGCAGGAATGGCTATTCGAATGGGACAAACGATGGGGCTTAACAGATCCATATCAGCAGAAAAGGCTGCTTTTATGACATTGAAAGAGATTGAGCTACGTAGACGGATGTGGGCTTTGCTGTATGTACTGGATCGTTCTGCTAGTTTGGTCAAGACCGACATTCCATTTACTATTCGTGACGAAGATTGTGAAGTATCTATACCCGATCTCCTGTACGTGTTTACCTACCACGAACCAGTGTGTGACGCATCTGTTCCGTTGATATCTCATTCCATAGCGTCTAATGAAAGCCACACTATTTCTGAATCACACATGTTTTCTGTTCCACAGAATTTTGGACTCGCTGGGTCTGGCGAGCAAGAAGGAAACCTAATTTACGATCCCAATCTTGCTCAACACGACACGATGGACATTTTTTCGTTACAACATTATCCACCACTTCTCCAATCTCAACAAGCCTCTATTCCACAACAGCTGCTCCATCAACTACCTCCTCAGCCCAAATGTGTGTACAACAAGCATTTTTCACATTCACTGGGACTCACACGTATTCTGTCGTGTATCAAGGAGTTTGACAAGACATTGCGAGGAACAACAACTCGGCCAGAGCATTTTGATTCAGACATGGACAGAGCATTGTTAGAGAACCGACTTCAGACATGGTGGAGCACTCAAGCACCCTGGGTGAGACAGATTAGTCATAGGTATGGAACGGATGTTCTTTCTATCCATCCTCCTCACTGGATCATTGCCCACCGTCAAATCATGTACCATTATGCACGACTGTTGCTACATGGATCTCGTATTTTTAAACTACAAAGACGACAGTCATCAGAAGTGTTATCTGATCCTTCAGCAATGATTTGTTTTGACGCAGCCTATCAAATTTCTATTATTCTATCACGTTTTACAAAGTATAATCCAGGATTTGCATATGTTGGATGGTTGTTTGCACTTGGTTTATTCCGAGCGGGGATTGTATTTATTCTGTCGATCCGAATGGGAATCGTAGATCCATATTCAGGGGATGATCCAGCCGAATTGCTAGATATGCAGATCACATCGCTAAAGCAGATTGGTAGGTTTTGGATTTTAGCAAAACATTTGGCCAACAGTCTTGAGATTTGGCGAGACAGTGGACGGGATATTGGGGCAGCACATGTTGCCTCGCTGCGACGGAGTGAATTATAATATAGAGCCGTCAATTACGAGATGATGGGTTTGGTTGTGGGATGACTATTGAAGATTTAAAATCAGGGGTTGATTTTTACAAGCAATAAAACTTTAGATAAGCTATTCCAGTTGGTAAGGGCGTGAGAATGAAGAGATGAAAATTGCTAGCAATCAGTGATGGTGTTCATGTGTTGCTTGTATTTCCTGTACCACAGTAACAACCTGGCCAAATTGACAAGCCCTCTGTAGTTTCAGTTGATTCAATGTAAAACATCACGGATTTAGTCTGGCGGTGGCTGCTTATTGGCCATACTGACACGATCGTTGGGGTTTCACCCGTTACAACAACGCAAACAAATGTGCAGCTTTACGAATGGATAATTCGTGATCTGAAATGCTGTGACAGAGATGCTTGTAGGATGGCATCGGAATGTTTCCAAAATGTCGAGTTTTTTTATTAGAAAACATTTTTTGATTTGCCCATTTCTTTATGGCTAGTTATTGATGCGGTGGTTGCATTGATAGTGAGCAAGCATAATACAAAAACACCAAATGATTGTAATAGGACCAGGGTGACTTGTTTTAATACAACCCTTGTATCTGACAAATGAATGTACTAGCAGATATGCAAATGTCAGTCATGAGATGATGAGCAACAAGAGTACTTGATAGTGGCAGAGAAAGTGAATCAAGGTATGATGGGCTCATAGATGAGTTGAGACAAAGACTCGGTATTCCAAGACAGTAGTGTTGTTCCGAAACCAAGCATTGGACAAACACTATAGAATAGCCGTGCCAGTTTAGCAATCAATACAGATCCAAGTAGTAAGGGGTGTAAGCGAATATCAAACAAATGGCAAGGGTTGATACTGCCTGAATGGCAAGTCCTGTTTTCAGGACCTCTCATAAGGATTAACCCTTTCAGGGGTACGATTGTCAACCCAGCAAGAGTGTTATAGCAGGGCGGCAACAGAAGCCAATTATTGACAGTTGTCTGCTGTGCCAGCAGTTGCCACAAGTCCTTATTTTACGAGTTATAGCTTGTTAATCGACTTGTTGAAGAGTCAAACAACTGTTTCAATTATATAGGCTGATTGCTCTTGTGAGTTTCCATCTTGAGGATTGCTTACATCTTACTTCAAGGATTCTTGGTAACCAGAATCCCAATCAACAACTCAACAACTCGTCAATAATCCATCAACAACTCAACAATAATCCATCAAATAATCTTTAAAGATTGTTGCTACACATTGACTGTAGGTTGGTCATTTCCACCCCATTTTGCAGCAAAGCTTTACTATTTCTACCTGCTTTTAAATACATTGTTGACTTTTTCTCTTATACCAGTCAGTCTACTTGTCTTTATAAATCAAAGATCACCTCTTACAGACAGAACTTGGTTCCATAACTGTCCCGCTACTCATCGATTCAGCAGCCTTGGCTTGGCACATCTGTTATATATCTAATCAAACGACACATTCTATTATGGGTCCTGGAAAAAATCTCATTCGACCCTCAGAAACTCTGCAGGTACAGTTTTCTTCAGACCAGCAACGACCATCTCCGCCCAATTCGCATGACTCGACAGATGCTACCAATCGAGGTAAATACTATTGGCTTGAGCATGATCCTACTTGGGTCTATTCGTTATTTCTTTCTATTTGTGCTCTTGGCACTACAGTCATGGCAATTGTCTGTCTGGCTCGTCCAATCGACACTGTCATGATTGGGTTATTCAATGTCGTTGCTCATTCAATACGCTGATGGCTGGCTGTGTCGTTCACTCCATATGGAAGGGGTGGATAACTACATTGAAAATTTGAGGCATTCGATAATCATTGAAATTGCATTCAATTTACCATCGTATTCACGTAAATGGAATGCTTGTGGGCTCGTCTTGCAATCACTGCCTTGTCTCGGAATATACTATGTTACGCTTCCTCACTACAAATCCTCCACTTCTTCACTAGACTCTTTATTCCTTTCTCAACCACTACCATCATGTGTTACATCAAACTATAGTCTTGATTCTTTTTTTGCTAGTCACACATTGTACAATCACCAGATTCATTGCAATCCAGGTATTGAACTGCTTCAAGTCTGTACAGACTCGAATGCATTTCCGCTTTGGTCCAACAAAAAATTGCGGGAATGCAATCGGTGTTTTTATACCAATCATTCAATGTTTGATTTGGATGAAAAAGGTGGAGATTGCAATGGGTGTAAACATTCAATCAACATAATGTTGTCTAGTGAATTTGGAGAACCATTTCATGAGATTGTGTTGATTAGATTCTTCTATTCTGTACTCCATTTTACGTAAATCACTGAATTGCTCCTTTATTCAGTCACTGCCATATGGATAAAGGTCGTATTTATCAACATACTTTTATCTGTCACTTTACCATGTATCTTGCTGATTTGGGCCATGGCAGTTAAACTTGATTTTTACATATCAAGATATTTGCTTCCAAGCATAATCATCTACTATGTTGTCTAGAGAAATACTAACAATTGTGATGTTGGCTTTATCAATACAGTGTCGATCGATCCGTTTGCATGTCTTCCATCAGAGTTTACCATTGGTCCTGTAGATCCCGCCATCAACCAACCCAATTCTCACACCGATTCAGTGATGATTATGCGTCATAATCATTCTTCAAGCGAAACTGGTAAGCAACATATTGAAATCTGACATGTTGCTGGCTCATGAATACCCTACTCATCGTGACTACTTTTTATAGGTACTCTCAACTCGTCAGCAGTTAATTCAGAATCACCTCGTCGATCTGGTGTTACTTTTTCCAAAGATACAGAAGCAAACAAAACTGCACATCCTTCATCTCGTGGTATGCGTCGTACCATGGGATTTGCTGCTGAAACAACCAACAAAGGTCGTGGCAATACTCGCGATCAAGCCATTATTGGAACTCTTGGTCGTTCAAAAAAACTCACTCACCCTGAGCGTCAAACCGACATAGTCAATATCCTTGCACCAGAACCTGAAAACAAGTATGGTCCATGGAGCATTTTTGTGTTTTTAGTCACCTGCTGTTTTCCATCCGTGCTTCTATCTCGACTCGGCGGAATGCACGACAAAGCTGTCCAGCGTGCTTGGCGTGAAAAGGTTGCACTATGCTGGGTAGCCTTGCTCATGTGCATCTTGCTTGCCTTTATTACTTTTGGTTTGCAAACTGTAACCTGCAAAAGAGATATGGGTGCAGTTAGCTTGCAAACCTTCAAGAAATATTCGCCTTCAACATATCCTCAAAGATTCTCCATTCACGGAACTGTGTACAGCATGACTCCTTATATCAAAACACACAATGCCTTTGGTGCTCTGGCCAACAGTTCTACCGCTGCCGCCATTGACAAATCCACTGGTGTAGACATTTCTGCACTGTTTCCTCCAACCATTTCTGCTGGATGCGCCGCCATGATCAAATCTGCAGTAACCCCATCGTGTAAAGTGTCTAATTTTGAAGCAAGTCACTGCCACACGAGCCCTAATTCAATCAATGCATTATCCGATTTGCGAGTTGGTCATCTTACTTTTGACTGGCCCGATCTTGTCTCTGATCCTTCTCGACGATTACTTGTATTTCGTAGTCTTGTTATTGACGTGACTCCATTTCTTAATCAAACGACCAGCATTTTTGGAACCTTTTCCGATGATTTGATGTACTCTTATATTGGAAGGGATGCCACCAGAGCCTTTTTTGATGCGAATTCCTTGTCAACAATTGAATGTGCTGCATCTATATCGACTATTGGCTCGCTTTCATCGGAATCTACCGGCTGTCTTGCGGCTGATACAATTTTGTATATCTCTCTTATTGTTATTGGCGCTTTAATTATAATTCGTTTTGTCTTGGCCATGCTGTTTAGCTGGTTTATCTCTCGCCATCTAGGCAAACTACAAAAACAGGACAAGAATGACAAGGACCGTCGTTTATCGCGTCGTGTTCAGCTTGAAGGCGGAATCATGCCCTTTACTATGCAAGTCAATGGCAATCTTGCTATTGCTCACCGTTCTGGTGTCCCTACCATTTCTCCCATGGAAAGGCGTGAGACGCTTCGCCGTCGCAATGTGGGCACCAAGACTGTTCAAAAGCCCTCGTCCAACTATGGTCGTGAATTGCATACCATTATGCTGGTTACATGCTATTCTGAAGATGAACAGGGTCTACGCACAACCTTTAATTCTCTTGCCATGACCGACTATTCTGAAGATCACAAGGTGCTTTTTATTATTGCCGATGGTATGATCAAGGGTTCTGGCAACACACAAACTACTCCAGAATTAATTTTGAGTATGTTGGAACTGGATCCTAACTGGGAAGACCCAGAAGGACTATCATACCTGGCGATTGGAGAAGGATCCAAAGAACATAATAGAGCCAAAGTCTACGTTGGGTGGTACAGTTATCAAGATCGTGTTGTTCCTACTATTTTGATTGTTAAATGTGGAACTGAGGAAGAGTCCAAACTGCCTAAACCTGGAAATCGTGGCAAGCGTGACTCGCAAATGATTTTGATGCGCTTCTTGCAAAAAGTGACCTTGGACGAGTCCATGACTCCATTAGAATATGATTTGTTTTTAAAACTGCATTATCTTATGGGCGTGACACCCGACACGTTTGAGATTGTTCTTATGGTTGATGCTGATACAAAGGTTGCGCCAGACTCTGTTGCTCGCATGGTCGCTTGCATGGCCAGTGATCCTCTTGTTATGGGTCTATGTGGTGAAACACGCATTGCCAACAAATCTGAATCATGGGTTTCGCGAATCCAAGTATTTGAATACTATCTGTCGCATCATCTCAACAAAGCCTTTGAGTCCATGTTTGGTGGTGTGACTTGTCTTCCCGGCTGTTTTTGCATGTACCGTATCAAGGCTCCCAAGGATGGATACTGGGTTCCAATTCTTTGCAATCCTGATATTGTACAAACATACTCTGAATCTGTGGTTGACACTCTTCATAAAAAGAATTTACTCTTGCTAGGTGAAGATCGATTTTTGACTACCCTTATGCTGCGTGCTTTTCCTCGTCGTAAACTGTTGTTTGTTCCTCGTGCTTTTTGCAAAACCACAGTTCCCAATACATTTGCTGTTCTTTTATCTCAGCGTCGTCGCTGGATCAACTCGACGATTCACAATCTGCTTGAGCTTGTGTTGGTTTCCAACCTCTGCGGTATTTTCTGTTTTTCGATGCAGTTTGTCATTTTTTTGGAACTGATTGGCACCATCACGCTACCTGCAGCCATTCTGTTTACATTGACGCTTATCATTGTGGCAATTATTGGACCTGTTGTTCCGGTGATTCCATTGATTCTTCTTGCTGGCATCTTGGGTCTTCCAGCCATTCTAATTCTCCTAACGACTCGCAGAGTAGTGTACATATATTGGATGTTTGTGTACTTGCTTGCACTTCCCATCTGGAATTTTGTGTTGCCTGTCTATGCCTTTTGGCATTTTGATGATTTCAGTTGGGGACAAACACGGCTGGTTGAAGGCGAGGGTAAAGGTGGGCATGGCGGCTCTGACGGAAAGGCGTTTAGTGCGTCTGATATCCCTACTCGACGATGGGTTGAATGGGAGCGTGATCGACGACAAGGACTTGTGCAGCGATACTGGATCACACAGTAATCACACATCTTGATTCTCCTACACATTCATTACCAACACTGTTGCGTGTTTTTTCTCATCTCTTGTTAATTGATACCTTTTAGCCCACTCACTCAACGGGCATTCTATTGTTTTTGTTGTAATCCTATATCAACACTGTGGCGATATTACACACCATACTGATCATATCTATAGGATTGGAAGGAAAAGGGTTTTGGTTATCTTTTTGAATAATTTCTAGATCTACAACCTTGTGTAAAATGGAGCACTTTTTCTGTATCCATCTTACAGTAACTGATTCCATTTTGCTTCAGAATAAACAATCGTTAAATATTTTTACGCTTTCATTAACATTGCTTTTTCGACTCGAGCATTGTACGGTGCACAGTGCACACACACTATGGTTTGGACAGAAGCTGTTCATTGTTGGCATAGACATGTAGTGTACAAGCAACAAAAGACCAGCCAAGCAATGGGTTCAAGAAACAGCCTTGTCTAGCAAATTGCCATTCCAGGAGACTTTCTTCTTTTTGGGATTTATTTTACAAGATAATCCGATTTGCGTACCCTCAGGATTGTGTGCAAACCGGAAGTTGCTTTGAACTGGTTTGCTCTGATGATTGCCACTCTACGTTATACAAGTCTACAGTCGGCCATATATACATATGAGAGTCAAAAGGTCAAAAAGTTATTTAAAAAACCTTCGCAATGTATCAGAAATCGAGTACGAGGTGCGTATATGTGTGACTCGATAATCGGCGGGATGAATCAAATGAACGTTTCTTGACGAGTAGTTAATGACCTACAAGTTCTATCCACAACAACTCTGATATTCTACATCTCTTCAAGTCTGATATAGATTTGAGTTTATACTCATTAGACTAAAAAGTTGCGTAGTTTTATCTGTACGAATTCATTCGATAGTTGAATGCAGTCGGATGGTGAACTGGCATGCTCCAAATCATACGCAACCACCACTTCCGATATATACCATTCAGATTCATTTGATCCCTCTATTCATGTGTAGATATTAGCCGTAATTTTGGTTATTGTTCAATCATGAATCTATTTTAATGTTTGGTAATGTTGATGGATTCGGACAACACCCATCTATCCTTTACTGGCCTCATGAAACTCTTGTTTCAATAGCCGTAATGACAAGAGTAGTTGACATACGTTTATGGACAGTGATATACCATGTATTGAATCTCTATCATAATGCGTACGTTTCCATTTTTAATCTCATGACCGACTCTTGATTTCAAATTACTTTCCGCCATTGATCTATGGATAAATGGCCTCAAACATTAGATTCCCTCACAACCAACGTTCCTGTTTCGCATACCCGCATAAACTACAATCAATACTCTATATACTAACTTTATTGTACGTCTTAGGTTGAAGAAATCGTTGACGATGATTTTGACTACAAGGTAAATGGATTCTCGTGCTTAGATGTTGATTTTAACAGTATCTGATTCTTCATCAATTGTGGTCTTTATTGATTGAATGGTCGTATATAGGGAAAACCTATTTATCTAGTAAAATGGAAAGGATTCTCATCACAAGAAAATACATGGGAGCCGGAAACGCATTTATCTTGTCCAAAAATCATGAAGCAATACAAGGCAGACAAGCAGGCACGTTTGAATCAAATTGAACAGATTGAACAATATCAAACGCTTGTATTAAATGGGAGCAGTGATATCACTACATTTACCCGATCAATCGCCGCATTACCTGTAAAGGATGATTGCAATGTAAGTAGCCAATACATTGCACATATCAAGTCTATACCACTTGCTAGATCCTAGTACAGTTTTAGTGATTGTGACGATTTATTTTAAAAGTGTAAATCAAATATCGCTGTTTGTTGCTTGCAACCTATCTACTACACCTGCATGAATAATCCAACTTTTGAATTTTCTTGTTAATCGTTTTGTAGGCTATTGATTTGGAAAATCCACCGACTGCTTTAATATCAGAAATTTTTGGAGGTTGGAGATGAAATCAACATGATAAAGAGTTGTTCCATATCTGTTCAAGATGTCATCGACTTGGATGATTGGAAATTGACGTTTACGCTGACTAAATTATATCTCTTGTTAAATAGTCATATCACATAACCTCCCGACTGTGGAATTTCCAACTGCCAAGGCAATCGTTTCAAAACACTCTGTTATACATCAGGCGGCGGTATCTGCTGAAAATAAATATACCCTGTATCATCAGAGTGTATTACCAAAAGCTCAATCCGATGATACCAAACCCACCACTACACCAGCCAAATTTATAGTCGGTTCCAAGGACACTTTAGACTATGGATCTAAAAAAAAGAAAAAGCGATACCACCCCATTCATGACTCTCATGTCAACCACCACAAGCACACGTCTGATAGTGCAAGTAGCTGCCATTATGGTGTGTAGTGTATTTTTAATCTATATCTTGTTGAAAAAATGTTGTTTTTATTTGCGTACCCTATTTTATAGTTTGAACCCATGTTACTGATATGATTTTGTAATATAAATTGCGATTCAAGATATGTCATTATTTCCAGATCTGTATAGAGTGAAAGGCACGGATCAGCCGCATGTAGAGTATCATGGCATTACACCAATTTCCTTTCGCTCTTGGACTACATCTATACCTCCTAATTCTATTCCTCAGATAAAGTTGAAGCCCAGAAAGGTTTCTGTTGAGATTTCTACACATATCAAACCACAACCATTTGAAGTTGTCCCAATATCATCTGACGGCTCAGATGACGAGACATCTGATCAAGAAAAAGGTCACTACTTTAACGATCAACTGCTTCAGCACGACATATCCCAACCCTCTAGTCTAGCGCATCACCCTAGCTCCACGAATCTAGTCATGCAAGAAAAAAATTCTAGCATGTACAATGTTACAATTGATTTACGTGGTAATACGGCAGGTCCGCCACGTAATTTTTTATGGACTGAGAAATTCATTTATCATAAGGATATACCGCCACGAGATAATGATCGGATGTTTGGATGCAGTTGCAAGGGATCGTGTGCTGGTTTAATTGATCATCCTGATGCACAAAAGTGTGATTGTATCGATGGTACGAAAATGCCGTATAGTCTGCGTGGGTTGGTACGCATTGGTCCTCGTGAATGCATGATCAAGGAATGCAACGACAAATGTTCATGCAATGCCTCGTGTCCAAACCGGGTGAGTCAACGACCTTCTATGGCACGTTTAGATGTATTTTGGTGTGGTGAGCGCGGATGGGGTGTTCGAACAAAAAATCGTCTACCAGCTGGTGCATTTGTCTCCAAAGTAAGTTGTTGCCATTGTCTTGGGGTTCTCCTGCTATATGAGATGGCATATTTAACAAAAAACTATATCACGATGTTGACTGGTACTTTGAATAACTGTAGTATTTCGGAGAAGTGATCACTGAGGCTGAAGCAGCAAGCAGGAATAATGAAAGTCGCGAATATCATTTTGCAATGGATTTCAATGGTAAAGCCATTTTTTCTATTATTTGGCACCGCATTTTATTATTTGCTTATATCTAAAGTGCTCACTGTCTGTAGAGGGATTACTTAATGACCAAGGGATTCCGATAAAAATCATTGATGCGTACAAGTGCGGCAATGTATCTCGATTTTTCAACCACTCGTGTGTTCCTAATATGGCATCGTACTGTGTACAAGTCGATTCGGTAGACCCTGATGTACACCATATTGCATTTTTCACAGTTCGACCTATTGCTGCAGGAGAAGAATTGACATTCGATTACAGCAATTCATCCGTACGTCCAACTATTTTTGCATTCAAACTATAGATTGCACCATCTGACATATTTATAAACATAGGATATACATTACAATTCAACCTCAGTCAAGCGTGGTCATTCCCGCAATCGAAACAACGCAAACCATTCAGGGTCAAAAGAAAACTCTAAACTGTCACGCTCATCTAGAAAATCTGGTTACACATTAACAAAGTGTTTATGTGGATCAGATAAATGTCGCGGAACCATTCTCTCAACATAATCTGATGTAAGTGTGCAGCTGAATTCACGTAAACAGGAACATTAAATAAAGGAACTGGAATGCATAATAAACCATTAGTCTTATGAAGTAATGGGTATTGCCCAATTTACAGGATAGTATGAATTGAGTTGCATCTATTTTGCGAATGCGCGTTGGTATGCATTGTATGCAACAACCACTTGAGCCAGATGCTGTTATTCCTGCAACAGGTCAATTTATAATAATGTTTATTGAATACTGTATGATAATGAATCTGTTGGTATCCTTTGAGCCCGATATAAGTCATGATCTGAACACGCCATTATGGTGTATAAACAATTAATTTGGGATGTGACATGCTTAATACCAAGCCAATCCAATATTGAACCCATTGCTTACAACTGGTGATAAAAAGTATGATACAGGATGAAAATGCCAGCAGCCATCAGTATATCGTTTGGAGAAGTACTCACAAATTCCATTCAACCACTTTGTGTAGTGTGTTTGGCGATGCTGTTTCATGAATACTGGTAAATTGTTCATTTGCTGGCTCGAGTCATCCATCGCGTCTCATATCACAACGACAGTCTAACTTGTTGGTACGATCAATTTGCTAACTCTGGAGTCAATCTTGCACAATGTCATTGGGTCTGGTTTTGATATGAGCTTGACATTCTTGTAGAACATGTACGCTAATCTAAATCAGTTGTGCAATGTTACAAGTAGAAACATGATGTTTCTAAAACATTACAACGGCGGTCTGCTTGATGTTGTCCGAATGCTTTTAAAACATGGAGTTGGATTGGAATATAAATAAACCTTTCTTATCGTTTTCTATCCTTGTGTTCATTGTTTAGCATTGCCACCGCACCTGTTACAAAAACAGTTTAAATTGGTCTTGATGATGCAAACCACTGCAATACATACTGGCACCATGAAATAAAGCTTGTGCTGCAGTTAAAGCTCAGTTTCAAATAGCATGTAGTGGCGTGATGTGCTTCACCATGGTATACGATGGCAGTTTAAATCCACCCCTAAACTGGTATTCAACTTGGAAACTAGGAATGCTTATAATAACCAAGTATTTAATGTTTTACTTGCCTATATAACCTATTCATCTATAAATTCGACCGTCTCTTAGCTTGTGATACAAATATGGTGGCGATTATACATGCAGTGCTGATTGCTGCTTTGACTACAGTCGTTTGTAAGTATGATTTGAACTATCTAACCATGTGTCATTTTATAGTATACGAACAGTAGTGCTAACGGTTTTTATTAAAACAGTTGGACAGCCTGGTAGGTTGCCTAGAATCAGTACAGATGGTCAATGTGGACCCAGTAGTGGTACCACATGTCCAAACAACAGTTGCTGCTCTGAATCTGGACAATGTGGACTTTCCAGTGAGTATTGTGGAACAGGTTGTCAGAAACCCTTTGGAGCCTGCTGGGAAACTACCGTGTCGCCTGTCTTGGGTGGCGAGCGTGCAGTCAGTATAAACGATCGATGTGGACCAGGTTTTGAAACTAGGTGTCCTGGCAATAAATGCTGCTCTCAGGGAAAGCTCTGTGGTACCGATGATGGCCATTGTCAAAACGGATGTTTGTTTGGATACGGACTCTGTCTTGAAGTTTCTAGTCCTACTACTTTACCCAACGGTCTTACAATTGTTCCCCGCCAATGTGGACCAGATATCGGTGTCAAATGCGCCGGATCGAGTTGCTGCTCCAAAGACGGGAAATGCGGCAATGATGGAAATCATTGCAACGAAAACTGCTTGGAGGGATACGGAACTTGCTGGGATTATGGCGTACCATTGGGTTTAAGTGCTGGGTTTTCATATACCAAGAACGGTCAATGTGGAAAAGAGTTTGGCACCAAATGCAATCCAGGTCATTGCTGCTCCAAAGATGGGAAATGCGGATCCGGCAAAGGGTATTGTGAAGCAGGCTGTCAAAAAGGATACGGACGTTGTTGGAAATACAGCCCACCAACTTATGCAGTGGGCGAGGCTCCGCGCAATGCGAATAATAAGTGTGGGCAAGATCTCGGTGGTAATGGGAAATGTAAGAACGACCAATGTTGCTCCAGGAGTCAATACTGTGGAGCCTCGCTCTATTATTGCGGAGTAGGATGTATTCCCCAATTCGGAACTTGCCTAGGAACTACCCCATCAGATGACGGACCTTTTCCCAGCACAGACGGTCAGTGCGGATCAGATATCAATACCAAATGTCCAAATGGGGGATGTTGCTCTAAAAATGGAGTCTGTGGAACAACTAGCGGTTATTGCGGAAAGAACTGTCAAGAGGGCTATGGAGTCTGTTGGGGTCCTAATGGACTACCCAAATCACCACCACCACCCAAATCACCACTAGCTAAATTACCACCACCAGTCGAGTCACCATCAACCAAACTAAAGGATGGATACCCAATTAGTGTAAACAATCGATGCGGAAAGATGTTTGGCACTAGATGTCCAGATGCACTATGCTGCTCTGGAAATGAATTCTGTGGAAAAACTCTTTTTCATTGTGGAAAAGATTGCCAGAAAGACTTTGGAGTTTGCTGGGATACTACCCAACTACTCGAATCACTACCACCAGTCGAGTCGGGATTACCACCAGCCGAGTCAGAATCACCATCACCAGCTAAATCATCAACACCAGTCGAGCCATCACCTGAACCAAAATCTGGGCACCCAGTCAGTAAAGACAATCGATGCGGAAAGGTATTCGGCACTAAATGTCCAGACACACTATGCTGCTCTGGAGATCATTTCTGTGGAAAAACTAAAGGTCATTGTAAAGAGAACTGCCAGAAAGACTATGGAGTTTGTTGGGATACTAATAAACCACCCAAATCACCAGCAAAACCAAAAGCACCAGCACCAAAACCTGACTATCCAGTTAGTGCAGATGGTCAATGTGGAAAAGAATTCGGCACGAGATGTTCAGACACACTATGCTGCTCTAGAAGTGGACTCTGTGGAGACACTGATCCTCATTGTGGAAAGGGCTGTCAAGAGGGCTATGGAATTTGTTGGGGTGATATTGAACTTACCGAATTACCAGTACAACCACCACCAGCCAAATTACCGCCAGCCAACTCAAAAGTTGACTATATAACTAGTACAGACGGTCTATGTGGAAAGAAGTTCGGCCTTAACTGCTCAGGCAGAGACTGCTGCTCTAAAAGTGGATTCTGTGGAGAATCTCCCGGTTATTGTGGAAAGGGCTGCCAGAAAGACTATGGAGTCTGCTGGGATGGTGATGAACCACCCAAACCACCCAAACCACCACCCAAACCACCAGCCAAATTACCGCCAGCCAACTCAAAATCTGGGCGTCCAGTTAGTGTAAACAATCAATGTGGATGGATTCTTGGTACTCAATGCTCAGGCAAAGACTGCTGCTCTGGAAATGGATTCTGTGGAGACACTGTTGGCTATTGTGGAAAGGGCTGTCAGGAGGGCTATGGAGTCTGCTGGGATGGTGATGAACCACCCAAACCACCAGCTAAACCAACAGTTGAGTATCCAATTAGTGCAGATGGTCTATGTGGAGATGAAGTCGGCACTAAATGTCCAGGCAAAGAATGCTGTTCTAAAAGTGGATTCTGTGGAAAAACTGTTGGCTATTGTGGAAAGGGCTGTCAGGAGAGTTATGGAGTCTGCTGGGATGGTGAACCACCCAAACCAAAAGTCGAGTATCCAGTTAGTGCAGACGGTCGATGTGGAGAAGGATTCGACACCAGATGTCCAGGCAAAGAATGCTGTTCTAAAAGTGGATTCTGTGGAAAAACTGTTGGCTATTGTAGAGATGGTTGCCAGAAAGACTATGGAGTCTGCTGGAATGATGAACCACCCAGATTACCTTCCAAACCAACAGTTGAGTATCTAATTAGTGCAGATGGTCGATGTGGAGAAGGATTCAGCACTAAATGTCCAGGCAAAACATGCTGTTCTGGAAGTGGATTCTGTGGAAAAACACCTTCTCATTGTGGAATAGGCTGCCAGAAAGACTTTGGATTCTGCTTGACACCTGAAGCACTAGCCAGGTTTTTAGCTAAATCGACAACAACACAATCGCCATCAACAACAACACAATCATCAGCACAACCAAAAGCACCAGCATCAGCACCAAAAACTGACTATCCAATCAGTAAAAACAATCGATGTGGAGAAGGATTCAACACCAAATGTCCAGGCAGAACATGTTGCTCTGGAAGTGGATTCTGTGGAAAGACTAAATCTCATTGTGGAAAAGGCTGCCAGAAAAACTATGGATTCTGCCTGAAGCCTGAAGCACTAGCCAGGTTAAAAGGCGAGTTGTAGTTTAAACTAACACGATGGTTATTACATTAATGGATCCAAACTGTCAACACATTGATATCTTGGCAGTAATATAAAATAACGAGTGTGACTGATTTAGTCATCAGTTGCCCAGTCGATTGATTTGTATTTGTCATGACCACAAACGTTTACAATAAAGATTCAGATATTGTTCATGATCGACTGATTAGTATTGGATCGTGTAGATCTTTGAGCCAAAAGAGCATGTTAATACAGTATCGAGTGTTGGATAATCATGATAGTAGGAAATAAGATTGATAGTCATGAATAGAAACGGTTAGCCAACCAGTCGGTAGACTTGCAGTTGAAAGGCTTTGATAACGATTATTAGGGTTATCAGGATTATTAGGGTTATCAAGACTAACAGGATTATCAGGACTGTTGGAACAAGTACCAAGAGATTCGATACATAATGGGAACAGGAACGGTTCATATCCAGCCAGATACTATGCATCATACGCCATTGCATCGTATGGACTTGACAGCTATCAAGCAGGAACTTGCTGATTCTTTGGGTCCATTTCATGCACCGGCTTACTGGTCATTACTGCGTTCATTCTTGAATGGTCGCTGCTCTAAACAGAGCTTTGATATGGCGACAGTGGACATGCTTACTGGTGTTCAAGGTAACCTGTTCCATGTAGCATTCATTGTACTGTGTTCATGGTCTCGTATGTGATCCTCATACCCGTCATGTTGATATTCCTGAATTGGCTCTTGCCATGTTCATATTAATGTTGATGTTCATATTAATGTTCATGTCCATCACAACCATTCATCATCTCATGCATTGGAATGTTAGCGAGTCTACACAATAAACTCATCTTGGCCATATGCTACAACTTACAAGCTGGTGTTCCTCCACCAACTGGCCCACCCGACACTGACTTTGTTCCAAAGAATAGTCTGGCATTTGCTGCTCCCATCGAAATATCCGTCACTTCGATCGCAAACTCTTTGAAACGTCCTGCTCAGGAAGAACTGCTATCGCCCATGGAGATCAAGAAACGCTTTACCACTGCCATGATCATGTCGCTTTCTTCTCAAGATCGTCAACGACTCATTGGACTGGGTATTGTGGTAAGGATTCGAGTCCATTTAGATTGGTATCCAACATTGTGTTGCAATACAAGCTGTTAATTCAGTGTTGATGCGTGTTGGTATAAACCTTGCAGAAGCATAAAGATGAACCGGTTTTGCCGCCTTCCAAGAAAGTGCTCTTTCCAAACGGATTCCCTGTTGGTATGCATACTTGCTCTAGTCTCGGTTCTAATATAACGTTTGAATGTCCAGATTTGCAAACAGTAACTCACTCCAACATCATGACATTAGGAATAGATTCGATTCCTAGGTCATGCAAGGATGAAGGCGATCTTCCATTGATGGATATGCTTGAGCAACGACTCCGGTTTATAAGTGGAATTCAAGGACTGGGAGATCCACCTACGCCGGAATCAGCCAAACTGATTTCATTTGCACTTGATGTAAGCCGACCATTACATTTCGAATGTGTTGATTGAGCCGTGCTTGATGTGTCGCTATTGTTGATTCCTTTACAGAATTATCTCAAGAACTTGTTGCAGGCTATTTTGCGAGCACTGACTCCGCTCCGTGCTATGCGTACCACGACTGCTAGTGATTATGCACCGACCGATCCGTTGGTAGCTGCGTCGTTGCAATGTAAACCAAACCCAAAAAAGCGTGCATTGATTACTACAAAGACATCCAAGTCGGTTGTAAACGGATCGGATTTGGTGATGAGTAAGAATAGTTGACTGAACACTTTGAATGCATGTTGTGATTGCAATGGATATCAGCAATCGTATATGCACCAGATGTAAACTCGTTTAATTGATTGTGGTGAATTGTAACTGTATAGCCAATACATCCAAATCTGGCGACAATGCAGTCCAGTCGATGTGTACAACGACGGATTGGTCAGCATCACAGTTGACAGATTGTCACGTCAAGCCATCTCAATGCACACTGGCATCGACGATTTCATCACTTGAAGCACTTGAAGCACTGCACCGGCCTTTTGGGTTAGACGAGCTACGATTTGTGTTTGATTTTTTGCCACAAATGGAAACCGAGACACTGGAGCGTATTGCACTCGAGGCATTATGAGATGCGCCGAGTGGGATCAATTGGAACACATTGTAACCAAATCGATTGGTATTACTGTTTGGACATATTTATTAATATCTAGTATGCTTGGCATTGATTCTAATGGACGATTCGACATATCAAAGTGTTGATAGTATCAGTGGTTTGACATCAAAAGTGTTTATAGTTTTGAGATGTTCATATATCAAGTTTTTAATAAAATGTCGGTCCATATGTTTAACAATAGTGATTTCAGATGGACAACAACATGTTGATGGAAAATACAGAGTTTGAGCAAGTTTTTATCATAGATTCAAGCCTGTTTTCAACCTTGCTCGACTCTTGAAGCCAATGCACAGTTTGATTGTATTACATTGACATGACAAACACATCAGCATTGCCAGCATCAAATATTTGGCTATCAAAGATCTTGACAATGACACTCTTTCTATTTTTTACAGCGACATCCGTTACAGCAGCCAATGTCACTGTTCTCTGCAAATGTGAATGTGCTCCCAACTCCACTATCCTTAGTGTACCGAGCTGCAATGGATGCACCAAGCTCTTTTGCATAGAGAGCAATGCCTGTTTTATGCCATTACCAAAAGTGGATATACCAGCTACTACAACATCTGTGAGTTTGACTGCAACAAGCAGTACTAGTAGTGAGAGTATATCACCCAGTCCATCGCCTACACTTCGTGGAGATGAGTCTTGGACAGCTGTTTGCTTTCGTAAGTTTTTGATACTAGCATCAACCAAATGTCGAGATGTGTGTTTGGATTCGACTCGACTACATAAGATGTGAATCCAACTACCAGCTCCATGATTGGATCTTGTTTTAGAGAATGGCAATTCTAACCCTTTTGATTGTTTTAGAACGAGGAAGTTTCAAGGATGAAATTATTGTATATGCATTCATAATCCTGACCACAACTTTAGTCGCATTTGCTCTTATTAAGCCGTTTCTGGCACATGTTATGCGAGTAAGCTTTAATCCATCTGCTCTATATTTTGTTGTTTAATTCCGACTAAATCAATTTGATTAATTTAGGAGTACGATTTACCTGGATATGTCATGCTTATGGATGGTCGTTAAATATATATTAAACTATGCGAGTTTCAACCAAATTGGTCTAAAAGTCGGATTGGAGCTAATATTAAGAGTTTTCGACAAAATGGTAGTAGAAACAGCTATCAAAAGATGGTTAATTGTATCTTGACTAAGCATACCATTCAAAAGAGCTGAATACTGATTCCTGTTGCCCAATGCAGACTCAGTGGTCGAGACTGCATCTTCCGCTTTGCCAGATTTGCTTTTGGTGCTTCTTGTCAAATTGTTCAAATTGGAATGGGCATCTTATTCAAGAACTCCAATAACAGCATTATCTCAGTTTAGACTATCATATCTAGAATTTACTTTTAATAAAGGCTCACTTTCTGCTATTCCTGTTCGCTACTTGGCAGTCTCAATGGAGACTTTGGATGCAAATGCAATGGCACCCCTCACACCACCAGAATCAGCAACATTACAACTAGAATCGACCGACCTGTCTTCACAATTCATACTACACAAGGACCAAACAGTTCCATCCTGCATGGAATATAATGAAATATTTGAAAAAAGACCACATATTGAATCTGCTCCAAATATTCTTGACATTACTCGATATCCTGTCCCGTTTACCGAACCTTTTGACGAGCACTTTACTCATCTGTCTCGTATTCAGACTGGCAAACTCAAAATTCCAACAGAGAAGCTGTTTGAATGGGCTAAATCGACTGCAGAGGATTTGGCCGATGTAGGCCATGACAGGCAAGAACCATCTTATCGATCACCATTGATTAAAAAACCATCGCTGTCAAAAAATTCTCAACAACAAGCGTCATTTGAATCCATACCTGGGGTCGAGTTTCTGCGCCAGACTGGTGCGGTTGGATCGTCCTCTGCAGATATACTTGGCAAACAGAGATATGACGAATCCTGTGTGCAAGATGGAAACCAGGCATCCGCTGATGATCTTGTTCATTTTTCTCCATTAAAAAGCTTGGAATTAATATCTGCTGGAACTGAGACAAATATCACTAAAGAAGCTATTCTATCACGCACCGAGTCTATTTTTCAAGAGCCATCAGCAGCTGAAATAGAGCAACTGCTTCCTGGGCTGATTTGCCAAGCATTGGACCAGCATAAATCCATTCTATCCGCGGCAATGACCATTTACGACATATCTACCCATTTTACTGAAATCAATCAGTCTCTTTTCGATAAAGTTGTAAAAGTCAAAGCTTTACAAGGTGTATGTCAGGATCGGTTGGAAGCGCTTGCCCAGCTAAGGTTTGAGTATCGCTTTAGGCGCCAAGAACTGGACCAACTGGGCATCCCTGTTCGACCACTCTGTGTCCTGTCAGATCTAACATTACAGTTTCGTGACTGCACTCTTATTGAGCAAGCTTTTTCTGATGCAAGAGAAGAATATGAAATGACTCTGGATCAATTGACTTACAATGGCCTAATTGATCCTCATTCTGCGGCTGTTTGCACATCTGAGATTGCTGGAGAACATGAATTCAAGTTGTTGGAAAACTCTGAGCCATTGGTGCAACGGATGGACGAGTCAAAGCTTGAATTTGTTCAAAGACAGCGGTATACTCGACTCACTTTAACTGTACAGCTCAACAGTGTGCGATTGCAAGCATTGAGTGCAACAATTGAAGAGCAACTTTTGCGGAACCGCATCATCCTTGCCATTACTCCCCTTCTCTCTACCATTGAGCAGAGATACGCCATGTGTACACAAAATGCCGAGAATGTGACAAATAATGTCAAGGAAGAACTTGAAAAAATCGAACGATTAAAATCGGGAATCCCTGTTGCTCGTAAAATCAAACGTAGAGCCACGTTTCCCTCGGTTTTAAATGAACAAGTTTCACCAGAGTTTTTGGAACAACTGAAATCCTATTCTCCATTGGGAAACTCCACCAGTACATTGATAAATCCAACTACGCAACCTCCACCTTTATTTCCCCATGTGCCATCTACTGTACCATTGCCACTAGAAAAGAGTGGTGCTCTGCCCACTCCTGGAGATAGCATACGACGATCGCTGTTATTAACTCATCCAACACGAACAAAATCGCATGAGCTTGTACCACTCAACATATCCACATTAGAAAACATCCAAGTGCCGAATGATACGACTCGCTTGATCTGGACTCCACCTACTCCAGTTTCCGCTTTCGATAATACAGCCCTTTACTCCGATCCAACTCTACATGTTTCTTGTACAACTCCACCCATCACTAATACTCACACTGCAACAACATTGAGCGTAGATCAAACGTATTTCACACCTCCTCTCTTTGAGTTTGGATTTGATAGCATGTTCAAGGAAATTGATATTGGTCCACCACGTCGATCAACCATTCATGAATTTACAAAAGTAGTTGTGTTGAATACACTTGATATTGTACGGAAAGTGATTGAATGGATATAATGCATGACGGTGTCATTGTATCTCGACCACTGAATCACCTTTACACACACTCTGATCCAGATTATTAAATATATTGACTGAATAGTATTGGAGTTGTGACATGGGTTCTTTGCAACTCAATGATTGATATTAAATCTAATTAAAACTCGGTCCGATTTTTATCATGGGATTTATCAAAATGAACGAATGTCCATTTCTCAAAAAATAAACGTTTCCAGTTTGATTCTAATGACTACACTGGTTTTATCAAATAGTTACAGCCATACTTTGAAAAGCATTTCTATTTCAGTCGCTCTGTGACGATAAAAACAAATATTGGGTCATCAAACTTTATGGTTCTGAACCAATCAAAATAATACAAGTAGTATTAAATTAGTATATGCAAATGTTGAAAAGTTTACAACAAGCGCTAGTGGTTTAGTGGTAAAATTCATCGTTGCCATCGATGAGCCCCCGGTTCAATTCCGGGCTAGCGCATGTTTTTGTTTTTTATTACAGTTGGTGAGAATAGGGAATGTTTCTTTTGATTATATAAAGCTCGACTTTCATGCATTGCATAGTTGGTTAAGATACAGACTGTATATAAGTGGAATGCTGAATATCGTGTCAGAATACGACCCAATAAGAGATGCGTCAAGTATTTTACAACCGTATTCACGTAAAATAACACTTTTGTATTGATCTTGTAATGATTGTCTTGGAATAAACAATCGTTACATATTTGCTATTGGAAATGGATTATTTATTTTATTGAAACAGAAATGTCAACATTCACATTGTATTTTTGTACAAGAATGAGTATGAAGGAGAAAGACCTGTCAATTTTGTCAATGGGCACAGTATTGCCCAGTAAGATTGATCATCAAACATGAGATGGCTGTTTATTATATATTCCGACTTTGGTGATTCATTTTACGTGAATACGACTGTAATTGAGGAGAGCAGATCGTTCAACCAATTGACCATTTCAACAAGTCAGATTGTCGCTGAACTATACAAGGTACAAGTGATGAATGATCTTGCCATTCAAACCAGCAGACAATCCACCATATTGCAAAACAATATCACCAAACTCAACCACACTTTCGTGTGGTTGAAGAATTTTACGCAAGTGCTTCGCAAACACATAATACATACTGCGGTGATGGCTGCTGGTCGTTTCTTTTTCTCTCCGTCATCATGCCTTTTATCGCTAGCTGTGATGTAGTGATAGATCAATACACAATAATGCACAGCTGAATAGCAACTGTCACAGCATTTTAGCCTATCTATACATTCACGCCACCAAAGGTATATAAGCATGAGATAGTGTAACCCCATTCAATCATCCATAACTATAGCCCAATCTAGATTATAATATGAAATGCGAAATCATGGCTCTAACTATTGGTGCTGTTACGCTTGTAGCTTCTATTCCTTTAGCACTTACTGACAGTGTATCAAATATGCACACTGTTGAATCGCGGGAATTTGAGCATCACAGTTTACAACGACGTGATCCTTATTATGTACCCATTGGAATGGAAAGTCATGTTTACTATGTTTCTACTGCTATGAAACGAGGATTGTTTCCTACCGACTCCAATCGTGGGCACTTTGTGCAGCATTATCGTAAAAACTAGCAAGGAATACTGTTCTAGTTGATTTCAAATAAAGTAGATATAAACAATCATTTGATGAATCTACAGTCACATTCGTGCAAATGAAAACCAAGAGTACAAAATATACAATAAACAGCCATCTCATGTTTGATCAATCTTACTGTACAATATTGTTTCTAAACTCTGATTGATTAGGGGTTCTCTGCTCATTTCTGTATACACAACTGAACAAATGTTGCATTTTGATTTACATTTCTGTTTCAATACACTCCACATTCTCGACATTTTGTCAATCTACAATTTTGATTCGCTAAACGAATACTACAAGTAATAGAGTGATTGGCACGGAAACAATAGCTGCATTTTTGAGATATACAATCATTGTTAAACTAGATTGCAAACAGATCTGATATCAAGATACAACAGCTTGTTCAATGGCATGATCGTGTCGATTGTGTGTAAAACCAATATCTTGAATAAAAACAGTAGAGTCGTGATTGTAGACTACAAAACCAAAGTAAAACAATAATCATAAAACTATTGACAAAAAAGAAACGAGCTTAGCAGGGGTCGAACCTGCAACCTCCTGATTCGTAGTCAGACGCGCTATCCATTGCGCCACAAGCCCATGCATCTGTAAAGACCAAATTCGTATATGTTCCAACCACTCTATTACTTGTAATGTTTGTTTGACGAATCAAAATTGTAGATTGACAAAATGTCAAGAATGTGGAGTGTATTGAAACAGAAATGTAAATCAAAATGCAACATTTGTTCAGTTGTGTATACAGAAATGAGCAGAGAAAACCTAATCAATCAGAGTTTAGAAACAATATTGTACAGTAAGATTGATCAAACATGAGATGGCTGTTTATTGTATATTTTGTACTCTTGATGTTGCATTTGCACGAATGCGACTGTAGATTCATCAAATGATTTATTCGTGGCATTACGCCTATTTAAGCCATCGATTGCTAAATTCAGTCAACCATTCTGTAGTACCATTGTTTTGTGCAGGTTTCAGTCCCATAATCTTTGTCAAAAGCTGATATACTTGTATGTTTTCAAATGGATCTGTGATGCGATGAGTCAAAGTAGATTTAAACGCACTGCCGTGCCCAATAAACAAGGCTCGCATGTCTGGAAGCGAGTTGTTATATCCATGCATGCCTTTTGGAATCCAGACAGGTTGAGATGTTGAATTGTTGCTTTCTGGTACTACCATCCAGCCTATTTCAGGAACAACAATGATTTCACCAATACGGTCTGTTGCATTGTAGTTGTATTCACTTGGAATCTGAGACCGTACATAAGATTGAAAGTGGCCATTTTGACGAGCACCTTTTGCCAATGCATCCGAGATAGAGTCAAGTTCTATTCAAAAAGTAGTGTTACATTCTGTCTACATTCATATAAGCATAATTTACAATTCAATGTACAACGACTCACGATCTGGAGGAGGATATATATTGATGATTGGACCATCTACGATAACGCGACTTGTAGAGAAATCCACAAAATCATCAAGGTATACAATCTGATCTGGAAATGTATTCGCCATACCATGATCGCTTACAATCACAAGATTGATTGCGTTTTCAATATTTCTGTCTTGCAGCATTGCAAAAAACTTTCCCATAGTTGTATCGATTTGAATCAACGAGTTGTTTACTTCTTTGGAGTGAGTACCAAACATGTGACCAGCATGATCAACATCTTGAAAGTAGAGAGAAATAAATAACGGACGCTTTTTTTGTGGGAGATCAATCCATTTCATGACAGTAGATAACTTTTGGTCATCGGTTATGTTTGGACTGAATTTTACCCAATGATTTGGTCGGTATCCCTAAACCCATTATGAGATTCAAATATTAGTGATGGATTCGATGTTTAAATCATTAAAATCACCTACTCGAATCTCTGCTTCAGAACCAGGCCACATGCATGTCGCAGAAATCTTGCCTTGTCGACCTGCAGTAACCCAAATCTATAGACATGGCAATTATAATAAGTTAAATGCCAACAACTGCATAGCGAAATAATGAAATAGCATACCGGTTCTCCTTTTTTCCACCAATAGCCATCTCCATTATTTAATGGATCAGTGTATGAAAACGTATCATTTCTAACTGGATCGTAAAATATGTTACCGACAATTCCATGAGATTCGGGGTACAGTCCAGTGGCAATAGTGTAATGGTTTGAAAATGTGACGGACGGGAATGATGGTTGCATATACTTGGCTCGAACTCCACTTGAAGCTAAAGAATTGATTTGAATAGTGCGAATCAGATTTAGTATAAAGCTGGCAATTATCCAGTGTAGTCAGAGGTTTAAGCGATTTGAAATATCCATTTACCAATCTTGTTTAGATTTGGAGTCAGGCCTCTATCAAGGTAATCCGGCCGAAATCCATCAATTGAGATGAGAACTACTGTATTTTGAAACTGACTAGCATGATGTCCAAGACAATACCACATGGAATTCCTTGCTAGCAAAACCATGATGGTAAAAGCAATGACAGTTCCCAAGATAGTCCAGCAGACAATCGCCAGTTTTGAATGCACTTTATTTTTCCAGCATGGCATATACTTGGATAGAAAAAGGTTCTTTGAGCTTGTAGAGTCAATGTAATGGTAAGAGTAGGACTGTTTTTCATGACCATTGTAGGATTCGTGCATATTGTAGTTGGCATGTTTCTTGGCTAAATCATGGTGTTGTAAATGGTCATCTTTAAATAGTTTATTACATGTGTATGAACACAAAAGCATGAGTCAATCCCCTAATAACACTCGAGTGTATAAAAGTGTTTTAAAAGGCATGTGCCAATGATACAGTCAACTCAACCTACCATAGTCAGCAGTTCGAGGACTGTTTAAACCATGTTTATCAGCAGAATGCAAGACATTAGTGGACAAAGAAAGTGGTTCAGACAAGTCTTGATAAAGCGGTTGGTTGTCTTCTGAATAATGCTCTACATCCTTGTCAGCAAAAGAGTGGTAGTGATGCCTCATATGGACTGGAATGGCTAAAGTAAAAAGTAATTAGACTGAATCTAACAGTAAAAATTGGATGTAAAAGTATACCAACAATGAATCAATGCTCGAGTAGAATGGAGACGAGTGTTTATTTGTATTTCAACGACTCGATCTTGTCATATTTTGCAAACATTCTGTAGCATCAAGCAGATTGTAGTCTTCGGAAACGTGGATTCTGTTTGTGAAATTGCACGGATAGCTTTAGGTTAGCGTGCAGATTTCTATAAGCGAAAATATCAAGTTCGTGACTAAACAAGACTCGATGGCATTGTTATTGAATCAAGAGCAACACATCAGCTACTAAGCTGGCTGTATCAACAGGGCAGATTGTCACTGCAATACACAGAATACGGTCGATAGTTTCAAGACAACATTACCCACTACGCTTGTTGAATTCCATGTGAGTACTTGTACTCGGACAATCTCTTATTAACATTGACTGTAATCATTCTTTTCTGAGCTTAGCCTGTTGGTTAGGCTCTTGTCAATATGATGATGATATTGTAAAAGGTTCGATCTGTTCCAACGTCGTTTCTGTTGTAGGAATAACTGCCCTCTATTCTGCTTCAGTGTACATCATTGATGCAGTTGGTGTGATGGATATTTCTGCTCTTGAAAGACTTTGGGTTTATGCAGACAAGGATTGCCTCGAGCCATGTCTTGATCTGCTGTTGACTCACCATTCCAGTAACCGTTTTGCTGTCACTCAAACTAGCAATCAGAATCGCTTGTCATGATCATATTAGATATCTGTGCTCAGGCTTGGTGGTTTATGATCGGTTTGATAACTTTTAGAACCTGGCTCGAGATGTTGCCATTTGGTTTCTGTAAGGCCAAACCCATATCAATCGTCTCTCTATGTCTGAACCCCAGTCTGTATCCACGATGTTTATATGAATGACTGCCACTACTGTTGTAATTACAGTCTGGTTTTGAAGAGTACTTTCTGAGCTTGTCAAGTTGAGGACTGTCAAGCCATTTCTTCACCTGCCCTGTATGGTGAGAGACTTTCATTGTATTTCAGACATGCTGATCAAAATCTTACAATGGTTGCATGTAAAGGACAATGGAATATTTTACGACTGGTTGATATAGTAATATATTGAGCATCGATAATGCCCTGTTGAAAACTGAACTGCCATGTTACAGAGAATAATTGTCATGAATTGCAGTGGATAAGCTGGGCTATACAAATATACTGTGCATGCCAGCAATGTTCTATAATTCACTTGAGCAATAGTACTTTTATTGCTCAAGTATTATGGTATGTTGCTGATCTGCAGATCTGCCTGATTCTTCGTTGGCCTATTCTGTGAGGAATGCATGTGTACATGAAGGGTGTATGAAATGGAATTGATTTATAAAATGTAATAACTGGATCGAGTTAAATGGTATCAACAGTATTGATTATGGCATTGAGGTATCTTTTGTGAAGCATGACCAAGAAAAGAGAACAACCAAGTTATGCCTGATTGACATTTTGAAACGAATTGTTTATGGTTTGCAGCGAGTCTGAGTTGCCTCATTTTGTATTGAAATCAATCCAAACTCAAAATCCAAACTTTGACTAGTTTGTCGATTTGGTTCCATTTAAACGCTCAATATCTTCATATACTTGTCACTTCAACTCACTGTATTTTAGATCATACATCTCTATTTAGATTGCTTCTAACTGACATGTGTGATTCTGTTTCCATCGTTTCTGACTCTTCAAATCGCAGTCATGCTCCATTGCTCACCACTGCTACGTTTGCATCACTTCAGCCTGAAACAGCCGTCATGTTTCAATTGGTTCAAAATTCACTTGACCTTTTACTTTCAATTCCTGCCATCTATCGCTCTTCTAATATTCAGCTCGCCATTAGCAGTCTTGTTCTCGAGTTGGGTTCAAACAAAACTGCAGGTCAAACTTTAACACGCAATGAATCTGCTGAAAACATTCGTATAGGAACCATTGAGCGGCAGATCGTTGCTCTCTCCTATTCCCTTGAGCGTCAAGCCTCTATTATTCCAACCGTCTTGCAATCAGACAATGCATTTGATGTGGCTTCTCCAATCGACTCGGATGAAGATTGTTCTATGCTATTTACTGCCACATCACTCGCACACAAATCGTTGGATGTCGGAGATGATTCAGAGTTTGCCTTGGAGCCACAGAGGCTGGAATTGTACATACCCAATAGCTCTTTGAAGCGTAGATTTGCAAAGTATCAACGACGGAGGCAGGCCTCTAGAGCAGCGGAGCAATCTACTATTCCTTCAGTGTCAAGCTCACCATCAGTCTCTGCCACACCCATTTTGCTCAACAGCACTGTATCTGGGAATCGGAGCTTTGAAACCCAAACATCTATATTGGACTATACCCAAGATACGCTTGGTCAAAATACATCTCAAGGATTTTTGAAGCACCATGAGGACTCCCTTTCCTATACACATACTTTTGATTTCCCATTTCAGTACACATTGCGGCCAATCGACTCGGGGATTGGTGACGAGCAGACGCTGCTCATGGCAAACACATTTGACCTCTTGATACCAGACTCTGGTCTGACTCGGTCATATACTGTCTAATACAATACACATGTAGGCTTGATTAAAATACTTGTTGCAAGGTTTTGGCTCGCGCTCACTTGCAACTTGTCCAAAACTGTTACACTAAAGCATTCATGGCATGGTGTTGTATCAGCTGAGGTGCTGGATCATTTCAATCAGTAGCCATTGCCCAATCCTTTGTTAAAATCAAAACTTGTAAAAAACCTACACTATTGGATCTGGTCTCAGATTACACTAGTGCTAATAAACTGAATCGATAAGCAACAATACATTCCTAAACTGACGATTATTTCTCAATGACTTGAAATCTCCAGAAATCAACCTGAACATCAACAGACTTTTTCTTGTGAAACTTGTACGAAGCATCAATATTGTATCGCAGCTCAGCAATCACTTGGCCCTCGAGATTCCACTCTCTTGCTTTTTTGAGTATATACTAGATACAGTTAAAATAAACCCATCACTGTAAGTTGGGATCAAGACAGTATTGTAGCGAATATATAAACATGGCTTACATCTCTAGTGCTCGTTTTATGTAGACTGTAAATGGCATTGCGAGCGATTTTAGAAGCAGCTTGCAAGAAAACCATATCAATTCCTTTATTCCCTTTGGTTCCAAACGGCGGATTCATCAGAACCGTATTGGCCATCAACCCTCTTGATTCCATACCCTCCAGTAGACATCTAACATTCATGTGAATCAAATCTACATCGACCTCCAATGTATCGCAATTCTCTTGTGCTTGATGTAGAGCATCCAGATCAATGTCGATACCAATAGTGTAGGCTGCACCCATGATTCCTGCAGCACATGTCAGCATCCCACACCCAACACCTAAATCTACTATCGATTGATCGACAATGTCGTTGAATGTGGTTGCAGCAGTGTAAATCATACTTGCAGCCAAGTGGGGTGTGGTTGGGTATTGTTCCAAGTGAACCTTTGGGTCATTGAACTTTGAAACCTGTGACAGTTCACCTACATGTAATGTACATGTAAATGGATTGAATGGCTCGTTTTATAAATCATACATGCTGTCATGAGAGGTTCAATCCATTGGGCTTACTTTCCAGCTGCTTCAACTTCATTGCTCTGTGTTCACGTAAAATAAATCACTAAATAAAAATGCCAAAATACATAAACACTCATGATAATTTACATCAAATTTACCGAGTATTAATTGTGGAATCAAACTCAATATCTGGATTGTATTGTAGTCGTTGTGTATTGAAACATTCAATTCCCCATAGCAGCAAATATTCAACTATTGTCTATTCCAGAGCAAAACAGACAAGTGCCAATGTTCCATTTTTACGTGAACATGGCAGTGAATGCATTGGATACAAAAGTGCTCGAGTTTCTAAACCTTGAAATTCAATGGATTGACTGAAATGCAATCCACATTGAATCACACTGAATGATAAAGCCATACATTGAGCTCAATTCAAATCATCAACTAAAGCTGGACTAGCAATAAATAGAATAGGTAAAATACTAAATATATTTAAATTGTTACTGCAGTCAACCCTAGATTGCAATATTATCGACTGGTTAGTCAAGCCTCAACGAGATAAGACTTTGCATGATGGTGGTAACTTTAGATTTGTCTTTTGCTCTTTTTATGATAGGGTCGACATTTTCATCCGGAAATATGCTTTGTATCCATTCAATCACCAAATTAGCATCCTTGGAACTCCTATACACGTTTGTAAGCACCTCCTCTATAGTATCCAGTGTCACTTGAATATCCCGAAATTGCATACGATCTAAAGTTTTTTTGAGCATATCCATCTGCCCGCATTTACTATACGTGATTAATACCTTTTTATATGCTTTTGATGTAATGGTATAGGAAACAATAAAGAGGTAATCCAACAAAACTTCTGCAGAGGACGGATCATTCAGAGCGCAGTACCCATGAACAAGATGTGATAAAATGGGATTTTCGTCAATATTAAATGGTCTAATAGCCGCTTGGATACTCTTGATATCTTCCCGATGATTTAATGGTCCATGCATACGAGCCAATGCAAAGGCGATTTTTGATTTAAACGAATTGATTGTAGACAGGTGAGAAAACTCTTTCCATGCATTGTATCTTTGACCTAATCCAGCATAAGCTTCAATGGCAATCACAGTTGCAGAAGAGGTAGGTTGACGATTTACTTTTTTTGCCGAGTTTAAATACTCCAACGCCTGTTCAAATTCTTCACGATAAACACATCCAGCTGCTTGCATCTCATACATGTCTACAGACTTTTGTAATCCAAGTGCGCTATGCTCTTGGATATAGGCATCGACTTGATCGTGTCTGTTTCGTGCAAAATGAAACTTGCAAAGTGTTGTGTAAATATGCGTATCTCCTTCGAGTCCAGCCTGCTTTAGTTCCTTCATTACGTCAATAATGGCCTTTTCACTACCAGTTCTTGCCAGTGCACTTATAAGCTTATTGTAGGGTCGAGCAGTAGGATTAAGTGTCAAGAGTCGATTAAAACAATCTCTTCCAAGAGATGTTTTACCTGCAAGCATATAACCATGCATAAGACGCTCTTGAACGTATTCACTTTTATCTACATCAATGCCAATACTTTGCATTTTTTTGACAGTTTCAAGCATGCCAGGAAGATTTGTATTTCGTGAATGAATCTTGAGGATCTGGCGATAAAGAGAACCGCTTGGCTGGATATTGAATGAGACCATAAGGTTGAACATTTCCAATGCCCGAGCGGATCGGTGTTGAAACTGTGCTCCACCCAAAATAGGAGGATTGTTGGTGATCAATGCTTGGATAAGAACGTTAAAGGACGCAGATGGAAGACTGGCCAAGTGATCTGGATTGTTCAACTCGAGGTAAGTAAATAAGTTATAGGCTGTTTGTAGTTGGCGCTGACCAATTAGTTTATAAATGTTGGATGCAGTTGCTGGAATTTGGGTATGTACAGATGAACTGGTGCTGTATGATTGGCAATGCGGATACAACTGAGTAAACAATTTGCAGAATGACTGATTGGGTTTACATTGAGTATTGATTGCAAGTCTTGGACTGGATTGGATCAAACGGCAGGAAATAGCAATATTGAAATAATGTGTTGGGGTGATATTTGATAGCAAGCTGTTGTATCTGTATATCAATGACATGTCTGCGTCCAATTATGATAGATATTGTAATTCGATACAAAGATATCCAACGACACCTTTTTATTTTTATTACGATTAGTGACAATGAGATGAGAACAAGGAAAAATGCTTTTTCGGTTAAAAACTCGACTTTATGATTTAGAAAATTCTGATAGCATCAAGCAGACTGTTGTTTAAAAATGTGAGTTCTCTTTGTATAGTTGGACAATCGTTTTATGTTATCGTATAGACTCTATATAGACGAAACGCTGAATATTGTATCAAAACAACACTAAATGAGCGACATTCTTTTATATTGAATCAAGAGCAGCACATTGCTCAAGTCAGATTGTCGCCATAATACGATCAATGTTCTTGCCATTCAAATCAACACTGCCGATATCTGAAAACATCGCATTACTGACATTCATTTTCATTCTCATCCTTTTTGTCGCTAACTGGAAGACTAGACTGACAAATTTCAAGTACTTTCCATACCAAAGCATCACCAAATTTGTATTTCAATCCAGTCAAATAATGAAACTGAAAACGCGAATGCAAATAGTTCATTCTTCATATTCTCTGCAAGCATGTAGCTAGATTTTGTTTGCAACTCAAGTAGCTGGTCTGTAAGCTAACCCTTGTGCTCAACAGCAACAGTAGCAAGTGCTCCGTTTTTGAATACAGTCTTGAACTGTTCTGGAATGGCTCGTTCCACATACTCGCCATCAGCACCTTGAATAAGAACATTCATTTCTGAACTTTTGGCAGTAAAGATCTCTGCATCTTCAGATTCCTTGGAGAGGTATACTTGGAATCCATCCGTCTTATCAACGACAAGAATGGGAGCTTTTCCTGTGATCTGCACTTGCACAGACTTGCTATTGATAATGTCGACAGTAGAAAGAACGTTTTCAAGAACAACACCGGTTTTTTTGCATCCATCTAGATGGGCAACATTTATAGCAAAAAAACATGTCAGTAAAAGTATGGCATATCAAGATTAAAAGATAGACTTACCAACAGTAACAGCATTGGCTTTTCCCTTGATTTGGATAGTCGAGTCATGACAGTTGTAGATGTATACTACATGCTGGAGTTCAACGCCCTCAATCACAAGATTTTTTTGGCCAATTTGGTTTTCCTACAACAACACCAAAGTTTAAAATACATTCATAGAATATCCAAGACAATGCACAGATTCCTTACAACAATCCACTTTTTGCCTTCGAGAGCAAGTTTAGCGGGACCACGGATGGGTCCTGTGCTGCTCACACCGCTGAATGTAGCAGAGCGAGCTACCAATTAATAAATGCAAGTTAAAAGATTGAATCTAGCCTACAAACAAAATCTGCAAGCAGTCGTATCGATATAAAACATACTGGCATGGGTATCTGATGCTTTGACTACGCTGGTAGCACGCAGTTCTGGGTTTTTATGGGTCATTTCAGCCTTGTCGACCTTGCGTAAACCAGCAGTAACATTTCCCTTGTTAATGGCACTAAACAGCGAGCTTGTTGCACCCGAAGAGGCTACTTTGGATTCTTTTGGAGCGAATGCTTCAAGCTGGGCTGAAGTGGGCATAGGAGGAGGCGGAGGAGCAGCCGCTGCAGAACTGGCAGGAACTAGAGCAGATTTATTCGTCAGATTATAATTACACGACCATACAACTCGCAAGCATCAGCAATCTACAGATTCGAGTCTACTTACCAGCTGCAGACTTTGCATCTCCACCACGAGGATTCCAGGCCAGACCAGTGGTGTGCCATTGCTTGACATACGCACCAAGTTCAGTAATAAATCCAACGTATGCTGAAACCCATTCAACATGAGTCTTGTCTCTAATATGCAATTTGAACCATTGCAATGATTAGACTAGATTCATAAAGTCCATTACTGAATCAACCTACTTGTCCTTGTTTTCTTTAATGACTCTGTTGGCATAGAATTGAGCAGCATCCTTGAGCTCGTTGATGTATGGAGCTGGAGCCGGTTCCTAATTTAACAAAAAGCTTAGTATCGAGCACACATCAGCCCATGAGTATCCACATCAGCCCCTAATAATTGACCGTAAACACTCACCACAACAACCCAGCCAAGTGCACCAATACCATCAGCAACAGTAGAAAGATGGAAGAATAGAGGAGAGGGTCTGTTTTTGTCCTTGAGTTCAGTGACCTTGGCAAGAGATTGCTGGAGAGGCTTGATAAGCTCCTGTGTGGTAGCCGTATCGGGTTTCTTTGACAAGGATGCCACTTGAATCAAATGACGTTGAGCCTTGGTAGCATCACTGACCACTTGGGACTACAAATGTTAAAACATGTTAATATTGCATTGTGCATCTATCCTAGTAGCAAGATTTACTGGTTTCAAATACATGGCTCGAGCTACTAATATGACCCTGTGTAGATATTGAACAATATCTTGATATCGGTCTACTAGTCACAGTATCAGCCAGTAACAAATCAACCTATCGATACCTGTTCATGGACAATACCGCCAAGGGTTTTACTGAGAGCCAGAAAGGTCTTGAACTGACCGTTCAGGAGCGTGTCGAACGCAGTCAGAGCAGGCGATAGTCCAGTGCTATCAGTAGTGGCAGCAGATGTAGTGGTGCAATCTTGAGTATTAATCTTGGCAAGAGTTTCTAGACGCAGTGCAGCAGCCTCCAAACGCTGAATGACAGCAGAGAGTTGAGAGTCGGCAGACATGATAGCGTTGATTTGTAGCCGTATTCACGTAAAATAGAACACTTTTATATCTTGCAATGACTGCCTTTTGGCTCAAAATAAAAATCAGTCAACTATCCCGTTACGCTTTCCTATTAGAAACCGGCTTTAATCGGTAAATTTGCAGCCTTGTCAAGTTTACAAATAATGCTGTCCAGTAAACTGACGCCAACCATTTCGTGGACTGTTTATTACTCTCTTATTTAGTGTTCCATTTTACGTGAATACGGTGGCAAATGGACAGAGTGAACAATAGAAACTGCAATGCATAGCTTGACTAGATTTAACCATTTGATTATAACTGCCACTCTGATTATAAATGTTTAATGGTTGAGCAGCAGATTGGCTAGCTGTATATCATATCTTGGTGATGCCACCATATAGAGCCGATTTAGAATCCAAGAAATCACAAACTACAATTATATGGAGAGCTCAATTCAATAAAGATATCACTTTTTACCATACTAGTTTTCCACTGCTGTATTAAGATGGTCGTTTGTATTTGAAAAGTAGGTGTGGAGATTTTTCAATCCGTCCATTATTCGTTTTTTGACGTGGATTCTTGGCGTGGAAATATCGTGGCATGTTATCTATTGGACAGTTGGTCAAAAACATCCTTTGCCAAGAAATATATGGTCGTGCCATTGATATTTTCTTTATACCATTTTACCAAAGTTACTCAATTTATCTCATCTTGCAATCGCTCTTTTAAAGACTCATCTGCAGATACAACTACATTTCTGCTAATCTGCTTTATACCCACTCTTCACACACAAACTAGTTTTAGTTTTTGTCAGGATAACAAACACTTTGAAAGCTTCAGTCTGCTGCTCCATCTAGTATACTCGAGCCAGTATATTCTGCCTACTTCCATCAAAGAGCTTTAGTAGACACAATCCATAGACTATTGAGCAGCCTTGTCAATTTATCGGCACGAAAAGTTTAATCTGCTGTAACCAGAGTTCCATATCTACAAAATCGTCAATTGTCATTTTAAATCAGCTTATCTTCCTTATAGCAGCAACACACTATCTATCACGTCAAACAGATATCAGCAAACGTGTATATTGTTTTTTCAACTGCTCTAGATTCTTCAGCTTTAAAATATTCTTCAATATATCAACGATTTGGTACAGAATTCTCGCTTACTCACAGGTTTAGATTTTATAATACTTGCTGATAAAATTGACAGCATTCGACACGAACCTGAATCAAAACCTTTTTTCGAGTGCTCAGTATTAGCATTGCCTGCTCCAATTTCACCCATTTCACCAACTCCACCTAGCCCGCCTCGTTCACCGAGCAATCAACCTTTGAATCCTCGCTGTGATTTTCAACTACCTGTAATGTTGGACTTTCCAGTCGTGGTTATAACGTCCGCCACTGATGCCTCTTCTCCAATATCCATGACAAATGACGACGCGTCTTTGGATATAGCACACAGGTTGCCTATTGTTACAGATACAACACAACAACCTGATGAGTCCACGACACCTTGCAAACCGAGACAGTTGATATGCAATCCCTCCAATGCAGAGCAAGTTACAAACGATACGGATGCGAACAATGCTCAACATAGCAAATTCGACGGAATAATCATGAATAGCATTTTTTCCAAACGACAGGAAATGACAGACGTTTCTCCTGAAGCAGAGGAGGAGCGGCGGAGACGGATGGGAGCAATGATTCGGTCTTCGCGCAAGTACAATCGAATGAATGTCAGCATGGTAAACCAGCATTTTGAAGCCGACAAGGATGGAAATATTGGTATTGAGGATTTTATTGCACAAATTGCACCACAAGAATGTCTTGCAGCTGCTGGGTATTCATACGGTGCTGGTGAAATCCCCACCACAACTTCGGAACCAGATCCGCGACCTACATTGCCTGCCAATGTCGACACGACCCCAAGCAACAAATATTTAAATCCAACTCTCAATGTAATTCATACATCGCATCCAGGATACTTTAGCAGCAAAATTGGTGGTATGCTTGAAATTCCTGACAAGCTATTCGGACGCCGTGAAACACATACAAACATCACAGAATGCAAGTCCACTCTACACGAAGAAAAATTAGAAAGTGCTGATGATGCCATGTCATCCAATAATACTTTGGCTTCTAAAACTTGTGGAAATCCACATCACTCTGCGCTTGTTCGACCTGGTTTATCCTCTACACGTACACATGCTCAACGTCCAGAAACTGCCACTGGAACTGTGCGATATCGAGGCACAGGAAAAAGACAAGTGGCATTTTTAAATGATGTAGTTCTTTTTGAAGGACGTTTGTATCCTTGTGGAAGTCCAAGTTGTACATGCTCAATCGATGTTGCATATGATAAAAAATCCAAACTTTCAATCAAAAAGTTTTTAAACAAAATGTTTCAACATCGTACATCTACCAACACAATTACCGAGTCTGGATCACCTTGGCTTTCTGCCACGTCTGTGTCGTCCATTTCGCATGATACCACTAAAGCAGTCTCTACTTCTCGATCGTCGTCAACAGTACAAACCAGCACGAGTGATGTGGCTATCGAGGAGATTGATAATATAGAACCTAAAGACGAAGAGCACGACGAAGTGTTTTCAAAAACCAAACCCATTCATTTGGCAAAGGCTGACGCGGTAGAAGAGCAACCACATGGTGAAGCATCTTTCCACCGTAAAACGACTCTGACAGATATCTGTCCATATGCCATTGACAGAACAAACCGTGCTGAAAATCGTCGATCACCCTTTGGTGTGATTGGACTGTCTGTTCCATCCCTTGCAGCGTCTCAATCGCTTGAATCTGGACTCGACGTGTCATTTGTTGAAAAATCCCGCTGCAGTATCCTGAACTGCCCCGAGTCCATACATGGCCCACATATGCATGCTCCGCTTCAAGATAACTGGTTTGGTGGAAAAAAACTTCGAAAAGATGGTCAAGAAAAGATTATTTTGCGTGGTTTGGTTCTTCGAGTCCCTCCCAGGTTTACATCAGTAAGTGAAGGACGAATGTGGTCTCGCGAGCACGAGTCTTCTAATCATGCTTTGTTTGCAACGAGTCAGCCATTTACACCCACTCAACCACATAATCCTCAAGAGCGCGAGGTTAGTATCGATTGTCACAACAGCCTTGATATAGTCATGGTTCCTGAAACTCGTAGAGCTGTATCCGAGTCAAAAAAAAACGCATCCAATATATCCATAAAAAAGCCTAGACGTATACGAATATGGAAAAATATTCGCAACTTGTTGCTACGATTGGCTCCTACAACGGTCTAACCCAATGTGTTTTTGTTGGACATACTTGTCTCTGGATGCTTTTACAAATCGGCCTACTTGTGTGATATAGTTTAGATGTGGGTTAAAAGATTGAATTGTCAATACTCGATATCAACAGATGTATCTTGATTCATTCAAGATCAAGGATTGTTTCTTTGACCTCAAATTTACACCTGTTATACCCCATAAATGTAGTCTTTGAAATTTCTAAATCTACTCGTCTCATTCATATAACCCCCTGTCATGTTCACGCTTATCTAAACTCTCCAAAATAATAAAGCTACTCGGCTTGAGAATAGATCAATTATATACTTTAAAATAGTAGTGTTGTTGGTCCAAAAGGTACATACAGTCAAGACTGATCAAAATCTGAAACTAATGAAACTAAAAATGGCAAATGCACTTGAAAGTACAGATTTGACTGAAACAACATACTTGTTTTACTTGAATAAAGCAGATTTTAAATGGCAATTGCATGGGTCACTCATGCATTTAAACTGGCTTTGGACAGCGATATCAGCTTGCGTGCAGTTTCCTTATTGCGTGAGATAGCACGGTCTACTTGATTTCGCGACGCGGCATCTCGAAACTGCATTGCAAGCTTTTGCAGCCTGTTCCATCAATATTTTCAATACAAAGATGGTATTGTTTAGCACATAAAATTATAAAAGCTACAATCAGGATAGTCTAGCATTAATATATTTACTTACGTGTTGTTTTTAGTCATGGCGCGAGCAAATGCTTGCTCCGCATCAGTACCGGTTGAGGTGATAGACTTTTGATGGTCTAGTTTTAGTTCCAATAGAGTATGATTGGACTCAAGCATCTCGGCCAATGCTCGCATCTATACATGATTAAATTAGATTTGAATCAAAAACGGCAGCAGCACGATTTCTCAAAGTATTTAATGCAATTTACTACAAGCACTTACACCAGCGGGTCCAATATTGTTGCCAGTTAGATCAACAGATTCAATACCGGTGTTTTTTGCAAGACCTCGTGCAATATCAATGGCAGACTGATTAATAATCTTGGAGTTGCTCATAACAAGGGATTTGAGATGTGTGTTTTGTTTGAGAGCTTCACCAAGCACACATGCATGCTCTACCGTAAAGCAGTTACAGTCTTTAATATCCATTTGAGTCATGAGTGGATCATTGGCATTGATCAGTGCTAGGGAATGCAGAATCTCATCCAAAATAGGGTTTGTGGCACGTACAGCTGCAGTAATGGCCGAGGTAGGAACTGGAGGACCGTGTTCAGCAGATCTAGCAGTTGGTGCAGCCAAAACAGGCGTGGAACCAAAAGATGCATTGCGATAGATAGATGAGTAGCGAGGTTCATTTGATGAAAGATCGGCTGTCGATCCAGCAGTGCTTTTTGAAAGAGCTGCAGTGGTAGAATCAGACACTTTACTAACATCTTCCTTTGGGTTAAAAGCATCAGTTTTCTCAGATTTTGCAGTAACAGTTTCAACTGGATCTACTTTGGTTTCAGCAATCGATATGGTTGCTTTTTTCTCGACAGTAGGTTCCTCAGATTTTGTAGTAACAGTTTCAACTGGATCTACTTTGGTTTCAGCGATCAATATGGTTGCTTTTTTCTCGACAGTAGTTTCCTCAGATTTTGCAGTAACAGTTTCAACTGGATCTACTTTGGTTTCAGCAATCGATGGGGTTGCTTTTTTCTCGACAGTAGCTTCCTCAGATTTTGCAGTAACAGTTTCAACTGGATCTACTTTGGTTTCAGCGATCGATATGGTTGCTTTTTTCTCGACAGTAGCTTCCTCAGATTTTCCAAATTCATGTTTTTCATCAAGTGTATCTTTGGATTCTACATCCAGTTTCGCAACCGATTTTTCAGGTTTAATTTCCGCACTTTCAGTGGTAGATGCAGTCTTGACATCCTCAGTAACATGTTTAGAAGAGTTTGTAGACACATTAGTAGAGTCTTGTTTTAAACTAGCAGTAGATTCACTAGTTTTGACATGATTAGCTTTGTCAGAGATGGATTGCTCGTTCACATCATGAAGCGGGTGGGATTGGTGATTGTCGTCTGTAGTGGGTAAAATGGGAGTTTTCTCACTAGTAGATTCCATCTACAAAGCAATAAAAATAGTCAGTATCTATCAAAGCTTGACAACATGCTTATACGAACTCTAACACGCTTTTTGCATAGATCCGCAAATGTTAGGCGAGTGATTGACTCGCATCTATTATAGAGCAATGATTCCATTTGGGATTGATCGTAGTACTTGTGAAAGCATGTACACAAGGTCGACTCATGCAAATGCGAGTTGAATTACCTTGGGTTCTGTAGCAGCAATGGTAGTCTTTACGCTGTCAGTACTGACAGGATCAGTAGGACTGGTGACGGGAGTGACCAATGAGGTAATTTGACTCGCCTGCTTTTCAGTACTTGGCATCGTAGTGCTGGATCTTACTGTCAGGGGTGAAGCGGACTGTAGAAAATCAAGCACCCCAATGAGCGAGATTGCCACATCAAATGTTGAGCGAATAACCAGTAAGCCACCCCATATGAAGGTAAATAAAACAGAGTTAGCCAGCAGTCAAACAGCAGATTTACAAGAAATCCAGCCGATGCTCATCCAACTGTCTGAGCAGATTACTGACGAATGCATCGATATGGCTGGTGGTGGCAGTGTTTAAATCCTTCAGAATTGCAATCATGGCATGCAGCACCAACAACACAGTTGCAATAAAACGCTCCTTTATTTCGGGTACTAACCTTGTCAGTTTCCTGTTTGGTATGATTAACTAGACAGGTGTCGGTCATCTCAATGCTATCACCGGTAGGACTTGGAGTTTTCATTGCTTTGAAAAATCAACAGCAGCATTATAACAGGTATGAAAACATGTAGCAAGTCATGATAGTCGGAACATTCAGTCAGTAATCTTTAGTAGTAAGCCAACGATAACTAGAAACAACACTCACAGTATTCGATGCAGTAGATTTGGTCAAGTTGAAACTCGAGCTGCCGTTCCGTTCAACCAACGCGTTTGTTAATTCCAGCCGCATTCAATGTCATTGTATTGACGAGTGAAATGGATATTCACTGCGCTTCTTGCTGAAAATCAACTTGGATAAAATACCCATCGTACAAAATCAAATTGTGATTGAAACTAGAATTGTTCTCTTTTGACATTGTACAATCACCAGATTTTGTTTTCAGTTTGGGTAAAAAGTGCATTGAAAATTGACTGAAACTGCAGTGTCAACATTTGTTCAGTCTTTTACACAAAAATGAGCACAACCAGTCAACTATCGAGTTGAAAAAACAATCTTGTTTACTAAATTACCATTCCATTAGACTGGCTGTTTACTAACCCTCAGTTTTCTTGGTGTTCTATTCTATGTGAGTGAAGCTGCAACGCGTTGGAGTGGATAGATCCACACATGATTGAATGAGGGGCTTCATATTGTTCTCTGATACAATCCACTCAACCAATCAGTACTTGAAACTTTTTATTTTGTCAATTTGATGCGTAGATCTATAACTCTTATTCAATCTTTTTCTTGTCACTGGTCTTTTGATCCTTTGAAATCACTCCTTTTAGCTTCGAGTCATATACAGGGTGTCCAACAACAAGTGAAGCAACAATAATCACATGACATAATGCGAGTGTTCCAGAACTCAGATGAGAAGATGGATATACATTCCACGCCCATTCAATCAGGAAAAACACTGCAAGTTTAGCTCGTATATCGATACCACTCCGCCAAAGAAGATACGGCAAAGTAAAAAAATACCAATTGTAGAATTGGTAGTGAAGTGATCGTGCAAACACAATCCCAATCAAATTGCATGAAAAAAGAATCAAGATGGTGTCATCAGGTGATATTGGATAGTCCACTTCGTCCTCGGGATGTTGATGAGATATACCCACATCATCTTTAAGCTCATTAACCATATCGGACAAGAAATCAAGAAATTTAAAGTACTTGTGTGGAGCGTGATAGTATCGTGGAATATGACGTCTCCAAACAACCGCACTAAAGAGAACAAGTGTGGCAATCTGCATAACAAGCAAAGCTAGTGCAAATTCTTTGCTAACAAAGATTTCTTCTGGAACAAATCGCCAGTTCACCGTCCATTGATGCAAAAACTGTCGTCCAAAGTCAAATGCTCTAGTCACGTAAGAATGCGGAGCTGTATATATGAATGGCGCAGCAATAATCACCTACATAAATAATATTCAACAAAATCATTAAAAATATAATAATTATATTGGAGCAATCCTTTTACAGTCATATTCACGTAAATGAAACACAGAATGCCTAGACAGTTACTCCACAACATTGTTTTGAACTCTGTGATTGGCAGGGAAATATCAGTTGCATTCCTACAATCCCTGTTCTCTTGAACTAGAACGCAAATGCATCTGCGAAATTCTAGGATACAACAAAAGAGGTTGATGACAGTCGAACCCAGTATCTGGATTATAGTGAATGAATCTGGTGATCGTACAATACATGATCATGTCAAGAATGGATTTCAGTTCAAAATCATAGTTTGATTGTAAGAATCATATGAATGTTGTGGAGAATTGAAAACGTCTATTCAAGTCAATTTGTAGTAGAAAAACGCAACAAGTATTTATCACTATTCCCTACTTTGAAGTAGAGACAGTCAATGCAAGTGTTTCACTTGACGTGAATATGATTGTAAAAATGGGAATACCATTTACCTGAGTAATAGCCACTAGTCCGGCATTCATAATCGAACGCATAATTCCAGCATTAAACAAAAACACCCATGCAAATCCTGGAGCAAAAAGAAGAATATTCATCTTGATTGATAATGCAAGACTAGATTGCAAAATAAATGCATGGGTCAGAATTACAAATTGTTCAAATAACACAACCCACAACATCATAGATTACCTAAACCAAATAGAGGCTCGTTCAAACTGTCGTTTTGTCAGTGCAAGAATACTGCTGAACATAAACATCATAGCGATTGGATCATTGAAAAGACGCAGCACGTAAATCGAGTGATTTCTTCGCGACAACATGAGAAGTGGAATGGCCCAAAATGGAAACTACAAAGCAGTAAAACAATAAGTGTGATTAGTTTATAAAATTCAGCAGATCAGCAGACGATACCCACATTAACTACTTACAATTCGAGATCGGCGATAAATCAAGACTACCAGAAAGAATGTGACAAGATAGACAAGAGCGAAAATGAATTGTGCAATGAAAATGTATTGGCCGCCTGCAGTGATCATGTATAGGAATGAATAGACATAAAGAAAGCCAGCAGGATATCTGCAAATAACCAACACGATTGGTGCAAAACATAATTCAACATATAATTGATTTAGTATTGATAATCAGTACTGAATTTACCAAATCTCAATTTACTTACACCAATGGTCCAGTATCTCCACCAAGATTCTTATAATCCAGCTCACCATCCATGAAACTAGATACTTGCTGCATGTAAGTTTGCCAATCTATTTCTGTATCTAAAAACATGGCAATCCAATCAATTAATAAACATTCAAAACCATCCATCAAGTTTAATTCGCATCAATTCGTAGTTTATATTTGATGCAAGCATTTTGGCACTCGCTGCCATCAAATGTGGCGTTGCCGCTTCATGTCGATCTACTGACAATTATCTGCTACATCGATATGAAAGTACAAATAGATTCTTGTAGTGGAATCAACTTACACTTGACTCTAGCAATAATAGCCATTGTAAGCAGAGCTTCTCCAACCAGCAGTGACAGCAGGAACAGCGACACTATGCCCTTTGCAGACAGATTGCGTTTGATCCACTTCCATGCAGTCTCTGGCTCTTTTTCTGCAGAAGAGTTCTTTGCAGTATCACAATCCTTGTTGCTGCCTTTGGAATCGTGGCTTGTTTGATGTCCAGCGTCATGGTCATCCTGTGAATTGTCATGACGTTTGAATGGATTGCTTGTCTTCATCTTCTCAAACAGTTCCTTGGCTTTGATCATCTGGATAATCGGCTCTACAACTTTGTCCTGTATGAGTTTGGAATGCCAAGTTAAACACTGCAGTTTACAACTGTGTTCACGTAGAATGAATTATTAAATGTTCAACTAGAATGTAAATGAATCTAAAATTAGGTTACAAAATGGAGTTTGAAACAGTTGAATTGCAGTGAGTCTGATGATCGTACAATAACAAGTCAATCTCTTCAAATTATAGTTTGATTTTATTATAAAATCAAACTTGTGTTCAAACTTTTATTGTAAAGTAAAATAGAAACAATTATTGAAATCCAAGTGTTTCGTTTTACGTGAATATGACTGCAAATAAGTCTGTCTTGATCATTCATTCATACGATCTCTTTCAATTTGATGAATCAGAATTTGTGTTTGTTCAATCGAAGCCATTGTAAGAGATTTCATCGTTTCTATATCAAACAATGTCGAGCCACCATCCATTGCTTTGTTGGTGTCATTCATACCACTTTGCATTTCCATTTGAGGATAATCGTAATCCATTGTCACTACATCAAGATCTGGACACTTTTCATCGCATTGTGCCGCTGATCGAATGGTTTCTGCAGTAGAAATAATGGATCGACGTGTTAAATCTCGCATGTATGCAAGATCATGACTTAGTGATTCCATCATATCTGATTTTGCAGAAAGATCAATTTTTGAAAGAATTGATTGTTGTCTTGGCCTTGATTTCTCAAAACCATCTGTAATAATAGACAAGTTTGATTTCAAATTCGTATGATCACTCTCGCATTTATCCTTTTCCGATCCAAGCCCTGTTAAGCTAGAGGTTTTCTTGGCTAAAAATGGCCTGCTTTTCAAATCTGTTGCTGAGCTAGATTCTGATTGGTATATCCATGAATGTGTAAAAGGAGGTTGTGCTGCCATTTTAATAGCTTCAGCAGTAGTTTGTAAGGAATGTTTTGTCAGCATGCGAATATGCTCCATATCTTTGGATAAATAATCGTGACCATCTTTGTTGGGTTCAATTTCAACAGTCGAATCACCAAGCAGCAACCGATTAATATTTGCTTCCAATGATGAAAATTCAAATGCTGCCTTATCTTTGATAATTGTCATTGCGGAGCTTGAGTTTGATTGAACATTATATGAGTCTGTTCCATTCAGACGATATAGGTTAGAAAGTGTTTGAGCAGTTTGAGCAAATGCTTTTTTAGACATCAGCTTCATGTGTGCAAGTTCTGATTCAAACTCTTGCGCGCGCTGTTCTAGTCTTTGGTCTTTCTCAGTGTCAGCCAGGAAAGATTCAGATTGGCTGTTTCCAAACTTTTCAAAATCAATGTATGAAGCGTTTTGAATGGATTGTTGTGTCAAGTGATCTGATTTAACAGACTCTTGATCTAAATGTGGAGCAGCTGAGGATAGAGTTGGTGAGTTTGTTGGATACGTAAAAAAAGTGTTGGTTTGAGCATCTTTCATTGGCAATAGATCCAGCTGAACTGCCTTGACACTTGAAGTAGGTAAGCTAGCAGTCTGTGAAGAGTAGACTGTTTTGTCTTGGAGGCGTGACATTAGCCATTGATTTGCATTCAAAACAGAATTCTGATACTTTGTATCGTCGTGTTTGCACAGTAAAACAAGTTCATGTACCAAATCCAAAATATGCTCTACAAATTCAACAAACACTCGAGGTTTCAGTGCGTGTTGCTGTAAGGGCACAATGCATGCATGTAAAGTGGCATGGAATTCAGTTAAACCAGCATGTACTCGATTTAAATGGGTATGTGAAATATCAATCATTTCCTTGGAATGGATGTTGCAATTGCAATTGCGATCGCAAATGGCATTTTCAAATTGTTTCACAATTTCGGTTTGAGATTCGCAGTTGACCTGTTTAGGTTGCAAGTGACAAGATTGCTTTAGTCTATAAAATGAACTTTGCAATTTTTTACGATTGGTGACACCTTGATGTAGCTCCTGACCAACATTCTGAATATACTGTTGTATTTCAGATTGTGAATCAGCAAGCATGGTTTGCATGTTCTGAATATTTTCCACAATGTCACGCTGACTGACTTGTACATCGCTACGAAGAGAATCAACACCATTCTTCATTACCTGCTCAATTTTCAGTAATTTAGACTGAAGCTGAACAACTTGACGATTAGCTTTTTCAAGTTGATCGCTTAATCCAGCAATCTTCACGTCGCGATCGTGTGTTTCTTGCTTGATTCTTTCTGCAAAATTTGGCTTTTGTAAAACTTGTAATTCTTGTCTCATGTGTTCATATGCTTGTTTCAATGATGTGTTTTCAGCCTCAAGAACTGTTACTTGTCGCTTACTCAGATCCAAGTTGGTTTTGGTCTGAATCAGTGAAGCCGCAATTTTTTGTTTTTTATAAACTTCAGAGATTCCCTTTGAAGTCTGAGTTTCTGCATCTATCAAAATGCTTTTGCGTGGATTGATAGGTTGCAGCAATGGACTGGAAAGAAGATTGCTTTGAGCATGCATTTTTTGCACTTGGGTAGTAAGAGCTTCAATCGACATGTTCGCGGCTTGTAATTGGTTTTGATAGTGCTGGGATTGCAGCTCTGCTGCTTTCCATCGACTATCACTCTGTGCACAATCGGAAACTAGTTTATCGAAATGTGTTTGCTGCTGTTTTGTAGAGTCTAGCATTGATTTTGACTCTGTAATAGAGTCGACTGTTTCGTCAGTACCAAGTGGTATTTGTTTACTCTTTTTCTCCTCCAAGACACAGAGCTCTAATTGAGCAAGTTCGTGTTTGACTGAATCTCGTTCTCCCATAACCATGGCTAAATCAACTTGCAAATCAACAAGTTTTTGTAGCATGTCTTCGTATTCGCTGCGTTTAATCAGTGCCTCGGATCCATCTACAATTGTATCTTTGACAGGAAGCTCATGAATAGACGCCAGTTTTGAAATATCCGACTGCAATTTGAGAATCAACGCACTTTGATCACTGCATTTGCGCTGAATTTTGAGAAATCTAGCAACAGAAACGCTTTTTTCCATATGTGAAGTTGAAACTGATGCTTCAATAGTATCTGTTTGAGTGCTAGCCAAAGTTTGTGATGGAAGTGGCAGTGAAGTTGCTGCATCAGTCATGACAATAGCAGCTTGAACATATGCCGTTTTTATCGATTCAAAATTTGGAATGCTATCTTGAACACGGTCAATAAAATCATTTAAATCACAGTTTACCGATCGAGTGGCTGTAGGAGGCTTTGTCTGCAATAGAGAAATTTGTATATTCTTTTTCTGAATTTCAGATTGGCATTGAACATTCTTTTTCATAATATACTTTACAACACCGCGAAGATGGTTTTGCTGTATCAGTAGATCGTTGCAGCAATCAAGCATCTACAAATAACATGTTAGTATTCAATTTTCAGCAAGTAAAACAGGATAGAAATATTACCTTTTGCTTTTCCGTCTCATCAAAAACTGGAATAGATTTGATGTGTTGGTAAGATTGCTGCTCAATTGCATCTGCGGGCGAACGTTCAGGCTGAACTAGCTCCAGATTAGTTTGAGTGCCACAATCTAGAGTATTTGATTGCGTTGCCAAATGATGGTGCTGCTCACGCAACCGAGCATCACGAGTAATATCAAAAAGCAGGTGTGCAATAATTGCATTCGGCAATCTAGATTTTTGCTTTCCGTCACTTTTAAACCCATCGGTTGGATTGTCAAGTTTCTGCAACATTATGTCAAACACTGGCAAAGATGATAGCCAAGATACAGTGTCTTTGTCAATGGTCTGTCGTGTAAGCAGCGTAGTGACAACGTCTACCAATCCAGCAAGAACTTCACAATATTCCATGATTTGATGTGCCATGGTTGCAAGCTTACCATGAGATAGACTAGTAGAACTGCCTGTATAAACTGTACTTAGCCATGTTGAGAGACCATGCTTATCTCTAATAACCATTTGTTTAAATCTTTGACTGGCATGGTTCAATTTAGATTTATCAACATCGGTTGCAATTTTAGTAGATGCTTGTGAGCCATTGCTTGGAATAGATGCATGACTCATTGTAGATGGCGTAACCGGAGATATACGACTGTTTTCAATTTGCATACAGTGCAGTCTACTGATTTCCTTGCAAAGAGCATCATTTTCTGCACTCAGACGTTCTTTTGTGTCCGTCAAATGACGGTTGGAAAATTCAAGATTGATCAACAACGCTCGACTATATTCTGTAGCAGCCTGAAGCTGATTGGAAACCTTGGATAGTCCGGAAAGATGCTCTTCTCGTTGTTTACAAAGTTTTTGTTCCAGTCGCAGGTTTTCTTTATCTCGCATGGAAATGGCAAGTTCAACTTTGTTCTGAATTGCCATAATCTCATCTTTTACCGACTCATTTCGAAGACCAGCTGGAATTAGGCTTACAACACGCGCACTAATACCAAAAGTAAGTCGACAGAATACCATCAATTTAGTGTTGAATATTGTAATTAAAAAGGCAAGGGCAAACAAACCTATTATGCGATTGTATTGCGTTAACCTGCATTTTAAGCTGCCAAAGTGTATCTTTTAAGTGAGTATTGTTGACAACTAACAGTTTCATCTCAGATAAAGCATTTTGAAGCTCCTCGCGTAATCTGGCTTGATTTTTGTGTAATTCTAATAGCAATTAGAGTTGGATTAAAGCAAAATGTACCAAGAATTAAAAGGAAGCACTATTCAATCAGCCACAAATCTCTAAATAGACAAAGTCATGCGTATTAAACCGAGAAACATACCATGTGTAGAGTTTGTGAAATCCAAAGTTTGTGAGAAACTAGATTTAAGTTGTTTATCAGCACCTGAAATAATGGGGAGTAGGTTTGAAACCAATTCCAAAAGTGCAGTCTTGTTGGTTACATCCTAGATACATCATCACCAAAGATTAGCCATACAACAAGTTTTGAAACTGTAGTAATGAGAAATTCAAATATGATTTACCAGTTTTCCATCTTGATTTAAAGGTGAAAGTATCGTGGAGATTGTGCAAAGATACTCTCGATGTTGAGTTTCAGACTGCTGATATTTCAGTTCTTTTGCCTTTTCTAACAAAACAGTTTTCTTTAAATCTGTCTTGAGTTTTATAATTTGGTCTTTTAGATCTTTTAATTGGTGTTTGTGTAGCTCAATCTGCTGCTTCATGTCATTTACAAGCAAATCTGACGTGGTAATCTGAGAAGCATATTCACGAGATTCAGTATTATGGGCTTGTAATTGAGATTCAAAGGCTGTACGTTGATCAGATTTTGCAAGCTCGTATTTCAATTGAAGATCGAAAATGGTTTGTTGTAAATCTTGTTCACGTTTGACACTTTTTTCCAAGTCCTGCACAGTATTATTCCATTTTTCCTTGGAAATAAAATCAGATCTATCATCATTTGCTTGAGTAATCGAATCACACACAGTCTTTGAATCCGTCTGAGTAGTGGTGTCCAGAGTGAATATATGATCCGTTTCAGTGTTTACAGAGACTAGTTGTGGTTGTTGAGATACATACTGATCATTCATACAGGCAATGACTGAGCCAAGACGTGCAATTTCTAAAGTATATTTTTCCAATTGAGCGCTGTGACCGAGTGCATCACAGTCGTCGACTCGTGAGTGTGATTCAAAAGCATCACGTTTTTCTGTTTCATATAAAAGTTTGGATTTTAAATCATCATGAGCTAAATTCAACTCGTCAATGACCCGTTGAAGATGTAGCGATTTTTGATTACTTTCTGCCAATTCCTGATCAAATCTTTGCCATTTCTCTTTTGAAATAAAAATTAAAGAGTCGTCGGTCTGAGCATTATGATCTGCCTGGACTATAATGTCTGTTTGCGAGATACCATTTTGTAAATTTGAAGAATCTGGTTGTGATGAAATGGAGGGTTCTGTTTGAACTTTGACTGTGAGAGTCGAAACAGATTTTAAAGCGATTTCCTGTTCCAGTTTGGTAATGGTAGATTTTAAAAGATTGATTTCTTTTATATTCTTTTCAACTTGTAGTTTGTGGTGTTGCAATTCCTGATCACAAATCTGTGAATCAGATTTCAAAAGATTATGCTTTTCAGATTCCTGTAAATATTGAGCATTCAACTGATTTTGATTTGTAGTCAATGTATCAACTGTATTTTGAAGATCCAATTTGCACTGCTTGCACTCTGCCAATTCGTGCTCAATATGCGTCCATTCTGATTTTGAAACGACCATCAGTGATGTGTCGGTTTGGTTTGAGCCATCGCATTGTAATAAAATATCAGTTTGATTCGAGCCATCACGTTGTGGTAAAATATCAGTTTGATTCGAGCCATCACGTTGTAATGAACTATCAGTCTGATTTGAGCCATCTATATGTTTAGTTGAAAAGGTTTGGGTATACGTAGTGTTGGTTGTGAATAATTGAGAAATAGGCCTATGTTTAAAAGTGCTAGCCGTGGAAGAGTGGTGTACAGAGTCTACAACAGATTTTTCAAATTGTGTTTCATGGTTATCCATTATGTTTTGCGCATGGGATTGTGACTCAATCGCTACATATCTTTCAAATTCCCGAGCTTTTTCAATGAGCATTTGATCATACTTTGACGTGAGTTCTTCAACGGTTTGTTGTAAATCTAGTTTGTGTTGATTGGTTTGTGTCAGTTCTTGCTCAATACTGGCCCATCTATCTTTGGGAATTAGCATCATGTCAATGGTTTGAGACGAGTTGTCATGATGATGCTTTAGCGTTGTCTCGACTGAGACGCTATGCATTGCAGGAGAATCGGTTTGAGCCGCGTAATCAAGCAAGAATGGAGTGCGTGTTTGAGTGCTAGCAAATTCTGTTGGCATATGTGTTGAGATAGGTTGGTCTGCAAAAGCAGCCATTGCTAGTGCAAGATCAGTAACCTTGGCATCAGATTCGTTTAGCTTTGATTTGTATATAGTCAATTGACTGGTTTGATCCTGGAGCTGTGATTCTAGCGCAGTATTTTTTTCATCTGCACACACAAGTTTAGATTCCACAGTATCATGATTCAGCACCATTTCGTCTAGACTTTTTTGCAATTCAATTTCACGCTGATTACTTTCTAATAGCTCTTTTTCAACACTACTCCACTTGTCTTTAGTAATAATTATCAAGTCTGAAAATGTCTGCACTTCAATCGACCTAGTAATCTTGACAGATGATTGAGTTGTTGCATCTTTCAACAAAATAGGCTCTGGTTGTACTTGAAGAGTGTCCTGGTCTGTCAAACGATCGGGTGTAGTGTCCAAGTCCACTTGATTGGATACAGTTGGATTCCGCGTGTTAAAAGTATCTGTACCATTTTGCACATCTTGATAGGCAGGTTCCACTGGTACCAAGACATTCGATGAAAAGTCTATAGGTGTTTTATCTTGTATTTCGTTTTGAAGAGTATCGGAATTTTGAAAACTGCTCATGTGCTCATTTGTGTTTACAGGCAATTGCTCTTCAGAAATAGTGCTTTTCAATAAAGAAACATCCACTATTTGTTGATTGGTTTCTGAATGAGTATATAGCTGATTGGTGGGATCTTTACATTTCTTGACGTCAACTTCCAAATCAGCAATTTTATGTTGCAGCTGATTAATCATTTCTTCTTTTTTAAACAATGTTCGAAGAACCATGTTGGCTGCTGAATTCAAATTTGATGAAGTGTCTATATTGTTGTCACTTGGGTGGTCGTACGAAATTGTGTTGGAAACCTGCTCAAAAACAGATTTGATGGATAAGCGACGTTGATGCTGTCGTGTTGAGATACTTTGTGCGTCAAATGTGGTCGATGATAAAGAACTGCCAAGTCCAAATGTAGGCCAAAAACGACCATATATGGAGCGTGTAGGCTGTGATTCTAGTGATGGTATAAGTTTTTTTGTTTTTAAACTAGTGCTTGGTATCTCATCTGAGGCTAGCGTATATATCAGATAAATTCAAATGGTTAGTTGTAAACATTGAGAATCAATTTCAAAGATGTACAATTTAGCCTACCCTCAACTTCCATAGATGGCACAGGTTCGCAATTGGTATCTTTGGTAATGGGTAAGCTTTGATGCTTCTTGTTGGTTTGGAGTTTTATATATTTTTCAAGGCTATCATGCAACTTTTCCATACGTGCTTCCAAAAGAGGCAGCTTTTGATTCAAGTCACAAGACCATTTGTGTTGCCGATCTCTATCAGAAAATACACTAGAAATAAACACTTCTGCCTCTGCAAGTCGGCTCTCGACAAACAGAGTACGAGATTCAGCAGACAGTTTTGCAGTTGCGGATGTTTCTACAATTTCATACGAGGATACTTTGACCATCTCGTCCAAACTAGTATAAATCGACGCCAATGTATTTTGAACAGAGTCTGGTAACGCAGCGGAATCAATTTTGACCAGTTCTGATTTGAGTTCATATGCATGGGTTTGAATATGAGTCCATTTTAACTCGTGCCGCCGTGCTCGTGTTTGAAGCTCCTTGAAAAGTGATGCACATTCAGTTGCAAATTCTTGTTTAACCTTTTCAATTCGATTTCTCGCCTGCTGCTCTTCGTTTAGTAAAGTTTCAAGCATCCATATAATACCAATAATATCCCCAAAAAACCCAAAAAATTCTTCGATTTGGCCATGGATATGAGCACGGCTATCTGCAGACTCTTGCAATCTGGTATACGTCAAGTCTCGTAAAAATGAGTACTGTGCAGTGATACGATTGTGGTGCTCTGTGTTGAGTGACATGTATGCTTCCATCTATAAATTGCAATAATATAATCACTGTTGATACACAATATCTAAAAGTGGAGTTGGATGTGTTTTGGCATACCTTTTTCAGCGAATTCGCTTCGTTTATTTCCAACAGATTACACTTTGTAGTGAGTTTTGTAATTTCATCAACGGCTTTAGAACACCTGTCCCTTTCTGCTGTCAACTTTTCAAAACATCAACGTTAGTTCAAGAGTTGAAACATGCTAAAGCACATACAATAATAGACATATTCCACGTACTTGTTTTAGCACAGATGCCTGATGAGAAGTAAGTTGCTGGGACGCCTGTTTAAGAGATTCTACTTGGTGAGAGAGCTCAGCAACGTGCAGATTGGCATCCAGCTGTTCGGCAGTAGCTTCTTGATTTGAAAATCCACACACGTCGCAAACTGGCAATGGTTTATCCTGTGTGGAATGATTGTCCTGACCACTAAAAGCTCTGCGAGCAGCATTATCTGGATGCAATCGCTCCAATGCAGTAATGTGACGACGCTGTGCGCTGTTTTCCGTTTCCAACATGGCGATTTTCCTAGTAAATTCAGTAGATTCATACTGAGCCGAAAGAAGAGATTCGGCCAATCTCGACCGCTCTGCTTCGACAGTTTCAATATGTAGAGATTTACGCACGGATTCATTTATAGCATCGCCTTGAGCACTGGATAGCTTCTGAATAGTAGATTTTAGCTTTGTTGATTCATTTGTGAGGGAGTCGATATGAAGACGCATATCGCCGATTTTTCTCTGCAATGCAGCATTTACAGCCAATGTAGAGAATGGATCATATCTAAATATGGGTTGAGTAGATATCAAGTTGGGTCAGATCTGCATCCAATCGAGTCAAAGTTCGATGATATGAGAAACAGTCATAGGAATAGTATTTGAATATGAGATACGCAATACAGACAAACCTGAGTTGCAGCAATTGTCTTTGAGTGGTTCTCAACTCTTCTCTAGTAATATCCAACAATGACATTAGACGTACACGTTCGAATGTTTCTGTCTGAACCTTTGCACCAAGAGCAGTTTTCTCTTTCTGACAGGTTTCTAATGCATTCTGAAGTGAAGCAAGCTCAGTCCTGAGTGGATTAGGAATAGCAGACTCTATAAACCCCTTCAAGTCTGTTAATGGTTGTTCATACGAAACAAGATGTGTGCTGTCGTATGGACTATGTTGCTCCCATGTACGGGGTAGAGAGGATTGGTTCAGAAACACATCGGTAGAGTCCTGCAATGTATGATCATAGTTTGTTTTAGAGGTCAGCAAGGTCATGCCAGTAGTGAAAGATGTGTTAAACTTGCACAAGGTGGAAATCCGATGGCTTTAGTTATTGATGGCAACACATTCCAAGTTACTGGAAACTATGGGTTGGAATATTGCTAGTTATGGCTTTGACTCTTATTACATACAATCAACACATGAATTTCTAATCGTCAATGTTTAATGCACATTATCGACTCGTTAATATTCCAAAATAGCAGTCAGTTTATCCAATAGTCTAGTAAATCACAGTCGAATTGATAAAATGCAATACTAAATAACAGTATTAAACAGTCTTTCTTGTTTTTTAAACTAGTATTTTGGTGATTGTCATGTAGAGTTTCATTCCTTGTTTTAAACTAAACCTCGAACGTATCCGAGATTAGAATACAAAATGGAATTTGGCAACATCAAAACTCAATATCTGGATTTGAATCAATCTGATGATCGTACAATCAAGACACTCACTCCAAAACTATAGTTTGTATTATAAAATGAATCTTGTTTAAATATTGTTTATTTCAGAGCAAAATAGAAACAGTCACTGCATGATAAATACAAGTATTCCGTTTTGCATCGATACGGCTATAAAATCAAAAAGGCTTGACTAGACATGCAGTTTACAACACTCGATATATGAACAGACGATCTCCAATACCCAGAATAGTGTCAATGAATAGCAAGAGTCGTGAATAGAATGAATTCAGTACAATTGATACTGCATTGAATCCATTACTATAACAAGAGGTTCCAGTAATGGATTGCTCTAAACGTGCTTGACTTTTACGACAGAATTGATCCAAGCGACATGATCTCTGCACATGGACTATGAGTGCTGGAAGAGGAGTCACATATACCGGCAATTTCCGAAAAAGGAGATGCTTGTCTCTGCGAACATGCAGGCGAAGGCAGCATCTTTGATGCAGAGCATAATGTAGCAAATGTGCCCAGTGAATGGTTCGTGTCGAGATGGTACTGATCAACTGGTGTAGTCAATGTGCCCAGTGAATGACATGCACGGCGATCATTGGATCGATACGACTCGTGTGACTCTGCGGTGTCTTCCAGTTTGATATTGGCACATGTTGGCATTGATGCTGGTCCTGATGGCATACACATGACTTTGGATGTGACTGCAGGCGATGCTGCTTCCATTGCAGATCTAGACTGCAATAAAGGTACTCTTGCAGCCATCAACTGCAGCTCTCGGATCTGACCCTCCAGCATGCGAGTATACTGAATTCCTTCTTCTAGTATTGTCAGCTTATGCAATCCTGATCGACCAGCACATGAAGGCAGCATGTCCTTCAACTGTGCAATTTTGTCATTTGTGCGCTCTCGTCTTCGACGCTCAATGGCTGAATGTGTAGCCTTGCGTCGTCTATCGCGAGACTCTCGGGTGTCGCTCATACTGTGATTCATTCAGGTCAAACTGTACTATGGATTGTGCAAACGATACTTTGGAAATGGTTAGTGGTGACCAACAGGTTTGGACACTATACAGATTCAAGAACAGACGATCCAAAAGGCAATGACAGCAGCAATCCAACAATTAATGAGTAGATAGAAATAAAGTATCAAACAAGTAATGTAGGTTGACAAAGTTCAACGCAGATGGAAATGGTTAATCACAATGCGATATATTGACTATTTGAAAGCAAAAGTTGCTGCGAAGGGTGATTTCGCGGCTGTGGTCGAACGCGTTTAATGGCTGTTTCAACATGTTCAGTCACTGCAATCGCGTGCATTGCTATGAAATACTGAGATGCTGCTCAGAATCAACTATTTTAAAGTGCAAATGAGTTTTTTTATAATCGATCCCTACGTATCCCATGTGTGTTTTGTTGTACTATTGTTGTACTATTACTATACTAAATCACATCGATCCATTAGAATATGGTCAAGTCCAACTCAAGGGTTACAATGAAATCAACTCTATATCGCAGTTCTCCTTGCTTATCATAGCAATAAGCACGTTTCTAAATATACACCACATGTTAAATGCTTTGACGATTTACTTGATCCACTTGAAAACCAGGCATTTCCAGCCGCTGTGCTTGGATCGGGCTGAATATTAAACCGTTGGACTCGCTTCGTTGAACCAAAACTCGTTCAAGGGTGGAACCCTGCTAGACTGTCTTACTCAAAATATGGTCTAACGTGGACAAAACGTTGTTTATTTTTAATAAAGAAGTGCAAGCAAACATCTACTCAGACCACATACAAGCAAGTCTTGAAGTGATATCTTTAAAGTTATTGTTGCTTTGTACCTCGTCAAAACTAACCTTGGTCTAATTCCTTTCATAAATTCATCAAATGGCCAATTGAACTCAAAGTAGGGTTATAAATCTCAATCCATATCACAATCCCATCATCTCTGAAGTTTCATAATAAGATACGAGGCGACAACAATAATACCAGCAGAAATGGCAATGTTGACAGGAAGTGGTGCATCTTTCAAATAATCCACAATGCTAGCTGGAGGATCTCGGCCTTGCCCACCGTTTATGGGGTTGTAGACAACAACTGGGTTTATGCGAGAGTTTCCACCTTCAACCAATGACTGCTCCGAGACAACTGATTGATGTGAATCTTCGTAACGAACAACTTGACCATGGTGACCTACATTAGGCGTAGCAGTTCCTGAAGAGTACTGAGAATCTGTTACTGCATTCTGCAATAACGGCTCTCCTAGGTAAATCATCAGACGAGTCAACCCAAGGCGGCGTGACATCAATACAGCTTCTTCAACGTCCTTGTCAGATTCAAGATGAACAACATCATTCTCGTCATCCATATAGCAGATACGAACAATTTCCCCATCTTTTGTTTCAAGATCGAGGTGTTCAGAGCGCATACTATGCGTAGTACCGCTGGTTGCTGCTGCTTCAAAAATCAGAGACTTGGCACCTGTTTTAAGACACACTTGGGCATATACCTCGGAAAGAGAGTTGAATCTGGAACTAAAACGAAATACTTTGCCATTTCCAGTACGCGTCATATCCTTAAGCTTGAATGTAAACATATTTGGATCATCATTTTGAATCTGAGAGCGAGAAAGCATGGATGAATACTCGTCAGGATGAGGTGACAGCGTTCTTTGAAGCTGTAAAGATTGCCTGTTGCTCATTTCAGTGGCATGCTGACTAGAAGAACTAGGCTGGTAGTGGATGGATCCAGATGGTCGGCTGTCAGAGGTTTGCGAAAGACGGTCGGATTCGGTTTCGATAGTAGATCCTGCAAATGTCGAGTTCCAAAATTTGTTCCATAATGGACCGTCTTCAGAAATTGATCCTTCCTGAGTGCCAAGATCCTTGGTCATCAAATAAGTCAGCATGGATATAGTAAGAGTCATTACGTCTACAAGACCAATAGGAACTCCACCATCGACAACGGGTAAGTGGAGATAGTGACCAGCTAGCAGGGTTTAAATTATGGCCAGTGAGTAAACATTCAAACATTTATACTTGAAGAAAAATAGACTCACTGTTAAGCTTTTTAAGAGCATCTAAAATAGATGTGCTTGCCAGTACATAATCAGGATGTGGGGTCTAATAAATATGAAGTTTCAAAACAAGTTTAGCTAAATAGAGCAACAAGATAATGACCAAGTCTAAATATCCATCTACAGTACATCAATGCACAGATGACGACGTACCATAACTCTAACAACAGAAGTGGTCATCGGATCGAGAGATGCAGCAATAACACGTAGTACAATATCCTTTGTAGTAAAAATACCACCAATTTGTTCATCATCATTACTGTTTCCAATTACCAATACAGCAGTAGTATGATATGCCTTCATAATGCGTGCAGCATCCCGGACACTTGATTTGATGGATACTTCTGGAACTGTGCCATGCTCCAACTGACCTCCAATCGTTTGGGTCAATACAAAACCAACGTCAGGACATCCATGGTGTTGACGAACCACGCCAACATGTTCAGCAGCGACAGTGCCACGACGTTCCAATGCCTCCATAGCGCTAATGATGTTCAAATCTTCATTAACTTTACGCTCTAAATCGTCAATGCGTTCAAAGACACATTTTGTGATATCCAGCAGACCCACAACACTGGTACCACCAGCGGCTTCATCAAACTCGTTGTCATCATCATCATTGCCGCCACCGGTTTCACTGATCACAGGCAAATGACGAAAGCGACGAGAAACCATGATGTTCAAGGCTTCGTTTCTGCTTCCCTTGTCATACACGGCAATGGGATCGCGAGTCATAACACTAGAAACTGGAGTTGTTCGAATGTCCAATCCTTCAGCAACAACCCTATAAGCAATATCTTTGTCTGTTAGAATTCCGGCAAGTGCACCATCCTCTCCAACAACAAGAACAGCATCAGTGCGTTTTGCAGCCATAAGCTGTGCAGCTTGAATGATCCGGGCAGTTTCAATAATGATAATAGCAGGTGCAGGTCGAAGCGAAGACACTGTTCCAACACGAGTTCGACGGGTATCATGCTTCTGGCCCGAAGCAGAACTTGCAGAATTGCGTTTCATTGTGCGACGAGAGAGTTCTTGTTCAACCTAAATATCACAGTATTAGTCGTTAGAGCATTTAAAATGAAAAGATCCATACAAGAGCAAGATTTGATATCCAACACCCAATAGAATTTGTCAGATATCCGAGTAAAAGCAACCACTATAAACCAAGATCGAGCAAGACTGCATTAAGGATTATTCCCTTTCAATTCGTTTATAGGTTTTATGAGTAGTAAACAATGATAGTTTTGAGTTGACAAGCCATACCAACCCAAATCCAAATCCAAATTCTCGTTGATTACAGGATAAAATGGTGGCGGTTGGTTTTGGTGTGGAAATCTAGCAAGTACTAACAGCAAGCCTTGCAAAGCATTGGCTTCAAGAGTGAGCTGAGCAATGGCCATGCCATAAACAATCCAGTGCTCATTCAAAAGCCTATAACACAAGTGTAAGGAAACAATTCAACGCTTTCTAGTTGCACCTTTTTACGAATAGCATCATCTCTACGCTTGTTCCGAGAGCGCAAGTTGTCCGAAGTGGTAGTGCTAGCACCAGAAATAGTAACACCATTTGATAGACTAGTAGGACGCAAAAGGCCAGGATGGCGGGGCTCGCCGTTCATGGACGCAGAGGAAGGTGGAGTAATGGATGATGAGTAAATCTTGACACTACAAGTGATGGCTTGAGGAAAGAAAACAAATCAAGTTTGGATCTAAACTTGGTCTTCTATTCGATATGATTTGCCTTTGTTGCAAAGTACTTTATTATTTAATTCTATCAATTCAATCTTTAGTTGCTGTATTCACGTAAAACGAAAGATTGATAAATACATAAACTGTCAGCCTCATGAAATGACTGCAAGTATTGTTTTTGGAACTCTAGTTGGCTTGTCTTGTTCTTGGTGATTGGCATGTATAGTTGCATTACTGCAATCTCTTAGACTATAATACAATCTATGATTTTAAAATACACGAGTTGATACAGATTTGACAATTATCAAATTCAATATATGGATCTGGTGATTGCACAATATATGGTTATATCAAAAGACAATCTCAGTCCAAAACTATAGTTTGTATGCATCATATGATGAATATTGTTTATTGAATAAACAGTCAATTCAAGTCAATGTGTAACAAGACAACAAATATTCATTGTCTATTTTGAAGCAAAAGGCAATCAAATACATGAATACGAATTGCATTTTACGCGAATGTAGCTGTTAATATTCGCTCAAAATCCGAAAAATCACAAGTTCCATCCAGGTCATGGTCTGCAACTCGGATCATGTCCTGTGCTTGCTCTAGTGATATTTTTTCTCCAACACATTCAAATGCATGCATGAGATCATGTGGACTGATTAATCCGTCGTTATCTACATCCATTAATCCATACGCCTGAATCATATCCCGTCCAGTTTCAACCACCCCTCCTTGTGTCCGCATCGATGCCATGAGTTGAACAAACTCTACAACTGTAATCTCTTCTACTTCTCCCAATTTGATACGACTCATCATGCCTCGGAGTTCTGCTTCAGTTACCTCGAGTCCAAGTGATTTCATTACTTCTCCTAATTCCTCTATATCAATTGTTCCGCTTCCATCCAGGTCAAATATGCAAAAAGCCTAATCTCGACAGTAAATTAAACGTGTATCAAAAATGCATTGAAATCTAAATAATGCATGTTGGTGATTTACCTCGACATAGTATTCACTTTCTTCTGGACTAAGATTCATTTCACTGATCTCTCGTCTTACACGTTGCTTTTTTTCTGCCATCAGTTCTTCCTTCATTGATAAAAATGTATTGGTTTGGGTTTTGGATTTTTCCTTCTGCATGCTGTCAAACAGATCTTTAAAATGCAGAGACTTGGGAACTTCTGGTGCCATGACAGATCTAGAAGCTAATATCAAATCATTAGCTGCTGTTATTGGATACTCAAAACACCATCAAACTAGCGTGATTGAATCTACATTGAGCTATAGTCAATTTACTTACTGGAAGCATTAAAACACATTTCGCTTGATTGTTGAGATGCATTCATATTGTCTGTATTGCTATTTCGAGCATTAGAATGGGACTTTGATTCAATAACATCAGGAAATGCCACCTTTTCTTTATTTCTTTGGGCAGAACTCGCACTCGACGACTGTCGAAATCCATTTGAATTAGTTGATGTCCGCTTGCTTGAAAATGGTTCAGAGTTTTTCACAAGCAGTGCTGTACTGTCAACCGTCTCTGGTTTTTTAGAGACTGATAATGAGTACGTAATGGGTGGTTGTTTCGACATTCTGTTCAAGCGTAATTTACTGATAAACTCGACTATGTTTGTAGTTAAATTACAGCTACATTCGCGTAAAATGCAACTCATATTCATGTATTTGATTGCCTTTTGCTTCAAAATAGACAATGAATATTTACTGTCTTGTTACACATTGACTTGAATCGACTGTTTATTCAATAAACAATATTCATCATATGATGCACGCAAACTATAGTTTTGGACTGAGATTGTCTTTTGATATAACCATATATTGTGCAATCACCATATCCATATATTGAATTTGATAATTGTCAAATCTGTATCAACTCGTGTATTTTAAAATCATAGATTGCAGTAATGCAACTATACATGCCAATCACCAAGAACAAGACAAGCCAACTAGAGTTCCAAAAACAATACTTGCAGTCATTTCATGAGGCTGACAGTTTATGTATTTATCAATCTTTTGTTTTACGTGAATACAGCATGCTTACTTGATTACTCGCGTGTTTTGTTCAACTAAACCTGAAAAAGCTATCTTGACCAATAGTTTAAATCCGTAGCCAAAGATTTAAATGGCAACAACACTACCAAGAGAAATCATCAAATGGATACAGGGTCTTGATCTTTCTTATTCTGTAAAAAACTATAAACGGTATGTTTGAATATGTTTCACCAAATCTCTTACCAGCGTGTCAGTATCATAAAGCTCTCAATTCATTTCAAGCGCTAGATAGATATCGTAGCATATATTGATTTGAAGTTATATTCCAACTTTGATATGAATTTAGTGACTTTTCAAATGGATTTTTGGTGGCAGAAATACTGGCAAAATACTATCCTGCTGATGTACAAATGCATGCGTTTGACACTGGGACAGGAGGTGGAGCCAAAAACAATAACTGGGGGATGCTGGAGCGAGTGTTTATTGTAAGGTTATTTTATATTGAAACCTGTTCATCTTGAAATGTCTACATATTCTAATTGCTCAGGGTTGGCTTAATGACACGCTCGATAAACAGAAGCACTCGATTCCAATCTCAAAAGAAATATGCGCCAATGTAGCATCTTGTAGTTCTGAGAGTGCCAGTATCTTGCTTTCTGTCATATACTGGCATATCAATAATAAAGGTTCGCATCCAGAGGGAGTCTTGGCTACAACTGCCAGCATTTCCTCACAGACCAAAAAAAGTGCATCAAAGACACAGAAAGCTTCGTCTGGTGGATCTAGCAACAAAACCCGGTCCAACACAAGTGATGAACAAGAACATCAGACTGCACTAGATCGAATCCTGTTTTCTGCACGACAGAATAGTTTGATGGAAAATTTTGGCACGGAAAGTAATGACGGACTAGATGAACCGTTACATCTCAACATAAGTAATGGATATAGTCCAGGAAAACTTTCAAAAATGAATGCAAATGCAGTGCTAGACACTGACGGCGATCCATCCACGGAGGAGCCAGTAGTAGGAAGAGTAAGCAAATTAAATTTCCATTTGTGAAATGAGCCTAAATAACCAATATACATTGTCATAAACGCAGGTTTCGCTGATGCGAGTGATTTGTCAGATCTTCAATATTGCAGATACACAGATTAATTTCCACCGAAGTACATTTCCAGCTAATACTGTGAGGGATATCATTTGTCAAAGCATTGAGACTGGCTCAAGGTTTGAAGTAAATGCTTTGCTTGAAATCCTGAGAGCGTCGGTAAGTTGATTGTGGCTGCCCTTTCAAGTAATCTTAATTTAACACTGCCAATAATAAATATGGCAGACACCAGAGATTATTTCTGCAATACAACAGAGTCCACCGCTTGATTTTCAGATTCTGTTTGACACATTCCTTCCACTCATTGTCAACTATGGATCATCAACCAAGGTATTTCAAGGCAAGTTTAGCACTTTCTCATACAGTTTGGACTACCTTGCTATATAGTTGGCATGCTAACAATTCAGCGAATATCATTTGAAATGATGAATGTAGCTGCCACTGCAATTATATACTATGTGGGAGATACCTGCCAGTATATGCTTGCAACAGGAAAGAGTTACAAATGGCTGTCAATGGCAAGGGATTTTAATGGAGTAATTCAACAGATTAGTTTGCCTACAATGGATAAAATGCCATTTATTGCACGAATCCTGCATGCTTATCTTGGTCCAAATATTTCTGAAATTGACCGAGTTCGAATATTTATGGAAATCAAGGTAGATTCCAATATTCATACATTTTGGCTTGAATCATTACTAGATGCATTTAAACCATAAATACATCAAATAGGCATCAATTCACAAAGACAAACTGCAATGGCCTGCAACTCGAAGCAAATCATCGTCTGGCAGCGAGTTTATATTTTTCTTGGCATCTTTCAACGCCATATACAACTATCCAATTCACTCTGCCACATACCAGTTCACCGTGTTGCATCTTAGCGAGTGTTTAACAATTATAAACGCATTCAAAAGATCAAACCAGGGAAATGTACTGTTTCTGCCATTAAAAAATGGTTCCACGACTATATCAGATACATCTGCCAATCCTGGTGTTACTATACTATCTACTGCTGATATTCCTGCTCTTGAAGTCTCTGCAGCACTGCACATTGTTGCAGCAATAATACGTGCTGGTGTACCACTGGAGCATCGAGTTATGGCTGATGTAGTGGATTCTTCTCTGCGTGCATTTTTGAAAATTGTAATTAACCCGCAATGTCCATGTGCACTACAAAAAGCATACATGAAAGTTGTTGTAACATTGCTGGAAATCTTACCAATCGACTGTCTACGCGAATCTCCCGAGTTTACTCTCTTGCAAGATTTGTTAGGAATTGCAAATACCTTACTCAAGTGGTTTACTGGTGAAGTTTTAAAAACCAGTATGTTTTGGTCAACTAAAAGAAATGAGCAAAACAATTGGATTGATGATTCCTAACCCTGTATCAAATGATTGGTTGCATGTATCCAACAATTTAGTGCTTATCTTTATATCAAAAGTACTTTATAAACACCAAACACTCTGCACGGCATTTGTGCGTGGTTTGGTCAATGCTGGAGATACCGTTCGTTTAGACCTTCTTAAAGCCACTACTAAAAAAAACAGCAATCATACCATCACATGGAATTTGCCCTTTCTACTTGACGAAAACAAGCCTCAGATTTACAAAGTGTGGTGGGAATATGGTGTATGCATGGGAGTCCGTAGCGTGGTAAGCACTGATATCAACAATATGCATACTAGAATAGATAAAACCAGTATTTGACAATCTTTACAGACAGAATGTTCTAAAAGTCCATTAGAGGCATCCCATTTGGAGATTATTTGGACAATGATGCGAGAACGCCGTCAATCAGAGTGCACAGATGATCAGAATTCAAGACCTATCGTTCCCCAAGCCGCATGGAATCATGTTTTTCTATTACTATCTGATCACATCATTGCAAATCTGGCAATCCAAGAATTATCTGATTTGGCTTGGAGCGTGTTTTGTGGTTTCATGCAAGTGTGTAGCGGAGATACTATTACCAAGGTATAGATTAGAGTCATTATATCAAAATACACGTTTATGTAAAGCCCTCGCATACAATCCTAAAAATCTGACCGAATATTGCTACTTTTCATTATAGAAATTTCCGTCATTGCTGGGCGTATTGATTTATGTACATACTGTGGATCGAGGACGATGTAGAAAGCGAATCATGAATCGTTTGAAACGATGGGCTGCAAAGGCGTCTCTCAAAGCCAAATTCGAATCTGATCAGCCCACTAAATTAGACTCTTATGCACTTGAACAGAAATCAAACTTGGTTAAAGAAAGTTTATCCCATTTGCCGAAAGAAAATGAACATACTATTTATGTTGAAGCGCAACGAGTCTTGCGGATCTTTATGAATGAGCTACCGACATTATCCGGATCTGGAAAACGACATTTAGCTCATGGCCTATAGAAAAAGTGTTGCAATTACCATTTTATCTGTCTTGATAAAGATTGAATGAAAAATAATTATATAAAAAGTCGCCAAATATGGTTGAAACAGTCGGCATGGAGATATAAACAGTACTAGAACAATAATTAAATGTTGGTTTTTTATTACAAATTGACTGTTTATTCAATAAACAATATTTATCATATGATGCATACAAACTATAGTTTTGGACTGAGATTGTCTTTTGATATAACCATATATTGTGCAATCACCAGATCCATATATTGAATTTGATAATTGTCAAGTCTGTATCAACTCGTGTATTTTAAAATCATAGATTGCAGTAATGCAACTATACATGTCAATCACCAAGAACAAGACAAGCCAACTAGAGTTCCAAAAACAATACTTGCAGTCATTCCATAAGATTGGCAGTTTATTATGTATCTTGGCACTTTTATTTAGTGTTTTTACACGAATACGGTTGTAATAATTAGGCAACAAAAACAACTCCCAAAAAACCAATGGCCATAACAACGACAGTCACAATAATAATGAGTGAATCCGACGAGCTTTCGGCTTTACGAACTGGCAACCCATTTTCTTTGTCGTGATTGTGAATCCAACGCACAATCTGTTAAAGTATGTCATTACATTAGCCCAACGAGTACAACAAATAAATACCTTGTAAACCCATATACATCAACTTACATTGGCACAGGCATTGGAGATATCTGGAAAACTTGTATCAGCGGGATTAGATCCAAGAGCCATTCGTGCAGTTTGGCTCGTGCTGATAGCATAGTTGAAGTAAACTTGCTTGATGGATTCAAAATCTCCACTCTTTCCAATAAGTTTTACAGCAAGACCTCGACGGATCTTGTTGCCATGGCTTTTGAACAGGGCGGGATTGTTGTAAAACAGACTAAAAGAAGCCAGAGCCATCAACTAACAGAGACATATTTAGACGTCAGTCTACCTCGATCGTGTAATAGTAATGATGACAGAAATACTAGTACAATCAATCCACTTACTTGGGGGATTGCAGCAAATCGAAGAACAGACTGATTTTTTAACAGAGCAAGATAGTCCAGACAGTCGGGGACAAGATGTAAAGCATTAGCACACAGGTGGTTCAGACACGCAACAGCATTCTGCAGATTCTCTGGTCTAGCCAATGCCTCGACACCTTCGTCTTTGCCGACATACAGTTCCCATACATCGCGAGGCCAAAACAAACGTCCATCCTTGATATCGGTTAAATAGTCCTTGAGAATATTGACCTTTTGTAGAAACAAGCCCATTCTGTTGGCCAGATCCATATGTTCTTCCAGTGCCTTGCTTTCTAGCCCAGAATCAGAGAATAGGTGAGTTAGGCCGATGCCAACCAGACCAGCAACATAGTGAGTATAGAGATCAAAGTCCTCTAGCGTAGTGACCTTTTTGCCGCTAACAAAGTCGGCCATGCCTGCACCCATCCGTTTGGTAATATCAGTGATGGTCTTTTGGTATCTAGTAGATCCATCAAATACAGTTGCAATTGGTTTAATGTAATGTTAGTGATATGGATTAGACAACAATCAGCTGTAATGGTTATAGCCATTGGCACCACAGTTAACCATAGGACTATATAATGAACAGACTCACTTTGGTTTCAGCTTCAAAAACTGATCAATAACAACATCATATCGTTCCAACAAGATCCGATCCTTTTCTGTTGGACCGCACTCATGAAAGGTCCATCCTTTTTTGTAGTTAATCTCATGGAATGACTCCAGCAGCGGAAGTTTGGTCTTGAGAGGAATCGACATGTCGTCCTCAATGGTATCTAGACCACGGAGGACAAGATAAAAAATACAGATAGGATCCTGTAGCTCCTTGTCCAGTTCTTGAATGACTCTGGCAAAGGATCGAGAGGTTTTGTTGAGGAAATAGTAACACATGGCCCATGTGTGTTGGTCGCTGGATTCTGGCGGAATGGATGATAAGTCCTTGTGAACCACCTTTTCTTGGGATCCAAACTTGTATTTGAGAAGAGCAACAACTTCTGATGGGTGGGCAGCAGAGGCCAATAGTGCATCCATAGTAGAATACTGTATGTTTTGATTCTAGCAAAGAATTGAAATAAAACTGTTTTTGAATTATTGGCTGTGTTATGGATTGCTGGAATTTACAGCCAATCTTTGAATGATGTCGTCAAGTTCGTCGAGTATTGTTCTGAATTCCTTGACAAAGTTTGCTGGTCTTTGTGCTGATTTTATATAAACTAAACCAATGCTCACATTACAGTTCCAATACATTCTATACTTGCTTAATCTTCAATTCTCCCTTCATTCAAGCATTGAGTGATCGACATGGAACCAATTACATTTCCGAAGCTGTTCTCGAGCTAGAACGCGAATGGATCTGTGAGTTCAAGATATAGAGTTGGGTTGAGAACATCAGAAGCCAATGGATGAATCTGGTGATTGTACAATGCATGTCAATGAGGTCAATCTCAGTTTAAGCTTATATTTTGTGTGCATCACAGATGAATGTTTATTAAAGTAGTCGATTTCTGACAACGAATAGTCAACCCTATTGCCTATTCTCAAGGTCATTGCAGGACAAGTATTTGATTTTGTGAATACTGCCACAACTGGATCTAGCCTTGACAGTTGACGACAGTGAGAATGGAGATGAAAGAGATTACTAGCAGCCATTACCATCAGTGTGGCTAATGAGATTTGTGAGCACTTTCTAAATAATGATACACACTAATGGTGATTGCTAGCAATTTTATCAAAACCCCTTGTCAAGGAGCGATGGCTGTGTCAAGGGCTGTTATTACAACTAGCAGCAAGGTGATGAAAAATGAAGGGATTGTTTCAAGTCAGGGTAAGCGGAATGCTTGTCAAGCAAAACACCATAATAGACTGCCTTGCTAAATGTTTTGTTTAGCCAGGATGTAGTGGACAGACTGGGTGATATGCTTCTAGTGTGCAGGAGTAATGTTTTGCATTTGAAGCAATAATGGACAATAAGCTTGTAATCAAGCAGTTCCATTCTGTTCTGCGACTGACATGCAACCGTATTCAAACCCAAGGCCGAGATATATCGGAAAAGCTTGGACATTAGAATCTAAACAAGGGTTCTTGTCATTACAACACTAGTTGTAATGGTAGCGTACTGGTTCATGTATAGCGTATGCAGGAGAGAGCAAGCAGTTGAATAGATTCATTGTATTATCTTGGATAAGCAGACAAAACACAATCTCATAGTTGGTCAACCAGCATGCAGTAGTATTTGGTCTTAATGAACCGAGATGTGGCTGGTGCCATGAGTTGGATCGAGGGGTTGAATGGATTTTCAATAAAGTTGATGTGCAATGCAAGGCTGAAGGTATAGCAATAAATGATATTGGCGAACCACTGAGGCTTATATGAAACAGCCGTTGGATTGCCGTTTCAATTTCAAATTGGAATTCCAAACCTCTCCTTTAAATATATCAGTTTAGTTTTAGTCAACTTTTGGTATGAGTGCTGTTACCGACAACGAAGGGTTTTTCGAAGAGAATGAAGGAGTCGACGCTGAAAATATATCAAACGATTTTAAGAAACAACGTTCTTCAAAGGCATGCGACAAGTGCAACAAAAGGGTATATCGAATATTTGATTTGTGCATACTCATTCTTGGGCTTGTTTAAAATCAGTTACTGTTTTAGTATTAGGCCATTGAACATGCTCATGAGCTAATATGAGTCTAGTTTGATGGGTTCTCACTAATATTAGTTCAGAACTGATTGTCCAACAAGGCAGTGTTACTTTTCAGTGGCTTTTTTCTCAAGCCTAGATTCTAAGATTAAACTTGCTGATACATTACTGTTTTGAACTACTTTTAAACTACAGAAAGTCAAGTGTGATGGTATGTGCAAAGCGATGCAAAGAACTGTCCAAAGTTTGAAATACATATTTGGATAACGGTATACAAGTGCTATGCTAATCCATCTTTATGTTGCATGATTTTGTCTGGATATTCTTATATATAGCCGAAAAATATATTCCATGTTCAAACTGTGTCAAATCTGGCAGTGTGTGTCTTCGCTCTCGTCCTTTGAAAAAGCGTGGTCCTCGACCAGGTTATATCAGTATGTTGGAAAATAGACTCGTTGGTCTTGAAAGCATGCTAAAGTCTCGACAAGCTCCAGGTTGGTTTACATGGGTCGACCTCTTCTGTACATTGATTATGCTGATTCGAATTATATACCAACTATTTTCTAATGGGTCAATTACAGGTACTGAAACTCTATCATTAGAACCACAATCGTCGTTCTTAAAGCGAGCAAGGTTGACACCTCCCGATATATCTTCGACAAGGGAAAACGATCATCATAAGGGCTCGGATGATATTTCAATACCATCTGTTAATCTAAATCTACATAATGGCAATATCCATCTACCAGCATTGCAACCCACTTCTGGGTGTTCGTATTCTACACCACCCACTTCATTTTCAATACCTTCTGTAACTTCCCTACCTTTGACAACTGATAATACTTTGCCTTCTACAATCAACAAACCCACATCTGTTGGACAATTTGCTTCGTCAAAACCCTTGCTCGCTGAATCACTTGCACCACATTATCAACTATTCAAGCCAAAGCCTATGTTGGAATCAAAGTCCATGTACAGTACCCTATTATCATATGTGAATCGATCAGAGCCTTTGGCCCTTCACAGCTCAGATTCTACAGCCTTTCATGGATCTGAGCCTCTATCTTTTCATGGCCCAGATTCTGCTTGTATCCATAATTCAGAGCCTTATCTTAGTCCCGAGGTGCGCGAAGCAGTATTGAAGTTGTTCTTTCAAAACAACCTTCAATGGCATTCGTATTTACCCGAAAACTACGTGCGTGAGCAAATTGATATGAGCCGATTTCTTTTCTATTCAATCTTTTGTATGACCTTGACACAATCACCTCCTGAAATTCGGACCCCTGAGCTTGTCAACCTTGTCAACCTACTGTTTCAAGTCTTGTGTGATATGCTGACAAAGGAACTAGATAATCCTACAGTAATGACGGTGTTGTCACTGGTTATGATGTGTGCATTTGGAATAGAAACAGGACGAGGAAGCGCATCTTGGCTGTATCTTACAATGGCAGTCCGTATTTCACTCGACTTGCAGCTCAACAAAGAATGCTCGTCAGGCTCTGACGAATCATTTTCCATCAGATCAGTAAGACGCAATGTGTGGTGGATCTGCTATATTTGTGATCGCTACTATGCAGCTGGAATCGGGTCGTCACTGCTGATCAAGGACGAAGATTGTCAAGTAAAACTTCCAAAAAGCGATATGGATGTGAATAACCAGTTTGATCAAGAGTTGCACAGATTTGGCGAAGATGCTACATTGCAGATTGCTATCATGTCAAGTCGCGAATGGTATGTTCCAGCAATACCAAACATGGGTCTTCGTGCCTATCTATTACTGCTTTTGAAGATTTATGGCAAAGTAGCCGAGTATGAGATGCACTTGGATGATCCTATGCCAGCTCGCACAGATGTTGAAAACGAGTATTGTCTTGCAGCACTGAATGCCTCGCTGTGTGATTGGCTAGCATCGTTGCCTTCATATGCCAAGGACATTACTGGTCAATTGCTCGAGCATGATGTATATGGAGACCGTTCAGTTCCAGCCATGGTGCAATACCTTCACATGCTATACAATTGCGTTGTCATTACTCTTCACAGATCAAAAATGATGCGTAATATCCAAACATTAGGATTTTCTACTGCTTCATCTCTTACATCATTCAAACTTTGTATGAGCGCGGCCAATTTAAATGGGATTTTGATTGCTCGTATACTTGCCAAAAATCCACTTCTTACACATGTGGTTTCATATGCATCTCATTGTCTCTATATATCTGGTACGGTCCATGTCACATGTGTAAAACTATCCACAGATTCGTCCATGTGTAATCTTGCACGAGAGAATTTGCGAATGCATATTCGAGCATTAAGGCGAATTGCGCAATGCATTTCTACTGCAGTGCCCCGCTTAAACGAACTTCTTTCGTCATGTCAATCGATTGAAGGGATTTTGTCAGAGGATATTGATCTTGCTCATTTGAATGTACCATCATCAACTGGCCTACAGGGCCCTACCACTTCGTTGGGTCAAGATTCGTCGCCTTTGGTTTTCAATGCCCGCCATCCAGGTATGTCTTTTGCTCAAAACAAATAGTATTTTCAGCCATGGTCGTGTAAAATGCAATACACTTGTATCTGTGATGGTCCTTGTCTTGGATACATTTGCGCTCTAGTTCAAAAGAACAAGTGTCAAGACTTGGAAATGCACTGAAGCTGTAATGTGGATGTTGCTTTAAACATTTGTTTGGTTCCTATACAATGGTTCATTTTGCATGAATATGGCTTTAGTTTGAAACAAATACCACTGTTTTATCTAGAGTTTTGCGAGTTTTAACCATCTATTACGGTTTAACGTGTATATTACAATTAGAAAGCCGATTGCCAAGTCATGAACAGTCTAGAGACACTACACACGCATATTTAAACCAGCAAGTGCATCACGATCAGCATATTTATAATTTAGAGTCTCATGCATCACCAACCTCGTATATTCATGACCAACAAGATACCAACCAACAATTACGCAAATTTCAACATCAAAAGACTGACAAAACATCGCATGATAACTTTAATACAATTACGTATGGCAACTCGCAGTCCAAAATTGATTCCTATTTTTATTACGGAGCAGAATTGCACGACCAAGGTAAAAATGAAATGATGTCTATCGTGAGTGGATTTAAAACACAGACATCGCAAATGCCACCTTGCACACAAGTTCAGGGTGCGTTTGATCCATTGATGGACTTTGCCTGGAATGAATTAAAGTGATAATGGTGCACATATTTGTTCGAGTCGATGCATTTGGCCAGAGATCATGCATCCTATTCAAGTATTTATTTTTAGTGCACTTGAATGAAGTTTAAGGGTTTCACGTACAATGTATTATCCAAGTGTAATGAAATTACCGTGTTATCAGGGGTATGTATCAGTGTGAAAATGACAAAAAAGTTTAAGCTCAATTGCCAAAGCTTTGAGTGAGGAGTGTATAATAGCAATCTGTAGGTCTGATCTAGAACATTCGACCGGCCGAGCAATAATGAGCACGGAGTCGATATATTGTCGGAGCGTCTATTCTATTTTGCCTGTAGCATGTGAATTGAATACATGCTATAGGTTTGCACTCGAACACGTAGAGCACAAGATTCAACCATACGGGTTGATGGATGTTCAAGCGTGAGCAATGGTGCTTGGCCAGCAGTCAGGTGTATTGAGTGAGTCATTGGCATGACAGCTGTGTAACAGTTGGATTCACCTTTTCATGTTGCAATGCTCGAATACAGATGGAATGGCTATGAGGCAGACTATAATGTATTAGGTTTAAACTCGTATAATTGCTTTTCACATGACCCTACTAAAATAGTTTGGGGTAGCTTTCAAGAGTTTGAGCCATATGCTGGATGTCTAATAGCTGTATTCACGTAGAATGAAACCCAATAGGAACTGATAAATGTTCAAAGTAACATTCACAAAGTTCCAGTATATATCACGCTTGTTTAATCTCCAACTCTCCTTTCTTCCAAACCAAACATTATGCCATTGTATGATGGGTATAAAAACAGCAGGCATACTCTTGAGATGTACAATCATTTCTTTTGGACTGATCGCGAATATATACCTGATTTTAGAATGCAGAGTTTGTAGTTGTATTGGCGACATTGAACTCAATATCTGGATTACAATGCATAATCTGGTTTCAGATTTGTGTTCGTACAATGTGTGGCTATGCCAAAAAAGACCAATTTTGGCTTGAAACTGTAGTTTGTGATCATCACATAATGGACATTGTATTTATTGAATTGGAATGTTTATTCTAGTCAGTTTTCAACAAGACACTGAATATTCGACCATTGTTTATGCCGAGCCAAAAGATGGCCAATGCATAATAAATGTAAATGTTATTTTACGTGAGCACGGCGTAGTTTCCAGTGTAAATTCAAGTGTTTGAAGTGTCCAGATTAGCCGAGTTTCTTTTGCAATCTGTCCATTGCATGATTGCCTATGAGTTGCATGCCAAAATAAGTCATGCTGTACTGAATATGAACAAGAAACGGTGCTTGTATAGGGTTTTCGGAAGTGATGCAATATACGGGAATTCTTGCAACAGTGGCTGTCTTGATTAAGCAACCCTTGTATGCCCCAAGTTTGATTACAGTCCATAACACTTGATAAATTCTGTAAACTCGATAGCTAATAAAAGTAGTGCGCAGCAAGGATAACATGATTCGACGTTTATTAATTCATAAGTGCATCAACCGGATAACGGCTTAACCGCTTTGTTAGCAGTTCACCAACTTCTTTACTATTGCTTTCACTCGCTACTAATCTCTACGTGGTGCCCGACTCGCTCGTTTTTCAACAGTAGTCAGGATTGCCTAACTTGCTGTTCAGATATAGGCTGTAGATAAATTTTGAGCATCGACCAGTGACATTGCCTCGCTCACTCCAACCACCACTTGCAACCCTAGAATACTCCAATCTGCAACATCCGAGCCATTCAATCTTTCTGAGCAGTGCATCTGCCACATTAGCACAGTACAAGTGTATTTCAATTTGCAGGTATTCCAACCTGTAAAGCTACAGCTCATCATGAGTAACCATTCACAACAAGATAAATGGAAACCGCTCACGGTTCAGCAGGAACATTATCTACAGCCACCACAAAAGTCACAATATTTACTCCCTCCACCACCACATCGTGGACAATCGCAGGATAAGCAGATGTTACGTCAACACCAAAAACGTTATATTGATCCTCCACATATCAATACAAACTACAGGGAGCTTGGCAGTCCAAACTCTTATTCCAGCAATCATGATAGTCACGATGGCAATCCTTTGTCTGCTTCTACAGGTTCATATCAGCCTTCAGAACCTGCATCTCGGGAAAACAGAAGGCATGCCAAGCGACAGCGAGTTACACAGGCGTGTGACAATTGCAATCGCAAAGTAAGTATAAGACTTTATTCCACCATTGCTATATTAGAACATAATGATTGGTACTTTGATATAATATGGTTTGAAATCGCATCAACTCAATGTATTCGAAACTGGACAAATATGCTTTGTCGCTAGCACATGTAGTCAAGCAATATCTTTTCATAATCTACTACATCAAAATGTTGCATCCATCCAGAATTTCACTTACAGCTGTACTCACACAAAATATAGCTTGTATCTGTGACTGCTTTGTTCCAGAACAAACTGGCTAAATACATGTGTCTTGCTGCTACACATGGACATGCTCAATTATATTTTCAAACACACTGTCCATCATATAATACACACAAACTATAATCTTGAACTGGAATTGTTCATTTGACATGTCTTGTCCAATCACCAGATTCGTGTATTGCAATCCAACATTTGGGTTTGACTGGGTTGATGTGTCTACAACTGTGCTGTATCTCAAAAATTCAAATATATTCGCGCTTCAGTTCAAGAAACCAATGACTACATGTTCCAAGCATGCAACTATTGTTTCCATGTCAATCGACAGTAGTTAATTCACAAGACTGGCTGTTTATTATGCATTTTGACACTCCTAATGGTTCATTCTACGCGAATACAGCTGTACTATAGATTCATTTATTTATCCATCATTTCCAAATCAGAACTGGCTAGCCCATTACTGCCATACATGTATTTGTAAAATATGTTGATTGTAAATATCATGATTCTATTTTTTGCAGACTGTTGGAATTGCATCGTTTACAAGATCATTATCTGATGGGCAACCATGTCATCTACTTGGTTTAAATCTGAGCCTGTGTTGCTGTTTTTTCATCCATATCTATTTTTAACATATGCCTAAAACATAGTTTATGCGAAGTTTTCTATTATTGCTCGGCATTTTATGCTAAAGTTACTTACACATGTCGACTACTGTTTTGTTATACTTTAATGATATAGAAAATCAAATGCGATGGCGTGTTTCCAATGTGCACACACTGCAGTAGTATAGGCAAAGAATGCACATACGTTCGAGTGACCAAAAAACGAGGCCCAAAGGCTGGCTTTATAGAAGAGTTGGAGGCCCGTGTTCGAGAGTTGGAGTCTAGGCTAGATGGTGAAACATATAGCAATATTATTGTGGTACCAGCAGATAGTTCTAGCGAATACACAGACAGACTCGATGATATCGATATGAGTGACTCTAGCTCTATCCGCGCATCACATCACTCTGAGAGTGGAAATACCCAATTCTTTAAATGCAATAGCTCTTCTCCCAATCACGCAAGCGCAAATGCTTATTTAAAACCTCACGGCCATGATTTTATTCGTCCCAGCCGTTCTCCAACTAGCAAACGATCGCCATCTCCACTTCGTCAAAACATGTCCATATACAGCACCGGCCCACCCAGCATCATCTCAACTAATCGCAGTGTTTCTCCGCTCCCATCTTATTATAAACAGCTAAACGCTTCTCCAATTTCTGCCACACTTGCTCCTCCATCTTTTGCCTATGGAAGCGATGGTTCACACTCTCCATTGGTCGGCAATGCTTGTGAAATCCGTCATAAACTTATTCAGCTCTACTTTAGATACGTCCACTCATTTATTCCCGTTCTTCACAAAAGAAAATTTATAGACACAATAGGCTACGAGATACCACTGCTTATGAATTCCGTTTATTCTATAGCAGCTTGCTATGCACATCCAGACTCTTCTTTTTCATGGAAACCGTTTTATACTACTGCAAAACAAAGCATAGAAAAATCACTTGCTACTCCGTCAATTTCTGTCATTGTAGGATTTTTAATATTGTCCTATCACGCAGTTTGTAAGCCTTATCTTATTTGAATCCATACAAGATTTATCCATGACACACTGCGATATAAATTGTGATTGTGTATAATAACCTAAATAATGTATATTCCCTGTTTTTGTATCTTTTACTACAGTTGTCGAAAAGCAGAATGAGGCATGGGTGTATATGGGCATTGCTATTCAAATGGCTCAAAGACTCGGACTGAGTTCTGAATCCAACAGTGATTCTAGTGCAGATTCTGTGTATGTAAATGAATATCGACGTCGAATCTGGTGGACACTATATGAGACGGATCTCCTTATGGGTATTTTTTATAAGCTTTCGCCCTCCATCTGCAGGTCAAAGTTTAATGTGCAACTTCCTAGTGGCGTGTGGCCACAAGCCAATTCCAAGAACGGTAATCAGAGTTGTTTAAATTCATCACTTGAAAAGCACAAGAGACCTGCAGATCATGCGAAACCTTTGCATGATATGGGTTCTATTAGAAACATGAATATTGATGCCTTCAACTCGGGAATTGTCTATAAAGGATCTATTCAAACACTGTATATTGATCTACTTGAAATCACGATCCAGCTTGCTTTACTAGACCAAAGTGAAATGACAATGCGGATTTCTGGAAGCTATCGACATGGTCAGCCCTCTACTCTTAAAAAAGATCTGGATATTCGGTTAAGTAAATGGATGCAAAATGCACCTGTTTGCATGAAATCGGTTTGCAGCAAATATATTTTGAGTTTTGATGACAAACTCGACTCTCCCCCGTCTTGGAAGATGGCTTTCATTCAGATCCTATACCATTACTCTGTCATTATGCCTTGTGAATCGGCAATAGCCGAGGAAATTGAGTCTTCAAAGCAATACTCGTCTTTGCCACCTTTTTCTATGGAAGGATTATATCCGCAAACTACTACTCACAGTGATCACAAAGACTTTGTTGTACTTCGCCGATGTACTCAATCTGCATTTATCATCACAGCCATTGTAGAGTGTGCATTGATTCAAAACCCAGAATTTGAGCAGTTTTCGCCGTTTGTTTATAACTGTATGAAGTGTGCTGGAATGACTTTGCTGCAATCACTTCGACTCTGTTGCGATCGAGCTCATGTTGGTAACGTGATGCGGTCTGTTGAGGCAGTTTTTTCTGGTCTGCGCAACTTGGCTCGTTTCAACAAATCTGTTCATGTAGCGATTGCTGAATTGTCGGATCGGATGCGTGTTATTTCACCTTACTGCAATGATATGCTTGAATAGTATTTATTTGGAAATTGACTATGTTTGCTATTTATGGATCTTTGAGTTTATTACCTCTCTTTAGACACCTGCTTTTGCGCATTTTCTTTGCAAACCCCTATATTAGTTTTGACGATTTACAGCTGTATTCGCATAGAATGAACCATTAGGAGTGTCAAAATGCATAATAAACAGCCAGTCTTGTGAATTAACTATTGTCGATTGACTGGTCCATATTATGACATGGATGGATTGACATGGAAACAATAGTTGCATGCTTGGGACATGTAGTCATTGGTTTCTTGAACTGAAGCGCGAATATATTTGAATTTTTGAGATACAGCACAGTTGTAGACAGCATCAACCCAGTCAAACCCAAATATTGGATTGCAATACACGAATCTGGTGATTGGACAATACATGTCAAATGAACAATTCCAGTTCAAGATTATAGTTTGTGTATATTATATGATGGACAGTGTGTTTGAAAATATAATTGAGCATGTCCATGTGTAGCAGAAAGACACATGTATTTAGCCAGTTTGTTCTGGAACAAAGCAGTCACAGATACAAGCTATATTTTGTGTGAATACAGCTGTCATTAAGACTCGAGTTACAAGATCGACTTGAGATATTTATTTATTTTTTTGAATTTCATCCTTTTTGTCTGAATCTTGACTCATTAGAATAGAACCAAGTACGATCAGTGCAGCACCAGCCCACCATCTAAGCGTGACTGGTTCACGAAAAATAAGCAACCCACAGATTCCCTAAAACCAAATGATCCATTTTAAAGATGTTAGCAGACATCAATACTTGAGACACATCCAAGACTGATGTATGAATTCAAACAAGATGCGTACAGTAACTATCATGTTTGCAGCATTATTGAGCATAGTAACATGAACAGAAGCATTTGCTTGACTAAGTGCTCTTGTAAATGATTTCCACATTGCAGCATTAGCCAAAACTACACATCCTACAAATGCCAATCGAACCAGTGTTGTCACCTTGAATAGGAATGCATATCAAAGCCAGTTGATTAGTTTGAAGATCGAAACTGAATATTAGCTTATAGTGATAGAATAAAGGCAAGATTTGAATACCTGGTAATAGAATTCCAGCGAGTCGCCTGGTAGATTGCTCTTGCAAGGATTTAAAGTAGAGTCGGAAGAGTATGATGGCAGCAATGCATGGCAGATGGTTTCATAAACAATACCGCCTGTTACGGGAGAAGTGTTTGATGCAAGCTTAGCAAGCACAGAGGCAAGTGCAGCAAGGATGCCAGAAACAACTGCTGCAAAGAAGAACCTGTGTTGACCCAGAGCATTGCCCGAGTTGACAGAAACAGTTTCCATCCAAAGCAATTTGATTCTCCAATAACAACTCGCTTTGAATGGCGATATTATGCCAATTCAAGCGCTGAATTCGGCAATCTCGATAAAAGGTACTGCAAACTATCCATTAATATCTCGGCATAATTCCACCAATATTTGAGTATAAACCCATCGATTGCTGTGACTGGACGAAAGCATTTTGTATTCTAGGCTCAGTAGCCACGAATAGCGAATTCAAACGTAACCCCAAACTTTTTATCCAGTGTAGATAACATGCCAGTCTATTTCACTCTTCAGTTGGGCGATGATGGTTCACCAGAACATCCTAAAGAGGCATGTTTCCTGTTTACTTTGATGGCCTTTATCATCCATCTTGGTTTATTGACCATTAGATACGGCTGGGTTAACCCTGGAATAGTTTCTGAATCTAAAGATGAATACCAATGAGTAAAGAATTAGATGTCATTTATGGTATTAACTTGGTTTCTATTGTATAGTTCTGTCGACTTCCTCCACCTTCAAAAAAATCTGGCTACATCTTGCGTTTTGTTATTATTGCTGGATCTAAAGCATCGTGCTCTCCTATCCTCGTTACAAACTATCCTGCTCAGGGGTAAGCCAAATACTGACACATTTGTATTCTACAAACGACTGCTCAAACTAAAGCTGATTTCGTATTGTATCTTGTCAATACTTGCATGTTCAGTGTGATGCTAATCCTATGTATGGTTGGCGTTTTTATTCAGATCCCTGTTTGCTCGCAATCAATTTCAGAACATTAGGCAGGTTACATTTACCCTTTTACTCGGGGTATTAGTGCTTTGGCTGATTTGTTAAAGATTGTCATGACTAATATGTTGAGATTGATACTGATTATTGTAGGTTCAAAACAGATGGCCGTTCAGATGCATTTTGTGAAATCTGTATTGAAACTCCAGGTGCCTATGAGTACAACATCGAGTATACTGACTGGGAGTTGAATGCTCAAGTCAAATCTGTAGTTACTGGCTATTTTGTGGTCGATCCTCGCTTGTATCTACCAAATGACTCGATTTTAGATCCAACCAAGACAGTCGAGTCTGCATCAAATTCAACTATTTTACCTTTGGACGGTATTACAATCCTTAGTGTGGTTCCAAAATGGATGCCAACTTTATCTGGCTGGCCTGCGTTTTTTGATGAATTCGCCGAGGCTGGCTACAATATGGTTCACTTTGCACCACTCAATCAGCGCGGTATTTCAAACTCACCATACTCGATATATGATCAGCTGGCTTTTTCTGAAGATCTGTTTGATCAGAAAAATCTTACAGAGCCAGAAAAGGAAGAGATTATGAAGAATATGGTCAAAACTATCCATTCCAAAAATAAGATTCTGAGTATCACTGATATTGTTTGGAACCATACTGCCTGCAATAGTTCTTGGCTGTTGGAACATCCGGAAGCTGGTATATCTTTAATTGCTTTGTATACCATCTAATAATTGATTCGTCTAAACCTAGTTTTAATATTCAACAATAGGTTACAATCTTAAAACTGCTCCGCATTTGAGACCTGCATATGAACTGGACGATGCTATTCTTCAATTTTCAGATGACATTGCAACCGTACATGGTAAATCAGCAACAGTCAAGAATGATCAAGAGCTTGTGGACATTGTTCATTTGTTTTATGCAAAAAATCTATTGGAATTGAATCTTTGGCAGTTCTATGTTGTTGATTCAGCTACACTTTTCAAGCAGTTTCGCGAAAAGTGGACTTGTTTAAAACAAAACACTTTAGAGTCCTCTGAATTTGATCCCAATTTATATCAGTCTACTGATTTTACGAGACTTTCTTTAGAAGAACGAGACCGTGTGTTTTACAAGGATGCTTTTGAAAATCCCAAAACCTATCAAAGATTTTCCAAATCTATAAAGCTTTCTATTGCCATGTCGTTTGTTTATAAGCTTTCTGCAGATCTTGGTATTTCCAATACTGATCAGCAGATTGACTTGTTTGTCAAATTGGTCAATAATTTAAATATGCCATTCTACCACGAGTGTGACGAAGACTTGGTTTGCATCAAGGATCAGATTTTAAATCGTGCTCGATACTTGCGCATTGCCGAGCATGGTCCGAAACTTGGCGAAATTACCAGGTACACGCCTATCGTTGACACCTACTTTACGCGTCTTCCCGTAAATCACATCACTCAAAACAGACATCCTGACGAGCTTTGTCTTGCGAGTAATGGCTGGATTTGGAATGCTGACCCATTGATCAATTTTGCTGCAGAGGAAAGCAAAGCTTACTTGCGTCGTGAAGTTATTTCCTGGGGAGATTGTGTTAAGCTGAGGTACGGAAATGGACCTCAAGATAATGAATGGCTTTGGCAGCATCAAATTGCGTATACTCGCAAAATGGCCAGTATATTTCATGGTTTGCGAATTGACAACTGCCACTCAACTCCAATTCATGTTGCCCAGCATCTTTTGGACATTGCGCGTTCAGTCAATCCTGATTTATATGTTTTTGCAGAGCTATTTACCGGATCTGAAGAAAAGGATATTCTTTTTATTTCTAAACTTGGCATCAATTCTTTAATTCGTGAGGCGATGAATGCATGGGATCCACAAGAAATGAGTCGAACCATCCATCGTCAGGGAGGAACTCCCATTGGATCATTTACTATCCCAGCAGAATATATTCCCCTGGAAATGCTTGGCCACGATATGAATTCAGATTTTTACGAGTCTTCCTGCGAAAGCACCGAACTTGCTGTTGAGCTTCACGGATCCAAACCTCACATTATGCTTATGGATTGCACACACGACAACGAAACTCCATATCAGAAACGCACTGCTGAAGACTCGCTCTCCAATGCTGCTCTAGTAACCATGTCAACATGTGCCGTTGGAAGTGTCAAAGGGTATGACGAAATTGTTCCCGAGCTTTTAAATGTTGTCACAGAGAGTCGTAAGTATAGACTTCCCGATAGCTTTGAGGGGATTTTCCCTGCCAAGTCTATTCTCAACATTTTGCATACAAAGATGGCGCGTGAAGGATACCATGAGATTCATGTCAATCAAGAGCATGATTATATTTCTGTCCATCGAGTTCATCCAGTGACCCATGATGGATACCTTCTTATTGCACGCTGTGCCTTTCGTGGCAATTCCGGGAAATCTGGGCCAACTCATTCTCCAATTATTCTGCGCAATCAATCTGTTCATGTTCTAGAATCTGCTACACTTACTGTTCAAACTGGTGGTCATACTGGCCACTCTTCCAGTCCATATCTACACGATTCCTCCGTTGAATCAGACACTGAAGAACTGATTCCACCCTCTACCCCAACCCAACTGTATCATGCCTTTGATGGTGATTCATTTGACGATATTCTACAACAAAACAGTCAGAAAATCAAGAGAAAAGAGTCGCGACGTGTGCTTGGATACATTTCTGGACTTCCTTCTATACTCGAATTTTCTACAGTGTTGAGCCAGATTACTCACTCGTTTGTGGATTCAGTGGGTGATAATGGGGATGTTCAGACTGTTATTTTAATTGATGGAAATCATTTTGAACCTGGTAGCATTGTTTTATATCGTACCTGGGTTGTTGGTACAGGTATCGAACAAGATACAGTGGTTTTGCCATCTCCAAATCGCGAGGAATTGGCTGTAGCCGAGACCATGCCTACTAGCGGAATTGTCGTCAAACCTGATCCTTTAGCTGAAACTCCAGATTTAAGCGTAGTGACCTTAGATCTCAAATCACTTGCTTTGAACCTTGAAACCCCTATTGAAGGCACTTTTGAGCGTCTGTGGGTTCATTTGGGCATGAACCATCCAAATACTGCAATTGAAATTATGGTACGATTTGGATATGGTGTTCTTGGCTCAAGTAAGCTATGGTTTACTTCTCAAAACAGCAACTGGGCACCTGATTTATACAACGCGGTGAATGATTTGGATGCAAGAGATTTGAATACTGCTTTATTTCGTGTTGCTTCTGAAGAGGAGGATGTAACAGGTGATTCAACATATGATGTACCCGGATATGGTCCGTTACCCTACTGTGGACTTCAAGGAATCGTGTCTGCGCTTGTTCATATTGCAAGAGGAAATGATTTGCATGCTGAATTGTTTGACAACTTGCGTCGTGGTAAATGGCTTTCAGATTATGTTGTAAACCGTTTAAACAAAGCAGTCGAAGCATACCCTGCTCTTGAAAAGCTACGCAACTGGCTGAAAACTCGACTTTGTTTAGTAAACGATATTTCACCTTCGCTGATTCCAAAGTACTTTGCTATTGTGATTATGCTTGCATATCAAGGACTCAAGTATCGAGCACTGACTCTAGGAACAGGTGAACTTTCGCTTAGACAGATGAATTCGGGACATACCTCATCACTGGAACATTTTGGCGAAGGGTGTTTAATGACAACTTATCAACTTTACGGTCTGGTTAATTCCACAAGTCTTTTCCCGAAACCTTATCCGCTTGACATTTACGGCCCAGAAAAAATGAACTGGTCAAATACACAGCACACTCCGAGTCTTGCAGCTGGCTTGACCCATTTTTCTACACATCATATGCGGTGTTGGGGGCGGGACATTTTTATTTCTCTCCGTGGGCTGTTTTTATATCCTGGACACTTTTCAGCCGCCCGATCACACATTATTGCTTTTGGATCTACACTTCGTCATGGTCTAATTCCAAATTTGCTTGATCAAGGCAACAGACCGAGATACAATGCTCGCGATGCGACTTGGTTTTGGATGAGCAGTGTACGTGATTATTGTCGTCTTTCTCCAGAGGGATATGATTTTCTTGGTGTAGTTGTTGCACGTCGTTTTATTCCAATCAAACGGTACACCTCTGGGTTTGGTAGTACTGCCGATCAAGGTCCTGAGCGGGAAGATGCTGATACGTTTATTGAACCTTCTGATCCTAGAACCTATCAATTTACCAATACCATTGCAGAACTGTGCCAAGAAATTCTTGAACGTCATGCTCGAGGTATCAAGTTTCGCGAATGGAATGCTGGTCCTTCGCTTGATCATGCCATGCGCTCTGATGGGTTTGAAATTGAAATTACTACCGATTGGGCAACTGATAGTCCATTGCGCGGATTTACACGTGGCGGAAATCAATGGAATTGTGGTACTTGGATGGACAAGATGGGTGATTCTGAAAAGGCGGGCATATATGGTGTTCCTGCTACTCCTCGTGATGGATCTGCAGTTGAGCTTGTCGGTCTTTTAAAGTGCATACTTGATTGGATTTCTACTGAAGTTTTGATCAAAGGAAAACAGTGGTGGAGATGGGCTGGTGTCATGGTTCCAGGTAGGTACTCTGCTGATTGACATTATAAAATCTGTGCAAATGTGAATTTAAAAGGCATGTATTGAATATGGTTTTTGATTTTAGTTGACAACACGGACTCGCTTATTCAGTACTCAGTATGGAACAATCTATTGTTGAAATCGTTTGAAAAAGTGTTTTATATCCCATTAAGTAAGTTTTTTGTGATTCACCCATCAGTTCAGTATTGAATTTGACCCATCCATTTTGGACTGAAATTGAAACGGGAAACCCAGTATTGATAATTCAACACATTTGCAATTTTGTATAGATTGCAATGACGATAGCAAATACCATGCTGTGCGATCCGAGCTTGTTAATCGTCGTGGAATTTACAGAGATGTTGTATCGGCCACTCTTCCATATACCGAATATCAACTGCGACCTAATATCTGTATTGCTATGGCTCATGTAAGCTTATGTTTTGTAATTGCAGTTTAGTGCTATCTAAAATGAGTACTGACGACTACGGTGCAATCATTTTTATAGGCTCCGGAATTGTTTGATCCGGATCATGCCAGACATGCACTGACTGTGATAAAAGAGTCTCTTCTTGGTCCACTTGGTAAGTCTTGTCGATGCACGTACTTTATCAATCTACACTGTTTTAGGGGCTATATCGTTTTAAACAAAACAACTGTTTGTGCTGTACCATACTCTATTTAGGCATCAAGACTTTAGATCCAAAAGATTGGGCTTATCGTGGGATGTATGACAATGGAAACGATTCAACCGATTCGACAGTTGCTCATGGATTCAACTATCATCAAGGCCCTGAATGGCTATGGGTTATGGGCTACTTTATTCGTGCATATATTCAGTTTTTCACCGTGATTCCTGGTCATGATCCCGCCATGGTGGAAAAAGAGCTTGTGTGGGTTCAGCGTCAACTCCTCACTCACAAACGGCACTTGTTCAACACACAGACCAATCCATTTGCAGGACTTCCCGAACTTACCAATCAAAATGGCGCATACTGCTCTGGATCTTGTGTTACCCAAGCTTGGAGCACGGCAGTTATGCTAGAGGTTGTTCAAGATCTTTTTGCATTAAAGCATTAAATTGAAAACATCAGTCATGTCCGTATTCTGATCCAAAGCTTGGTTATTGAATTTGACGTTTTGACCGACTTTGGTTAAAGATTGTTTGTAATTCCCAATAACTCGTGTTTTTTAAATAAAAAGTACGTTTATTTATTACATGTTTTTACCGGATTTGAGTAGAGTATAAAATATCGATTGATTTGTAGACTCGTTTAAACAAGTTGGATGCTGCATATAAGATCAACTCTAACATTTGAGACATGCAATCTTTATTTTCATAAACTAGAGCGTTAGTGAGGATAGTTTCAGTTCAAAACTAGTTTGATTATGACAGAGTGTTTGGATTGGAAATATTGATTAAACTTGATTTCTAATAAAAGTAACAAAATCCAACTGTTATGTCAAACCAATGGCTAAAGATAAAATGCTCCATTGTGAACATGATTGCAACTAAAAGGTTTATTCATGACAAGAACACTTTTGCAATCATTTGAATGTTGACTGAGATTATTTTATTATTTTTAGCTTTCCTCATCTTCAAAGGAAGATGACATGACTGTTTTACCATAGAATGATTCTAGAGTAGCCGACATTTCACGAGCCGATTCCTGTCGAGACGCAGGATATTCAAGCGAAGCAGTATCCATTGATGGCAGTATGCCAACAACTGAGCAAGCTCGAAATTCTGGTTTTTTTGCTGCAGATTTAGGAGGACTTATAAGATCGCTTGCAACTTGACTAGGTCGTTTTACAGGAGCATAAAAGGAACTTTTATGCATTGACGCTGAATGGACACTTGTTGGTTTTGCTGGCTCAACACCGCACATATCTGAAGCGGCTCCCCATGCCATGCTTCCCTTATGGAACTCGAGTCCAGAACTGGTATGCTTTTTCAACTGTGCAGCCTGTAGCTCGCTAGTGTAAGTGTCCAGCAAAAGACATGTTTTACTCGAGTTGAAGATACTGAGCAGAATCATGCGAGCCATAGTCAAACAAAAGTAACGATTCAATCCTGCATCGAACCCCAATGCATATATGACCCCACTGTACAATGATAATAGTGGTGATATAACGAGACATAAGGTGGTTCGAGCAATATCGTAATGTTTTAAATCATAGATATTATCTCTTGCCATATAGTGTCGGTTTTTCCAGATTTCAAACGCTGCATAGAGTTCTAATAAACCTGAAATGGTATTGCCAAACATATGCATATTTCCTGCAATGTGTGCATATGTACTGGGAATAATGGCTGTATGGTAGAAACTTGAAAAAAGACTGAGGATATAAAAGCAAAATAAAGCTAAATGGTATGCCATAACGCACCAACCAACAACGCGGATGACAGCAGTGGTAATGGAGCTTTCAAAGTGGGTGCTGAGATCGGTGATTCGAAGATATATAAATATCGTCACGATAAGTCTCCAAGCCGTATCTGCTGTCCATTCAAGCATAGTAACGACAACTGAAGCGGTAGCGTGTTTGTTGGAAATAGTTAGCCAGTCGTGAAGTAGTACCATACAAATAATCTCGAACACAACAAGCACAGAAGCTAGTTTAGGAAGAAATGAGCGTATTTCCCAGCTCCAGGACGTTGCAAATAACAGCGCTGTGAAAAAACTAACAATAGATATGATCATAGTCATGTCAGATATGGAGAATAGTGCCAATGGAACCGAAGATGTGCTTTCGCCACAAGAAAGACTATTGTTTGACGCATCACTCATTACTGGAAACCAGATACTTGGCAACTGATGCTCGCGTAGTAGTAAAAGGGTTGAGCTTAAACAAGTAGTCTAATTCACCAAATTAAAATTTGTAGTGATTTGGAAAGTTTATAAAATTGAGTTGGATTTGAAGAATCTAAATATGGATAAATATTAAAAGAGCTTTGCTGTAGTTTGGTTCAAAGCAGATATGAAATAAGGTGACTAGTGCCAAAACTGATGTTTTTTGAGTGGACGACTCAACAATGGCATTATAGCCGGATAATTGGATGTACTTTTAAAGACATTGTTTGATGGAAAGTGTGCGGTTTTGCTAGATTTAACCAGTTTATTTTATAGAGTCCGCTAAACAAGCCATTACACTATGTTTAGCACAACTATTCAGATATCCAAAATCATAACGATTCAAATAAAGAATCCAGTCTGGCATCAGCCTTGACAAGTACTTGTGTTTTTGCTATAAAGTTTAGCCAATTTCAGGCCAGCTGGAAATTGCAAACTTCAATTCTTTGTCCGACAGTTTTGGTTAATGGCAATTTGGCAGTAAAATCACACAACAGATTGCTATATCTTTAGATATTTCAACAACACAAAACCAAACATCTGCATGTTCAATTCTTCATCTGTTAAAAAGTCGCTGGATTTACTGGTTCAACGGACTACTGGATTCCAGGTGACTTGGTTTACTCGACTTGATGGATATCAGAACATAATATAACAGCCAATAATGCACAACTACAGAATTGTGAATTTACTTTTTATATACTTGACTGCTCATTGGATTGTTTTTTGCTCAACATCTTCAACTTATTAGCTTGGCACTGAGAATCTTGCAATATCAGTCGAGTTCGCACAGACCCAACTAAAAAATCAGGTTTTTACGACTACTAATGCCAATCAGATCCTAGCAAAATGTAAAGGGTGAGTGATGCTGTATTACGCCATTATTTACAGAAAACTTGCTGACCGTTGGAATAGACTTGTAGAAAAATATCAGTTGCGTGGTGACGATAACAAGGCAGAAACTATGGCAGAAGCAGTACAAATGCTCGAGTCTCGTGTCAAAAAGCAAAACTCTCTCAATTCGGTACTTCTTTTTACTTGTGTGACGTAGTCAATGATTTGAATCGGATATACTAGACGGAGCAAGTTATTGAAAGTTGTATATTTTCAATTAGGTTTTTGATATCGTTTCGTTGCTACTTAGTCTGTCAAAATCAGCAACATTATACAACTATGAACGCTTGTCTAAACCTCGGATGCATCTAACGCCAGACAATAACGCAGCCATATGGACAGAAATATGCAATGATGCGCCTTTAACAGGCGATCACTGGTCTAAAGAAACAGTTGATACAGACGACAGTGACAACTGGAGTATGAACGAGTCCGAGTTTCTTGATACTCCAATTGATGAAAAAATTCAAGACCATGCTTGTCATCTTCAAGCTACACAAAGTGATTCGGGAATAGTTTCAGCAGCATTTTCTGATTATTCTAAACACAATAGTATTCAGTCCCAATTGGTAGGAATGCCATGTCAGCATATTCTAATACATTTAAAGTGCATTTTAATCACATTTATATACTGGAATTATGCAGAATCAGTTGGATTTAAGACAAGAATGGCAAGAACACGGGGAAACAACAGATTTGCTAGATACAATTCTAGATACGCAATACTGGACAAGTGTTGGCTGTCGAACATTAGTGCAGAGTATGGAGCCAAATACTGTATTGATTGCTACATTATACTGACGCTTTTATCAAACACTAAACTACCCTGTATTGATTGTAAATTATTTTGAAACTAGATGTAAATTATGATTCAAAAGATCCATGTAGTCTTCGTATGTTTATCTATATTTAAAAAAATTGTCATTTTTTGTATTTTGTTCTGACATGGTGCTGCATTTCTACAAACAGGACCATCAATTGCACACCATGAGTCACAGAGCTTCGCGCATCTATTTAGACCACTAAGCTCAGTAAAATATGTCAAAGAACAAGAGATAGTTCGCGAATGCATTTTATTACTTGCAGGTTTGAACACTACCATGTTTGCTAAAGACAAGCAAGGGAAATGGAAGGTTTGTTTTGTGTTTTTTGAATATAATCAGACTTTTAATCGGCTGGGCATTGACTGTCATGATTATGCTTATTAGTGGACGTCAAAGTATAGTGTTACGCATCTTACTGATGATTCACTTGCTAATCTGATACAAAACGGTGTTGTGTCCGTTGCCAACAAAATTGAACTTTTAAGAGTATTTGCTACTAGGTATGCTGCAAATTAACAATCTACTTGAACCACTATAACTATTTTATACACTTACACGTTGAGTCCTAGTATTTTAGAGCAATCTTTTTCGTCAGTCTGGTGTGTTTTTGCCTCGTGTATTCTACGTCATCTTGAAAAATGGCGAAAACATCTACTTGTAATTGAAATGGGTATGCTTCAACCAAAACTTGCAACAGGTAAATAATGAGTAGAACGGTTTAGTTTTTGATACTCGGCATGTGTATTTGAATTCAATGGTTTTAAATCATTAACATTTTATCTGAACAATGACCCATTAGAAACTCAAACCAACTCACTGATTTGGCTTGAATCCCATGTTGCCATGCATTCCATTCCAGTCTTATGTCTGGCAGAACTAATTCAGCATGAGGCATTCTCTAACCCTGACTTGAATTGTTCAAAAAACAGTATTTCTACGTTTACAGCAAAGCTACTTAATTTGATTTATTCTCGCATTACTATAATGCAACTACAAGGAAATATTTGTCAAATGCATTTTTTGGTCGAGTTATTTATTGTGACGCTGTCGCCACTTTTGGACTTTTTAGACAACTCCATGGGCCAAGGAAAAATTGATGATTTATATAACGAATTCTTTTTTAAAATGCAAGTCATACCTATATGTTTAAATGGATTGATTATTACTGTTTAAACAAATGCAGACACTCGGGTGTGCGAATTGGAAAGTATATTAATATCAGACTTTATCAATATTCTAGGGGTGAAGATATTCCAAAAAGCAATCCAGATTATTGGAGTAAGCATATCATGCTACGGTCAAAAGATGATGTTCCGATATTTATGACGCAGTTTATATCCGACATTGTTCACGCCATCAAAATATCTAAATTATATACTAGCAAGGTATTTACTAATCAGATTTGACGAGCTGCTTTTAAAGCAATGCGATGTTGAATAAACTCTAACCATTTGATTATATAGGCTGGTCACTGTTATGACAAGGCGCAACAATCAATTGCCGACATTTTGAAACTTGAGTTGACTGAATTCTGTAAATTCACAGATGTTGCAAATCCATCCGAATGTTTGAAAGTCAAGATTGATGAGTGTTTTCAGAATGGTCAAGGACATTTTGAGTTCAAAGCACCGTCCATCATAGATTTAAATCCAAAAGGTTTGGATATTTTGGTTGAAAACAGATTTTTATTTGTATTGCTGTCTATTTACATTCTCAATTTTCATGCCCATATTCTGACTCTTATATTTATTTTGGGTTTTATCAATCAATTGTTAGACTCGATAAACTCAAATTGGCAGCCATTTGAAACTCTAATTCAAACTGCATTAGCAAAAGCATTAAGCGCATCACTACACCAGAGCCATGTAAAATTTCAAGACATTGTATTCCTTCAAAGCCAATTTCAATCTCATTTGAAAATTCTACATGGTGTATTTCTGCTTCTCATGCCAGATCCTATGTCGTTTTTTTGTGACCAGCTTTTTTATAAAATGGAAAGCCATTGGTCAGGAAATAATGATTTAACTCGAAATCCGTTGGTACTTCAAACCCTATTCCTTCAAGTCAGTTTGGAAACAAACAGAGACCTTCACGCGTACATGGATAACTTTCTATGGCAATGGAATGATGTTGCTTGGATGAAACAACCAAACATTTCCAAACAGTCTTTTTTTTCAAAAATCAATGTCACATATTCGGTATGAATTTATTTAGCCATCACGCATATTTTAAGCGTCAAGACTTTGATTGCATGTTGAATCATCAATATAATTTATACGGATGAATATGACAAACCGAATGGTATTTTTGCCAACAATAACTTGCTGATAAATGTTTAATCCATTGTTGATTTAGTGTCCATGGTCTATCGATCTTATTGTCGGCAACTCGGGTTGGATACTATATAATCGAATCATGAGTCTCATAATGTATATCAATTACGCTCGATTTTGTCTTCAGCGAGTTCAAAGTTGGAAACAGACATGTTGTGGAAACACAGTCTCCAAAAGTGAACCAGATCGAGGGGTCATCCGGCTTCGAATGAAACTCTTGCACTTTTTGATCTCGTTGCAAACCTATGTTATGCATGGAGTAGGTCATATTTAATCTTGCTACATTGCTTGTAAATGCGACACTCGTCACTAATCTATGAGTTTACATTTTGACTTGGCGGCAATCATAGATACTACAACCCGAGTCATCTGTATTTCTAGCCATGGCTACCAAAAAAACAAGTGTAGATGAACTAATTTTGTTGCATTCGAAATTTGTTCGATTTCTGGCTGAGCGACTATTTTTAACTGAAAAGGCTTGGCCGATTCTCAAAGAAATCTATTCCATTCTAGACATGTGTATCAAGATTGGAGGTATCATCGGCACCAATGACCCCTTAGTTTTCCATTCTGCTGGTTTGAACGAGACACCATATCAAAAGTCACAACCAAAAAAGGCAGAGTTTAATGCAAACTCCAATCTTGCTAAGCTAATAGCTATGGAGTTTCAATTGGATGACGCGATACGATTCTTGGTAGACAGCTTAAACGTTATGGCTACACATGTCGATTCAAGCGTATCCAGTAAGATATTTTGTTATGACTTTCAACCTAAACCGAGTCTTAAAATCAATGTGTTTACTAATCGCACTGCTTTGTTGGTTTAATCTAAATCAATAGTCGAAACTCTCGCACTTTCGTTAAGTTTTAAAAATGAAAGATGATGTATTTGATTGAAATTGCTTTGTTTTCATTATATCCTGTCAATGCCAAACTGTTAAATAGCATCCATTGCTTTTGAAAAAATCTTCAATAAAACACTACTGGGCTCGGTTCCGACTGATACACGCACAAGCTTTTTGGGAACATTGTACGAAGCCGCCCACTCCAGTTCTGTATAATGGGCAAGAATGGTGTATGGGCATGCCAAAGTAAAATTTGTACCAAGAGAAGGTCCTTTGTAGATTTCAATCGCATCATAAAAACGGATTGCATCTTGCTCGAGCTTTAAAATCAGCGAAAAAAGTCCACCGTAGCCTGGCATGTCTTTGTTGCAAACAAATTTGGTATATGTAGATGTGTCGACATACTTGGGATATAAGACAGTTTGGACTGTTGTTCAACGTGTTTTCAAGAGCATATATAAAATATTAAAGTCATGCCGCATTGTCATCATTTATAACAATCCCTCAATTCAAACTTAAATTGCAGGTAGGTTTTCAACCATCAACTCACCTTTGGGATGATGATGTAAAAAGTCGCAAATAATCTCTGCGTTTTGATTAATGATTTGGTTTCGTTCAAAAAACGACCTCGAGTTTCTTTCTAAAAAAATGGCATCTTCGCACCAAAACCTGTCTTGATACATTCCCGAAACCATGGCAAACAGCTGAGGATAATGGTTTGATCGAGGATTTAATGTAGCACTGCCACCCATGACATTGCTGTCGCCACTAAACAACTTGGTGAGGCTAGACACAATCAGATCGGCAAAAGGGAGAACTCGCACGTTGGCAAAGTTGCCAATAGTCTCATCGACAATAAGAAAACAATCGTGTTTTTGAGCCAGTGACCATAAAAGCGATAGATCATGACTTTGGAGTAATGGATTGCTCGGAAATTCACAAAATATGGCCGATATCTTTTCAGATACAAGTAGCTTTTCGAGTTTTTCCATATCTGATGCGTTTCCATGACCTAAAAAGTGGCATCCTGGTCCAAACTTTTCTTGTATTTTGAGTGTATCTGTGTATGGAAACCTATCAATTATGAGGAAATTATTTCAAAATGTCAAATTCATGATATTTCACAACTCCAAAACTTCATGGGAGAATAGAGTGAGGACTAAATGTAGTTTAAATGCAAGCACTTGAGCATGTGTAATAATACAAGAATCATTTACCCAAATTGAACACTTTTCAAGCCTGGTTTTAGCTTTAGAATTACACGATGGATATTGTAAATAGCACTCATTCCACAAGGATACAAAAACACATTGTCTTCGGATACAGACGCATCACATGTAGAAACCACAGTTGAATCAGAAGATTCGACATCTGGTTTTTCAAAATGATTACAAACAATTGCAGCAATACGACGACGAATCATGGTTTTAGTTGTATCTGCCATATGAGTATCTAGATTGCGGCCGTATCGTTCTTCAACAAATGTGTCAGTTTCATACTTTGTTACATCATATTGTATTTTTGGTAAAGAGCGTTGCATTGCTTGCATTCCATATGGATCCGAATCGCATTTTTCACCAGTTGTCGAGTTTGATTGATGAGGCGTGGCCAAGGAAAGTTCACACTCGGCCACTTCCATTAGCCTCAAGCAGTGTGCAGCAAAACGTGACGATATGCCTTCGCCTGTATGCTGCCAAAACTGCTTGGCAATATATGCGAAATTAAAAGGGAAAATCACAATATGCAATGTTGGATGTGTGGATACATTAACATCAGAAATCAAAAGGATAGAATGTTCTTTTGCCGAGTGATAACTATGTGATTCAGAAGCAACAGAAAGCTCAACAATACGAATGTTCATATCGGGATTGGAGATGCGACTGTAGATAAAATGACGACATGCTTCTGCTGATTCTCGGTTTGAAAATACTAAACAATCCTCATACACTTTGGCAAAGCGATCATTGCAAATCTCGAATAACTAAAAGGTTAAACGGCAAGCAGAATCAACAACAAGATCCAAAATAAACCTGGTTTCTAGTCATTACTGCTTGTACGCATGAACAGCCATACCAATGAGCCAAACAACAGTCCTACAAAGCTTACCTTTTTCACTAGTGGAGTGAATACAAAGCGAGGATAGCCGCCTTGCATTGCAGCAATCACTTTGCTATCGCCTTCTTCATATCCAACATTGTCGCTCCAAATAGGAAGAGCCACGGATATTGCTAGATTTGACGTGCAGTTTGTCAGTACATGTTGCTTACTAATAGGGCCGGCAAAAAACTGGGATCGCGAATAGCTGTAGATATCTGAAAACAACAGTAGGTAGCAATGGATTTGTAATACATTAATATACCATGATGAGTATGCGGTGGAATGGGCATTCCCAATGGTATGGACTGTATAGCAGGCCGGTTGCTATTTTCATTGTATTGAGATGGGTTGTTGGATGCCATTTTTATGTTTACCAATTTGAAGCCAAATTCTACAAATATCAAGTTTCTGATTTATTGAACCTCATATTAGTCACCAACTTAGTTACCGATAAACTGATTTTAAAATCAATCAAATAAAACTGAAATCGATTTAAACTTGTCAGATATTCATCCATATATTTCAAGCAAAATAATCTATTACAATTATACATTGAGTATAATGAATCTGAAATACTAGTATGAGTTGCGTAGAAACTTGCTCATTCCTTCGTAAACTGCAAATGTAATACATGTTCCAGGCATCACTCGCACAATATTTACTCCCATTCCCTTGTAGAAACCTCCCATCCGTTCGTTTCTAAAAAGCGTTGAGCAAAAAAAGTTATTCACGGTAATCTACAATGTTGCAAAAGCAATATAGTTGAAATGGGCAGTGTGGTTTACTTGACGATCTGCATTATTGTCCCAAATGTTCCTGAATATTGTGAATTCACATAGCTAGGTTGCACCTGCATTCTCGACTTGACTACTTGATAGGGATATGTAAAAACGGTTGCAAATATCTTTGATATGGCCGCCATGCTGATATACTCCAATGTCCCCTGTATACCAAAGACAATCTAGTTAAAACCATAACAATGAATTGCACACAGATCATTCTCGGGATTAAAAATGACAGAATACTTGCAAGTTTATCTATATCTGCGTTATGCACAATTTCGATACGCAAGTGCTTCAATTCTTCGTATATCATAAATTGAACGGCTCCGTGCGAAACACCAATCAATGCGGGAAATATTCCACGATATAGTCCAGCAATGCCTTCATGGCGTACAACTTGAGCAAGCCCATCTATAAAAGTATCGTCAATCTACACAGTTCTATATGTGGGTGATGAAACAGACGAATACGAGGCAATAAATCTACCAAAAACATGACGATAGGCTCCTAAATCCGAAGCACGCTGGGTGCACATACGAGTTTTAATGAGCCACAATGGATTTGTAAATAAACACGTAAGCATGCCTAAACAGTCATTAGATTATACAAATTGGTCTTGAATAAAGAATAGTCTGATCAAGCATTTGAATTTTATGATAAAACAACTTTTTCCAACGATAGTCTTACCTGCACTGGCAGATGCAGCTAGATGCTGGGGAGCTGCCAGTTTTGTAGTTTTTGAACCTGGAGAGTCGGACCGCATCCAGTCCTTGATATTGGCATACCTAAACCACGCACGCATTAGGTATAATAAGATATGCATGCTCAATGTATTAAAACATATTCTAATGAAACCAAAACCTACCACCAAAAATACATTCCCCATGACATTGTGGCTCCCAACATATTTGCAGACATTCCTCGATATAGTGCACGGATACCTTCGTTTTTGGTGATTTCTCTAAGAGAGCCCTTTAATGATAGCCGAGCCTTCAATTTTTCATTTACTATTTCCAGAATACATCAAGACAGTCAACATGGATGATCTACCAGCAGCATGTTGTGTAGCAAGAGTGAAATCCACAACTATACACAGCCATCTGCTTGATAATCAACAGCTGCAATGAATGCAACACATACTGAGATTCGATTCAATGTCACTGAGTCTACGTCTATATCATTTCCATTGAACAGCATGCTAACACAGGATGAATCAAATAGAATACCTTGAAACCGAGTCTTGACCAAATCCAGTGGATGCAGAATAGCAGTGGATACAGCACCAGCAGTGAAACCAGAAATGGCTTGGTCAATAGATGGGTTACGCCATTGGGTTGTAGGTTTATGTTGAATGGACTCTGCAGACTGAATTGCTGTATTGGATGGACTCATTGCAGTTTGACCAAGATTTACAGCCGTATTCACGTAAAATGGATCACTTTTCTATATTCGTGCATTGACTGTTACTTTTCTGAATAAATGATCAAATATTCGTTGCAATTTGCTACTGGAACTGATTTTAATACAATCACAATTCTTTAATAATCAAACTATAGTTTTGGACTGAGATTGTTTTTTGATATAACCATATATTGTGCGATCACCAGATCCATATATTAGATTTGACAGTTGTCAAGTCTGTATCAACTTGTGCATCTTGAAATCACATACATTCGCGTTCTAGTCTAAAAGATTGCAGTAATGCAATTACACATGCCAATCGCCAAGAACAAGACAAGCCAACTAGAGTTTCAAAAACAATACTTGCAGTCACTCCATGAGACTGACAGTTTATTATACACACATTTATACAATTGTTGGTTTCGCATGAATGCGGCTATAATTATACTAGACAATATTTAAATAGCAGGCGTTTACTGGTTTGATTATAATATATTGCTACTACATGATAATTCAACCATGGATATATAAAGATTCATTTGAATTTTAAATTGGAAACAGTATTATAACCTGATCGTGTCGGGGCGAGATATTTAGTCTGGTTAGCCCATCATTTTCCGATTGAACTATGATAATCATTGATCATTGAAGCATAAATAAGATTGTTTTCGGCAACATCAGCATCACTCATGGGCACAAACGTTTGTTTTTCAACATTATTCAAGCTGCAAGGAGATTGGTAGTTTGGATATCGAGCATTGATATAATTTGTAAATGCACAATGATCATTTTCCGATTTGCGCATTCGTTTCATGGTGGCTTTGTCGTACTTCATTTGAAGTGCAAAGTGTTCTGGTGTACGAGATGCACATCGCACCTTTCTCTTATTTTCGCGATCAAGAGAATGGGGTGTCCAGTTTTTGCTGACACCATGGGTGTAGGCATTGGGGGCTGTAGCGATTTCAGTCGCATTGCAGGATTGGTCAACTTCAAGAAGGTAGTTGCGTTTCTGGAGTTGGCGGCCGGTCGAAGAAATACCTGGCATGATCGAATTAGAGTACTTGTAGCAAAGCGGAGCATCAGAAGTTGTACTGAACATATCAGAGACCTTGTATACTGGAGAAATAGTGAGACCATATACAGATATGGGATCTGTAGGTCGTGCTGGAGAACCGTCGCTGTTAAATCCACCATAGGTGTTGGCTAGCTTGGGGTTAAGGCTTTGCCAAATCGTCCACATGCGATCCACATTGGCATGATGAAGCATAAATATAGGATCTGTTGTATAGCCAATCGCGAACCCATTCACATTGTATTAGAATTGATACGATCCATGATGCATCAACACAACAATACCGCAAAGATGATCAAAACAAACTCACCGTTTGCACTCATGGAAACTATGCCCATATCGCCTCCGACTCCAACATGGACATTGTTATGAGGACCTTCCTCAATCGAGTGACGAAAGGCATCGTATGTTTTGGTGGTACTCACCATTCTAAAAATGGCTTCTGGAGTATAGAAATTAACTGTACGACCAAGATTACCACCAATTGTACGAGACAAACAGGCTTCAAACGCAAATTCGCTGTAAAAGTACATAAATGGACCATCCGTAATGCAATTGTCCTGCGTGCTAGAATCTCCGTCACCACCAAATGACCACTCACTCCACAAGGAAGATGATTCAGGGGCTTGAGAATCTACAGTCCAATCCCAATATCTACAAGAGTAATTTTTGTCAGCATGATCTTGAAAAAGTTTAATTTCGTATCTGTAGCAAGCAGGATAGTACAAATACTCAAACTGCAAAACTTTATCTAGATCAAGTCATAGCCATTAACCTAATCACAATGTGCTACTTACGGGAGAGTTCCAGTGTATCCACACTCAGTACGTAACACTTTTTCATACGTGCTTAGAAATAAGCGATGCCATGGCAGAAAAATTGCCTATGCAGACAATATGATCATGGCAGTAAAGCAATCAGTCAGTATATTGGTGTATAATAGTGATTTGAAACTGTACAAATTGAATACAAAGCTTACAGATCCGTGTGCAATATCTAGAGCTCGAAAATGAGTACGTGAAACGTCATCATAACGGGATGGAGAATTAATGGTAGGTCCTAGTTTGCTGGGTGCCATTTTTAGACAGATTACTGCATTAAGATAGTCGATTTGCTGGTTCTCAGTCAGCTCGCGCCATTCGCGGCGAATGAGAGGATTAGTACAAGTACCTGCAACCAAAGCACTTGGTATAGCTATAGCCAATGCAAGAATAGATGAAAACAACATTATTTGTAATAAGTTTACTTTAGGGATCTCAACGAATAATAAAAGCTAGATTTAAAAGGTTTTGTAGACGATAGCAGGAAATGCAGATAAATCGAGGTATATATGTAAATCTGATAACAGGTGGAAATGAGGCATTTTAGCCTATTGAATATTTCGTGGAGCTTTTTAATCCAATCCGTACTCATGTAGAATGGGAGACTTTTCTGTATTTATGTAGAATGGGACACTTTTGTATTTATCTTGCAACCACTGCCTCTTTTACTCTAAAGTAAACAATGGATAAGTACTCATCGTCTTGTTGAAAATTGACTTTTTCAATCAACACACATCCATCATATGATGCACACAAACGATAGTTTTGGACTGAGATTGTTTTTTGATATAACCATATATTGTGCGATCACCAGATCCATATATTGAATTTGACAGTTGTCAAGTCTGTATCAACTTGTGCATCTTGAAATCACATACATTCGCGTTCTAGTCTAAAAGATTGCAGTAATGCAATTACACATGTCAATCGCCAAGAACAAGACAAGCCAACTAGAGTTTCAAAAACAATACTTGCAGTCATTCCATGAGACTGACAGTTTATTATACATACATTTATACAATTGTTGATTTCGCATGAATACAGTTGTAAAAGATATATTGGATAAAACTTATGTACTATCGAGCTGTGTATTGGTATAATTGCTATTACAAATTGGCATGGATTGCTTTGAATTTAACCAAAATAATATTTTTTAAAGTGAATATCAATTTCAATGAAATGTCTTGACAAGCGATATTGCAATCTAATGCTGAATGGCTAGTCAGTTGTAAATTCTTGCAATAAATTTTGAAAATTGTCGTGTTAAACCAAACTCGACTTATTCACGCAAAATCATTCATGACTGCTACTCTGTTGTCCTTTAATGTCGTCAATCGACACAACCTTTCAACATTGTCACTGACAATCAATCACATTCTCAGTCGTGCTCACCATGTTGCACTGGATGCTGAATTCACTGGACTTGGAGATCCGCAACTGACTCGTCAACGGTAAGTTTTTCAAATGTTGGGCTCGCATTGCATCCTAGAATGCGATTCATTTGATTATTATTGGATTATTTCAGAGTACTAAGTGTTGAGATTCTTGGTTTCAAATCATTATCAAAACACTTGATGGCATTGAATCCAAATGTGTGCATTTGATCCATACAATGTTTGAACTTGTTGGTTTGCTGATTTACTCATTCAACGTCTACATAGGAATATTGAAGATCGATATCGAGAGTTGGCAAATGTCGCTCGAACACATGCTCTTGTTGCATTTGGGTTGTCGATTTTTGAGCAGCCAGATCCAAAGCATCATCCTGAACAGTTTACAGTGAATACATTTCAGTTTACTATGCTGTCTTGCAAGGAGCATCGAGTGAATCCATCTAGCTTGGCTTTTCTTGCTGAACACAAGTTTGATTTTAACGATCAGATCAGTAACGGTATCCCATATATGCCTGGAAACGATGTAGTGTATTTCTATTGTGACTTGAAACATTTGATTGCATTCAATTGGCTTATCATGAACATATGTTCAAAAAGCCAATCACTGTTTTATTCTGACTTTGCTTTTATTGTTTATCAATTCAGATTGCTGGTGAAACAGACTCGGGTTTAAATGCTATCATGAGATCTATTTTAAACCAAATTATAATTGGCAAAATTCCAACAGTTGTGCATAACGGATTGCTGGACAGTATGTTTGTTTATCAGAGTTTTTACGCAGAGCTTCCTAAAGATCTGACCATGTTCATTGCTGATTTAAACGGCATGTTCCGTGGTGGGATTTATGATACAAAATACGTTTCCGAGTTTGTCACTCGCGAATCACGAACATTCTTGTCCTACTTGTTTAGAAAATAGTAAGCAGTTGATAAAAGTGTCTTGTGTTGCTTTGAATGCCAAGACTAACAATTCATTTTTCATACTTTAATCGACCCTAATGTGTATAGTGAGAGAATTCAATTGCAGCGTCAAAAGGCTAATGCTCCTCCGTATCTGACTCTTGCCGTCAAGAATCGTATCCAACACAAGTATACGCTTACCACGTCAACTCTTGCAGAATTGGGACTTGTTTCAAACCCAACTGCTTCCAACAAAGCAGGCGGGAAAAACAAGAGCCAAAAAGCAAAGAATATGTATGTTTCTAATCGACCTTATTGTGAGCAATATGCTGTAAGTAAATGCCTTGGTTACATCTTCCATCTTGGCCAAATCCATGCTATAAACTCATTTTGTTGGTTCAATCCTAGGCACACGGATTTTGCAGCTTATACAGTGCATGTGCCAAATCACACGATCTGGACATGATTCTTGATTGGGAGGAAAAAGATATTGCGGCTGCTCATGGCGGACAAAAAGTGCTGCTTGAAAAAGCTGATAATACTGCTACAACAAAATCAGAAAAGGATAGACATTCAAAAAAGAAACGCAAGATAGACACTGTAAACGATGCCAAGATTCAATCTGAACAAACCCCCAATCTTGCTTCATTGGCCACCGAGACCGTTTCAGAAAAATTAGTAGATTCTAGCCCAAAACCTCCAGTGGGACCCGCTCCGATATTTGAGACTTACCATTCTGCATGTTTTGATGCATACATGACTGGATTTATCTTCTGTCATCAATGTCTAGAATGTCCAAATCTGATGAAAGAGCATGGCGATCGACTGTATCTTATCGGAAAAGATATGCCCATTAGAGTAGAAAAAAGTATATATACTAAAACAAGCCAGCAGCATCAAGATAAAATGAAGCGATTGAAATTGGTGTAAAGCAAATGCCATTATTCTGACGACCACTCAACCACCTGATTAACTGACACGATGACTTGAAGGGGTTGACAAATAAATTTGCCTAAGCTCTGAAGTTTATTTCAAAATATCGACCATGACAGATTTGCTCATGAAGAAATATCAAAATCAAATCTAGACCTTGAGGGGAACCACCAGTTTCTACAAGATAAAGCATGGTGTTAGCACATTTATGTATGGGCTCAACATCAATCTGCAACAACAGATGTGTCAAAAAAGTAGATCAGCACAGCTTCAAATTCCAAGAGGTTTGCAAGAGTAAGATACAGTTTAGTACACACTGTTTGAGGTGTAGTGGAAGTCAGTATTGCAGCATATATTACAATAACTTCAACAGTTCAAGTCTATTGATTCATTGCATATGATTGCTGAAAATAAGCGGTGTATTTTCAAAAACAAACAGCATTAACAATTGATAATAAACTCTAGATTGCAGTATATTTAGAAAAGTGGATCTGCTCAATCTATCAGATTTCCATCACTGAATAGACATGCATAAATTCAAATGGGTTTGAAAAGGTCTCGACACTTACGCTTTCGCCCTGACGACCTTCTTTCCACAGAGACACTTTAATGCCAGTATCCTCACGACGATTAGCAATGATCTTTGCATCAGCCTTGAGAACAGAGCGCAGTGCCGAGGCAGAAACGTTTGCGTATTTGAGGTAGCTGTCGATCAGGAGATGTTGTCGAGTAGTGAGCAGAATGGATATCAAAAAGAGATTGAAACAAAAAAGAATTAGGCATGAATGCACCAATAAACCCAGCAGCATCAAGCCATACGTACCTAAGACCGGCCTTTCTCCAGTAAGACATGTTGTGATGGATGGTGAAAATAGTGCAAGACAAGAAAGGCAAGAAATTCAATGTTTTAGGACTGGACTCTATATTATACAGTCTGTTCTGTATGTTGATTGCGAGCACCAAATAATTATCTGCACTTAATCCATCAACCAGCATGACTGCATCTCCTGTGAAAGAAGAGATTGCCTCGAAAGGTACGCTGATTATCCCATCGGGTTTTATATTTTGTAGTTAGTTTATTACCAACTTGGTCTGTATTGACTTGTATTCAATGTAGATCAAGATTTGAACACCAGTATGGACACTGCTGCAGATTACTCTGTGGATGTTGATACTCCTGTTGAAATGGAAACTGTAGAAAGTGAAGCAGCCCCTTCCAACAAGGAAGTTTCCATCACTCTTGATACTGAAACAAGTACAAATCTTCAAATTGTAGAAGACAATAACAGGCTGGATGAGTCTGAAAACAGTACATCTCATTCTAAAGTAGTCAAGGAAGAGCAGTCTAAACATAAGCTGGACAGGTCAATGGTATGAATGGATATTTCAAAGGTTTAAGCACAACCTGTCAGTTTAAAGTTGGAATTGCTCTTGATCTAGATAGTTCAATTCTACGTTTCAGCTTTGGATCTTGACAGTCTAATATTATGGATTGAACTGTACTAAATGTAGATCTGTCCTTTTCTTATTCGTGTATTTGTCAATTCTGAGCGAGTTCACGATGATGCAGATTTCGGCAAAGGAAAACTTCCAACAAATAGTGTTAACATATACTGCTGGTAAGACTCAAACTTTAGATCAACAATAATGCTCTATTAGTCTAATTCGTATTGTGGCTACTCATTCACTTTATAGGAAAGACTCCACTATACGTGAGGTGGCTGCATTGCTAGGACAAGCCATGGCAAGTACTGCTGATGCTTCAGCAAAGCTTATTTTTCGTACTGTAAATCGCACTGAGCACTTTCGAGGTATATTCAAACCACGTACGCTTGGATCCATATTCAATTTCAAGCACACTTTAGATGAAGCTCGAACATTGGACGAAGTTCGATTCGTTCCTGGTGACTTTATAGATGTATCTGTCATAACATCTGGAAGTGGGTTTGGAGGCTCTACTCATACTAAACTTGGTGGTGGTATGAGAAGCGATAAACGCGAGGTGATGAAAGAAAGATCAAGTTTTGATGGAAGCTTCAGAGGTGCTACAATGGCGACAAATGACCATAATACTTCAAGATTTGATCCTTATAACTCTTCAAGGAAAGAGGCATTGAATCGCTTAGGTCCAAGAGGAAGTGATCGTGACTTTGATCGTGGTCAACGCAGGCCTAATGCTCGTAGAGATAATCGATAATAAATACTCAAATTACTACTACTCCAGTATAATTTCTAGCAATTCAAAGCTTTATACATCTGTGCCATTCAACCAATTAAATAAATATCGAGTGCTATATTGATGTTGATCAAATCAGCACCTCAAGCACATTTCATTTCCAATCTATCTTTATTTTTTAATAGGCTCATCTCGAGTCAAGTCCAGCTCATTATTCTGTAAAAATTCTGTTGTATCAAAAACATCAGACTCGTTTAAAGAAGCTGTATTAAGCCGCTCAGCTATACCAGATGAATCCGCGTGATTAGCAGTAGACTCGCTGTCAGCTAAATCATTCAGCTCTGCTTCCATAATCTTTGCGACAATCACTTCAAGACCGTCAGTAGATCCTTTTGCATCAATCCATCCTGACATGAACTTTTCAATCAATCCTTTGCTAGCACCAGTCGACACCACATTGCTGTTAAAAAACGTCAAAGTAACCTCCTTGTTGAGTGTTTTTCCAAGTGCATACGCAATACATTCTTGAGTAAGTAGATCCAATTTGAAGTTGGTGTCGCCTTCAAGACTAAGCCCATACATACTGTTGGTAGTCCATGCTGGAATAAGAGTTGTAACAAGAGTTGTATACGCAGATACAACCAGATCGTGGGCGTCATCTCCCTTGTAATTGGCATATGATCTGATAAGAACGGACCAAATCTTTGGAGAAAGATCAGCATTGCCTCGCAACAACTCCGTTTCTAAAAAACTGCCAAGCCTTTTTTCAGTCATAAGTGGATCTTCAGGGTGACGCAATTGCCCAGCATAAATCATCATGGATGCAGTTGTATTATTTAGTGTAAATTTGTTGGCTAAAAAGTAATCGAGAATTCCCCACGCAGAATCCAATTGCTCTAAAGCAAGCCAGTATTTGAGCCATATGGTTTTTAAATCTCTAATTAATGCAGTAAGCAGTTAGCCTCGACAATTCATACTTGTATACAAAATATTCGATAGTAATACATAATCTTCACGGTTAAAACCTAAAAATAACCTACTTTTTGTCAGTAGCGTTGTTACTTGAATTGTATCTTTTGATCGTTTTATAAATTAACTTTGAGTTTGCTTTGGTTTCTGCCAAAGCATCAACTAAAGCCAACAAGGTTTCGCCTCGCATTGGTATATTTTTCAAATACAAATGTTGACGAATCTTTTGAACTGCATACGGCTGGTGCAGTCGACCAAATATGAAAAACCACATTTCAAATGTTTCTATAGATGGTAAAACTCCACCTTGACGCATGTTAGTAAAAACCCTCCAGATTTTAGATTGGGTTGGAGTTTTAGTTGCAGTAAAAGAGTTGATGGATTTTTCAGATGACTGGGACAAATCGGTATTTAAATCCGGTGTCTGATGAAACTCATCTAATGAAAAGATTGAGCAAGGAACAAGAGTTAGACGAGCATCGTGTATCTCTTTAGTCTGAAGAGCAATCATTGCATTGTATCCCTCAATAGACAATCCAACGGGTTTAATCTTGTTCAACTCTAAAGCATGTTTAGATTCGTGAGTTTTAGCACTGTCTTTGCTGGCGATACTTGGATTTGAATCTATGGCTGTATTTTCTCCTGTAGATCCAGACAGGTCTTTGACAATTAACCCTTCAGATGCACTTTTCTTTAGCCCAGATTCAACCGCCAGATTGTCATTAAAAGCGTCGTTTTCAGATAATGATTGCTCTGGCAACAAAGACTCTTGATCATCAGCATCGGTCACACTAATGGCTGGTTTTTGATGTGCATGATAGTAATGAGATTTGGCCAAATCATAATCCTTTTGACAAATCGCCATCATGACACGAGCAGACCAAACAGTTGATGTTGGCTCAAATCCAAGATCAGTATAGTCTTGAATAATCATTTCAATTTTAGACTTGAGCTCATCGGGAATGGGTGAGATAGGTGCAAATTTGTTGTGCAGGATAATATCTTGGACGTTTGGAACAATCTTAATCTGGCGTAACATGTGTCGCAAAAAATCATCCATATGGCTTGGAAGAATGGTTAACCGATCCGATGCAGCAAAAATAAATCCAGTGTATAATTTCCATAAAAGACTGAGTGAAAGTGAGCTTGACTGTGCAGACGATGATAGCAAGAGATATGTACTTAGTGGAATAGATTCATGTGGTTGCGTTGATAGCTCCTCCAATGCACTTGCATAGGCTTGTTTGACCACATCTTGTTTTTCAACTACTGCATACCGCATGGACACGGGAAATTTTTTCAATGCAGCAAGTGGATCCATATTCTTGCTTTCCCATGGCATTTCAACAGCCGATGGGTTTGCTCTTGGCTTGGGCGCATGCGATTTCATCTTATACTTGTTTGATTTGTTTTTATCAAACATCTTTTTTGGTTTTCCTTTGCCTTGATGACCAATATCTAGACTGTTTTGTTTGGGTTTGATAGAATGATCAATGTAAGATAAGGATTGTCGAGGTTTGATGGGTTTTTTTTGAAATGCAGTAGGTTGCAAATGGTTTTGATTCGGAGGTACATTTGAATGAGAAAAACTAGCACATCGAGAGTATCTGGTCAGGGACTTTGTCAAGTTGAATGGTCTAGTAGCGACTTTTGGCTGTAAAAACATGCGAAAATAATGCATTTGTACTGTTCAAATGTCAAGTTTATAAAAAATAATTCAAATAAAATTAACCAATTTGTAATCATGCTCAACTGGCCACTAAATTCGAGCTGTGAGAATTCAAGTTGCTGATTAGTATATTTACACCATTTAAACATATATTTATCAGAATTTTAATTTTCTTTCTATTTTAAATTCATTGAAAGTATATAGTTTCCCAAGATACTCGAAAGTTTACGTCGAGCCGATTATACTGAGTGCTGAATCTTGAAAAACTTTTCCCAAATTCACATTACCATTGAAAAAAATTAGAGTTGGCATCCATTTCTCATCGCATTCGACAAAAATGCTAAACTGGTTCACACCATAAGTGGAATCCCTCTTATATCTAGAGATTCGACCATCCACTGTTGATTTCAAAAAGCGTGGAATTACTAGGCAATTTAAATCATGAGTGCATTTCCAATTGAAAGTGCTGGTCAGATTCTTCAGTCGGATGACTCTGCTTGTACTGTTCAAAATTCAGATTCAACACCTTCCCAGTTGTCAGAAACTGCTCATCTCAGCCCAATACCACCCAAAGCTCCCAAACAGCCTGTATCTACCATTCGTCGTAATTGGCTATGCTGTACTTGGTGTCTGACCTGGTGGATTCCATCTTTTTTACTTCGAATCTGTGGTAAAATGAATCAATCCGCCATTCAACTTGCTTGGCGCGAAAAAGTAGCCCTCAACCTCATTATTCTTTTCATGTGTGGCCTGTTGCTTTTTTATATCATTGGTCTCGGACTCATTATCTGTCCAAAAACGTCTGCTCTTTCCCAAGGTGAAATCGATGGACGTACGAGTATTCATAAGCCCTATGTTAGCCTGTATGGAAATTACTACAAGATCCCAGATATTGTGAAAAGTCATGTAACGGATGGCATGTATTTGAACGAGCAGGCTTTAAAGGATACCACACTTGGAAAAGATGTGTCAGCCATGTTTTTTAAAACAGATCAATGGAATAAGCTATGTCCTGGACTGCCACCGCCTGCTCCTGGTTGGGACAATATTCGTCGCGATGTTCCAAAAGAAGCATGCAAGTATATGTTTAGATTGTTAAAGCTTAAAATATATTCATTGTATTACTACTATAATACAGTTTTTGATTTTTGATTTTTTACCAACATTTAATTGTAATCTTGATTCTTTTACAAATGTAGTGACTGTTTGGCTGTTTCACCGAGGAAAAGACAAGATTGGACGTCCAATTGATTACATCGAATTGATCAAATACATGAAAAAAGGTCCAATCGCTCGTGATGCTGCCTTTGTACAAGCCAAACTAGCTGATGATCCTGTAAACAACTTTCTTTTGGTTGGATATGGTAAAATTTTCGATGTATCCACATATATGGACGGACAAAATGGTGCCAGTTTTCTTGGAAATAACATGAAGGACATCATTCGAACTTTGGGCCAAACGGGCAAAGACGCAACACAGTATCTTGAGCGTATCAAGACAGCCGAAGGGGTTGATAAATGGCGAAGATATATGATTTGCCTTGACAACATGTTTTACGTTGGAGTTGTAGATCACCGTCTAGATCCTCAATGTGTATTTTCAAAATACATGCTTCTTATTTCCAGTATTCTTTTGGTGGCAATCATTGGATTCAAGTTTATTGCTGCACTTCAAATTTCCCCCAAAGGAAATCCTGAGATGCGAGACAGATTTGTGATTTGTTGTATTCCATGCTATTCAGAAGGAGCAGATTCGCTGAGATGCACAATCGATTCCGCTGCCACATCCATATTTGAAGATTCGCGACTTCTTTTATTTATTATTGCGGACGGAATGGTGGTAGGCGAGGGAAACAGTATGCCAACACCACAAATTGTACTTCAAGTTCTTGGTATTGATGAAGACGAGTATTTTGATATGTCTGAAGGATTCCCATTTGTGGCTCTCGGTCAAGAGCAATTGCAATGGAATCAGGCAAAAGTGTTTTCTGGTTTATATACAAAACAGGGTCGCCAAGTACCATTTATTGTGGTTGCCAAGATTGGGAGTGCAGACGAGACTCGTCATGCAGGAAACCGGTAAGATTTTACCAAGTAGAAAGTGTGCCAATGTACTTTGCAGTGCTTGTGATTTTAACAAGTTTTATTTGCGACTGGTTTTAGTGGGAAACGAGATTCACAGTTAATTATTATGAGATTTCTTAATCGAGTTCATACCAAGCAGCTCATGTGCCCACTTGAAGTAGAACTATATCGGCATTTTCAGGAAATTATTGGCGTAAATCCAGCACTTTACGAGTTTATTTTGTGGATTGATGCCGATACAGAAATATATCCAGATGCCATCAACCATTATGTATCTGCCATGGCAAGTGACTCGGCGGTAAGACTAATCATAATTTTAGTGCTTGTAGAAATTTTTATGATAGCTGCAGTTACTCATTAACACTTTTAACCTAATTGAAGATTACTGGAATCTGTGGTGAAACTATTCTGCGAAACGAAGGTGACTCGTGGGTGACAATGATTCAGGTCTATGAATATTTCATTTCGCATCATCTTGCAAAGGCGTTCGAATCTCTATTTGGATCTGTTACTTGTCTACCGGGCTGCTTTTGCATGTATCGAATCTTTTCGTCCGTGTCCAAAACACCTATTTTGATTAATCCCAACGTGCTCGCTGATTATGGTGAAAACGAAGTGAACACTCTGCATCTTAAAAACTTGCTAACTCTTGGTGAAGATCGATATTTGACAACTCTGATGTTGAAGCATTTTCCAAATGGAAAGATCAAATTTACTGCAGATGCACGGGCAAAAACCAATGCACCTAGTAGTTGGTCTGTGCTGATTTCGCAGCGTCGACGATGGATCAACTCAACCGTGCACAATCTTTTGGAGCTGCTTACGCTCCACAATCTATGCGGATTTTGTGTGTTTTCAATGCGCTTTGTTGTATTTCTAGATTTGTTCGCCACTGTAGTCGCACCAGCCGGTGTGGTTTATGTAGTGTATCTTATTGTAAGTCTAGTTACTGATGAAGATGCTCAAGTTCCCATGATCTCCATTCTTATGCTAGCAACCATTTATGGTCTGCAAGTGATTATTTTTGTACTCAAGCGAGAATGGCAGCATATCGGATGGATGCTGGTCTACATTTTGGCAACTCCTTTATTTTCGTTTATGATTCCACTGTATGCATTTTGGCGGTTTGACGACTTTTCATGGGGCGATACTCGACTGGTTATCAATCGCGACAGAAGCAAAGGAGAAAATGGTCAATATTCTCAAAAAAACTATGATCCAAAAGAAATTTCAATGCGGTATGTACCTGGAATGTATCCCAAAGGACCGAGATCTGGATCAACTATCAGTTCTACATACAAGGCCAATATCAAGAGCATTGATCGTAGCACACATGATGATATTGATGATGATCTGCCAGTATTGCAGAGACCAGTGTCAAGTATACAAACATCATCAAAATACCAAGCTCGATGCAAATGAAAGCCTATCAGTATTAAGCTTGCTGCACGTATTTAATAGATTCTAGCCATTGCAAACTTGTCGAATGACCCAATGTATCATTGGACAAAACTAATGGCATTTCTTTTGGGAGATAAATTACGTGGATACATTACTAGCACGATCATCCATTTGCTAGCTTCTGAAAATAAAATCTTGAGTGTTAGTGACAAGTGTTTTGAGGTTTTCACAGTTCATTAAGAGATGTGCAAGCTTGTATAGTCGAATACTTTACATTGTTTAGTGCAATGCTTGTTCAAACCCTGACCTGTAGCAAATCATTGGTGACAGACTAAACAGGAAATGGAGCATTCGAGGTTGAGTACTGACAGTATCTAATAAAACAAAACCAAAACTTTTGAAACGGGAATCATTTTGAACGATTGGCAATGCACAGGCTAGTTTCCACATTTATTTCCAACAACCTGCATTATTGGCTCTAGCAACTCCACGAAATCAAGACTTTATTATTGGCAAACGTATCACTATACTTTGTTCTAGACTCTGAATCTATATTGATACTAAAAATACGGCCCTTATTGTTGACAGGAAAAACCGAGTATAATAGGAGGATTTCTCAATATCAAATATTTCACCTGAATTGGATAAGCTATCGAGAGATGTCATTTCTCGAAAAAATAAAAGGATCGAATATATTCCCAAAAAGACCGCCTACGCCAAACAATCCAGCTATATCTTCTAAAGTATTGCCATCTAATCCGCAATTGTTATTTCTGAGCAAAGAAAACAGCCAAGCTGCCCGTTCTGAAAATAAACCACTAGCACCCACTACTCAGCCACAGAGCCATGAAGCATCTGCTGGAAAATCTGCATGTCTGTCATCATCTCAAACATCTTCCCATGCAAACACCAGCTCTGCTACTAATTCTTCACCTTCTGCAACTAATGCTAGAGGGAATACCCAAGGCAGCCCATCGTCATCGCATGGCTCAGCAACTACATCGACGCGCTCCACATCCACACAGCTGGCATTATCCAAGGCAGCGCATTGTGCGACTGCCAGCACAGCTAGCCCCAATCCATCAAGTACAAGAGCCTCTGAAGTATCTCAAAACAGCCACAGTCTACGCACATCAGGTGTTGTGCCTTTATCTACTGCCATTTCACCACTGCATTCGCACGCATCTCCTTTGACTTCAGGAACTGGAAAATCTCCTTCAGATATACTCAATGGTGTTTCAAATTTTCAGCATTCTGTTGGTACAGTGATAATCAAAAGTAAAACAAACTCTCCTGCAGTTTCTCGCAAAGCCAAACTATTGCAAGAAGTTCCACTAGATCAGCTTATGGCAGCAACATCTGCCAACTCGGGAATAATTCCAGAACAGGGTTTGAAATCTACCTTGCAATCAGCAACTAATACGGAACCATTGCCTTTTGGTTTTATTTCACCCAATTCAACACAAGCTGGTCCGTTAACAGGCGATATGAACCGAAATAATGCATTACTAGATCAAGTATTAAACTCATCAGCGTCGCATGCCAAACCCAATGCATCCCTAGCGTGCCCAGCTTCTTCGACTATGACAGAAACAGTATCATCTGACACGACATTTCAGCATAACAAAGGCTTAGTCTTGCCACAACTGAGTGCATTACCAATCATGCTTACTTCCACGCCAAAAAAAACCTACGGTCTTGCAGATCTGCAAATCAATCGTACACTTGGTACAGGTTCATTTGGTCGTGTTCATCTTGTCAAACTCAAATCCAACAACAAATTCTATGCCATGAAAGTGCTGCGCAAAACAGACATTGTAAAAATGCGCCAAGTTGAACATACCATCAATGAGAAAACCATTTTGGAGAAATTGGAGTTTCCATTTTTGGTTAGCTTGCTGACTACGTTTCAGGATAGTGCAAATCTTTATTTTATTCTAGAGTATATTCATGGTGGCGAGTTGTTTTCATACTTGCGAAAGTGTGTTGTGAGTATCTATTTTGAGCTATCCAGTTATAATTGAATTATTACAATGCTGACTCGCTGAAAAATTTAGAGATTTCCAAATCATGTTGCTCGATTCTATGCAGCAGAAGTAGTATTGGCATTTGAAGAGCTTCACTCAAGAAACATTATTTACCGTGATTTAAAGCCCGAGGTTAGCTATTGTTCTGATCATGCAACATATTAATTTATGGTATTCACTAAAGTGATCCTGTTTTCTCCATGAACAATTTGATTCAATAATCTTGCATTTCTAGAATCTACTTATTACTGCTCAAGGACACATTAAGATTACCGATTTTGGATTTGCTAAAATTGTGCCTGATGTTACTTGGACTCTTTGTGGCACACCTGATTATCTTGCACCCGAAATTATCCAGTCAAAAGGATACAGCCGTGCCGTTGATTGGTGGGCACTTGGTGTTCTTATATTTGAAGTAAGTGGGTTTAAAGGCAACTGTTTAAATGCACAAGATTTGTTTAAATTAAATTGACGTTGATTTTCAATAGATGGTTGCAGGATATCCTCCTTTTTACCACGAAGAACATATGAAAATCTACGAAAATATTCTTGCCAGTCGACCCAAATTTTCATCCGTTTTTGATCCATACTGTAAAGACATTGTGAAACGCCTTCTTCAATTAGATCTGACAAAACGGTTTGGTAACCTCAAAGGCGGTGTGTCAGATATCAAAAACCATCGATGGTTTGCTGGATTGGACTGGGCAAAACTTCTTGCGTTGGATATTCCTGCTCCGTATATCCCTCCCATCAAAGGAGATGGTGATACAAGCAACTTTGATGTCTATTCTGAAGACTACGCTCCATATGGTTCCATTGAACCAGATGTACACAGAGATAAATTTAAAGAGTTTTAAAGTCTTTTACCGTCGTATTCACGTAAAATGGAATACTTTTGTATTTATCTTGCAATGATGGCTTCGGAATAAAAAATGGTTGAATATTTGTCACAGTACAAATTGACTTGCATAGACATTGCCAACTCTTTGATAGCCACAAGTTGTCATGCCACTTGCTAAAAAAACATCCAAATTTACCGAAAAGTTTAGAGAATACAATGCTGTCTAGTAAATCTGACATCAATCATTTTACAAGACTGACTGTTTGTGGTCTACTGACACTCGGTATTTCAATTTACGTGAATATGGCCGTGTAACATGTGAATACATGACTATTTCTGACTAGATTAACATTCACCAACAAGCTATTTGCGATTGTTGCGAGTTTCAGGAAAGTAACCCCGACACGAGCCATCTCGTAAACCAACTTATTAAAAATCAGATTGTATTAGAGCCTCAATCGACGAATATTATGCAGAGGCAAAAAGAGATAATTGCTCAGCATGAAATGCATGCCATGGCAAGTATTATATCACGATTCCTGAATATTACTAACACAGCAGTCCTTATCCAAGCTGCAATTCACCAACCCTTGTATATTGCTTTGTTTAGATAGGGCATCCGTCTATAGCAGATGCTCCTCAAGCCAGTACTACTAGTTTTTATTCAGGTATTGAAATGCTGGATCATGAGGATTCTAGAGGAGCGAGCATTGATACCAACACAGAGGGTTTTATCAAGAAACTGCCAGAAAACGATGATTTACATCCTCTGAGCCTACTGCAGCTAGTGAGACTGTCTGGATTCTGGTTCGGATACCATATGTTTTGGATCTTACAGACTGTTGTGCTTCTCCCTATGCAGATCGTAAGCATTGTAGGGAATGATCAAAAAGGAACTGGTTTGGCTGTTGTTTCACTGACATCTGGAGTGGTGTTTGGGATTACTTCTCTGCTGATTGGGGCTCTTAATGACCGATTTGGATCCTATTTCGGTCGCCGCATTCCATTCATTGCCATTGGGGTTGTGTGCCAATGTGCAAGTCTATTTCTCCTCTGGGGAAGCGAACCCCTTTGGGCTTATACTCTTGGATATCTGGTTGCAAATATATTTGCTGTTGTTGCATCTGTGCCCTACAACGGCTTGTTGGCTGACGTTACTCCCAAAGCCCAAAATGGAGCGGTGTCTGCTGCAACTGGTGCTGCAAATCTGGGTGGATATCTTGTCGGTGCAGGACTAGGAATCTGCGTCCAATCTCAAAGTGAGCTGCAAATCTATGGCATTATAACAGCCATCTTTATCTCAGTTTCCTCTCTTACAGTGTTTGGTGTTCGTGAGCCAGCACATCATTACAAACAGGCCCATAATCTACCGATTGAATGGGGTGAGTTCTTTAAAAGCATGGTTCGACCACTATACCTTTATGTTGATTTTCGACGTGTCTTTATTAGTCGACTCCTATTTCAACTTGGTATCGCTACTGTGCAGCAGTTTCTTCAGTACTGGATTCAAGACTGTGTCGAAACACAGCTACCATCCACCACTGCAGTGTCATATGGATTGATCCCAAACTTGGTCATTGCACCCATTGCAGCCATGATGATTCCAAAACATCGCCGTAAAATTGTGGTTTACATTTCAGCAATATTCATGATAGCTGCGTGTATACTAATCATGACAACCAGGAAGTTTGAATGGGTGTTGGCCGTATCAGCAGTTTTCGGATGTGGATTTGGTCCATTTATTAGCGTCGAGTTTGCCATGCTTATGGATGTGCTGCCCAATGCTGCCGACGCTGCGAGGGATATGAGTTTGTGGCACATGGCCATGGTTCTACCTCAGATCATTGCTACACCTATTGCTGGATGGTTACTAGATATCACTCAGGCTTATGGAAATAGTCAAGGAATGACTTGCTTTGGGTATAAGATCATTTATGCATTATGCATATTTTACTTTTTAATGGGTGTTTTTATGACATGGAGAATTAAAGGGATCAAATAATAATTGGTACCTACGTTGAGTATTTTGGGTACTTTTAGCTTTTCTAATTATAGATATAATATGATTTTATTCATTTCAAAAATAATTTACAACCGTATTCACATAAAATGAAACACTTTTGTACTTATCTTGCAGTCAGTCTTTATTTTTGTTATTGGAAACGTTGGCTTTACACAAGGAATGTTTGGCACGATCATGGCATTGGAGAAATTCTGTTGTTTTCATGCCGATCACCAAGACAGACAATATTGTTCAGTAAAATTGGCATCAGTCAATTCATGAGACTGGCAGTTTATTATGTATTTTTAATGTTTCATTTTACGTTAATGCGGTTGTAAATAAAACTTGAATGATTCAATCGTGACTTTGCAGCACATTTTATCAAATATAATAGTATTGAAATATATAAAAAAGTTAAAGGCATGAGATGCAATGCCCTCAAAGTAGTATTTATAAGAATTCAATCCCAAAATATTATTCATTTTTATTAAAAACAGGAAGACCATATTCGGATCCACGGCGTTTTTGAGTTCTACGCTTATCAGCATCCAACTCCTTCTTACGAGTACGAATACTTGCTGGAGTCACCTCGATCACCTCATCATCTACAGGAAATTACAATACAATCGTGTCAGTTTATGATCAAAAAACATTAGTCTACTAGCAATATGTTGTATTCATAAAGCAATTACCTTGGATATACGAAATCATGCGTTCAAGAGACATTTTTTCAGTGGTAATAAGCTTGACTGTCTCGTCTTTGATAGCTGTTCGTACATTGTTCAAATGCTTTGCTTTGGCGGGATTGACTTCCAAATCATGCTCGCGACTATGCTCACCAACAATCATTCCAGGATACACCTTGGCACCAGGCTCAATAAACAGCTTTCCGCGTGGTTCAATTGCAAGAAGAGCATATGTAGTAGCTTCTCCACTAAAATAAAGAAATGATTCCATACATAATATAGACCAATCGAGTCAAAATTTAAATATATAACCACAAATAAAAACTGGCAGCATACCTGGCTGTGGACACTATAGATCCCTTGCGTGACCTGTCAAGCGGACCCTTGTATGGTTGGTACCCAATAAACATACTGTTTAAAGTTCCTTGGCCGCGAGTCTATAAAATAGGTTTGAATATTAGACTTTAAACTTTTTCATGAAATCTTAAACCCATTATCAAGTCAACTTGCATCGTTTTTAAATTCTGCAGGATATCCAAGAAGACCACGAGTAGGGACATCAAACACCAAGCGCGTACGATCTCCAGAATCAGTATACGTCTTCATCTCGCCTTTGTTGCAGTTCATCTTTTCGATTACAGTGCCTGTGTATTGGTTATCAACGTCAATGGTAACTTCTTCGATAGGCTCAAGAATCACTCGATCCTTGCCAGTTCCCTCCACCTTGTAGATAACTCGTGGAGGAGAAACAGAAAGTTCAAATCCTTCACGTCGCATTGTTTCAATCAAAACACCTATTTGAAGCTCACCGCGGCCCTTGACTTCAAAGGCATCATCGGTTTCAATGATTTCAAGCGAAACATTGGTCTCTACTTCTTTTAAAAGACGTTCGCGGATCACCTGAGATGTAAGCTGAGTACCTTCTCTGCCTCCAAGCGGAGAATCGTTTACATAAAACGACATGGAAATGGTTGGCGGATCAACTGGAACAAAGGGTAGAGGAGTGGTAACTTCTAATGCACAAATAGTATGGTTTACACGAGCGTTGGCAAGACCTGCAATAGACACAATGTCTCCAGCACCTGCTTCTTGGATAGATACTTGATCGAGACCACTGCGTTGAATAATTTTTGTGCACTTTCCTTCAGCAACTACTTTTCCATCCACGTCAAGACTTTTGATGACATCGCCAACGCGGAGAGTGCCAGATTGGACTTTTCCAAGGTAGCATTTGCCAACATATACATCGTTTTCAATTTGCTAGTCAAGGTATTTGGTTATAGTCGTAACAGATATTACAAGCAGAATAGAGTTAGTTTATGCAGTACTTGAAAGTGGTAAACAGTGTTTACAGCCTAGATATAAAAGATTGTATCTAAATTGCACCTACAGTTACAAGAAGTGAAAATGGTTTGGAACGATCAACATTTGGAGGAGGGAGCATATCCACAATAGTGTCCAGCAGAGGATGGATTGTTGTGGGAGCTTCTTCCATAGTTCGCTTTGCCCAGCCTTCTCTAGCAGATGCATATAGGAGCGTGTACTCCAACTGGCTTTCAGACACATCCAGACTCAAAAACAACTCAAGGATTTCTAATAAATAAATATTAATAATTGTACAGCCAAGTTCTGCAGTATAGTCATTTAAAACATGCCAAATCCAGCACAACGAATAAAAACTCACCATCCTCAACTTCAGCTACGCGAGAGGTTGGACGATCAACTTTGTTTAAAACAACAATTGGCTGAAGTCCACATTCAATGGCTTTTGAAAGAACAAACTTGGTTTGAGTCATAGGCCCTTCTGTAGCACAAACAACCAGACACACTCCATCAACCATGGACAGTACACGCTCGACTTCACCACCAAAATCAGAGTGACCAGGTGTATCAACAATGTTGATACGATGACCTTTATAAGTGACAGCGGTACTTTTGCTAAGAATGGTGATACCTCGCTCTTTTTCAAGATCATTCGAGTCCATGACACGGCCTTGATCAGCCACCTCTGCTGCGCCAGACTGTCGAAGAAGTTGATCGACCTATTTCAAGAATGTTGTTTTCAAATGAAACCATCAACTATTTATAAAATGTATGCGTTTCAACATCAACATGATGCAGCATACCAATGAAGTTTTTCCATGATCGACGTGTGCAATAATAGCCAGCTATATAAACCCAATCAACACAAAATGTCAGCAAACCAGTTTAATAAAGTTGACATGATCCAACACAAAAACGTTCATGCACATGGTTTGATAAAGTTTATCGGTGATATCAAGACATGATTGGGAAAGATGAATTCAGCGCATAACCCAATGCAGTCAGCGCTAAAACAAAGTGTGTTGATATGGATCTTTTATGTGCATATGAACCAGTATGGGTAACAAAATAGGTGAGCAACATACGTTTCTGATTTTTTCGAGATCAGGAATATTGCAGCTGATGACACCAGTAGAAAACGCTTTTTGCAAAATATTCGACTGAACAGCAGTGCATGGAATCCAAGATCGAGACGATTGTTTTGAAATGGTGACTCTTGGAGTGCCAGTTATTGCAGCAATGGCTGAAACTGCCGCTCTAGCGGCCTTTTGGCTACTTGGCGCCAACAGCCTGCCAACGATCATTTTTGTTTGAATTCAAAGAAAAAATAGTTTTTGATATTCAAATGATAAACTCGAAAAACATCACCAATGTTGGTGTAGCCCAGAATTGGCCAACCCAGTAACTCTTTACTAAGGTTTACTTGGGAATGGACATGGCTTGAGTGATATATGTTAATGCTATAAATTACAGACTAAAAACTTGAAGTTTGAACATTGTAAATATATTTTTAAAAACAGTTTCAAAGAAACTACTTGTACTGGCTTGTCACTCGCATCGAAGATACTCGTCTACGAGTAGCCATTGAGTCGTGCGGAGAAGGATGGGCAGATCCAATAGGCCCAACACATTCCATAGGGAAGCTTCCCTCTTGTTTTGTCACCATGTTATACCCAAATGCCCATCCGTCATCAAAGATGGTTTTGATAATGATATGATCACCAACATGAAGTTCAATCTCATCGTGCAAGTTGGGGAAATACTCGTATATGACTTCCATCGTATCTGTAACTTGAGCAAAATTACCAGAAAGATTACCGTTTTCTATTTGAGCATTTCTGGCTATTGCTCGTCGTCTGCCAATCACAAACATAAAGACGGCTGCAACAACCAGACCAACGGCAGCAATAGTACCGCCAATAAGGATAGGTTTTTTGCCTGCAAGTAGGCCCGTTTGACTTTCGGAACTGCTGCTGTTGGAGGTGGTTCCCTCAGCATTAGGTTGCTGACTGTCTTGAGTAGAAGCATTGCGTGTACCAGAAGCACCTATGCTTAGTGAAGGTGATGCTGTACCCAAGGTATTGGCGGTAGGATTGGCAACAACCCCGATTGTGGTAGTGGTAGTGGTAGAAGTGCCAATGTTGCCGAGTCTCACTGCAGCATCGCAGCATGGATCTTTGCTTGGATTGTTTGGTAAGCAGTAGGCTTCAATCTCGGCTTTGGTTCCAAATCCTAGTTTGTAATCGCAGATTAGCATGTATACTCGAACAATACAAGGCCTATGCAAACAACTTTTGATGGATAAATACTATCAATGATTCAGACGGAATAAAACCACTCACCACACATGCCAAACTCGACATCCTGAGCAATCAGACAGTCGCGCTTGTTTAGTGGGTCGTTCTTTTTTAGAGAATTGACAAACGACAGATAAGGAGCGGGAACATTTCGAGTAGAGCCAGCAGGGCAAAACTCGGGATTCTTGAACAAAGATTCAATAGAATCTGTAAAATACTTGGCTGTGGCTTGACAGAGTTGGAAAGGCTGGACACCAGGATTACAGACTGCTGAGTTAGCCACAACAAGGCCACAGTTGAAAGATTGTGAGTAGCGAACACCGGATCCATCCCATCCAGGACATTTCAAAAAACTTTTGACAAAAGATTGAAAGCCTGCAGAAGTAGGTGCAGAATTGTGAATGTATGAATCTAGTGATGCTACATTGTTAAACAGCGGTGGATTACTATTATCTTTGCGAACGCTGTATGCTATGATAAAAGTATACAAGGATCATTGGTTAGTATGTGTGATTTCAACTTAATCAAGATGGAATAGTGCATAGTCACAAGGTCCAATATGTCAAGCATTTAGATGTTCGTGGTGTAAATTGAAGACGGGAACCGAGGCGTAAAACGGCATTTACGAATAGTAGAAAGAGCAAAATGCCACCATTCAACAAGCGAATAGACTCACCGGCAAACTGTGGGCAAGAAGTACTGTCTTTGAGAGAAAAGCATTCAGGGTTTTGTGCACCGGTTGATGATACCAACAAGATCAAAACAGCGACTGGAAATACCCTACTGCAATGTGTTCCTCCAGTTGCAGGCATAATGTACGTTTGGAGAGTTGTCAGGTATTTGTAAAAGTTGCAGGTTTGCTTAAAGCTGGAAACCATTGAATTACAAATCGGTTTGCTGATTGCATTAAGAAAGATTCAATGACGCGTTTTAACGGGTCGAGTGCCAAGCTGAACATTCAACTTTATGCACCAGCATGCCATCACTAGCTTAATTCTTGAACTGCCATTGCTGCTGTATCAACACTTTTCTAGACGTTAAATTCAATGCAACTAGTTGAAATGTGTAAAGTGTAATTTATTCCCAATTATATGTTGAACAAATTTATTGAAGGGGAATAAAAACAGTGTATCATCTAAATCAGTCGATTAGGTAAAAACGTATCTGCAGTCTAGCAACATCAAGCAAAACTAGCATTTAAAAGTCAAAAAACATGTATCTGTGACAAAATACGGTCCTTTTATCAAGTGGAGAGCCAGATACCGTCGACTAATAGTAGGACTCGTAAGTTTTGTATTTATCTGCTCTACTCGAATTGTTTACGTCTTCTTGCTTGGGTGTCATTTTCCAATCAGGCAATGAGTTTCTCACCGACTCAGGTATATCCATACATGCAAGTGGGAAGCTTCCTTCTTGTTTGGTCTCCATATTATATCCAAATGCCCATCCGTCGTCAAATTTGCATTTCACGACAACTTTGTCACCATAGCCTAAAAAGTTGCGTAGAAAATAACATTAAAATCAAAAACAGATCGTTTGCATCAACCAGAATCAAATCTAAAAACACTTACGCAGTTCAATTTCGTCAAACATCTGAGGTGTGTGATCATACAGAACCTCTAATACTTCTGAAGATTCTGAAGATTCTAAATCTTCAACCTTCTTTATCGGTTCAGGATACTCGGAACTATCACCAATAATATTCTTTTTCTTCGAATTCTGTCTAGCAAATATAAAATAGCAGATAGCAGCTATGACTGCACCTAATGATGCAACAATTGCGCCAATATGAACTGTGCTCAACCCCAAGCCCATCGTATCAAGGTTTTGAACAGTGCTATTTCCATGGTTTGTCGTATTCGTTAGTGAAGGAACTGTCGTGTTGATTTGCGGTAGTGCTGCGGCTGGTACATTTTGTGGAAGATTGACTCGGTCAGCTCCGGCAACAGTATTCTGTAGACGTGGAGCAATAGATCCAGGAGGTAAATTTCCCGCCTTGACTGCAGCTGCACAACATAAATCTGTAGCAGAAGTATCTAAAGCACAGTATCTAGTGAGTTCTGAAGCGGTACTGAACCCGCACATCAATAGATCGGACCGGATTGCTGGAATGCACTCTGGAACTCGTTGAAGTTTCTCTTGAAAGTTTAAAATTGATGTATCTAATGCTCGTGGTGAAGCTGCTGGACAGAATTGAGGATTACTAAAAATAACTTGGTATGATGCAACGGCTTGAGTAGCAGTGTCTTTGCATAGTTGTTTTGAAGCGGATCTAGCGGGTGGGGGACATCCCTGCTCAAGAGCAGCATGGACAGATAGTCCACAGATCAAAGACCGTGCATATCTCAATCCTAATCCATTCCATGCGGGGCAATTATAGCGAGTTTTAAAGTAGTCTAAAAAGGCAGGGGAAGATCCCCATCCAGTAACGTATGCATCAAACGATTTGGCATCTAAAAAAAGAGGCGGTGAATGTGTATCTGGCAGCAAACCAAAGTCTATCAAGCGTACGAATCACCATAAAAGTAAATAGTTAGCCCACCAAATATGCGCTAATAGCCTCAATGTGGGTCAATGACAAGAGTAGCATATAATCAAGTGCTACTACGCGGAAAGTCGTCATGTATGGCACCAACAATCAATAGTGCACGGTGCCATTCAATATCAAATTGCAAGTTGAAAAGGCTTGCAGTGACTTGTTTGAGCCACAGGGAATGAAGCGCAATAGCCAAAAATAATCTACAAATCCCAAAAGATGTATCAAACCATCATCATCCACAACGGTTTGCTACTAAAGATTAGGCATTGGAAAAATCATCAATGATCATTCATATGCAATAGTAGCGCTGTTTAACTGATAGAAACTGAGTGTTTCGCATCGAGTGCTCAAAACAATAAAAAAGCATTCTGTGCTCGGGTGGCTGGTGTACTCATCAAATCGCCCACCCTAACGCATGTGAAATATAATAGCTACACAGTATTATCCCAATAGTCATCCAATCAACAATAGTTTGTAACAGTAGTCAAGCAGCATCAAGAAACCAAGGTTGTGCACCTTGCATTCATCCGAATCTACACCAGAGTACAACCACAATCCACCCATGCAACAATATTGTGCACTGCTGTGGTGTCACGACTGTGGCCAACTCCAAAATAATGCTCTGGGTTGTCACGTATGAAGCTCGAGATGAATATGAGGAAAACGCGTATTGCTTGTGGTGCCATTGGGTAACAATGCAAAGAAATACTCTAGTCCATCAACAAATGGAGGACAATGGAGTCAAACATGGAACAATGGGATAGTAATGAAGAACATATTCAGTAATATAGGTTTTTTGGGTATAAAACGTACCACCAAACTCTGGACACACAGTGCTAGTTCTTAACGAAAAGCATTTGCTAGGATCCGATGTCGATCGTCCTGGCGATTGAGCTTGAACTCTTAGTATTGCCGAAATCACTAAAAATGTCTTGAGTAGCTTCAAAAACCCTCCTCCATTGGGCATAGTGTATGTATATGTATCAGTAGTTATAAGCAGGTAAAGAAAGTAGTAGACCGAGCGAAAGTAGAAAAATCACAATCGAGTCTGTATGTAGTGTATCAATAAAGTGATTTGACTAGTCGATAGAAAAGATTAAATATTTGATTTCCAAAAATTTGATTTTGTTGTGGAATGATGTCGATGGCTTAGTGTGGGCAGTCGGATATTTTTACGTGAATAGGGTGTAACTAGCTGAATAAATAAAGCTTGGCTACCATTACGCCTCCCTTGCTCCTGTTTTGAGCAGGAGCTACTGCGAGATGACTCGATAGCTTCAATGCAAACCATGCCAAACGGATAATGCTACAGGCATTCTCTAAACGGTTCATCACTGACAATGTTTTAGGTTTGTAGACCAAGCTGATCAAAAATGCCTTTTTAATTTATGGCCATCATAATGTATATAAGCACAAAAGATACGGTATACAGATTAGCTTCCAAACCTGCTCTACTTTTAAATTCCAACAAAATTTGTTAAAAAGCCACAGACCAACTCATTTTGCGAGTTTATCCCACTCAATCAGTTACACATTCAATGTCAACTACAAAGTATTCAAGTAAACAAGGATCTATAGGTTCATTTTGTCCAAAATAACATCTGCAAAAGGTTGCGCTATACAAAGAACGGCAATTTGTGCTCCCATCGCCACAATAAATTGTGGTTTTAAAACCACTTTGATGTCCATACTATTCTATATCGTGTCAGAATATTATGCAGGTGACGTTTTGATGTAGAATAAAAAATGCCATATTTAGTATTGAATGGCTTGGCTTGGAGCATAGAGTGACGAGGCACGCTGATTAATGCGATCGTTAAATACGTCTGTAGGTAGAGGCGGCAATGAATCGTGAGATGCCTGAATAGGGCTAATGCAGGCCATGGGGAAGCTGCCTTCTTGCTTGGTGGACATGTTAAAACCAAATGCCCACCCGTCATCGAATTTGCACTTGACAATAATGTGATCTCCAATATGGAGCTCAAGTTCGTCAAAGAGATTAGCAGCATAGTCATAAATAACCTGCATGGTTTCGGCAACTTGAACAGTTTCCGAGAAATTGGGTTCCAGAGCCTTTGATTTGGTCTTTCGTTTGCGAAGAAAGACAATTGCAAGAATAGTGGCAGCAATAATAGCAACGCCAGCTGCGCTAGCACCAATAACAATTGGACGCATGCCTTCGGAAATCGAAACGCCTGAATTACTACTACGAGAATCAGCAGAAGATTGATCAGTAGCAACATTACTGGCAGAAGGACTGACTGAGCTAGATGAAGGGTTGGTCGAGACAGAAGAAACAGAAGCAGAAGCAAGAACATTTCCAGCAGCTATGGCAGATGTACAACAGGCACTTCCGGCATTAGCAGGAACTCCACAATAAGTAGCAGCTTCCGTCTTCAAGGCGAATCCTGTAAATAAACAGCGCGTTAGTTTAATCACTCGAATGAAATCACCAGATTTAGTTGACACGTGATTCATCCCAACTACAAAAATAGACTGTGGCGTATTTCAATGATGGACGCATTGGTTTGACACTTCAAATACGCCGCTATCCAAACATCAAAGTATAGTCATGCAGGAGCACAAGGATTTATAGCATCAAGTAATTCAACATACCACACATGGACAATTCCGATTGAACAGCAACAACGCATCCGTCTGCTGTAGTAAGATTTGATGCATATCCTGTAGTTTGGGCATCCAGAGTATGTGGGGTGCCTACTGGACAGAAGCTGGCATTTGAAAAAATAGACTGATATGAAGCAACTGTCTCGTCTGCAGTCGTCTTACATAGTGGTTTGCCAGCAGCAGGTTTAGCACACCCCAGCTGCAAAGAGGCGTCCACCAAAAACCCACAAAAAAAAGATCGTGGGTATCTCAGGCCAGTTCCATCCCAAGTCGGGCATGAGTAGCGAGATTTGAAAAACTTTTGAAAGTCGAGGTTTGTTCCAATCGTTTTTAGAACGTACTGGTCAAATGTAGCAATGTCGCGGAATCGCTGAGGTACTCCAGTATCTGGTAGAATGCTAAAGTCTAGAAACAAATCGTCATTAGTCACATGCATTCAAATACATCATCTGAAACATTGTTTACAAGTTGAAATGCAACAATAGAATGTTGTAGTCCATTCCTTTAGTGATAGGTCGACAGTGTCAATAAGAAGTGTAGCATTGATTGATCCTATAAAATGTGCATTAAGTGGACCCAGTAGCACACCATGCTCTATCCACATCACAAACGACCCCTATGGTCGCCCCTTTCGCTATCCACACAATTTCAATTCGCGTGAATAGCAGGCTACAAGGAAACGCCTTTTTTTGCAGCCTCTAGTAAAGCTTTCACTTTGGAATCAGATGCTACTATACACCTGAAAATAGCATAGTGAAGCTAGAAATGCAGATGGATAGCAGTAGACAAGAAAGGATGGAATGGGTTTTGTTACAGTCAAAAGTAAATCACGTACCAGAAAACTCGCCACAGGCAGTCGAGGTCTTTAGGCTGAAGCATTGTGCACCTTGAGCAGCAACAAGAACTAGTTCACTTGCAAAAAGTGCTGCAGTTGCAACATGCAGAAAAAAATGCATTTTCTCAGCAACTATAAAGTAGTCTTGGAAATAGAGTAAAGTAAGGGTGGGCAAGTGATATTGTAGACGAAACCAGTCGCAATGTCAATATGAAGACCGAGGTATTTTTTGATTATTTTGGGTAGAGTTGATAATGCCAAATAATCCGACTTGAATTTCTAGTGTGGCGACAGCTCAAAATATATGCAGTAAATCCGCTGGCCCTACAATGTCTTGTTTCAAGTGTGGTGCTGCACATTTATCATTATTATCCACTATTGAGTGCATGTAGTCTAAATCACCATACACAGCTATTGACCAAGTTGTAGACTGCCGCTTAGAATAATCTATTTCCTAGTGCATCTACTCATTTTTACAGTATACTAGAGACCCTAATTACCCTTATTCGATGTCTTGTTCTGTCATACAGTTTAGCTTTAAAGCATGTTCTTGACTAATGTGCACGTTTATCTAAAATAAATCTATTGTGGGTTTGTCCTTGCTCAAGCACAAATAATCTCAATACATTCCAGCATGCATGGCTTGAGAATATCAAAGGAAACGCATAATCTAGTTGCAATTCAAGACCAGACAAGTGTATTGCAAGACATTTAAACAAGTGATGATCTATTTCATTGGTTTTTACTAGCAGATTTATGTAGTATATCACCGTGTATTTCCAACACGAGTACAATAGTCTACTTATAATGGCAAAAGGCGTGTCAAGTACATATACTAAATACCTGTTTCCATCTTGATCTTGACAAAAATAAACTACTAATCTTGTTGTATAGGCAAATTGCCTCAATATTATATTTATTCAATATATCAATTATTCTGCAGAACAAAGTAGACATACGCCTGCAAGAATCCATTTTTGTTGGCGTTCTTTGGTTTTAAGATTAAATGTCCATACAAAAGTAGGTCCACGCTGCCTTGTTCTGTAAACTGGGCATTCGTACACTCCCTTTGTTTCTTTTTTGTCAACTGGGATCGCCTTGATGTAAATGACAGGCATAGATGGAGTAAGTTCCTTGAGAAGCGATTCTTGTATCATACCAGTACCCATATCCCAGCGCGCTCCTTCCATAAACAAACCATGAACATAGGCTCCTTCACGAGGAGCACCTGAAAACTCTTCTTTTGCTTTTTTAGTGACATCTACAGTCAGTACCATACGATCCAGTGGCCATTCATTCTTACGAGCTGTTGTTTGCATAATAGCCGTCAAAAAGGATTGGGGATTAAACAGACCGGGCAGCCAAACTACCGCGGGCAAGTTAAATTCTGCTACCCATGCCTCTAGCTCCTTGATTCTCAATAGCAGGTCACCATACCACGCTCCAAGAGGCTGAAGCGATGGATACGCAAGCTTTTCCCAACGAGCTGGCACTTCGTTGAGATACAGTGAATTCATGAGCAGCTCCATGTTTTCAGAAATAGTCAAATCACCTTTGAGACCTAATTCAAGTTCTTTGAGAGATCTTCTGATTTCAGTCGTTAACATGCTCATGCGATCGCATTCTTGAATAGCAACAGATATATAAGGGGTTCTTTCTTCAACTCGAGCAATAAGCTCAGCCACATTAAAGCTGTCTGGTAGTTTTTCCATGATTTCTTCAAGAACAATCTTGACCTTTTCTTCTTTGGACGAAGCTGCACCACCTGCAGCATCACGAGGTTGCATTTCCAAAATGGTTTTAAATAGTTTATCTGCCATCTTGGTCAGCACACCAATTTCTGCATTGGGATGCAAACCGTACAGGTAAGGCGACTCTGCTGGTAGACTGTCGTCAATGTATCGGTGATACTCCTTGTAGTCGGACGTGGGTGGACTGTTGAATCCTGGTGCAAGCTCAAAGTTTCCATCAAGCATTTCTTCGCGAAGATATACATCTAGATACGCAGAACACAGCCTACGATCCCAATCATCTGAAATATGTCCACCGTACATAATCTCACCAAAAATATACCGTAAATCAGTCCATGGAACTTTGGCAAATGTCTCGAGGTAGTTAAACAGCACATCAACAGAAATCATCAAATCGCCGGTACTAAAAGGGTATGGTTTGTTCCAGCCTTGAGTACCAAACTTGCGACGCTCAAGAACCACGGCATGGAAGTAGCAAAGTGCAAAAAGAACTGCTTTAAACTCGGCATCCTTGGAACATTTTTCTAGAGTCTCTTGTGAAAAGTTGTCAAGTGCTCTGTGAATATTGGCCTGCATTCCAGTTGGAGGCTCGTTGGTGATCTTGATTGACGCCTGTAGAATAGAAATAGGTATGATGTGGTATGCTGGATCACCAGCAGGTTCTGCAGATAAAAATACACGGAATTGTGGATTCGCTCCAATGGAAAGTGCCTCAAGCTTCTTTTCCAAAGTATGAAGCCATTTAGAAACCAAATGTATGTTTTCCAACATGACCCAACCACCATTTTTGTAAGCAATATCCAGTTTCTGTTCTGCAATAACCTCCTGGCCTTGACCAAGCGACACGTTGTGGAAGTTTCCAAGATCTTCAGAGATGCCGAGTTGGCGGCCAAGCGCTTCAACTTCTTTGACAGGATCAACACCTGGAGAAAGAATAAAGAAAATAGGAGTTGCTGGTGCAGATTCCTCAAATGATTTGGCAAGAGGAACTCGTGCTGCTTCAATAAATCGCTGGCCCATCTTTATACCAACAAAATTACGAACTGCATAAGTCATGCGGTCAGGACGCAAGCATCGTAAAATACACATTTTTTCAAGCGGGGTTTTGTTTTTCCATTCCTATCAAACATTTATATGGATCATGTAAATACATAAGCATTTTAAACATCATCTTGATAGTCATCAAACCATATTCTACAAACCTGAGGTAGTTTTTCATTCTCGGGACACTCGTTTTCACAATATTTTTTCCACTGCTTTGAGGAACCTTCAATATCGGAAGAAAGCGTTCTAAATACTTCCAAATTAGACAGAGCTTTGACCATTCCCCATGCAGGTGTAGTAAGCCATTCCAAGGTACTGTTCACACCAAGAACACGTGGGGCTCGAAGTAAAAAGTCGAGCTCTTGGTAGTCAATATCTCCTTGTGCAATCAAAATCTGGAACGTCATCTGCGCTGTGAAAATCAGCTTGTCGCGCTCAAATAGACCACGAGTGGTATAAACAAACACCATATAGGTAATCGAATCAATTAAAAGTAACACCCGTTCTTTGATATCCTCGCTGGAGTCGGCGCGGTTAATGGCATTTTTAAACACTACTTTGTATGCATTAAGAGAGTACTGATACATGGGATGAATTTGCCACAGGTCGTTGAGCAAAAAGTAAAGAAGGGAAGATCGAGCCGCAACTGGGCGATATAGTTCTCGTGTTTCGTTGATCTTTTTCTCAGTGCGCTTGGCCTCTTCGACTTTTTGCTCAATGTCTGTTGCAGTACTTTTTGTGGTTTCAAGATTTTCAACAAGAGCAGTATCTCCAAGGAAATTTCCTTGTGCAGCCGACAAACGCGAAAGAAGAGCATCTTCAAGCTCAGTCAACTTGATTTTAAACTCGTTTTGCTGTTTGGTCAAATCTGCCTTTGTTTTTTCCAAATCAGGACGTTCAATATTCACTACATCAGCAAGCAGTTGATCTTCCAAACCGGCAAGTGTAACAGTAAAGTTGATTAAAGTAGTTTGTGCTTGAACTTCAGGTGGATAGTGAGGGTTGGCAAGGCGAGTTTGAAGAATGAGTTTAAAGCGGGAGTCGTATTCGACTTCCTTGTCACCCATCTTAACATAGCGGCCCTTTTTAATTGTTTCGCGACCAAGAAGAGGATTGAGAACTGGATCAATGCTTTCAGCAATATCCTCAATGAGCACTGCATCGCCAGAAGACACTGCCTTTTCAATTGCATCCAGGTATCCACGAGCACCAAGACGAACAACCTTGAGGTTAGCTCCTTCACGAGTCTTGATCCAAGTCACACCTTGCAGCTGGGGATCAATAATAAGAGGCCAGCGCTTACAGCTAGTTACCATTGTGGCGTTTTCAAGAGAAACACGATCAGTAGGCAAGCCCTCGTTATTCCATTTGGCAATCTCGGCACTGTTGGTCAAAATACTTAGTGGATCTACACCTTCAGATAAAGGAACTCGTAGCTCATTGTTTTCGTCACGCAGATACTTTAGCCAATTGTCATTGAGCAGCTCTTCACGATAGCGCTTACTGAAACAACCTACATACGAAACAAATGCAGCGGAAACCAGTACATCTCCAGCAATAGTTTTTTCCTGCTGTTTAAATCGCCCGACTGCTTCACTCCAACGTACTTTTTCTGAAGCAAGACCATTGACAAGGCGGTTGGCCAAAACAATGGTTTCTTGGGTACTCTTTGCTTCTTCCTCACACTTGAGCTTATCAGCAGTTGCCTTTTCAAACTTGGCGCGTAAATCACCCAAGTTGCGATCAAGTTCTCCGATCTTGGATTGAATATCACGAAGACGGACCTGAGAAGACTGTAACTCGGCATTTGCCGACTCTAGTGCTTTTCTTTTAGGCTCAACATCACAATACACATGGTAGTACATAACAATGTTGACTACCCATGCGCAAAGACTAGCAGCAGCGAGAGATTTGCTCTTCATAAACTCTTCGTTAAAGTTGGGATCTTGCAAATAAGGCTGAATTGCATCCAGATTGGATTGATCAATGGCTTCCTTGTTAAAATTGATGAGAGATTCAAGAAACGCGTCGACTTTGGCCATCATGTTTTTAGATGCCTTCCATGATCTGTCCTTTGCAATTTTACCTGGAGGACTCAGAAGCACCATGACAGCAGCAGCAACATTTTTGACTTCATCCGAGGGTGAACCAAACGATTTAAGTTCAGTCAAATTGGCCTTGTTGAGTGAGTTTAAAGCATTGGCAGCAGCAGCAAGTGCCGGCTCGGCAGCACTGAGATCACGCATACAAGCAGTTTGTTTTTCCCCAACTTCCTTGGTAATGGCATCCACCTTTTTTTCTTCCTCGGCAGCAATCGCCTTTTCTTTGTTTACCTTTTCTGTGTCAATGGCAACACGCTCAATCAAACGATTAGCTTCCTCGTTTTTAGACTTGAGCTCTACCTCTTGAGTGGCAAGTTTGGCTTTAAGATCATCCACTTGTCCAGCTGTTGCTTGAAGTTTAGTCAAGCCATTCTCCAAACGATCCATGCTTTTTGTCAATTCTAAAGCCTTTTTTTCAAGCATCTCCTTGTACAGTGATATAAGAGCAAGGAATGATTTTGGAGTAGTGTAATTGTATCGTTTTTCGTTGAGAAGATATTTTCTTGATACAGCATTGACACCCACATGGGCAAACGACATAAACTTGGTGACAGGTTTTTTGAGAGGCTCAGAAACTAAATCAAACGCAGAGATGAAGCGATTTGCAACCGATGTCAAAGCCTCTTCTGGCCACTCCTGGAACCAATCAATCATTGTACAATTGACAATCGCAGGGAATTTTCTGCATCTGGATCGCAATGAGTTTCCAACAGGTGAAAAGCAAAGTACAACCTTGAGATTACGACGCACAAGACGAATGAAAATGTCCCAACAGGATTCACGAGTATCTACCAATCCTTGTGCTTTAGCCTCACCGCGCATAGAGTTGATTATACCATCAACTTCTTCATCAGGGAACAAACCGGGAATATTGCCAGAAGCCAATAAATCATTGATGAGCACTAAAAACTTTTCATCCGCGATTTGAGAATCAGTCAGCAAAAACATAATTTGCATCTTCTTTTGTCCTGTCTTGATATACAGGCCCGCCAAGTCTATTTTAAGATCCGAAATAGAGTATCCTTTACGCAATGTGATTTGGAATACTTCCATTTGAGAAATAAATGCTGCAAGTCGAGATAGTGACTGCTTTCCTGAACCACCAACACCAACAAGCAAAGCATTTCCACGAGGAGATTCAAGAATACGATTGATGCGGCAAATGTGGCTCATAGCATCTTCAAAAAGCACCAGATTCATGGCTGCATTGACTTCCTCATATTGGAGCTGCGCTTCATCCAAGACTTTGCGCAACTGTATCCAATCCTTGATTTGAGCGTATTTAGGCTCACCCATACCACCTGCAAAGTGTGCAAAAATATTGGGCTCGGCCTTGAGAGATCCCTGATCCATATCCTCAAAGTTTTTTTTAATAATCTCCTCTTGAATTTTAACAAGCTGTTGCCGATCAGCATCGTCAATCATTTTATCACCGTATGTACGGGACGTTTCATGAATAAAGAGCTGGACAAGTTCAATTGGCTCTTTAATTTTTTCTTTTGTCGAAAAAAGAATACCTTGGAAAATGTTGCTCAAGTCTCTCAAGTTGAACACATAGTGAAACTTTACAGCAGTAGGCAAGAACGTCGATGCTACCTTTTTGTGAAGAAGAAGTGACGCGGTGACAATACGCTCGGAAATACGCTGTAGGGAGGCAGGGAAGAGCTTGAGATGACCTCCCAGAATCTGAAGATAGATACTTTGCAGAGATTCCACGCCGGGGAAATTGACGGTAAAGCAAGCAAAATGGCGCTGAAGACGTGGATCAATTGTAAAGGATCCGGCCGTGGGATTCATGCACGCAACATATTGACAGTTATGAATCTCCTTGAGTGTTAGCTTGGTACGATCGTACCAATGCTTGTAGTCCAAAAACTGGCGAAGCAAGGTATGTGGACTTGCGGTACCGTACTTGTCAACCTCGGGCATGTTGAGATCGTCTAAAAAGTATATAATCTTTTTATTTCCTGGTGGGCCATAGTTGCGACCAGCTTTTTTCTCCAATGGCTTTTCAAGAACTGATTGGAGCGACCATGCAGTAGTGTAAAAATTAAATGGAACATTTACAATCAAACGATCATCACTGTACGAATTAAGCTTGTCTTGCATTAACACGGTTTTACCACAGCCTGCATTGCCAATCAGCAATACGGGTTTGCCATTGTCTGCCAAAAGATCCAGGAAATAGCGAATTCGTGTGGTTTCCTGGGTATGAACAAGTACGGCTTGTAAAGGCATGTCAATATCGTACTCATACTGAGGAACCCGGTCAGTCCATGAAAGAAAACGCTTGGAGTCGGTATCAATGTAGTAATCAAACACAGTTCCAGATGGAGGAAATTTGACAACCTTGAATTCTGAATTCCACCATTTGCTAAATTCGTTGCGGTAGTCAACCATTTGATCTTGAAACACACATCCACCAAAAGCCCAGACTGCCGCAAATACAAAATAAAGCTCAAACCATTCCTTGTCGCATCCTCTAGGTGTATTGGCTGGAACCAACAAACCCTCCAGGATATTACACAGTGCAACCACCATGGAAAACTCTTCTACATTTGCCATCTTAAATCTGCCTGAGCGGCAAACTTCAAGACAGGGATTGACATATCGATCAAAAAGAACTGATAGATTGGAACGTTCAGCTGCATCCTCTCGCTTTTCTAGCCAAGACTGGACATATGGATTCCATCCAAGATCGGTCGTATTAAGATATAAAATACCAGCACGCGACACAGTGGCAGGTGTGGCATATTTAAGATTGCCAATTTCAAAAACAAGACGCATGTGGTTCTTTAAAGGAATACGCTCGTTACTGGCAAGTGTAAGCATTTTGTTGTCGTCCATAACAGTGTTGAGTGACTCAATCCAGTTGGGATCAATATCACCATCCAGGATCATCCATTTGGGATCAGTACCTGGAGCATTAGCCATTTCACGCAAAATGCAAGAAAATAAACCATCTTTCCATTCACGAGTAGATGGATTAATGCAGCCAAAAAGATCATCTGTGTTGACTGCTTTGGGATTGAGATCGGATGTGGTGCATTTTTTCCCCATATTGACATAGGTTTTGGCAAGCATCTTCCAAATCTGAGATTTTCCTGTGCCACTGTTTCCAATAATAAACACACAATGACGCACAGCCATGAGTTCCTCAAGCTGTACAATTTTGAGCACAAAAATGTCTTCGGCCTGTAGTCCATTCTCGACAGTGGCTTTGCGAATCTCTTCCTCTAGCTTTTCATTGCGCTTTCGGAGAACCTCCACTTTAGGAAATAGATCCCCAATAAGACCATGGAATACTTGCAGATCATCTGTGACAATCTTTGGCAAGTTGAAATCACGGAGCGCTCTCATGAGCACATGCTCTTCTGGAACGTTGGGGTCGGCACGTTTCAGGGTGCCGGCAACAACCAACACAGATTTGATAGCACGGAGACCCCAATCATAATGATCTTGTTTCGACAAAAGCTCGCGATTTAGTTTGTAGAGAGTGTTAAACTTGCGTGCTAAAGAACTGGCTTCAATAAATCCTTCAGCCATAAGCATGATTTCACAAATAAGCTCCAGATTGGGAACAACCATTGAGCAAGGTCGAAACAGTGCCTTTATATTTTCGGGAAGCTCGGTACGTCCAGCGTAGCCTACAAAATAAATTTATGGAAAAGTTCAGGACTTGGACTTTAGACACGTTGACTAATTTGCAGTAGAGTTTCAAACAAATAACATTCAAACTTACCAGGATTCATGGTAATAAATTCACCAACAGTACGTATCAAACCAATTTCTTCTCCTTGGAAAATAAATCGTTTTTTCTTGGCGCGGAGAGCGTCTTGGATTGACTTGACTTGAGTAGCAACGACCGACAGTACTTCCACAGAAATACGATTAAACTCATCAAAGCATCCCCAGGCACCAGACTGGGCCAGTCCTTTAAAGATATTTCCAATAGACTTGTAGTCCATTTGCTCAGAGCAATTAAAAACGTATACCATGATTGCAAGTGCTTTACCCAGATCTTTAACGGTTTCTGTTTTACCTGTACCTGCAGGTCCGGCAGGAGCTCCTCCCATAATGAGATGTAGCGACTGAGTCAGAGTAATATAGCAACGATCAGTAAGAGCTGTAATAACCAAACGTGGTGTGTTGCCCAAGTATTCGTAGTTGTATTTGAATCCAGCATCACAGATATTGATAAAACAATCGTTTTGGTCAACATCATCCCATCTCAAACGCAATTGAGACTGCCAGCTAAAGCATTGCGCATTTTCGGCCTTTTCAGAAATCAGCTTGGCAACAATATCACGAGCGTGCACGTCAAGCGTGCATACAGTCATAATCATTTGACGATGACCACGAGGAAGCTCACCCTGAATAAGACCAATAAGCGCAGTCAGTTGATTTACCTGCTTTTTGTAGTAATCTTTCAAGGAGTTTTCATATCCCTCCTCAAGACGACTAAAAGCAGTATTGACTTCGGTGGTCCACCAAATCTGCGTGCCAGCAAGCGTGATTTGGGCTGGATGATCAAAAACCCACTGTTCGCGAGGCTTTTCTTCATAAGATGCAACGGCCTCTCCCATCAATTGTTTCAACGTTGATCTCATATTATCTACAAGTCGGTTAAGCCACATTTCTACTGCTCCAGTGCACTCACACTTGCCGACAAACGGTACATATTCGTCTTCACGAGAGTACATGCCTACTACGGTCTTGGTTACATCTCCGTTTCCAGTCTTGTGGAATTCCAGCTGAGATATACTGTCAAAAAGCTTGGGAAGATGAACTGCAACTGCTTGTGGAATATTTCCCTTGGCCAAAATGTCCAGCAAGTCTGATGCAGATACGAAATAAAATCGAGGAAATGCAAGACGTTTTGTTTCAAGATACTCAGCAAGTGACTTTTCACAAAGTGCAAGCTGACCTTGCAGATGCTCGAGTTTTTCAAAAAGACCTTCTTTGGTGCACGCTTTGACACAATTTGGAGTATTTTGTGATTCGTTCATGAGTGTTTTGTAGCTGGCATCAATGCTATCAAACCGGCGAGAATCTTCAGGTAGTTGTGCGCGAATATCTTCAGATCCCATGAAAATGTTCTCCAGATGTGACCATGTTTGTTGAACCTCAAGCCAAAGCGTGATAACAGAATCAACCGTTGACAAGGCAATCTGCCATTTGGTGATTTGCTCTTCAAAATGAGCAACATATTTGGATGTCATCATAGTTTGTAGCATCACTTGGTTGTCCTCCAAAGTTTCAATTAGCTCCTCAGAGCTACGAAGAAGCGGCGTTTTTGTAGAATCATGAATCTCATAGGTAAATTCCATTGTAGTCCAGGTTTTGTCAAGGTCGTTGAGTACTTTCTCCATGGCAAGCTCCTTTGTGGCACGATCGACAATAACCTTGACATTATCCTCGTATTTGTGCAATTGTAGGCTGAGTAGATCTTGAAACTTCATATCCTTGGTCAAAACAAATGTGACACCAGTGGTTTTCATGAGCTGCTTCCAATGTCTATCACGAATAGCACTGCTTCGAAGCTCACCCACTGCCCGCAAACTAGTAATCATATCCTTGACCATTTGATCAAGACCTGAATAAACATCCCAACCTTTAATTTCTTTATCCATACGACGAAGTTCTTTGGACAAGTCGCGGCACCGATTTTCCATTGAATCTGTGTCAATTTCTGTCCATAAAGTTGTCTTCCATTGGCCAAACATGTACGTCACCAATGAAACAAGATCCCAAATACTTTTGAGCATGCCAATATCTCGACGACATTCTGACAGCTGACGGTAAGTGGGTACGTTAAGTTCAAACAGTTCACACGACTTTTTCAAGGCACTTGCCTCAGTCTCCATTATGAGAACATCAGAATGGACAGCATCCACAACCTCGTATGCTCGGTCAGGTCCAACCTCAAACTTGAATGGAGCTTTTTTGCGAAATTCTTCGCGGAAATTATGGTTTTTCATCTCAAATCGATTGCATTTTTGCTGAAGTATATCCACCTCTTTGGCTTGAAGTGGCGCAACATGGTCTTTGATGGAAACCGACAGTTTTTTAACTTCGGACCATTCTTCAGGAAGATCATTGAGCAGCTTGTGAATTTCCTCGGGCAACTCTACACCAAATTGTCGTAAAAGATTGACAGTCTTGCGCAATGGCTCAAACATTTTATCAATGTTGGTTGTACGATGCTTGACAGCATGCAATAGTCCCATTACAGAAACAAGACCGTCGTAGTCTCCTTCATCAATTTTATCTTGAAGGCCCTTTTTGTTAAGCCTGATAAACCGATTGAGCTCATTGAGGGTAGAAACAGTATCGTCAGACAAATGTTTTGTGAGAGTGTAACTCCATTTTTTGACGACCACATTAAGAGCCTGTTTAAGAGGTCGGACATCCACTCTGAACCAGTACTGGAAAATCACCTCTGGCTCAATTCCCATGACTGCTTTGTGGATAGCTTCAAACTTACGAATCTCGGCTTCAAAATTTTCCAATTGAATTGGCTGCTCACCATCATCAGCTGGAGATGCATCACCTTCGTTGGTTTCGCCTTTGTCGGAAATTTCAAGAAATTGTTTCATGTATTCTTGGCGGTTCTCTGTCCACAAATAGGTGTATTGCTCGTAGCTATCCTTGTATTGGGCACAGTTTTCAATGATACCCTTTACACGATCCAAAATGCTTACGCGCAAATTATCCAAGGTCTCATCTCGACGCATCTCACCGAGGTAAGACTCATTTTCGGCTGCTTCAAGAATCAATTTTTTCTCTCGCTCGCTTGTTGACTCTTGTGATTCAGACGGATCATCGCTGCTGGAAACTGGTGCATTATTTTCCACCGGCATAGCTTCTACCTTGTGAGCATTGTGAGAAATCGGTTTTGCAATAGGAGCAACACGCGGCATAAGTGACGATACATCAAAAATATCGTCAATAACACATTCCATGATTGATAGTAGCCCCTCATCAGAGTCTTCGTCCATGCTTGGAGTAAAAACTAGCATTTCGTTTTCCAACTCTAGCTTTGCTTCAAGAAGTGGTCCTATTTCAGATGCACGATCCTTTTCAGTGTTTTGCAGAATATACTCCATGCTTGCCTTGATAGTGGCCCAAAATCCTTTTTGAACAATATTGTCAACGAATTCAAGATAATTGACCCATTTCTCTGCAGTAGATTCGGCCTCGACAAGAGCACGAGTATCCTCCACCAGACCAATAATAATTTGACCATCTTTTTTAAATGTATCAATAATAATGCCAAACTTGGCGTCTTTTTCTTCAAGATTAAGCAATTTTTTTCCATCTTTTCTCTCAATAAGTGGCGAAGCAGACCATTGTTTGAGAATCTTGGAAATCTGATTCATATTGTTCTTCATGGCTTGCAGAATAGACGACAGATTTCCCACTGTGGCAGAAATTTCGGAAATATACACATCAATATTTGTGGATTTCCAGTTTAAAGATGAAACACCTTGTTCAATTTGCGCATCAATCTCTTGGATTTTGGTTTCAATGAGAGGACGCTCAACATCAAGTACCCCGCTGCGAATACCATTGTACATGTCTACAATGCTTTCAAGCGAAAAAATGTATTTACGGAATGTGTCGGCTTTGGAATAGATTTCAATAGCAGCGGGTGGTGGTTGAACAGCAAGCGCACCAAAGTATCTGACTTCACGAAGCAATGCAACCACCTTGGGATCAAAATTGACTTTTAAAAGTGAACCTTCGCGAATAAGCACAGGTTTGTTGAGATTAGCCTCTGATTCATCAATAATCGTTTCTTTCCATACGTTAAACACATTGAGTTCAAAAGCATCAAGTGCTGTAAGAAGTTCGCTATACTTGTTTTTAACAATGCTGGCCTCTTCTGTGTTCATTACAGAATGGTTTAATGTCTTGAGTTTGTCCATAGCTTTGGTAATACGGTCTTTGAGCTCATGAATCCATGAGACAGTTCCAGTTACTGGCGCCATATTATAGTGAATGGGCGGTCGGTTCTTGTATCGCAAAAATATAGCAGATACATCGTCCAAATCTTGCGAGTACATGTTTAAAAGCTCAAAGTATTTTTGTTCAAAGTCTTTCTGGATATTATTGCGATTTAAAAGACCAGAAAACGACTCTAAAAGACGGAAACAAGAGTATAGACCGGAACAGTCATCGAATGCCTGACACAGAATTGTTCCAATGCGACGGTCAAGATCAGTTATTTTCTCGTGAAACTTGTTGCGATCGGCATCAAATTGGTGGAGAGAAATATCCAAAACATCATACTTGAGTTTACCAAAGCTACTAAGAGCAGTGACAAATTCTGTAAATATCTGAACAACTTGAAAGCTGAGAATCTTTCCCTTGGTGCCGCCAATCTCAATTTTCTCAAGACGGTTGAATTCAATAATGATTTCAAAAAGCTCAAGAATATGCTGGACTCGAACGAGAAATTTGTCCAGACGACCAAACAAAAGACGCGAGTCAAAATTCCATGGACGGCTAGACTCCATAGTAGTTGCCTTTCCTTCAAAATAAGTGCTTTTGAAGGAATCGCAAACACGCAAAACTAGACGTAAACGCTCCGCTGCCTCTTCAGGCTCAGCACTAAACAGTTCTGATGGTTGGATAAAGTTGCGTGCTTGCTCAATAATATCATTGCAGATCTCTTGAAGCACAACGCTCATGCGATTAGGGGTATTATAGTGCTTTGATGATTTCCAAATAAGAAGGAGTGTGTGCATAAGTCCTGGAAAAATTTGTGACAGCTCAGCAATTTCATTGGCACCAGCCAAACGCTCAATTTGAGGCCGAAGTGCCTTGAGATAAACGTTGATATCACTGGCTTCCTCCAATGCTAAAATATATATATGAGTTGGTAAAAAGCACAACTTGTCTCATGAAAATAAATATAAACTTACCAAACACAACCTCGTCAAAAATCCACTGAAATGCAGGAAAATAGGTACTCTTGCTTAATTGCAATACCTTTGCAATTTTTTGAATCTTTTCGTCAGTTAGCTGCTGATGAATGGATTTAAGGTTTGCAGCTTTTGTAGCCCAAAAGTCAATTTCCACCATTGGTCCAGGATTGACGCCTTGATCGAGAGCAGCAGACGAGCTACTCTTGATCACTTCTTTGATTTGGTGAGTCCAATCAATGACTGAAGACTCTAAAGTATGCAGAATGCTCTTGTCACTCTCATTCATCAATTTGGCACCGTGAGGAAGCGGTAGCATAGTTTTTCCCTGTGGTAAAAGTCCAATCAATAGATTAAAATTGAGCATCATATGAAATCAAAGTGAAAGTACATGAACCAATCTTCACACTAAACTACCTTTGATTTTCCAGAAATGACATATACGGCACCATTGAGCTGATGAAAATGACGAAGCACGTCGTTACTGACAACTTCTGGCCAAGTTTCTAAATTTTTAGGATTAGTGAGAAGGGGCAAATAGACTTCTTCCAAAACGGTTGAAAGAAATTCAAGTGGATTGGCTGAAATATCGCCAGTTATGAGCTCTGTATCGAGTTTCTCAACGATCTGAGCACCAGGCTTTTTCTTGAGAAAGTATACAGAGCGGCGTTTCAACTGCGCGGGAAAATTAATTAAAGGAATAAGTTCTTCTTTTTGGTTAAGATAAAACAAAATGGTTGTACAGTCTTTGTCCAGAAACGTATATATAGTTGCACTATTCAATAATTTGTTAAAATGCCATGTATAGCAATAAAATTGGTTAGACAAACAGTCGATACTGAAAAGGCTGTGTAGTGTAAATCAGGATGAACTACGCCAAAATGGCCAATGACCATCTATTTAAGCCGGAGTTTCGACAACCAAATATGCATGCTTTAATTCTAGACAACGCGACGCGTTGAAAGTGATGGTTGTTGAAAGATGAAATACTACATAGGCATGTGTATTACACAGTAGAATGTAGTCTGAAATGACTTGCAGTTTTTAAAAAACATGCACAGTCAAAATATATCAACTATATCAAACGAATGCTCTTGAGCAAGCTAAAAACTTACACATTTTCGTTTACAGAAATGAGTTTTTTCCACTTGTCGTTCTTGATTTTGAGACTATTGCATACTTTATCTTCAAACCACATAACTCGAGAATCTACAGGAACGACTACAGGTCCATTGTCTTCTCCGTCAGCACTCTCCTTTTTTCCTCGTTTAGAGTCATCCTCCTTTTTGTCTTCGGGCATTTCTACAGTAAAATGTACCTATGGGTGTAATGGTATAATGAATGGGCTGTATTGAATGCTGCTTAACCCAAGAAATAACAAACGTATATTAGTAATCTTGATGAACTCTATGTAATAAAGATTAAACTATGACGTTGAATCTAACGCTAAGTTGACTGCACAAGGGATATGGAAACTCCGCCTCGACATATCAAACCAACAAGGCAAATGTGCAGTGTTGGTGAATGTAATACAGCTTACGTATAAAAGCAAAGACACTTACTCCAAGATATTTACGGTATTATATTCTACTATCTACAGTAGTAACTATTGGTTTGGATGAGAAAACGGGAATATTATGCCAGATTCAACCAAATGAAATGCGAATTTGTTGGGGAAGATTTCAAATAAAATTTCAACTGGATCAGCACACAAGTTTGATGGCCATTGCACGATTTGGATATTAACCAGACTACTGCATCAGATTATAGCTACACAAACTGTATGGTCGAATGATTCGACAGATAGAATTACGTTAATAAAACCGACGTGCTTACCACGACTCGTCGTGTCTATTCACTGCAATAAATACTCAATGATAAACTAGACCATTTCACAGCTGCAAGATATTTAGAAAGTTGATGTTTGACTCTTGGCCTGCAAGAAACGTCAAGCGCAATGAATTTATCGCCGGGTTTGGTTTCACCTCGATACAAATCAATAGTTTTCAAATTACTTGAATGGAAGTTGTTCAATCCAACTTTGAAGAGGTGCTAGACTCAGTGCGAGAGGCTATTGAGAATGCAGACTTTATTGCAGTTGATACAGAGTTTACTGGTGTGTTTGATGTACTGGTTTTAGATATATGGATTACACTGTATTACATGAATCACGGGCCAATACAATAGCATGAGCTCTGTCCTGTCAGCAGTATTCAATATTGAACCTTTGAATTCAGTTTAAACCACGACTTTCATCTTGTTCGATATGTCTGTTGGTCATAACATTAGTGTTTTAGTCTTGGACAAAGACTGCCAACAAATCTGAATCTGCCAACTTTTTTTAAATACTTTGGTATGACATGTGTTTGTTTCTAGGTCTTGGGCTTACTCCAAATGAGCGTCTTAGTCTACTGGACACTCCGCAAGAACGATATTTGAAGCATAGATCGGCAGCTAGATTATTCGAGCCCATTCAGATTGGATTAGCTGCATTCAAATGGGATGCAGAACAAGGTGTATACATGTCCAAGCCATTCAACTTCAACATTTATCCTCGGACTGGAAACAAGTTTTTTGGACTGGACCGTACATTTTGTGTTCAGATCTCATCGCTGGAGTTTCTAGAAGGGAACGGATTTGATTTCAACAAGTGGATTCGTGAAGGTATGTAACTGATTTGTTAACTGGTGGCAGTTTGGAAATCTGCCAATCATATGTCCAATATCGGGCTTATGAATGATAAAAGTACATATTCGGATTATAAATACATTGATACTTGCATATGAAACAGGCATTCCGTTTGTTAGTATTACTGAAGAAGCGGCCATTCGCAAGAAACTGGAAACCATTAATACCGAATCTGACATAGTTATTGATGAAAAAAACACGGAATACGTCAAGGACTTTATGTGAGTTTATACTTTTTATTGTCATTATCGACGTCGACTTATTTTTTTCTGAATTTTGTAGTGAGTCGGTACAGAAATGGCTGTGTGAAACTACAGATGAGTCGTACAGTATTTCTACATCAAATTCATTCCATAAGCGCCTGATCCATCAAGAAATTAAGAAACAGTGGGTGTAGTTCTGAGTTTGTCATACCATTTGGGTCATTCCTATTTTATCAATGGTTGAAAAAATAATGACGTGCTGATTACTTGGTTATGTACAGATTTCCTGGCCAGGTATCTACAGAAAGCACCAAATCAGGTGTCAATCTCAAGCGCTTACAGGCCAATCAAAAAGACTCTTCCCATACCGAGTCGCGCCAAGCGTTGCTCAAGGTAACATACTCCTTGATCCTTTTGGCCTTTACTGTTGATAAACTGACTGTTTTAATTCAATCCAGGCTGAGCTTGATTTACTTGTTGGGTTTCGTAAAGTAATTGACATTATGGTTGCCGCGCAAAAACCTATTGTTGGGCATAACATGAGTCTTGGTATGCTAGACTTTGGTCAAATATCTTTATCATTATTGGCTTTTGACCAGATTTTTATTCTAGATCTTTTTCATATCATTCATCGTTTTATTCAGCCGCTTCCAGATACATGGGAAGAATACAAGGACATCGTTAACCGTAATTTTCCCAGGTATAACTGACAAGGTTTTGAATAGAAATCTAGACACTTTGGCTAAGCTTTTTTGCTTATTTAATGTAGTGTATTTGACACCAAGTTTATGGCTATTTCAAACAAAAACCTGCAGACTGCCATTATAAACACCACTTTGGGAAATTTGTATGATTCGATTTTAAAAGAGCCATTTGATGCGCCATCTATCAGTATGTGGTTGATAAAAACGGCAATTTTATGACATCACTGGTGTTGAATCATGTAGTAATATTCTTTCATTGAATGCATCTATTGTAGAATTAGCTATGGGGTTTGACAGCTATGCAAACGATGTGCGTGAGCTTCACAAGGCTGGATTTGATGCCTATATTTCTGGTGTTTCTTTTTTAAAAATGCTAGGATTGGTAGATTCGCTACCAGTATCTACTTCAATTGATTGGACTAGTGATTTTTCACTGCATTGTAAAAACAAACTCTATATAATGTACTCTGATATTCCATTCTTAAATCTAAGCGGCATTGAAGGTACTGGTATTTTGCTTGATGCAACTAATATTTAAGTTGGCATAATTGGGCATTCTAATTTTGGCATTTTAATAGAAATTCCTGATCGTAGCAATGTTTTTTATTTAAGCGAGTTTCTTCCTACTTGGAAAACCAGAGATATTCTCAACAAATTCAAAGAATTTGGCGGGATCACTGTCAAATGGATTAACGATACCAGTTGCTTAATTATTGTTCGTGATCGTAAAATGGTTACTGTGGCAGAGAGGTTTTGTACTAGTCAAGACACAGACTATAAGCTTCGTATATGGGATGGTAGTCATACCCAAACTCCAGGATCACCAAAAGCATCTGCTTCTTCACCATTTTTGGCTGCAGCTAACCCTGACACTGATGTGTCGACATCTGATAAATTGTCGACTTTAATCAGCAAAAAAGAAGGTAATGTACCCATTTATGCATAGTTTAGTTTACATGTCTATACGCTTTCAAATGGGTCTGTGCTGATTTTGTATCAATGCTGGATATTAGTTATGGCTGAACCCAAGTCTGAAATACAATCTTCAGTAAAACGTCGCCGAGAGGAATACACGGGCACTGCGAGTGAGCCTGTTCACCGTATGCGTAAACACAAGCGTGTTTCCAAGAACGGAGTGCAAAATGACAAGTGTCAGATGATGTAGTTTAAGAATCAGACAATCTGGTTGGTAGCAGAACTTTATAGCATGTTTTATTGATTACTACAACCGTATTTACGTAAAATGAAATACTAAACAAGTGTCAAAATACATGATAAGCAGTTAATTTCATATTTGATTGGTGTCAATCTTACTGGACAATATTTTATTTTGAACTCATTAAAGTTGACTGATCTTTGTGCTCATTCTTGTACAAAAATACAGAACAAATGTTCACATCCTTGGCATCTTTTCAACCTCCAACTCCCCTTTCTCTTAAAACAAACATCATGACATTGTGGAACTATTATAAAACCAACTGTTGCATTCTTGAGACGTTTTGTTGAACTAAAGCGCGAACGTATCTGACATTAGAATACAACAGAGTTTCAATAGAAGAAATCAATTTTCAATAACAATGAATATTTAACGATTATTTATTCTGGAGCAAAATAGAAAAGGTCTGCAAGATGAATACGACTGTAAACAACGAGTATTTATCCAAATCATGTTACATCTCACATTTACTATGTGCTGATATATACTGTTTAAACTGATATCTAAGATTCTTTCTATAAAGCTGTAAACTGTTGGCATTTACATTTGGTCAAACAAGGCAGCCTCCTTTGCTGTCATAGTTTGGGGTGCCATAGCAATATCTCCTGGTCGACGATTTCCATCAGCAGATGGCATGAAAATCACCTTGGTACCACTCGATTTTGCCATATCAGCCATGGTTTCCAAATATCGAATTTGCATTGCAGCAGGTCTGTTTAAAACCAGGATCGTGCAATTAGTAGTCTACAATCCATTGATCTATTCAACAGCATTTAAAAATATTTAAAAACTTACGTATTGAGGATATCGGATGCTTCACGCATGAGTTTAGCCGCATCAACTAATATTGTGTTTTTTAAAATGCAAAACGAGTCAGATGTAAATATAATCTACATTGCTTGTTTAGCTTATACTATACCTTCAGCTTTAGCAGAAATAACTTTTGATTCGCCCACACGTCGCTGTTTAGCAGCAGCGGCCAATGTTTCTTGTAAATCGGCAGTGAAAATCAAATCCTTGAGAAGAATGCTTTCAATTTTAACGCCCCAAGCAACGGCTGCTGGAGCGATAATATCTTGGATTTCATGTGCAATTGTATCACGACTTTCAATACTGGCCTGTAGAGTACGTGTGCCGATAATTTGACGCATCGTGGTCATGGTACGTTCAATAAGAGCACGCTGAACATCTTGAACCATATACGTAGCAACATATGGGTCAACAATGTGCCAGTAGAGGGTAGAATCAATCAGGACCCCAACATTATCCTTGGTCATTACTTGTTGGCGTGGGATCGACTCTAAAATAAACCATTGCATACACATGAAGCTGTTTAAATTATCATATCCATTTTCAAGTACATTATGCGTGATAAAAGCTTATCCCGGCTAATGTATCTTGTTGAATGAAAAATGCAGCTCGCGACTATCAAACAATTGAACGACACGTACCAATACGAATCTTGATATCAACCTTGGATAAAGTTTCAGAGACAGAATTCACAAAGTAAAGTCCAGGATCAACAGAGCGGTAATAACGGCCAAATCGAGACACAAGTCCTACATTGCCTTGTGGAACAATTTGATATGGACTATCACCACGTTAGATTTCAAAGGTTGAGTTGAAATGGCCAAGCTTGGAAATGGCATTGTATCTAGCACTACAAGCCATTCAATGGTATATTTTTATAAATACTCACTTGAAACAACAGCAAGGAAGACATGGAACGCTGCCAAGGAGACCCATCGTTAATCCAATGGCCGACATCATGCCCTCATAACAGCCATGCTCAGACCGTGGAGTTTCCATAGTGTGAGCATAACTAGGTTGCGTGGTATTTGGCGCAGAAAAGGGCTGTGGCTGTAAGCTTGTGCATAAAACACCTTGAGACGACATGATAAAGTATTGAGAAAAAGCTTGTTAGATTAGCAATGAATACTATTTATGACTAAGAGGTTGAAATACGCACTCGGTTCGATTTTTCTCATGGACGACCGACTAGACATGATAAAATTTGTTTAAAGATGGGAACTCCGCGTATCCACAAAATCAAGACAGCATGTGAAGGACACAGACTATAACTGCTGTGGCCTAAGCAATAAGTTCGAATATTGTTTGGTTATTTCAAGCAGGTCTTTCAGCCCAACGAAGCGAGTCCAACGGTTTAATATTCAGCCCGATCCAAGCACAGCGGCTGGAAATGCCTGGTTTTCAAGTGGATCAAGTAAATCGTCAAAGCATTTAACATGTGGTGTATATTTAGAAACGTGCTTATTGCTATGATAAGCAAGGAGAACTGCGATATGGAGTTGATTTCATTGTAACCCTTGAGTTGGACTTGACCATATTCTAATGGATCGATGTGATTTAGTATAGTAATAGTACAACAATAGTACAACAAAACACACATGGGATACGTAGGGATCGATTATAAAAAAACTCATTTGGACTTTAAAATAGTTGATTCTGAGCAGCATCTCAGTATTTCATAGCAATGCACGCGATTGCAGTGACTGAACATGTTGAAACAGCCATTAAACGCGTTCGACCACAGCCGCGAAATCACCCTTCGCAGCAACTTTTGCTTTCAAATAGTCAATATATCGCATTGTGATTAACCATTTCCATCTGCGTTGAACTTTGTCAACCTACATTACTTGTTTGATACTTTATTTCTATCTACTCATTAATTGTTGGATTGCTGCTGTCATTGCCTTTTGGATCGTCTGTTCTTGAGTCTGTATAGTGCCCAAACCTGTTGGTCACCACTAACCATTTCCAAAGTATCGTTTGCACAATCCATAGTACAGTTTGACCTGAATGAATCACAGTATGAGCGACACCCGAGAGTCTCGCGATAGACGACGCAAGGCTACACATTCAGCCATTGAGCGTCGAAGACGAGAGCGTACAAATGACAAAATTGCACAGTTGAAGGACATGCTGCCTTCATGTGCTGGTCGATCAGGATTGCATAAGCTGACAATACTAGAAGAAGGAATTCAGTATACTCGCATGCTGGAGGGTCAGATCCGAGAGCTGCAGTTGATGGCTGCAAGAGTACCTTTATTGCAGTCTAGATCTGCAATGGAAGCAGCATCGCCTGCAGTCACATCCAAAGTCATGTGTATGCCATCAGGACCAGCATCAATGCCAACATGTGCCAATATCAAACTGGAAGACACCGCAGAGTCACACGAGTCGTATCGATCCAATGATCACCGTGCATGTCATTCACTGGGCACATTGACTACACCAGTTGATCAGTACCATCTCGACACCAACCATTCACTGGGCACATTTGCTACATTATGCTCTGCATCAAAGATGCTGCCCTCGCCTGCATGTTCGCAGAGACAAGCATCTCCTTTTTCGGAAATTGCCGGTATATGTGACTCCTCTTCCAGCACTCATAGTCCATGTGCAGAGATCATGTCGCTTGGATCAATTCTGTCGTAAAAGTCAAGCACGTTTAGAGCAATCCATTACTGGAACCTCTTGTTATAGTAATGGATTCAATGCAGTATCAATTGTACTGAATTCATTCTATTCACGACTCTTGCTATTCATTGACACTATTCTGGGTATTGGAGATCGTCTGTTCATATATCGAGTGTTGTAAACTGCATGTCTAGTCAAGCCTTTTTGATTTTATAGCCGTATCGATGCAAAACGGAATACTTGTATTTATCATGCAGTGACTGTTTCTATTTTGCTCTGAAATAAACAATATTTAAACAAGATTCATTTTATAATACAAACTATAGTTTTGGAGTGAGTGTCTTGATTGTACGATCATCAAATTGATTCAAATCCAGATATTGAGTTTTGATGTTGCCAAATTCCATTTTGTATTCTAATCTCGGATACGTTTGAGGTTTAGTTTAAAACAAGGAATGAAACTCTACATGACAATCACCAAAATACTAGAGTTTAAAAAACAAGACTGTTTAATACTGTTATTTAGTATTGCATTTTATCAACTCGACTGTGATTTACTAGACTATTGGATAAACTGACTGTTATACAATTTTGCAACGTTTTGAATTTTGCTTGAAATTTGAATTTCTGATTTTTTCAACATATTCTAGTCTAATCACCAGCACAGTGCATATATTATCAACATAATGGCAACTGAAAAGGCTGAACAGTTGCTCGATCAAATGGTTGCGACACAGAAGGCTTTATCTGCTATATTAGACACATCTTTAGAATCCACTCTTGGTAATCTTGAAGCTGTTGAAAAGGCCAGACTATTGACAACACTCTCTTACACCATCAATACTTTATCATTTGGTAAGCAAGTGCCGTGACTTTCCACTGATTTGCAACGTCTTTAGAATGGAGTGGTGTAATAGACTTGAATATACTCATAATTATTGATTTCATGAATACTGCTTTTTAGTGTATTTAAAACTTCAAGGAGTGAATGCAAAGACACATCCAGTGAAAAAGGAACTGGCAAGTATTTTGAATGCATTTGCACTGTTTTTTGTGTAATCCTTGATCATTACATTTAAAAATGCAGCTGATGATGGTTATTTTGGATCTGGTTTTAGGATCGCACCAGAATATACTTTGAAAAAATTGAAAAGATGGCAGGAGCAACTCGCAACCCTGCAAGCATTGATCGAGATGCAGCCAAAAGGTTCTTGCAGCACTCATTGGCACAGAATCCAGAAGTCAAAGGTACGCTTGTGCCATTTAGGATTTGAATGTATGAGTTTAAGCCATGATTCTAAAGGGTGATTGCTGAATAGATGGTATTGCCAAGGCTCGCAAAGCAAATGCACTGGTGGATTTGCATACATCGAGCCAAGCTGATGATACTCAGGATATCAGTACTGTGACGGATGCAACTGACGCATCTGTCAAGGGGCATGAGAATAAAGGGAATGAATGAAAAACTGTCAGCAACCATCAGTGTTGTGTTTGGAGAGATACTTGCATGAAACTCATTGAACCAGACTTTTGGGTTTAGTGGTGTTCATTTGCAGATATCAATAGATTGTCTGCTGATTTGGATGACAGGAATATCAATCGTGTGTCATGGTGACAATCTGACTTGTTGACACGGTCAGTTTACTGCTCCTCTCAATTCAACAAGATATCACCCATTTGGTCTGGTTCGGCCGAATTTATTGATGCAAAGCCTCTAATATTTCACCTATAGTATATACTAGTTTAAAACGACTGCAAGCTTGCAAACCAAAAGCTTGCTTCTGGAATGATACTATTAGTGTTTTGATGATGAAATTGAGCTCTTGATATAAACATTACATCTCCGTTCTCCTTTTACTTCGGCCGAAATCATTTCAGTTGGATATACCCCAAATGGAAATGGTCAATACAACAAAGGGTAGAATGACAAGAACGGGAAAAAGGACAAGCAGGTTAAAGGTTCGACTCATTTGGCATTCCCGTTTTGGTGCTCGAAATAAACGAAGCAAGCAGCAAAAAACGGGATAGTGGAGAGGGCTCAAGGACAAGTTTTAGTTGAAAAACCGCACTAAACAAATGAGTTTTGGCAAACGATAGGACAATAAACACCATGGGTTGAATTTACCCGATTATGTGTAGGAAAATCGATAGAAACCATGTGTCGATTCAAGTGAGGAGTACTGAAAACGATTGAATATTTATCGTTGAATGACACATGCAACAAACAAAGCATTGTTTTAAAGTGATTGCTATGCGGGGTCCAATGTTCATACGACTATTTGGATGCTGTGTAGAGCTCACCAATAAGGCGTTTATTTCCTGCTTACGTCAAGGATAGCTGGGAAAAGTATAATGCAAGTTGAAAAAGATGGACAGAAAAACAAAGTGGTTCACAAGTGATTTTAAAGCTCAGTCAACCTTACTTTTTATTCAAATAATGTCCCGACAAAACCAAAGTCAGTCACAGAAACCTGCACAGTCAGGCGCAATAGGTGACACTGATGAGGAAACTGACAGAAAACGCCAGCGCATTTCTCTTGCATGCGACAACTGCAACCGCAAGGTATAATCGTGTGCAGCATTGATTCCCCTAGTTATGATCTTCCAGAATGGAGTTTCCATTAGTCCATGACTATTACCACATGGCACATTCTTTTAATTCTACACAAGTGAGAGCACATTCAGCCAACTGCTGTTTTCGTCACACTGCATGCGGGAGAATGTCATTGCAACTTGTCATGCATCGTATATTTTATATCGAGTCTGCACTCCGTTTAGCGAATGCTATCAATTGAGATTCAGTACTCCAGGCTGCCATATGTTTGGTTTCATCCCTTCTAGTTCCATCGTTTTTATTTGGCAGTATATGTATGTGCACAAATCAAGAACAAGGAGCTGTTCAGGTGTTTGACATCAATGGCAAATCCATCAGTGTCTATACAACACTGCTTGTTTATTACTAGAGTATTAGGTACCGCCGCAGTTACTTGACGGGTCACGGTTGCACATTGACAGCATGCTTGAGTGAACCCATGTCATCCGGTGCAGTAATGACAAACCACCCTTTGCTATAATGGCATTCCTTTGTTGATACACTTCTTTTATTGCTACATACGCTAATCCGGCAAGAGCAGTTCATAGTGTCGGACATGCATTATAATATTCGTACTAATTATCTGTATTTCATTCGTTATAATTTCTAGAAAATCAAATGTGATGGCACTCGTCCTTCATGTGGTCAATGCGAAAGACTTTCCCAGGATTGCTCCTACGATCGACGCGCCAAAAAGCGATTTCTTACTGTCGAATACATAGATGTGCTTGAAGATCGCCTTGCTGCCATCGAGTCTATGCTTAGACAGGCCAATGGCATCAAACATGGCAATGATGACGCATCGCGCAACGTTCCCAAATCTAAACAAAAACATGTCCGAACCCATCCCAATAGTGTCAATGCTACTGGTCCATCTCCATATAGTGATCTAAACGGTGCAGATCATGAATCAGTCTCTGATCGATCTACTTGTTCTGCAATGCTTACGGGTCTTACTCCAACCCATGCTTTCCCTCCTTCTTATCCACATATAGCTACTACTCCATTTCAACGCCAAACTGAAGCTGCCAACGGTGCTTCTCCGACTGGCACACCGACCAGTGCTGATATCTATTTACCTGTTTCCTCGCCTCAAAAATCACACAATCTAGTCAGCCGCCCCACTTTTACTGCTATTCGAGAGGATTTGTTCAACTTGTTTTTTGAATACGTATACCCCCTTTTTATCCCAATGCAACTGCAAGATAGTCCCATCTACTGGCGTACTAAAGCACTGAACTCTGTTTTTCTTACCAATGCAATGTACTGTACTTCTCTACGATATACATCGTATCTAGATCCTCGCTATAGACGTCATACTGCTGGCGACCTGTTTTTTTTCGAGGCGCGAGCATTACTGGACAGCGAGTTGGATTGTCCATCATCAACGACAGTGTTTGGTTTGATGCTGCTGTTTCATTACTCACATGGTAGGGGATATTGTTTGACATTGGAGGGATCAAAGTGCGTGTATTATCACTTGTATTGCATGTTTAACATTCTTGCCTTGATATTTTTGGATTTGTAGCATCCGCTCGAAGAAGTCTTGGCCGTACCTATTTCACAATTTGCCATCGTCTTTGCTCTGAACTTCGACTTGGAATGGAAGCAGATCCTAACGCGCCTGGCGGTCTTCCTCCCCCCTATGAACAAGAGATTAACCGCAGATTGTTTTGGTCGCTGTGGACATTTGAAAACTATGGTTCCTCTATTGGCCGTCGCTCATCTTATTTTGCAACTTCGGATTGTCGGGTGGCACTGCCGCAGATATGCAAAATGGACAGCGTTAATGATCCCAGCAACGTGCCAGATCTTTTGAGTATCAAGGTCATGTCTTCGTCTGACTTGTATATCCCTGCTTTACCCACATCTACTCCAGAAGGCTATCTATTGATGCTTGAAAAGACACTGGTAAACATTATTTCAAATTCGCCTGTACTTGGTAGTCTCTGCACATCCGTTTCCCCAGAAGTGCAACAGTACCAACAGATAATATTTGAAGATTCGCTCAAATCTTGGAAGAATAATCTTCCAGAGTGGCTGCCCTTTTCTGAATCTGAAAACCAATCAATTAAGCCTCTCCTTGGTCATCCATCGGCCTGGCTTCTTGTGTATATTCGTCTAGTATACTATTTTTCAGTGACACTTCTTTATCGGGCCAATATTATGTGCGAATTTCTTAATCCAATAGCTACTAGAACACCTCAGTTTGAAAAGGCCAAGAAAGCAGCCACCACCTGCTTCTCTCTTATTTCTCAAATTCTGCAGTATAATCCAGAATTTTTACATTTAGGATTCTTTACATGCTACATTGTGTTCCATGTCGGATGGGTGCATGCAGCCTTTGCGCGATTGGCACAGGATGAGGCCGAAACACGCAGACATTGGTCCTATGTTGATCTTCACATGACTGCGCTTAAACATTTGGGTAGATACTGGGGAATGCCGGCCATGCAATATGCTGTACTTCGACACTTTAGATTCAACGAAGACTCTGCTATTTTGATACAGCGTTATTCGACTGTTATTGCATTGAACCCGCTGGCATCGTGCTCGGCAGAAGAGTTGGAGGGATTTCTGATTCCTCATCATCAGATAGGAGCACGATCCGAGCCCATTACTGCTATGCAGCCTGCTCATTTTGTAAACATGATTGATAATCAGCAGCAACACACCAATCCACCCACCCAACCTCTACTGTCTCAAATAGGCTATATGCAGTCAGATCAGCAAAAATGGCAACCATCTAATCAATATACGGCGCAGCGGCAAACAAAGCCAGCTCATAGCTTGAATACACAACAGCAATATGTGCCGCACATGCAACATTTGGCGACTCCAGAGCAGTTTTCACTTTCAGCGATTTTACAGCAAATGAATCCAGTGAATTTGAATCCTATTTTAGATACCATGACTCAGCAGCCAGTACTGAATGATCCAAACGGCGATTTGGACACACTAAAGTTTTCGTTTCCTGAATAAATCAGTATTACTAATCCATTTAGAATCAGGGTGCTGTGCAACAGGAACCACCATGAATATTGAAATAAAGATGCAGCTCAAATTTAACGGTCAGCTCGGGTATTGCAGTACCAACCGGATGGATTCGAGTGCAATTTCCAAGCGTTTTCCACATCAAAAACATCTCGTACCAAGACAGTTTCAGCTCGACATCTAGCCTGGGTCTATCGGTTTAAACACATTAAAAAAGCGGCGCTTTTAGTATCCATTCCCAGCCAATATATATACATTATACCAAAGTATTATTTCGCATGGTTCGCTTGGTTACTGCCTGTGAAAACTGTGTTCGTAAGGTGCGATTCATGCTTACTACACATCAATCTATAGAATGAACAAAATTGCATATTTGAATGGCTTGACAATGTTCAGAGTATTAAATATCTATTATAATCTCTGATGCTCAATGCCTTTCGTCAACTATACTGCAACAAAAGTGCATGTAAAGTTTGGACTACGACTTGGTAAACTTGACCAATGCTAGCAGGTTACTAACCCTACAACTCAGCCAAAAAGCCTACTTTTGTTCATGATGTTCTGATGCTGTTACACATTATATATTCAATAGAAGCGACGATGCGACCGTCTTAAACCATCTTGCTCGGCATGTCTGCAAGCAAGAATGCCTTGTGTGTACATGAGTGCACCATCTCGGAAACGAGCCAATTCTCTTACGGCCGAATCCAACCATGACAGTGACGATGGTGCTGCAGCTCCTCCTGAAGCAGATGCCACAGAGCTTGCTGAGCGAGTTCAACTTCTCGAGTCTTTGGTGCAATCGCTCGAAGATCGCTTGCTTATTCCAGCAAGTGATCACTACGGTTCTACTGGTAGGCTGTTGGATTCTATTCCAACCCAGGAATACGGGCCAGGCAGAAACAGCTACGCTGATCTGCAGTCTGGTAAATTAGCCAGTATAGGCTCTTCCTCTGCATTCAGGCTTGGACACACTACTCTTGACGGAGCTTCTTCTGACCCACATTTGCCTGCGTTGCAATCCTCCCACTCGTCATCTGTTGTATCCTTATCGCTGGCTCCATTCACAGCACATGCTAGTCCTGTCATCTTCAACCACACAGAACTCGACTTTATCAATCGACTGGATCTTACCAACAGATCTGTCAAAGTATTTGGTCCCCATATGACGTTTATCAATATCCCGTTTTTAATTCGGTGTATACATGAATGCAGGTTTTTAGAGCTGTCTCTGTACTCCATGTTACTTTCTGGACCGTTAGATATGTTGGATTTCCCTGGACGGCAGGAGCTTGCTATGCGATGCTACGAAGCTGCATTGTATGAATTGCATCATGCCTCAAACAAGGAGTCGGTTGCTACTGTTTTGGGGCTACATTCCATGGCACTGTGTTCTATCTGTAAGTTTGAAAGTGTCTGGTAATTAAGCATATAAAAAACTAATTCTTTTGCAATGATAAACTGGTGCATTCTTTCGGGTTTTAGTAAACAGAAAAGGTAATGCAATCTAAGATGCTGTTGGGCCGCTAGTTGGCTAATCTTGATCGATTTGTTTTGAATCCAAGCATTTGATACTAAAACTATTAATGTACATATGGGATTGCCAGCGATTGGATTTCATGCATTTATTGAAAAGGCAAAGCATATAGCTGTCACCATTGGGCTCAATGACGAGACCCGAATCAAGCGGATCCCTTCTTCAATGGAAGATCACAATTGTTGTCGTGGTGTATGGTGGGGATTAGCCCAGCTTGACTGGGTCCAGTCATTTGCTTGGAAAATAATGCCGAGAATCCCAGAATCGCTACACACTGTCCGGTTTCCAACTGAAGAAATTCCAACGAAATTTGGCAAAATGGTATTTAATCCGACGGAAAGCACACTGTCAGATCGAGATATTGAAATAGAAGTTGCATCCAATTCACTAGCAGGATGCTTTGTACCTTGTAAACCAGGGTGTTCCGTTGCAGTGTCCTATCTCACTATTCAGCGAATCATGTCGAAAATTGGAGTTACTGTTCAGCTGTTTGGTATATTGCAAGCCAAATCAAAGAAAGCACTTGATGCAAGCCAACATCAACAAGACCAGCGTTTGGTACTTTTGGAAGCCTCACTCAACGGGTGGTGGTATGCGATTCCAGACAGTGTTCGTCGATTTTCGCAACACCTTGCTCTATATCACAGCTCACACAATAATGAAATACCACCATCTAGCCGACCGTCAATTGGAATAAATGACGAATTGGATCTGACGATTCCTCAGACATGGCGACCAATCATGATTCTGGTGCAAGCACATTTGGGGCGAATACTAATTCGTCAGGAGAGGTGGGCAACGGCAATTCTAAATAATCCAGTTACTGCACCAACCTCATTGGCATTCCGTGAATCACTTCATGCTGCATTTGAAGCATCGTTTATCCTGTCACTAGTCACACACCATAGGGTATTCAGTATGATCAGTCCCATGTTTCGTATACAACTCTCTGATCTAGCCGTATTTTTTATGATTGCAAGCAAATTGCGACTTGATGCACAGGAGAATACACGAGTGAGTGAAGGTCTCGTAACCCTAGCCAACATATTCAGTAATATCAACTGTGCGTGGACAGAAACCATGACCAAAATCAATGCACTCATGCTTGATCATCTGTCAACGTTTGACGATCCAGTGAAAATGATGATGCGATTAGATGAGATTCGAGTTGCTGCACCGCCCATGTATATGAATGAAACACAACAGCCCGAGCATCCTTTTGGAGGAAATGTATCAGCACGACCGACTATGGAAAACATGAATACGACGATACCTGGTGGAGGGATGTAATCTGGATTTGCGTCTAGTCACTATAATGAGCTGGGAGGGAATATATTGAATTCATCTGGCCAGGATGAGAACCGCAGCTGTCGTATTCAACACCATAATTAAAAAAATTTAAATCTATTATTTGGGTTGATGGAAGGATCAGCAAAGCACAGAGTGCAACATTCGATGACAAAAGCTTCAGCTGGTGATTGAAGGGGTGTTTAATGGTCACTGCAGAGCGTGAATGAGCAACAAATCGCTATGCTTTTGAACAATTAGGCTCTAGCAAGCACTATGACTCGGCTAGCAGACCATCAAAGCCAAAAGTTTTTGAAACACGTGACGGTAAATGTTTTGAACAAAACAATTAAATGCAAGTTTATCAACTTTATTGCACAGAAAATGAGACCTAACCACACCTGTGATAGTTGTATACGCAAGAAACGCAAATGCGATCGTCTTAAACCCTCTTGCACTCTATGCCGGCTTTCTGGAATCGAATGTAATTACAAGACTTATACCAAGCCCGCCACTACTCGTCAGACACTAGAAAATAAAGTTGCTTCTGCTCAGCCTGCCAGCACCATGAGTAATAATAAAAGGCATGAACTACTTTCTACTGAAAAACCAGCACTGGCCCATCAGGAAGCCTTGTTTTCTTCTCAGCTGCCCATCACTAGCGACGCTGCACTTCTGCAACACTTGCAAGAAACTTCTATTGATGCGGCCATATCAATGGCTACCACCAGTACACATATGAACCTTGCTAATCCTCATTTTGGCTACTCTACATCCAATCAGCATTCATTTCACTCTTTGAACTTTCGACCCTCTACTTCTGCTCACAACACAGTATCGTCTTTTGATGGAATACCGAAAAATTTGTTAACTGCTAGCTCAACCGACCATCAAGCTGTATTAGCCATCTCAGATACGTTCTATACATATGTGCGTCCTCATTTGGTATTCTCTTCAGAAGCCTATCTGCGGAAAATTCTACCTACTAGTAACTTTGCCATATGTGCGGTCAATGCACTATGTGCTCTATGGTCGCATACTGCCCAAGGTATGGCGTTGGCTAAAGCGCTGCATAAGGAGGCAATCTCTCATTTGGGAGAAGTATTGAGAAATCCCAAACCTGCAGACGCTCTTGGCATGTCGCTTTTATCTTTATGTACCGGCAGTAAGTCATTCTTTTAATGATCAGGATCTGGAGAATGGGGTTGATAACGAAACAGAACCCAATATGAATCATGAGTCTAACTTGCCGTCACTTGACTGTTATTTCTGGCCGATTTTTATTTACATGGGTCTGATTAATTAGGAATATCTACCAACAACGAAATTAATCATTATCTGGCCATGTCAATTAGAATCTCAAAAGATATGAATCTAAGCACAGAGGAGGGGATTGATGCTCTTGCTTCCTCCGAATCTGAAAAAGATGACCTGAGATGTATCTGGTGGAGCGTTTACCAATTCAACCATTTTATAAGCAGTTCCTGCAATATGGATATGTTGATCAATGACGAAGATTGTCTACTGCAACTTCCTTCAGATAAATCGATTTCACAACAACTGCCGCATGATTTGGACAACCAGATGGACATTGCTGTCATGTCGCTTTCTGGATGGTACACTCCGCCCATCGAAAACCGAGGGCTGCTTGCTAATTTGCTTATCATTCAAAGGATTCACAGCAAAATTTCGCAGTTTAGCGTACAGTCTCGCAACGGTACACTATCAGGAGTAGCCAGGGTTCAAGCACATATGCAATTGGAGGCATCGTTATTGGCGTGGTATAAAGCATTGCCTAAATCAATTCAAACTGATGCAGCTTTTCAAGACGGAAATCCACCGGAGCATTCGGTAGATGGATGGCGCCCTATTGTTCTTCAAGCCATGTATCATGCGGCCCGTATTAATTTATGGAGAAACTTATTTGCAGACAACGTGCTAGAATTTTCAGCGTCTGAATCTACAAACTCAAAATCGCACTCGACTTATCAAGTTCGATCTAAGCAAAGACGGCAGCCGCATGCCTTGATGACAGAATCAAAAGCAATACGAGAATCTATTCAAGCTGCACAAACTTTTGCATCCGATTTGGTAAAGCCTATGCTACGCTACAATGCATCGTCCTGTATCAGCCCATTTTTTGTACATGGTATTTTTTCCTCTGCTGTGTGTCTTGTTACTGCACTCAAGCTTCCCTTTCGACTAGAAGAAACCACGCAGATTGCTTCATCTTTGGGGACTCTAATGAGTGGCTTGCAGTCTGTGAGTAGATTTTGGAGATTTGGATATTTTGAGTTGGACGTTATTGAGCAGCTTGCTACCTTTCCAAATGCTGCAGCAATTGCCGCTCTATTCGGAGATTTACAGTTTCCGAAAATACTCCGACAAAAGGGTCATCATGCATTAAGGGCCATGAAAGAAACTGAATATTGCAGTGCATACAGAATTGATCCTCGGGACAGCTTCGACACTGGTATAAATACGTGTACGATCGAATCCTTGTCCCCTGGCGATGATGCCAGTGGAGGCGGTGGGGTTGGATCATGTGGGGCCAGCAGTACAAGCTACAACACAGGCTCATCTACAGATTCACCCAATCATCGTTTAAGCAGCACATTGCCAGTCCAGACTGACATCTATGCTACCACTTATACTGCTGCGTCTGATTCATTTGCCTCTACGGATGTGGTCCCTACTTCCAGTGAGGGCGAGTTTATGGCTGCCATGGCAATGGCATCTGGTATCATGAGCAAAAATGCATTTTCAGAGTTGGTGACGCAACCCACATTGCAACAACTGATGCATTTTAAACCACACATGACTCAAGATCCAACACAACATACTGCTCACAACCCCATTCCACCCATGCATTCTTGTCAGAATTTGGCTCAACAATCAAATTCTGACCACACCGAGTTTTTTCAGCTTGATAGTCAAGTGTTTCCTTCAGCTCCCGAGTGTCTGATGCCTCTTGACGATCTGTTTTTATTTCAATAAACTTCATTTCAATCTTTCATCACCCTCAAAGCATGCTCAAGTGTTGAACATTGACGTATTTTTGCAGTGTACAAGTGCCATTATGTAGAGGCAACAATTTAGAACCCGATGGAATGTGTTTTGTATTGCCTAGATTAGCTATACAACACCACTTGCGTATATACGCTATAGATACTCATCCATCACTTGATTGTTGACAAGCTTCACTAGACGCTTTTGGTTCGTTTTTTTCACTTGAATGGCAGTCACAATTCAGTCCAGTTCGGCAATGCCATTCATCTCCAATCGTCACGTCGAGTCATGCAGCATTAGGCCGAGTGCTTGCCACGAGAAGCTAATGGCTCGACCCTTGATTTGTTCTGATTAGCATTGAACCATCTTTTTAAGTCAAGTCTCGCTCAGTCCATCCATCTCTATGCCAAGAACTACTACGGTGAACAAGACAAAAACTCCCGTCACTCGTATTACTCAGGCCTGTGATAGCTGTGTGCGCAAGGTACTGCTTTTGATATTTGTAGAACCGAGTTGATTGCTATGTGCATTGGCTTATACACAACACTGACATACATGTCACTCATGTTGACACTGCATTAGAAATGTCGATGCGATGGATCTCAGCCCATGTGCACGCCTTGTAGCAATAGTGGAACTCAATGCACTTATTTAGTCTCGCATAGAAAAAGAGGTCCAGTTCCTGCTGAAGCTAAATCTCGATCGAAACGACTGTTTACTGCTGCAGTGGTTGCAAACAACAATCTGGCCAGTGCTTCTATTATCAGCACAACTGATTCCACTACTCATGACACTCAATCTGAATCTCTAAACAGCCATGTGGTGAGTAAACCTTCATATGCACTAGAACCTGTCTCATCAGCAATGTCGGATGTTTCTTTACTGTTCAATCCCAGCCTTGCATTTGATGGATTTTTATCAGCTGAACTGGCCAATTTTCAACAAACTCCAATTCTGCAAGTTGCAACAAATTGTGCATTGACTCCTAAAACCTCAACCTTGCCGTTACTGCAGCTTGAACCCATACAATCTAATTTCACATCATTACAAAAGGCTCCTATACGACTCGAGCTGGTTCATATATTTTTCATGTACTTTCATCCTTATTTTCCTGTTCTATGTCGCGAGCGGTTTTTTGAAAATATGCATCGTGTTCATCAACTCCTGTTAAATGCCATGTACTCGGTTGCCTCTCCTTACTATACATATGCTCTGTTGTCACACACTAGAGTCGATCAATTTGAACCCATGTACTCGTGTGGCGATAATTTTTACATGCATGCTAGATTACTTGTTGACGAACATTTAGACAATCCAGACATGTACACTGTAGCTGCCGTGTTGATTCTTGCCATCAAATCATGTATGACTGGGCGTGGGTCTGCTACGTGGATGTTGCTTGGAATGGCTGTTTGGATGGCACAGCAACTTGGTTTAAACATTGATCCATCTATTTTGGGTGGATTTTCTGATCATCGAGAGCAAGATGAGCGTCGGGCTTTGTGGTGGATTTGTTACGAAGTAGATCGTAGTGTATCTGGCTTTGCTGGGAATCCTGGGTACATCAAGGAAGAAGAATTTGATGTTCGTATTCCAGATTACCGCAACATAAACGAGGTTGAAGATTGCATGGAGTGTAGTATTACACCATCCAATATCATGGGATGTGCCGTTCTAATGACGGCTCATGGCCATTACATTCATCTATTGCGGATCTATACGCGAATCATCACCTACATTCGCGATTGGCTCAGTATCAATACAATGGATCCGACTACTTGTCCAAACACAATCGAGCAAACCAACATACAAACACTACTCTCTGAATGGTTTTCACTACTTCCTTTTTGGATGCATGCCTTTTCTCAACCCACTGCATGCGGTAAATCTCCACATAGTGATACTTACTTTCGCACCTATATTCACATATTCTTTCAAGTCTGCATCATTAAAGTTCGACTGCCCATCATTTTGCATTATATTGCTATAGATGGTAGTAGTTGGCGAGTGGCAAAAGATTATTCGGTGGTCACACAGGCAGCCCATGCTGTTACATCAATTCTTGTCGAACTTCGCAGACAAAACCCATTCTGTCACTACATGTCTCCTTTTATCTCCTACTGTTTATCGATTTCTGGCATGGTTCATGCGCTTACTAAACAATACGATAAGCTTGATATTCATATTGAGGCATTGGCTACTCTTGGCAAATTTGTAAATTTGGGCAATTTGGATGCAACCATGTTGACAACGCTCAAGATTTCTCCAATAGATGTATGCGTGCGAGCGTTAAAAAATCGACTTCAAACCACCTGTCGTCAAGGAAAACAACCCGGATAAATCCAATACTATCATGTCAATCAGATCGCAGGGCTAGTTGCGACGGTCAGCTGTTGCCGTGCTATTCGTCATACCATACATTCAATATTGGCAAATTTGATTTGGATGCACAAATACATCTCAGCATCAATTGGACTGCCCCAATGTGTACAATTGGCTTCACTTTTAGAAACTTTTCAAGCACATATGATACTATGTAGAATGCTTGTCAAACGACACCAATCTACTGTTTATTCCAATATACATATTCAAGACAAATCTGCACTGTGTAGAGAATGATGCTTTATATAGAGAATATATTTATTTTTAGATGGATCAGTGTTCATTGTATAGTAGAAAGAATTAAACGTGATCCTCATCTTCATCCTCATCGTCTAAAGGCACATCATCTGCGTCATCATCTTCTGGTTCGTCGTCTGGCTCCATTGCAACAAGCTCCTTACGTGGCTCTTTGGACTGTGTAGGCACGGTCTGTTTAAAATATTAAGCAAGGAAAAAGACAATTTAGTAGCACATTTTAAACCCACCAGCATCAACACACTTTGCAATCGACCTTGAAATTTACAAACCATCACAAGATATCTACTTACTTGTCTGTGTTGACGGATCGGGAAAGCACGACGTACGTTGGCATTATCTTCCAAGTTCCACACAATGACTTTGCCTTTACTGCCAGCAAGTGAGATCGTGTAAGGTGCATCGGGTGAAAAGTTTGCCGAAAACACTTTGCCCTAAAATGCCGAGTTGCAGCTACAATCATGAGCAAAAAAGATATGCAAGCATTTAGATTCATAACTATATAGGATAGATACCGACTTACCACTTCAATATCCCGCGAGAGAATACATATTGGCTGATTCTCTTTGATTGACCAGACTTTGACATTTTTATCACCAGATCCAGTTACAAGCAGACCATCAGCAAATGGACTCAAATCCATAGCAGATACTGCTGAATCATGTGCATGCAACGTAAACAGCGAATCCGACACAGGCTCGTTCACGTTTTTAGTTGACTTGTTTCCAGCAGTATGAGTGATAGTCGTGCCAAGGCGCACGTCAAAGGCCTTGACAAGACCGTCTTCAGTACTAACAAAAAACCGTTCAGAGTGCATAGGATCCCACAAGAGACATTCCACATCTGCAGAAAGCTTCCACATTGCAACAGTATCTGGTGCCCGAGAATCAAATGCGCATACACGTTTATCATACCCACCAGTGAGAAGAACAGCAGGCTCAAACTTGTTCCATCGCACGGCTTGAACCTTGTTTCGATGTGGGGTGTAGTTGGCTGTAGCCGTTTCGGGACGATTGAGATCCCATAGTTTTACGGTTGCATCAGCAGAACCGGTTGCAATCAAATTCCGCTGCACAGTGTTCCATGAAATAGCCATGACAGCATCAACATGAGTTTCGGCGTTGGATCGTTTAGCTGTACGAAGAGGTCCGCCTTTCTTTTTTTTGTCAGCTGCACTTGTTTGAGAGCTTGGGAGTGCACCAAGGATTACATCGGGAAACAGTGAATCTATTGTATCCAAATTCCAAATCTCGACTTGAGGCTCAAAAGTACCAACCGCAATATAATTTCCTATTTTGACAGAATACAAACACCAGTTCGTTAGTACCGTATTCAATGGGTTTGGCAGTTTAAAACAAGCATGGTTAGAAATAGTACCTGGAGTGGATTGACCTAAATTCCTACCAGATGGAAAATCAAGCCATTCAAGGCAAAGTGGAAAACTAGGCAGCAAAATGTCGTGATGAACAAATAGATTATCCTCGCTTTCTTCGTATACATAAACCTCAATATGTGAAATGTCATCCTCAGTTTTTGCAGCTAAAATAAGATTATCTGTTGGAGAAATACGCATCTCATCCAACTCATCATCTTCGTCGCTATCTCCTAGTTCAATATAGGGATCTTCCTTATTGCTGTTGTGGTAAGCAAGACCACGAACCTTGGAGAAAAGAGATATGCCTATAGCAATAATTTATGCAAATAAAAATACAAAATTGAACGAATTAAAAAAACTGCATATTTTATAGAATCCAACATGGCTTGATTGATACTAATTACTAGCCGAGAATCAATTCAACGTCAATACTTACGGCCATCCTCGTCAGGTCCATCGCTATCTGCCTCTTCGTCGTCGTCATAAGTATCCAGTTTGTAAATATCTAATTCATTACCAGTCTCGGTAATTTCAGCCTGTTCAGGAACAGCGGCTTCCATGTCTGTATCTGAATGTGTAGCGTCATGGTCAACGTCATCGTCGTCTTGCATGGCTGCCAAATCATCCTTGGCAAGTTTCAGCTGATCGCCCATTTGAGCGGATATTCTTGAAAAGTCTTCATCAGTGAGCTTGACTCTTGCTGGCACTTCTTGTGCTGCTCCTTTGCGCACCCACGCAAGACTGGATATCATGGTTGAATATCGATGAAAAAAATGTCAATTTTTTTAAAAAATAATTGCAACTTCGGAAACGCAAAAAAGAATACCCTCAGGGATAATAGTAGCAAACCTGTCATTGTCATTGCAGCCGTACTTGGACACATGCAACCAAATAAGAGTGTATAATAAACAACCCATTTTATAAAATAGTCAGTTAGCGTGGCATACTGCTGGTTTGATGTATGAGCGTGTACGACCACATTACCTGTCAAGCTGGATCGTTTGCTCAAGACAGTTGCAATCACTGACAGGATCAACTATACAATGTGTTGATTGGAAGCAAATATAACATGAGCAAGTTTTGATATGCTTCAAGTTGAAGTCATGACAACTCCCAGCGAATGTCTAACTCGTTTCGTCGCGTAGTTTAAATTGGCATTTCAACTCGTATAAGAAGCGTCGACTTTCCTTTTGGTCGACTTTATTCTCATCATGCGATCGTACTTACTATCTGCTGTCTTGACTGCAACATGTTATGTATTCATGAGTATATGTGTTCAAGCTCAGAGCATAATACCGTCTGGATCTTGTGTCTCCCCACAAATTCACAAGGAATGGCGTGAACTATCTCAACAGGAACAACAGGCATATCTTGCTGCTGTACAATGCCTTCGCCAAACTCCTTCTCGATTGGCTAAAATCAATACTCCGACGTCTGATCATCATGTACCAAGCACGTCGGTGTACAATGATTTGGTTTGGGTGCACATGCAAGTCATGAACTCGGCTCATATGACTGTAATGTTTAAATCTTGGATGCTGTGGTTGAAACAGTTTATGAATATTACTTTGCAATGAACTCATTCAACTGGATCATATGTGTTTATTTGGATTAGGCTGCGTTTCTACCATGGCATCGTTTATTCTTGGCCGTGCATGACAACATCATAAGGGTTGATTGCAAATACTCGGGCCCATTACCGTAAGTTTTTGAAATGTCAGATTAACAGATGCATTGAATCGATCTGGATGGCAATTCAGACCTATTTGATCAAGCATCTTGATTAGATTTTAAACCATGACAATTTATATTGGCAGATATTGGGACTGGTCTGTTGATTCACAAGCACCTGAATTGTCGCCTATTTGGAATTCAAATGCTTTTGGTGGAAATGGGAATATTGATACACGTTGCATATCGACTGGTCTGATTGCTCAAACTCGAGCCCAGTTTCCAACTCCACATTGCATCTATCGACAGTGGAGACTTGGACCACAGGAGTTTGAGGGTCAACAAGGCGGAGACATGCTCGGTGCCTTTTATTCTCCATTGGCAATTCAGTTCATTCTGCAAATCAGTCAATCTTATGCAGCATTCAGATTAGCACTCGAGGATCATCCACACAATTTGATTCACTCGGCCATTGGTGGAGATATGTCGGGCACGACGACTTCTACCAATGATCCCGTTTTTTTCCTACATCATCGTAACTTGGATAGACTATGGTCGATTTGGCAAGATCGATACCCTGATCTTGCACTGACATATAGTGGTAATTTAAATAGCAGTACACCTGATGCCAACGATGCAACTGTTGATGATACTATGGACATGTTTGGTCTTGCGGAAAACGATTCGGTTTTACAACTATTAAATATCAAGAATGGGGGAGCTCACGGTCGTATGTGTTATCAGTACTCGCCTTCTGTAGCTCCAAATCCTATACCGACACCAACAGTTTCCGACGGAAAATCTATGGCTATTCCAATTAGTTCTGGTATTTCTACTCAAGGTGATACTGGAATAGGATCCACGGACTCGAACACGGGTCCGAGTCTACAAAAGCGTCGTTTACAGAAACGCAAGCCTTTGCATGAATTACTTGACAAGGCAACTTCCAGATGGCCAAAAGGTGGCAATGAAACCACTAGTGATGAGATTGTTTCAGGGCATCGTGTAGCATTGCATGGCTCGCCCTTTAATCCAGTCACACCGACTGCGTACGATCGTGCTGATTATTATAATTTGCGAGCAGTGGATCCACTTCCAAAAGAGTTTCTTCAAGCATGGATGCATACTGATCGAGACATTGCGCGTATTCGTAAATCAGAGACCCAAATACAACGGTTTATTGACTTTGTGAATGCAGCCAATGGGTTTGTGTCTGATTACTGTTTGGGTGGTTATATGCAGTCATTCCAGTCTGGATGGAGCAGCGCAGGAGTTCTTCACGATGCATCCCGTGATATTGCTGAGCAGCTGTTGGTTCGTGATGCAGCAAAAATAATTGGATCGCTCGACCGCTTTAATGATTGATTGAGACCATTACAGTGAATCAGCATTTTTATTTCCAATAAATACATGCCATTGAAGCATTCTATCTGGCTTTCTGCTTGGTATTGATGTTTACCGCCCTATTCATGTAAATAGAACATTGAATAAGAGTCAAAATACATGAACTGCCAATCACTGATTGGAGTCAGTTTACTGAATTGAAAAAGCAATTTATATTTAGCAGGAAAGCACAACATTGTTGATTCCAAAACAAAAGAGATGAATACAAGTGACCCGGTTTACATAAATACGGCAATAAAATGCTGTACTAACAAGACTAAAAGCTTATCACATTGCCAAGCTACTAACACGCTTCATATCAAATCAACATTGATCTGTATAAGCTACTGTGTTATGCAATAAAGATCCAATATTGAGTCAAGTGTTCATGCAAGACTTGATGCAGAAGAATCTATTGTGATTGACACACAATGTTGTATTCACTATTAAACTGTATTTCCAATTGCTTCTTCTGTCAAGTATTGAATAGAATCTAATTAGGTTTTATGGCTTGATCTATGACACAGAATAGTGTAAAACATTGCAGTTGAATAGTGAGATTGGCGGAGAAACTATTTAAACCGGCAAATTGGATAATAAAGCCGATATAAAACAAGACGATTTTGTTAGTTTGAACATTGGAACAATCCATCCAACTGTTATCATGTCTACACCAAAAAAGGTTTATGTTGTTATTCACTCTCTCTGGGGTCATATCAAGACTCTTGGCGAGGAGGTTGTTGTTGGTTTGAAAGAGTCTGGAGTCGATGCTAAGCTATGGACTGTCAAGGAAACCCTCCCCCAGGTTAGATCTATCAAGTTGTATTGACAAGGGTGGTTTATTCGATCTAGCACGATCGCTGATCTAAAGACTATTAAACTATTACTCTTGATCTATATATTCATTATTTGACAAAAGACTGATTAAATGATTGATTCTACTAATAGGAAGTTCTTGATAAGATGCATGCTCAGAAATGGGATCTGCCAATTATTACTCCAACTGAACTGGCTCAAGCAGATGGAATCATCTTTGGTCTTTGGTAATCAACACATGCTTTGGAGTGTTTTTTGGTTTAGAGTGAGCTAACTATTTGACAATACAGCACTCGCTATGGAACAGCTAGTGCTCAGATGCGAACCTTTCTTGATTCAACTGGACAACTGTTTGCATCTGCGGCTCTTGATGGCAAATTTGCCGGTGTTTTCACCAGTACTTCATCGCAACATGGCGGTGTTGAGACCACTGCATTGACATTCCTTCCTACTCTGGCCCATCTTGGTATGATCTTTGTCCCACTTGGTTACAAGAGTGGTCTTTTAGGAACAGTGACAGAAGTGATTGGAGCATCTCCTTATGGTGCAGGTACGATTGCACCCAGCGATGGGTCTCGTAATGTGAGTGATCTTGAAAAGAAGATTGCTCGAATGCAAGGAACTCAATTTGCAAGTGTTCTTGCTCGACTCAAGTAAGCAGTTGAGAGGGTTGATTAGGCTATGAATGCCATTAAGATATCCGAATAAACAAGCGTGATGTCAGCCTGATGGCTGCAACATCCATGCGCATGAGTTGCTGGTAGTTTGGGTATGAAAACAACGGGAGTGGATTGTTCAGACTTGCTTCAGGCAAGGTTCAGCTTGTACCCGCTGAATATGTATGACTTGCTGGTACTCTCATGGAAGCAAACTCAGTCTTTGTCCTGCCAACGACATCTCTGCACTCGACATCACAGTTCCATCCGGGCCATTCATATGAAGACTCTTGCCACTGTGCTGCTGCTTCTTCTCCCCATGAGTGCTGCTCAGAACTTGGGCAAGCCTTGCAAGCCGACGATCGACCATTTCGCATGTGAAGCCAGAAACTTCTTGACCTGCGACACTACTGCTAGTATGTCAATGCTTTGTACTCTGTCAAGACTCTGTCAAGAGCAGTCTGTGTGCACATCCAACACACTGTTATCAAGTTAACAAGTTGTCAACAAGTTGTCAACAAGCTGTTAGCAAGTTGTTGGTTTCAATCAAATATTATCAACTTTCTTTCTAGTGTTTGCAGAAACTACTCATAGCAACTGGTCTTGATGCTTTGAGTCTCTTGATGCTCTAGGCATAATGCAGTCCTTAATTTTGTCAATCACAAGTATCGATTGCATTCATGTTGTGTGCATGGCTATTGATTCATATAAGCCGCTTCATTTTCGTACCATTGAAATTTAAACCCTATTTCTTATGTTCATCCTATCTTGTTTTTACATATAATACTATTCTGTTTTGAATATCTTTGAATATGGGTCGTGCCTTGACCCGTCAGAATTTAACCGTTTACTCATACAAATATAATACTATTCAATTCGTCATAATTAGGCACTTGGCAAGTCCAAAACGTTTGTGCGTCTGGACCGTGCACTGCAGATCCAACCTTTGGAAGTTACTGCTATAATAACAGTTTACCAGGTGGCTCCAATGCACCTTCAACTACTTCTTCAAGTAGTGCATCCTTGAGCCCATCAAAATCAACAGATAAACTCGCATCTACCTCTATACCCACTCTTACTTCAAATGCCGAGTCTAATACCACCTCTGGAGGACTGTCAAGCGGATTGGTAATTGGTATCAGTGTGGGTGTTTCTCTCTTGGTTCTCATCATTGTCATTGGTATTGCAGCATATGTGTTGATGCATCGCAAATCTAAAAACAAAGACGAACTACAATCCGAACCAGCATTATCCAATGGTGCCAGAAAACGTACATCTACTCTTGCAGGATTGGTCATGGTGGGAAATGACAAGCAGCATAATTCTGAATACATAGCTGGATCTCGCGATCCTAATTCTCTGTTGCCTGCATCAAATACCAACCGTACATCCAGCGATGCCAATGGTGTAGGTGCAATTCTCGAAAAGGCATTTATTGTTACAACTGACTATGAGCCGTGTGCATCTGATGAGCTGAGACTGCGTGTTGGTGATTCGATTGTTCTTGATTTACTGTTCAACGATGGTTGGGCCAAGGTAAGACTGACTGTGTTTGGGTTATATTTAATACACGATCCATCTAATCGACTTGTTTTACCGCTTCAACTCTCAGGGGAAAAATGAATCTACTAGACAAGAAGGCATTCTTCCAGTAGCATGCATTACTCAACTCAATTAACGAAACCAAGTGTCAAATGGATCTAGTTGCGATATAGTGCCGGAATATATTCTCAGGACATTTTGTCCAAATATTGACTTTTTTGATTTTTATCTTGTTGGGTGGTCTTTTATAGTTTGAATTGCTATACTTTCCGCTTCCAACCACATCAACTATTACGGCCGTATTCACGTAAAATGGGGTGCTAAGAGTGCCCAAGTACATAATAAACAGCCAGTCTCATGAAATGATAGTTTTTCATCCCATTGTCCTCTAAACTAGTTCACTGCGCTCCTTGTACAAAAATATAGAGTAAATGCTCACATTCCTGAAATGTTTTCTTGAACTAGACCCTATCTGATATCAAGATATAACCGTTTTTCCAATCTCATGATCATGCTGGATATTTTCTCATGTGTAAAACCATCGTTTCCAACAATAAAATAGAGCGACTGCAAGATAGACACAAAAGTATCTCATTTACGTAAACACTCTTGAATGAATTTAGTGTTGACTCGGCCGCTCGATTTTATTCACCATTGTTTACCTTGTCCGATTACTCGAGTGAATCAATCATGTATTAAAATTTAAATCCCAACATGTTGGCAAGGTCAATGTCGTTTCGCCAACCATCTAAACTTCAATCATAATCACACGAAAATAGTATTCATTTATTGAGTGGCAAAATTACATTACATAGATCAATAAAATTTAAACCATGCTCCTAAGAGGCACGATGGTCAACAACTGCACCAGCCTTTATCGAGTCATCAGAAGAGAGTGATCTCAAACTGTATTGATCATCAACACGCTGCCCAGAAACTCCCTGCTGGTCCCACGACACACGCAGCATTTCTTTTCGTGAATTCAATATTGAATCAGAGTGTTCTTGTCCATATATGTCGCCCCCACCTATCCGATGCTGTCCGTTACGATTCAGTCGACGAAGAGAATCTTCGCGATCTGGAATGCGTTTCAGTAGCGCACTTGCATGAGCAGCCTTTTCAAGTTCGTTTTGATCCATAAAAGCCTGTTGCTGTTCTTCAATTGTGGTGCCGTGCGTAGTCGACGATCCCACCCACACATTACCCTTGCCTTTGCGAACCGTTTGAGTTGGCCCAGATATAATGGGTGTCACAATAGCCATAGGGAACATGCATCGTTTACGAGATTGGGAAAGGTTTTGTCCACGAGCCCACCCATCCTTGTACAGCTTTTCAATACCAATCAAGTCACCCGATTGGAGATGCATCTCGTCCGAGTTTCTTGGAAAGTAGTTGGCTACAACAACATGAGAAGTAGGCGCAGGAGCATGGTACGCATTCAAATCGTCGTCATCATCCTGCTCATCATATAAATGCTCCACGTGAGTAACCCGTTCACCACGGATCCACATGGAAGAGTCGCGGTTCTTATTTTGAGTGGAGCGAGTATCGGCTCCAGAAAGAATGACCTGAGAGGTCTCTAATGAAGAGTTTTTAGCATTGGCTTTATGCTGATCACTCGTGTATGGACTTGTAGACAAAATAGAAGATTTAGAGGTGGATTCTCCATGACCAAATGACACGTACTGGCTGTCAATCTTTGAAGGAAGCCCGACAGTATCAGCGCTAGACAGAGATTCAAGATTAGTAGATTTGGAGAGCAGTGGCTTATCCGAGACCGTTGGATTAGCAATGGACTTGCTACCTAGTGGAGTCAGCGTATCACTGGTTCTATCTGGAGAGTGTTTCTTGACATTAACAGTCTCTTGGATCACATCATTGTCACCAGTCAATACTTTTCGAGTCGTTACAACAGTTTCACCTGCAATAGTGCCATCTCCTTTTTTCTTTTTAACAGTTGTAGTGGTGGTGGTCATAACGGTCTTGGTAGCCGTACTGGAGGTTTTTCCCTTGGGAGTCTTGGCAGCAGATGCAATACCAGCTCCAACAATGGCACCTGAAGTAGCAGAGACGGCGCTACTGACACCATCCATGCCGGTACGGCTGACATTGTAAATGGTAGATCCATCCGATCGTCGAGGAGCAGACGCGGCAGCAGAAGAATCAGTAGTCTGGTTTGATTCATACGTTGTACGACCATGCTCATCAGCAACAACCGTAGAGGGAGATTCATCCATTTCGCTGCCAAAATTAACTGCATTTGAGACTGCACTTCCAGCTGCAACGGCTCCACCTATGACAGCAGAACCAGCAGCAGAAATAGCACCCATCAAAAAGCTAGAAGTGGTATTGGAAGAAACAGCCGGAGTAGCAGCAGCAGATGAAGCGGTAGTAGATCCAACCGCAGCCATTTCACGCGTAGCACCCTCAGCAAGACTGTCAACATCGCTCACTGCTTCAGAAGTTTTTACATCGACCAAGACGGACTGACCATACTTGCCGCCTTTAAGCACCTTGCGAGTCTCGGTCGTTTGAGTGGTATATGATGTAGATGTTGTCGTTGCTTTTCCAATACGCGAGGCACCACCAACAACACCAGCTTTTTGGTAAGTGTTGTCAAATTTCTGAGGCCCCAAATCTGAGGTAATAACAGTTGGAACTGGAACTGGGGTTGGACGTTTGGAGTTGGCACCTGCAACAACTGCACCAGTAGCAACAGCTGCTGCAGCTCCAATAGCAGCATATTTTATGTTTGCATTTTCAGAGGAAGAATTGGCTCCATTGCTCTTAACATTGGTATTTGAAGTAGTGGTTGTAGTAGTTGTAGTAGTTTTACCACCAGCTACAGCTCCAGCACCAGCACCAATAGCAGCATAAGTGGCATACATATCAGCAGCAAATTCATCAGCGTTGCCACGCTCACCGGGAGGAACAATAGCACCACCAGAACTCGATATGTTGTTAGTGGTTGATTGCTCGGTCGTCTTTTTATGCTTTTGGCTTGCAATGGCAGCAATCGTTGCAAGACCACCGCCAGCCAATGCACCATATGCCATACCACGATCTGTGAAAGGTGTAGCACCAGGAGCATTTTTGGCATCGCTAGAATAAGCCGTATGAGTAGTTGTAGTAGTGTATCCAGATGGACCATCAGCTGCAGCTGCAACACCTAAAACTCCTGCACCTCCAGCACCTGCAGCGACATTAGCATATTGCATATCGCGGGGAGCACCACCTGCGACTGCACCGCCTGCGTCAGCACCAGCGACATTGGCATATTGCATATCACGGGAAGATCCACCTGCAGCCGCACCACCTGCAGCGGCAGCACCTAAAATTCCTGCACCAGCAACACCTGCAGCGGCATTAGCATATTGCATATCGCGAGGAGCACCACCTGCAGCTGCACCACCTGCGCCAGCACCAGCGACATTAGCATATTGCATATCGCGAGAAGCACCACCTGCAACTGCAGCACCTGCCGCGCCTGCAGCACCTGCAGCAGCGACATTGGCATATTGTACATTATAGGGAGCAGCACCAGCCGCGCCTGCAGCACCCGCCGCACCTGCTGCAGCTTCATTATCGGCAGCTGGAGGAACGCTTCGAAATCTGCTATAAAGAAACGCACCAATACCTGCAAGAAGTATAATTCCAAGGGGAACCAAGATACCGATAATAATTTTACTGCTGTTGTTTCCTCCGCTGCCTTGAGCTTGAGGGCTAGTTCCAGGAGGAATAACAGGTGGGGCACCTGGACCGCCAGGAGCAACTGGAGCATCTGGTCCGCCTGGAGTAACTGGTCCACCAGGACCACCGGGAGTACCAGGACCGCCGGGAGTACCTGGACCACCTGGACCACCTGGAGCACCAGGACCACCTGGACCGCCGGGAGTACCTGGACCGCCGGGAGTACCTGGACCGCCTGGACCACCGGGAGTACCTGGACCACCTGGACCACCGGGAGTACCTGGACCACCGGGAGTACCTGGACCACCTGGAGTACCGGGACCGCCTGGACCGCCTGGAGTACCAGGACCGCCGGGACCACCGGGACCACCAGGACCGCCTGGACCACCAGGACCGCCTGGACCGCCAGGACCACCTGGAGCACCTGGACATCCAGGAGCATTTGAAGTAACCTCACAATTGGGACCACCTGGAGTACCTGGACATCCAGGAGCATTTGGAGTAACCCCACAGTTGGGGCCATTAGGAGTTCCTGGACAAAGATCAGCAGTTGGATTGATAGCACAATTGGGACCAGATGGACAGCCTGGAAGAGCAGGATTACTTGCACAATCTGGTAGAATAACAGGAATTGGAGTAGGATGATCCGGATTGTATCGAGGGTTATAAGTTGGAGTGGGAGTCGAGAATTCATTAAAATGTGGCTCGGGATGACGACGATAAATGGCAGGGGTTTCTGTTTAGATGGATTGACGGTAATCGCAAAGTCGATGATTATTACGAAAACATCCAACAAGAGTTAGTTACATTCGTATTCACATAAAATAAAGCACTAATAAAGGGACCAAAGTGCATGATAAATAGCCAATTCATAAATGATTGATGCCAAATTGACTGGCTTCCCAGTGATTGGAATGGAAAAAATAGTTGCATTCCCAAGACATGCAAAACATTGTTCTCTTGAATTAAAGCGTATCCGAGATTCAAGATACAACAATGATAGGTTTATAGAATTTCAACATCTAGACTACAATGAGTCTGGTGATTGTACAACTACACCAAAAGAGGAAAAGGGTAGATTCAAAACCATGGTGTTGTATAAGCGTTGTGTTTTGAAGAATTAAAAAAGCAATCGATTATGGCAGGAAAGCGCAAGTAATTTTTAGCTACTGGATATTTCAAAGCAAGAGGCAATCACTGCAAGATAGTGATCCATTTTACGTGAACAGTAGTCCACTGATGCAGCGGAAAGCAAGTGCGTGAATGATTAATATTCACTGTCATGAGCCTTGATAGGATCAAAACCAAGCAGACGACCATGAACCAAAGCAATGATTGATAGTATGAACAATGATAGTTTTCAAGAAACATGAATTACCTTTATATGCATAAACAGGAGTAGCAGCCAGTGCCAAAACAGCAAGCAGCGCTGTAATAGGACGAACGTGCATGATAGAGTTCTGGGATAAAAACCAATGAATCTCTAGTAACAGAATGAAGTGATAAGAAAGGGTTGACCACAGGCCTAGTGTACTAAAACGCTATAGAATATACTGATGTACAATAATTGAAAGTAAAGATTGCTCTAGTAGCGGTGGCGGCGGTTGGTGGCTTTTGTAATATGGACGAAAGCAAGAAGCGATTTTCGAATTATTCTACAATAAATAAAATTGAGTAAGATTCCTAGTGGTTTACAGTGAGGATTGTTGAGTGATTAAAGATGGATTTGTTGGTTTACAGACAAGATTGTTGGGTGATTAAAGATGAATTTTCGGTAACAATTGTTGGTGATTAAAGGATCGCTGGCTGTGTTCACTTGCACTGCGACAAGCATTCGAGCCTGCATGCACTCCATAACAAAACAGTAGTCTTGCATGTAGTGTTGGGTATGCAGCCCTCGTAGACATTCAGGCTGTTTGGGCTTCGTCACTTATCAACTGCAAGCCCATCATGTCTGCATCACCCCTCACTCAACTGATACGATACAGCAGTCGACACAGCTTCCTATACAAGTGGTCATGCTGACCTTCCCCTCGAACACCTACAGCATGCACTTCTGAACAGCACATACCACTACGATGCTTTCATCCATACATGCGTAGGGATCCTCTTGATGCAACCTTACCTTTGCTAATTCAACTTGTAGAGCCACGTGGACGTTTACAAACGGTTGACTGGTAGTCCAAAGTGTTGCTGATTCTTGCTGATTCTAGCTGATGCAACTCTATTCGACTCGATCGCAATACTAGAGTGAAATGAAAACTAATCCAGCTCAAGTGCTTATTCGATAAAGTAAATCCGGGTTGTGGGTTGCTAGTGGACTCGGGTATCAATAGAAAAAGTCTTTCCTACCCCTAATGGCACACTAAGCAGCTGGTCTGCAAATACAAGTCAATTCAACTAGCACGAGTATGCTCTTGCAAGTGTCTGAGTTTTTTGGGCTAACAATATTAAGCTGGAAACAGATGGTGTTGGCAATGCTATCTAATCGTCACAATACACATGAACACAGTGGCTAAACTACTCGATGCTTATATTCAAACCAGTGTAGCCTTGAAGCTGACACACTGATACCTGTTTGTGCATAACAAAATGTCAGAGGCTGTCGTTGAATTCTAAGCAGTGGCAATATGAGCGATCATTTCTATTGCGTGCATTTGCGTCATAACGGTCGTTGGGTGGTTCACATGGAAATGTTTTTGGCCATGTCAGCCATATTCTGTCTAATCTGATACAACAATAACATGCATGCCAATGTTCTAAACGTATTGAATAGCACCATTCTTCGTACACTAGAATTGTTTTTAAACACTGGGTTGTACAAGATGGTGTACATGTAACAACTATATTGTCACAGTCTAAAACACTCGACAATCTTACAGTTGAACTGGCCCGAACACGATCAAGGCAACACCAATTATTCAACAAGCCGTATTCAAGTAAAATAAAGTCATTGCCTCTATCTTGCTTCAAATAAACAATGAATCTTTGTCGCACTTTTACTAAAAGTTGGCTACATTGCTTCATCAACTCTTGTTCAACTCTTGTTTCAAACACAACGCCCATCATATGATACACAGTCGTTTTAAGTCGAGATCTCTTTTTTGAATCCGCCCTTTGTCTTGATATGTTCCTACACTACGGTCACCAAGTTTCAAACCAGATTCATCCATTTCAATCTAAACATTGAGCTCGACTATTATGCTGTCAACCCATCATTGCTGTATCCTAAAATCACATACGTTCGCGTTCTAGTTCAACATATTTCAGGAATGCAACTCGACATGCCAATCACCACCAACAATACCAGTCAACTAATGAGTTTAAAAAACAATGTTCAGTTATTTTATGAAACTGGCTGTTTACTAGATATTTTTAAAAGCTGGAATGGTGATGTTCAGATGCATACCAAAACTGCAATAAAGTGCTGCTGATCGCATTAATAATTCAAATAGCCAACTTTAAAACTTGATCAGTCCATACCATTACTATAGTATTGCATTACATACTACTAGGTTAATTCAACTACCAAATGATCACTACTTCACTCTTTCGTCAAGCCATGTACTGTAGCAAACATGCAGCAACCACTACACGCATGACTGCACTGTCCTTGCAATCTGTTGCTTTTCCCTCTCTTGCTATCAACCCAACAAGAATCATGTCCACCAAGATTATCAACACCTCCAAGGCTCCTGCTGCTATTGGCCCCTACTCTCAGGCTGTAGTTGCAAATGGATTCGTCTTTACTGCTGGCCAAATCCCTTTGATCACTGAAACCATGACTATTCTTGATGGTGATGTTCAGGCTCAAACTCGTCTTGTTCTCACCAACCTCAAAAATGTTTTGGAGGCTGCTGGATCTTCGTTTGACAAGATTGTCAAGACCACCGTTTTCCTCAAGGTATTCTTCTCCTGTCTGTCCAATACAATTCTCTTGTCGAATACCCACTGCTTTATACTTTGTCTTGATCTCCCTTTTGTTGGTAGAACCATCGGCTTCTTGCATACCAACTCACTCAAATCTCATATTCTACTCCTCTCTAATGCTTTCACTTCAACTAGGACATGAATGACTTTGTCAAAATGAACGAAGTATACTCTGAAATGATGGGCGACTGCCGTCCTGCTCGATCTGCTGTCGAGGTTGCTCGTCTTCCTCGTGATGTCAAGGTCGAAATCGAATGTGTCGCTGTTGTCAATTAAAAATGGTCGCTATTGAATGTGTGGAATAATTATCTTGTCTACTCTGTCAAAATAAACTACCTATTCAGATCTGAATCAGTTCACTATAGTTGCTATTATGTTCTATTTTACATGTATATGGTCGGTAATCTATCTAGATAAGCTTCATTTTCACACTGTCAACTCCTGAATGGCGAGCCTCTAGCTCGCGTAACACATCTTCTAAACCTTCAGTCAAATCTAGATACATTGGATGTTTTTCTCCATGTGTTATACGGAGATTGTGCGCAGCTTGTTTTCCAAGCTCAGCAACCCGATCCAAATCATCATCCATTGTCCACATGGAAGCCTTGAATATATCTACAGAGCTCACCGACTCCATAGGCCAAACTGGATACGCATTGTCAGACTCACTTATACCCTTTTCAATACTTTGCGATGCTTTCCAAACACACCGAAATGCATCAAGTTGATCATTGGAAAGTTCAATGACTTTGGCATAATTGCGCTGTCCAACCAAAATCTCAATCAAATCAGTGCGTAATCGGATGAGTACTGAATGTGACTTGCATACAATCAGTTCGAGTGATTCTAAAGCACGAGTCAGAATAGATTGAGATGCACTTGCATCATTGGTTTGTTTTTTGGTAGATTGATACAGATCCACTGCCGAGTCGAATTGGGAAATGCACTGCTGACGCGATTCTACATCACATCTATTGCATATCGAACAGCAAGTGTTCATCAATGCAGTGGTCCAATAGCCAGAGCAACGAGTAGGCAGAGCGGTTGTACATATCATCAAGTCTCGTCCTGCCATACCTCCATTAGCATTTGCTGTACATAGACGACAAGTACAATCAAAGTAGTATTGTTCCTTTAGCTGTCTCTGACGAGTTTCGCAAGACTGGAACACATCCACGTAGGATATATTAATCTTGATTGTATCAAGAGTGGACAAAGGTTAATGGATTTCTATCAATGCTTTTTGATGGCTAAAATCAACAAGATTCATCCTTTTACCTGATCACCAGAAGCGATCGCTGTCATTGGGGAAAGCCGAGCAATTCCTCCAATACCAAAAGTCAGACAAGCGTTGGGTACGCAAGAATGGTTCACAGTCGACAGTCGATCGTATATCGCAACACCTCGTTCAGTCGTCATAGTATTGACTTGAATTTTACAACACAATGCGATCATGTCAGCAGTAGTTGAAAGCAGCAAAGCAGGTGGAATAAATCCAGACGCCATCTGCAGCATGGCAGCTATATGCTCAATATCCTTTGATGCTCGCTTGTCACGGTGCGACTCCAGTTGGCCAACGACTCGTTCAAACTAATTCAAATGCAGATTGCAGTCAAGATGAGTGGAACAGGACAGCCATTCAAGAATTGTATATAGCAACTCCATCAGTAAGTACCTCGTTACAATCCTTGGCTCGCTTGAACATCATGCGTCCCAAGAGTCGAACAGGAGATGGTGGAATCCTTGGCTGAACAGCTTTGAAGCCTTCACACTCTGGTTTATGAATGCTCCAATCGCTGCGTTGGCAAGTCTGAGAACAATACTGAACCACTTTGCAAGAGGAACACTGTTGCATATGAGCAGCTAAACGGAAACAGCCGCTACACGTTTGATTCAAACTAGCATCATCCACAACCGCTACATATGGTTTCTCCATCATGAATTCCAGTCCTAAATCATGAATGATTAGTCGCATCATTCATCGCAGTACGGTCTAAAGTGACGATTGAGGTCACCTACCAACTCGAAGGTCTTTGGTAGCAATCATACAGCGGCCATATCCATTGCGATTTTCTACTTGAGCTGCATCATTGATGGCAGTCATTGTTTACAGTTCAAGACAATCTGAAAACGAAAGGAAAAATATATTTTTTTGGTTATATAGAAAACTCTACTTTCATGTTTAATACATATTCTGATAGTATCAAGCAGGCTGCAACAGCAGCCTTTTATAGATGGACTGCTGAAGCTCGCGTCAAAACAAGATCAACAAGCTGTGATAGTTTATTTTAAGTGATACCACATAATCAGTCTCTAGTTTAATTACAAAACATGTTGAAACATCCATGTATCTTTATTCAAGTCTCAAGTTTATTGCAATACTGTGCTGAAACCATAAATATTATATTCAACTCAGGCCTTGTAATCAGCTGAATCCCACTCAACTATTCAACCATCAGATTCATTTCAAAACGGATAAATCAATCTGTAAATTCTTCAATACACTCGAGTCTAGTCGTATGTATTTGCCTTAAAGTCACTATCGGTACACTCAGTAGTCTATGTATAAAACACTCTTGTCCGTGTCAAATGAATCACCTTGGTCTCATCCATTAATCGAGTTTCAATTATCAGTTTGCCACTAGTTGAATCATATGTTTGATGACAAAGTATAATTACATTTCTAATCAATATTTGGCAAAGTAATAACGACAGATGCATGGCATTACTGGGAAAATTCAAAACCGCGTGGATAGATTGTGGATTTAGTAGCATGCATATGCATGGCAGTTTTACCTCATTAATTCAGCTGGAAGCATTTGATCGGGTGGAGCAGCTTGCATTTCCATATCCCATGAATTTGTAGAGTTTGGAATCACAAATCCAAAATCAAAATGCCATTCTATGTACGTTTAATATCAATCGCATTAGAATTTAAACCGTAGTCGACTGTCAATCTGCCATTCATATATATAATAAAACAGTCATACATGGCAAGGCTTAAAATAAGCTTAATCTGATATACCTTCGAAACATTCGTCACCAAGTAGGACACGTTGGTGCAGATTCAAATGCTGAATTGCATCTATTGTTGAAAATTCTAAACATCGAGCTACACTTGAGCATTTTAGGATAGAACTGGGTATATGAACTACAAATCAAAAATAGCATATTGATTCAATCTTTAGACAAGTCATCCAGATTTAGTCGCCAAGATATACATTTTAAAAGCATTGAAAGTTGAATTGGCCAGAATCAGTCATACAGACCTGCTTTGATATCATCCTCGCTACTTTCAATCTGTTTGGTATGCGACCTATAATAAACAATTATATTAAATCGTATTTTTAGAGCCACCGACTGGCTTGGAATTGGATTATGCATATGCGACTTACCAGTCTGTTGACTTCCATATCTGTTTTCCAGTAGCTCCATCTGCCATGGACATGGATATGCTACAGTCAGATAAAATATATAAAGACTGAGTTGCTGTACAACATGAAACTGCATCAAGTTTGCTTCAAGATATGCGAACCCTTGTTTACACTTGGTTGCATATATGAGCAGGTTGCCTGACGAATTTAAAAGTCTGATGAGTCAATTTAAACCATACATTTTAAACCCAGAATTTGGTAATAGATTAGCAGCAGATTGCATTCTAGCCAAACAATATTGGAGTGCTGCCAACGGGAATACTCTAGCAGAGTCAACTTGAAATTAAAATTCACAGCTGAAAGTCGATTGTTTTTCCCAAACTGTAGTTTCCCATTCTCAGCATTCCATCCAATATTTTGACAGGACTCACTTGTTACTAGTGAATCTCTATTTCAACTGACTAAAAAGAATTCAAAGCTGCTCATGAATGCATCATCGACTACATCCAACTCAATAAACCAACAATCAAGCCAGCATACTGACCAAACTGACGAAGATCCATGGATTACTAGAATCAAACAGAGCGGATGTTTTCCACAGCATGAAGCCTTGCAGGATTGTTATTTTGATAAAAAGGACTGGAGACAATGTAAAACTGCAATGTCCGACTTTCGTGCATGTTTTGCCAAACACAACTCACACCAACAGATTCCATAATAGTTTGATTCAAACCATCAATCTGGCTGTTTCAATAAAATTCAAAATCATACTCATCACTTGACCGATACTTGCATAGCATGCACACTCTACACTACAGTGGTATTTATTGCTTGATATGATTTCTTGTTTTCGACACAGTTTGTAATGTCAATTTCGGTTTGCGACTGCTAGCACTACAGCCTGCACCTGTAGTCAAATGCAATCTCAATGCAGAAACTCCTGTAAAGTCATTCTGACACAGCGGACATCGACTCATACCCTTTTTATACACTACAACCACAAATCCAATCAACCATACATTATACAACAATCAACATGTTAGTATCGTGAATGGGTCACCATGAATGGAAAAACTCGATCGAGATTTGTAAATATACATGCCTGGACATTGTTTCTTGCTCATATGCAGCTTGAGATGAGTTTCAGGCACTGCTGTTTTGCATCGACTGCATTGTCGCATGGTACTAGCATATTCACAATCCTTGAATAAATGTTCTGTCAATGCTGGCACTTTTAATTGTCCTGATATATACATGATTTGACTACGACTACACTTTGAAATCATACAGGTTTACCAATAGAAATATGCTGGTTATTCGAGTTTTTATTTTGTACACGTATTAAACCTCGATGAATTATGTTGATCCAAAATTTAGATTTACTTTTTCATTAAAAGTATAAAACACGATACAGGTCAATACTAAATAAATGGGGCTTCCTTTGATCAGTATACGAGCTAGATATAATCTTTCAGAAAAATACCCATCTAGTATGCCAGAAGAAATGCCCCTTGTCATGTCAAAGCGATTTCAGCGCTCAGCTGCAGCCCAGTACATCAACAAAACATACCACAAGTCATCCAAACGAATGACAATGCATTCAGATTCGGATGGCGAAGACCAAGAGGAGTTTAGGATTGCTATCAAATCTAGTCCGCATAGCAAGATCACATCCAATAGTAATATCTCATTAGATATCAATAGCAATAGCGGCACTAGTTTAAATTATCCTGATCACGGTCGTGCCTGCACCATCAAAGAAAATGGAATAAATACCATTGGGAGTGTAGCACCTAGTCCACAGAGCGGGCTTTTGCCAATTCGACAACGTGGTCAGGGAAATCTACAACGAGCCATGTCCATCACATCTGCTCACGGCGCAAGTGGCAGTATTCCCATGCATACTGCCTCTGCAAACAAAAAAGAGGCAGATGTAAGACTGGGTATAGATACCACTTCGTACACTCCATTCCAGCTTTCATCAAAATCAAGTTTCAATCCATCTCAATTGACAACACGCCAATTGAATCGATTGGATATGCTCACCAAAGCCAAATATATGTCGTATGAAAAACCATCGTTTCATGTCATTGAGCAAATTGGAAACAGTGAAAGGCGATCTCGAAAGTGGTTGCGAGATGAGCATCTCCGAATTCAAACCATTATCGAGACAGCACGCAAAAAGTGGAATTTACTACACAAGGCAGTTGAAGATCCAGCCAAACAGCTAATCGGACAGCAAAGTGCAGCCATTGCTAGAATACGAATGAAAGAAAAAGTAAAAAAGATTATGGATACTAGGGCAAGTGCTGAAATGGCTTGAATTGTAATTAATCTGACTTTAAAACAATGTTGGCCAATCTAATCAACCCTTCAAATGCTCTGACTTAATAGGAAGATGAGCTTCAGTTTTTAGTAGAAGGACAAACTACATCAATTGATGCCATTCGACTCAAAGAACACCTTGTTCTCAGATCCAATATGCCAAAAGTAGGTCGAATGTTTAGCGAAAAAGACCGACTTCGCGTAGAAGAATTACTCGAGTAATAGACTTGATGGAAAGTCTTGCAGTAATAAATACAAATAAATATTAGTGTCGAGTGGGTTTACATTTGAATTTTTTTCAACATATAGTAGATATTCGCGTTTACCGAACAGTTTGTCCGTTGACTTTTGGTATTGACAAGAATTAGCAATGATGTACCGACAACAGCTCATTCGACAATGCATGCCGTTTAAACATAGCAAGTTAATGAATAGGATAGTAACAGGAACACATACTCTTCATCCAATAGCTACCAACTATACTCGCAATGCACAGTCGACTATTCTTGCTTGTTTAGCTTGCCCACAATCAATTAGAACTTACAGTTCATATCCTGCTCCAACAGCACATTCTGAAGGTCCGTCAAAGTCCAAAGGTGCGGTGGATAGATTTAGTGAATTATGGATTCGATTGTGTATGAATCGTTATTCTATATTTTGTGATATTTAAAGCCGTGTCTGCAGCCAGACCATTCCAATCCAGTCCTGACATGTTTATACAATAACCTGGTGTATGAATATACAGACGGTTCAGCCGGAGAGAGTCGCAAAAAGGTCACAATCACTGCCCTGCGCAAGTTGTACAACACAAAGACTCCCATTACAGTCATGACAGCACACGATTATCCAACTGGGTTGCTTGTTGAGCGCGCTGGATTTGATATCTGTTTGGTTGGAGATTCACTTGCTATGGTCGGCTTGGGATACGAATCTACCAACAAAATCACTTTTGAGGTATGCAGGCTTTAATCTATTCATGCTGATTTATTGAGAGTTGTTTGACTTGATTGTCTAATGTCTATTTTGGGAATTATAAACTTGATGACATTGCACTCATGGGCTGCAATCTTTATAGGACATGATTCATCATACTCGGGCAGTGGCTAGAAGCTCAAAGTGCGCATTTCTAGTAGGCGATATGCCATTCGGCACATATGAAGTCAGTCCTGAAGTTGCTCTTAAGAATGCCATTCGATATATTCATGAAGGAAATGTAGAGGCAGTAAAGCTTGAAGGTGGGATTGAGCTCAAGGACACGATCAAGCGACTGACCGATGTGGGTATTCCAGTTATGGGTCATATTGGTCTTACTCCACAGCGTCAGACATCATTGGGTGGATTCAAAGTGCAAGGAAAGACATTGGACAAGGTAGTAATGATCTCAGCTTGGATGATGAACACGACTGTAAAGCAACTGAATTGATTTGGTGTATTCTATCAAAATGTAAATACATTTAGGCGCAGAAAATGTTGCAGGATGCATTGGCACTACAAGATGCGGGATGCTTCTCTATTGTACTCGAAGCAATACCATACCCGGTGGCCAAGTTCATTACCGATCAACTTAGTATTCCTACAATTGGAATTGGCGCTGGACCCGATGTATCTGGTCAAGTCCTTGTGATGATGGATATTCTTGGGATATACGATAAACTTTCACCAAAGTAAGCGATATTCCGTGTCTTGAAATCTGAGCAATAGAATTGATACATTTGTTTGCTAGGTTTTCAAAAGTGTATGCCAATATTGGTGAGCAGGCGGTTACTGGATTATCAACATTTATTGACGATGTCCGTGGAAGCAAATTTCCTGTAATAGGACTGCATACATACAAGATGGCTGCAAGTGAGGAGGAGCGATTCAAGGAATGGGTTGCTATTTACGAGTCGTCAAAAATTACTACTTTGTGAATGGATTGACCTGTGATTTTTGGTGGTCGCATACTTGTGCCATTTTCTGCCAAGATACTTGGTTGTGGTTCTTAAAAGTTAGTGGCTGATAAATCAACTCAAATCTGATTCTACTGGATGAATAAAATTGTTGGGTTGATGTTCAACTGACCAGATACATTCAATCTAAAGGTATACATAGTATCTCCAGATGCAACAGCAAATCTAAGAATGTGCTCATGGCCATATACCACACCTCTTATTCAGCACCAATAGCTGCTGAGCTGTCTAAAAGAATCTTGCGTGAACCATGATTATATTATTTAGTTGATCATGGCTATTTGATCCAAACAAACAATAGGTCAATAGATACATGACTGCAATGTGTTCCTCACAAGATGTATTTACAATACACTAGTTTTTAAAAGTAATAGCTAAACTCGAGAGTGTACGTTGAATCATGTCTTGTGCCCGGCTAGTCAAATCTATTGAGTTTATAGCAATAGTAGTAAAGGACGACGATTTGATGAGTGTTAAAGTAGCCGCCATAGTAAATGGCGTACCGGAATATTGATGATTGAGGATGATGGAATTGGGTCGAGATTTAAAATCAACTAGCTTTAGTTTAAAATGTATTGTCCCGAACATCAGAGCAGTCAAACTCAATATCTGGATGACAATGAATGATGGATTTGATGATCGCTAATGTATGCCAAATCAGGACAAATCCAGTTCAAGATTATAATTTAATTTTATATAATGAACGTTGCGTTTGGATCGAGAATATCAATTTCCAATAGGAAAGCATAACGAGTATTCAAGCAATTGGTTATTCAAAAGCAAAATAGTGACTGCAAGATAGTGTTCCATTTTATGTAAAGCATTAGTTTATTTGCCATGACAGACACAAGCCAACAGCCAATCGAGTATCACAGCGACCAGTACTTTCAAGAGCAACTGGACAGTGGAATTAACTCTTCATATATTCATGGTGCTATTGCTGGTGTTGTCTGTGAGTTGATGTTGTTGTCAACGTTCCTGTACTCGACTAAATCTGACACTCTCATTTTAGCTGGAGCTGCTGCCTTTGCTATATGTTCAGTTACTAAGCAGTCCAGATACGCTACCGGAGTCATCAGTGCATGTAAGCCATTATCTATACATATGTAATGGACTCGTTATACTCACTCTATTCCATACGTGGAAGGTAGTGACTACCCTATGCTTTTCCAATGTCATGATTCACTATTCGTACCAGTTACACAGGGATAGAATCAAGTTTGATCGCAGAATGGAAGCTGCCATGCGAGTAGAACAGCAGCGACGACAACGATGGAATACTTCGAGCAGTGCTTGATCTTATTTAATTCTATACTAAACAATCGATAGTTTTCTGTTAGTTTTGATATATAAGTCTATAGTGAGAGTGGTTTGGATTAGATCCTGTCTTTGCTGGAATGCAGTTTGGATATTGGTTGACTATCAAAACTGTCACTAGGATAGAGAAACTAGCTACTGTATGTGATGGGAGCATTGCTCAAGCTTCCTGTGAGTTGCGGTGGTTGACAGAAGCTATTGTTCGTCGCAGATTGGGTTCTTTCTCAAGTCGCAGACAGGCCGCTGGCATCCATCACAAGCTGCACTGTCCAGCTGCTCGCCAGTCTGTATCTCAAGTGCTCAATGAACTGTCCTCTCCGTCAGTCATTGATTCTCCTGCTGCTGTAGAGCAGGTTGTACTATCTAGACTCTCATCTATTGAGCAGCTTCGACTAGACAGATGGATCCATGACAGATGTATTGCTCATAAGCCATTACAGTATATTCTAGGCACTCAACCCTTTTGTGGTCTTGACATCTCTGTTCGACGACCAACTCTTATTCCTCGCTGGGAGACAGAAGAATGGACTTTGAGCCTGGCTGATCGCATTCATGCCAAGACTGCCAACCAACAACTACCTAAACCACTGCGTATTCTGGAACTGTGCTCTGGCTCTGGATGCATCTCACTTGCACTATCAAAAAAACTTGGCATACACGCCCATATAGTTGGTGTGGACATCTCTTTGTCTGCTATCCTGTTGGCAAGATTCAACCAGAGAAAGCTAATGATAGGATGTGTTGGAAACGGCAGTTCCCAACAGTTGTTTTTTGATCAAGGTGATCTCTTTGACAATGAGTTTGTTGGTCGTTTGCTCAGCCAAATGTCATCTCGCTTGCCAAATCTAGTCGATCCTAGATTCGACATGATCATATCCAACCCTCCTTATATATCACCAACTGAATATGACAGTTTAGACTCGAGTGTCAAGATGTGGGAAGATCAACGTGCTCTGCTGGCATCTGATGAACATGGAATTCGGTTTTATAGGCGCATTGAGGAACTTGCCGACGATCTACTACTCCCACTAAGTCATGCTTGTCAACAATATGATCTACCTCGGATCGTTTTTGAGATTGGAAACACCCAAGGCTCTGCTGTAAAATCACAACTTGGAAATCGACAATGGCGACGCACTGATTTAGTGCAAGATATGGCAGGCCACGATCGTGTTATTTTAAAATATTAAGACTTGAATGCTGTATAAAACCATAAAAATAAAGTGCTACATTTTAATGCAACCACTGATTCATCTTACTAATATTTGTAACATGCTTATAAACTGTCTTGCACTTGGTATGCCAGCAATGTAGAGTAATAGGTATACAGATGTAAAAATTTAAGCTTATTGGACGATTGTATCAAAGTTGGCTGACGAAGATCCATAGATTACTAGAATCAAACAGAGCGGATGTTTTCCACAGCATGAAGCCTTGCAGGATTGTTATTTTGATAAAAAGGACTGGAGACAATGTAAAACTGCAATGTCCGACTTTCGTGCATGTTTTGCCAAACACAACTCACACCAACAGATTCCATAATAGCTTGATTCAAACCATCAATTTGGCTGTTTCAATAAAATTCAAAATCATACTCATCACTTGACCGATACTTGCATAGCATGCACACTCTACACTACAGTGGTATTCATTGCTTGATATGATTTCTTGTTTTCGACACAGTTTGTAATGTCAATTTCGGTTTGCGACTGCTAGCACTACAGCCTGCACCTGTAGTCAAATGCAATCTCAATGCAGAAACTCCTGTAAAGTCATTCTGACACAGCGGACATCGACTCATACCCTTTTTATACACTACAACCACAAATCCAATCAACCATACATTATACAACAATCAACATGTTAGTATCGTGAATGGGTCACCATGCATGAAAAAACTCGATCGAGATTTGTAAATATACATGCCTGGACATTGTTTCTTGCTCATATGCAGCTTGAGATGAGTTTCAGGCACTGCTGTTTTGCATCGACTGCATTGTCGCATGGTACTAGCATATTCACAATCCTTGAATAAATGTTCTGTCAATGCTGGCACCTCTGTAATCTAAAATAATTGTAATCGCAATGAGAAAATTTCGTATCATTAGACAGCATACATAAATCAGGTAGCTGTAGCATTTTTCAATAAAATTCCACATAGTACCGTGCCCAAAAACTCACCAAACCACATCTTGGACATTTAGTCAACAATGGACATGATTCCCAATAATGCCGCTCAAGTGCTTCCTCTGTAAAATTCGAATTTGACTCGTTGCAAAATATACACCGCTTGTCAAATGGAATGTATTCATGAAGTGATTGATCAGACTCTTCACGGGCAATGTTGCTTTTATGTGTTGAAACTGCCGAATCTAGTGGCAATGACGCATGCTTTTGAGATTTGGCTGCTTTAACTTTAGATTGGTTTCAGTTTAAATGCCAGATATATTTAGTTAATAATCTGGCTGTAATCATTAAATAAACTTCCATCATAGTAGCGTAGCATTATCAAACACTGCCTTTTAACACCATGTTCTGTCAAGTTATATACCAATACCAACAATAAACTGATTTACCTGAGTAACTATGTTGATCACCTTTGTATTGATACGAGCTCATTTTACTTTTTATATGCTGCACTTGCTGATCTCGGATACCCTTCAAATGTTTCAATACATAATCTGATCCAACCTGTAAACCTAAAGTCGCTACGACTGTGCTGGCTGCGTCTCGCACATCACTATTGACGTGCTCTAGATACGGTATGGTAAATTGTAAAACTTCCTATTGTTTCAAAAGTAGTGTTAGCCTAGTAAAAATGCCAAGTGTTCAGCTCTAAACCCACTTTAAAAGACAGTCCAATCTTTTCATTGGCAAGATTTCGACTGGATCCATCATCCACTCCATAAAGCTGCAACACGTTTAAAATGATATCCAATCGAGTTTTGATGTGGCGATGATGAACTAGCGTCGACTTTCCATTGATGCTAGAAGGTTTAACAAGTGCAGGCACAATTGATCCTAAACTATTGCTTTCGTGTCCAGCAGTATGATATGAACTAATGCATTGATGAATAACATCTAAACAACTTTTTTTTATACGAACGTTTGAATCTCCAGCACGAAATAGTAAAGTAGCGAACATGTTTTCCTCAAGCGCAGCAACCATTGATGAATGGCTTTTATCATGCATTATTGCTTTTTCTAATAAAATCCAATTAGTTTGGCCAATCCCATATATCAACATAGACAGATTTAAAAATGCACTGATCAGCTTTAAAAACATTGGCAATCAACACTAGAAATTATGTATGCAAAGCCCAGTTTAAAGCCTACTAGGCAAAAATCTAAAAGTAGGAATTGATCATTTCATGTTATGTAGCATGTCTTACCCATAAACTTGGAAAACACAGTCAAAGCTAAAATACTAGTACGCTCTCGAGTATCGCAGAGAACCTTTGTAAGTAGTTGAAATCCCGCTCTGATCGTTTCTAGTGCAATGGTATCGACATCATCCAAGTGGGTGATGAACATCATTAAATCATTAAGACCGCTTTCTCGATGTCGAAATTGACGACTTAATATTTTTGAAACTAGTGTAATTCCAAACTCCTGCAGGGGAAGTGCAAACTGTATTTCCTGATTTGTATTGATAGGCTCGGGATCAGCCATCTCATCTGAAAATGCGTCTAGAGTTTGGCTTCCAAAAGAATCGTGAATTTGATCATTCAATTGAGAACTGTGTTTTGATGACAATGCGCTCTTGCTCCTGGATAAATGAGACAATGGCAGATTCACAGTATCTGTAGTAGATAATTCAAAATTTTGGTTTGCAGAAATAGAAGAATCAGGTGGCATAATTGGTTGTCTTTGGTCTTGTGTTTGCTGCATTTTTGCTAATTGTTTTGAAACAGGAAGTGGTGGAGATGATACTGATGGTTTACTGGTGTCCAAATTTGAATCTACATGCAGTAGCTTTTTGCTTTCAAATTCCTCAGAGTTCACAAAACTCATAGTTGAAGATGGATAATGCAATTGATTTCCAAGGCGAGATTTTTCCCGAGTATCTGGACTGTTAGTATGTCTACGCTGCTCCTGAGAATGCATATTGGCCAATTTTTTTGGTGAGATTGGCGGTGATGGTGGCTTTTTTTTAACTGTTGTAATTTCTGCCGTCAATATCTCCGTTATATTTCCATTAGCAATTTCATATCCAGCCTCTGTTAAATTTTTATAGAGGGCAGTCCTGATATCATTTTCCTTGCACTATGCATTGATTGCAAAAATAAGATTATCCTTTCTCATTCGCATATACAATCATATGCAGTGAATCTCTGTTGGCATAATTTACTTGGTATTTTTCAGCAGTGTCAAAGTCCTCTACTTGAACAGCATGGCGCTTCTTAAAAGACAAGCGCGAGATCTCATTCCCACCCTTCAGATTTGAGGTAGAAATATAGAGACCATTGTTTAGTTCATTTGTATTACTGCTATTAAACTTGACCATGCTTACCTCAAGAAATACGGTATAGAGTTGCTTCATTTTCCTTGCAGTAGTATACTGCTCCACTATTCAAATTGAATATTTCAAGAAACAATACATATCGAATGCTGCAATTAGAATAGCTTGATTATAATTGCATGTATACAAGCTGATTATTAAAAGTTTATACCTCGCACGGCTTGCTCTTTGGCATTTTGAAGTTGTGACAGAATATTGGATATTTGTCTGTCGTATTCTACAGAAAATGATAAATCTTTATCGCGAGATGTTTGAGCATCTATAGACGACTTGTCAGTGATCCCTTTCAACACAACTTTGGATAGTCTATTTGAAGCTGAGTCACTGTTATCCTACGTTTTCAATGTTTTTGTTTAATGTAGTTTTGAATAAATAGGACTCAAACATATGCACAATAAGCTAGACATTAGGAAATGCATGATGAGATTGAATTATACCATGTCCAGTCGTGAAGGGATACGATATGTAGTTTCAGGCTCAACGCCAGCTCCAAGAATATTGATTGCTACTAAACCAATCTATTATATCATTAAATTAGATTTTAAAGCTTGCTGCAACGCAATAGATTTTGTACAGCTATAAAACATTGATGTGATAAATTCAAAGTATACACTTGCCTGGTTATACAAATTAAGAGCATTTACATGACATTTGTGCAGCACAAGTTTGATCAGATTAGCATTTCCATCCAAATGGATAGACTTTAATTCACGAGCTCGATATCCATTTGCCACATTGTCATCCAAGGATACAAATCTGTAGATTTAAAAACGCTTAATAAACAATACATGACTAAAGCGACCGATTATCTTCAAAACAGGGCTACATAATACAAACATACCCTAGACGATGATACTTGACAGATTCTAAAAATCCTGGGCCGAATCCTCCCCATGCAGTTAATTGTGGAACTGTAGCCAGATGGACTTCTACACGAGTTGGAATCTTGAAATGATGAGCAAGCAGTTGAATCTTGCAAATTCGAGATTGTCCAACAGTCAAATGCAATACTAATTCTTGCGGAAACAGACAAAACCTATACATTTGCATACAAGATGGTGTGATTCAAGTTGGATGAGCAGTTTTATTCCAGCATTGTTTAGAATACTGAAATTCAAGTTGGAAGCAAGGCTGATGTTCGGACCTTTCACTCTGCCAGCCCACAGCTGTTGGTGTGTGCTTGTCGATATGCAACTCAGATGGAGGATGTTGCTCATCATATCCTGTACAACCAAGAATTTTAAAGTCCAACTTGGACACTTTCATGCTGCTGTATCAATAATGAGCTAATCCAAGGCTCAGTTGAATAAAAATAATACTTGACAATATTCAAAGTCCGAATAAAAGAAACGTTCAAGCTGTTAAAAGACTATGCAAACTTGATTCTCATACGAATGGCAGTTCAAGGCCAATTAGGTATTTGCAGGTATTTACAGCCGTATTCGTACTCAATTCTTGGTCTGGTTGTTCCTCAATTATAATCCAAATTGACTAACAGAATAAATAAAATAGATCAAACACAGATGTAATCCAATCTGAATCTATCACTGACAGAAAGTTGATCCAACAGTGAGTACAGATATACACGCATTTTCAGAACGTGCAGTCCCAGTATCATGTTTATTCACGATAAATTCGTAATCAGCTGTATAACATATTCAAGAGAAGAATCGTTCAGCACAACAATATCAAAGGCTTTTGCATATTGGTCAAGAAAAAGATCTTGATCGTGATTCAGAAACCCAATTGTAAGTTTGACATGCGTATGGACTTTGTCGGCCATGCGCAGATCTCCAAGTGAATCTCCCATCAGAATCTAAAGACAAATTTCATAGATATTATACAAAAACAACGATCAAGTCAGATAACAATAATCAGCCTTGTTTACACTCAAGTTACTGTCGCTTGATGGATGATAGACATCAGCCAAAATACAATTAGAAAAGAACAATCTAAACTTACTACATTATGACGGTCGCCAATCTTTGTATGGTGATCAGTTCCGCTGACTGTCGCTTCGTTTTTGTTGAAAGTGTGGATTAATGGATCTTCAAAAGCGATTGCAACATCATCCTTAAACCGCATTTTGTTTGATACAATATCCATATTGTCTCGCATCAGTTGAGCAGAATTCATAATCTCTTGTAGCACATCTGCATTACAGTGAAGCAACGAATTAAATAGGAACTATTTGATAAATCTGCAACATTGATTGTCTTTTTTTGGCATAAACCATGATATAACCACTTGATAATAATAACATTACCTGCTAGTCCAGCAGAAAATATCAGGACTGGAATATTTCGAGCGTGACATAAATCAACAAACTCCTTTAGCTTGGGCCGGAAAGCCACGGGAGAAGACTGTACCATATCCTTGATATCCTGCCGTGTAAGACCCATTCCCACAATAATGCTGTGAGCAGTCGTCCACCAGGTCTTCATGGCTTCAACCTTTTCTTCGAATGGGATCGTATGAGATATCTCGATCGGATAGTATTTCTTGTAGAGATCTGTCAGTGCGGTCTTGCACTGAATCCCATCAAACAGTCAAGAGTCAGCATGCCATGGTAGATGGATAATTGCATACTCGCAATAAAGCTTTACGGCTACAGGTCGTTATAGAGGAACAATGTGGAGGGCCTCCATAATCAATAGTTTACCTTGTCATCCACATTGGAAGCATGCTCTAGTACACCGTGGCTACTCCTGCTTCGAACACCATTCGTCCAATATCTAGTAAGGGTCATATCAAAGTCTAACCATTCCATCACACACATACTAGTTAGTATATGGCCAGGATGCCTTTAAGCTAAAATCAAAAGTATGTTCAATCAGGTGCAATAGATACATGCAAGGCTGTAACAACCCCATGTAAATATGCATTCAACTCATAGTAAGCCTAATCAACCTGTAATCACATGTAATGCCGATACACCATCTGCGTCAAGCTGTGCTAGCTTCTCTGCAATCTTGGATGGGTTGGAAATGATTAGATTGTTCTTGGCATCCGCCGCCAGTTCAATCAATTGTTTGATCTTATCAGATATGGCCAACATAAATGTCCAAGATTTGCTAAAGCTGCTTAATGATGCAAGTTGGGTAAGGGTTCATTTGTCAGTTTCTTTTTATAAAACTGCCATTTCAGATTGGGTCTTTCTACTTGCTCTAAAATAGATTATTATGACAGGACTACTGTTGCTTTATTATTTGTGAAACCGACTCAATATTCAGTCAATCACTTGGCAGAATCACCAAATGGATTGTTTATAATATCCTCATGGATCTTGGTAAAGAAGGGCACATAACTGAGAAAATCGAGAAATCCAACCATCGACGACAGTGATTTATCCTTAAAGTTCAGCAGAGCAGCAATATTGCCAACTTGCTGTTCTGAACTTCCTGATGACAAAAGCATGATCTTGAGATCTTCATATGTCATCTGGCCATCCTCTTCAGTATATACCGTAAAGAGTTTCTAGTAGCATTGAAATACAAATCAGTCCAATACTAGTATTGCATAATAAGAAAAAAAAGGCAAAACTATACTTTATACTGCTTGATATTGCTTCCAAGCTTCTTGAAATCAGTGTCGTAAAAGCCTAGTCTTACTTTCTGATCCATCAAAGTCATTCTTTCGGCCAATGACGCGATGACAATAAACTCTTGCTGGTCAACAGTATCATCATTCACAAGTTCAAACACCTATTGTTGATCCGGTAAAATAAATTAGCACATCAAATGCAATATCACGGTTTAAACACTAGACTTGCATTTTTAATATATTCGATTTCTTGATCGCTGAGTTTTCGGGATGAGTTGATATCTTTTAGCGCGGTTTCCATTTCAGGCATCCCCAATAATGGTTTGTTTTTAAATAGTGGTGCAGAAACTGCAAGCATGCGCAATTTTGTTTCAGCATTCAATACAGACATATTTTCTAATGCTGAAGCCAAGACCCCCTGAAGTATTTAATTGTTGAAAGGCAATACAAATCATTAATGTGTTTACATGATAATACAAGATCATGCAGCAATGAATTTTGACTCACCTTGCTTTCTTTTTCATTTACTATTGCCACCATTTCATCTTCTTCGGCGTTTTTGGATTGGTATTGGCGCATAATAGGATGTTCCAACTTGAGTTTCTAAAATTTGGCCAATTAAATCTGATTTGTTAGTTATTTGAACGTATCATTTAAGCTATCTCAAAAACCTAGCTATGGCCATTCGAGTTCAACACGCTTACATTTTTAGCCTTGATAGCACGCTGAAGTTCCAAATACTCGGCCTCTCTTTCTTGATCGGTTATTTGGGACTGTCGAGATTCATATTCTAACAAGTTTATCTGTTCAGTATCTTCTGACCCTTTTCTGTCTGTATAACTGCCGACTACACTTTCATCCATTTTGAGCACAGGCGTACGCGACGGTATATTATTTGAACAATCCAGCTCATGTGCTGTAATCTCGGGTTTGCTGATTGGCACATTATGGCTAGAATTAGAATGCAAACTATGCTCTTTTTCTTGCACTTTTCTGTTTGCTTTATTGTGTATTCGAGTAAGCTGCTTGCTGTCTTGTTTTGAGTTTTTACGTGTGGGCTGAATAAAGTCGCTTGTATGCAACATCACTGCTTCTTTTAATTCCTGATCTGTATCTCGTATTTTTGTGTTAGATATAGGATCAGGTGTTGCGTTTGATATATTTTCATACTCTGCTTGTTGATCTAATTGATCATCTGTTACAACAATCATCTCATTTATCGGCAGTATTGGCCAAGAGGTTTTTAGATCCAGGGTATTTGATGTAAAAGTTTGATCCAATGTTTCTTCTTCAAAAGAACCCAAAGAGTCGAAACACTCGTTGCTGCTAAATTTTGGTTCAATCTCTGGTCCGTCTATTCTTTGCTGTCTTTCTGGTTGGATTTGGCCAATCGAATTTTGTTTTAAAGATAAATTAGTGAAAGATGTACGCATAGGTTGAAGAGCCATTGGTGGTAAGTATTTCTGCTATATAAAAGATCAACAGGCTGATTAATAAAATCTCGTAGATGATTAAAAAATTACTGGCAAGTTTTGCTCGCCTTTTAGCAAAACTATTGGAATGGTTGAAAGGCATACAGATTCTACCTTTTGCTCGGCAAGAAGAACCATTGGAGTTACTCCATAGAGACGAATAGATTTACGAAATCGATACGGAAGCAGGCGTGCCAATCGTGGATCATCTGGCGGAAGAGTAACCATTTCACTAAACACTCGAAAGTAATCTCTCTGCTGTTCTTCTGGTGCTTTAGTATTTAAAGAATGAGCTGCTTCGTGACTGTATAGTTTTGACTTTCGAATCTAAACACATGGCAATCATAAAGTCAATTCCACGTCAGGCCAATACATTAAATAGTATATCTTTGCTATATTGAATGAGGATGTCAAAGTGCACAGTAAACAACCAATCTCATGGAATGATGGGTGTCCAAAACCAGTGATAAATTATACCATATGATGCACGGTGTGTTTTGAAGAATAGAGAATGTCTAGTAGGAAAGCGCAACAAACATTCAGCCATTGTCTATTCCAAAACGGCAAAGTTGAAAGTATTCCATACTACGTGAATACGGTGGTAAACACTACATGAATGCTGCAAATTACGTACCCAAGTCTTTCCGTTTGAATGAGATTGCTGGATTGGAACTACAGGCAATTTGTCTTTTTTCTTACTACCCTTTGTATTTGTATGATCATCCAGTAGAGGCTTGAGACGTATGCGTTGTTTTGAACGATAAGGTTGCATTGGGACGGGCATCTTGCGACCACTTGCAAAGTTTAAAACTATAGGGCTGAAAAGAAAGTCATCCCTCGTGGTTTTTGAAGGTTTAACAGTTGGTATGCTTGAGGGGTGTGGTACAGACAAGACTGGACCATGACATTGTTTTTTCAGTTTATATCCCGGAAATGATTTCTTAGATAATGTAGCATCTGTGGCGAGTATGCCAGGACTCGAATGGGCTGGATATAAGATGGATGGAGAATCGTCGCGCAGATTTACTCGAGGATTTACCAAACCGTTGCTTGTTGAATGCGGCTCTTTGTAGTATATATTTTGTTTGGTATTAGTGTTGCTATTGGAAGAAAAGTCATCATGTGCTCCAGTATCTTCATGTGTATGAATGCTGTTATGAGGGATCAATCTCGCAGATTGTGACGCTGATTGATCCATAGATGCGCAGTGATCAAAAGACGCACTATCGGCATATATATGTGATGGATGTAAAATGTCAAGGTCTAGAGGGTCATCTATAGAGGGTACTGGTAAAACATCAGTTACATTTGCTGAACACACGTCTTGGCTGGATTCGACATTAAAATATTCGCGACTCGTGCCTTTGGGCAGAGTACAAGACTCAGTCTTGGCAAGCTCAGTCAAGCTTACAGTCGATTTCATAAGATCATTTTCAATAAAACTTTGCATAAAAGATTCTCTTGGCGAAAAATCCATTCTATACCAATGCAGCTGCCTGTTTTGTTTGAATTCACTGGTAAGTCGAGCCAGAGTGTTATAATGAGATTTGGATTGTTGCTGCCAAGTTTTTACACAAAGTGGCCAGGATTGAATAGCTACTATATAGTTATGGGCTGATTTTTAAGTAAAAATATAACAAATGGCAGTAGCAAACACTAGTCCAAAGTGTCGAAAATAAAGTAAAATTTCTAATCATTTAGATGTGTTATCATATTTCACAAGATTTCATGTCCATTCAATCTAGATGTTTAAAACTATCAATATTTGCAGGTGAATTTCCAAACTGCTTTTTAAAATTTTGGTACAAATGGCTTGTGAATAGATGTATCTTCCTTACTATGCAGTCGTAGATATTACGGTTTAAATATTTGTCTATTGAGAATCTGATATTCAGACACAAAATAGATATTTTTAAAGCAGCATCTGTTTTGATTTGAAATATCCTCAATGCACACTTTGAATGTCATGTACTACAGCCGTATTCACGTAAAATAAAACACTTGTATTGACTCTATTTTGCTCTGGAATAAACAGTGGTCAAATATTCGCTATTTTTTATAGAAGCTCTGCTGTATCTAATATCATATATGTTTGCGTTCTAGTTCAAGAAAACATCTCGGGAATGCAAGTATACATGTCAATCACCAATGTTTAAGCTAAAGGAAAGGAGAGCTGGATACTGAGCAAGTGTCAAGGATGTGGAATGCATTGAAATAGAAATGTGATCACTTGCTCTGTATTTTTGTACACGAATGAGCACAAAGGAATATCAGTAACTAAGAGTTCAAAGTGCAATGTTGCACAGTAAGATTGGCACCAATCAAACGTGACTGTTTATCATATATTTTAACTTTGGTATTCCATTTTATGTAATACGGCTGCAAATTATTCCAAATCAAGACTCGCCAAAATGCTTTCATTACAATTTTTCTGAATAAAGGTATAGAAATACAGCTGGTAACTTACATGCACCAAACTCAAATAACAGATGCAATAGGAACACTGTTGAGCTATTTTATAAAGAATCTTCCATTATCTGGATTATTTCCAGTCCAGCTTCTCCAGGCTCAGGAAGATTCAAAGTAAATACTCCACAAAAATCTTTCAAAGAATGATAAAAATTCTTGAGAATCTAAATTAAAAGCATGTGAATATCAAATGTTGAATACTTTAAAGTGCCAGACATTGAAAAATAATATAGTTGATGAGCATACATTTTGTAGTTTTTTTAATCCTTCGGGACTACTTCGCAAAGAGCGTAACTCCTGATGACTCATACCCAATCTGCTGGCAATGATCTGTAAAATAGTTTAGCCCATGTTACCATCAAGTGGGTTTTACAACTGTCAATCATTAAAGGCACCTACAGGTTTGCTAAGCAACGCAGAGCATGTCGAGTGTTTGTCATTTAATGTAACACGAAGGGAATAGCCTTCGGAAGTCACTGCAAGCTTTTCCCAAGATGATAATTGAGCAGCAACATTGACTGTTTTTTGAATGCTAATAGTTTTTTAGCATACAATGTAGCCAATTAGAAGCCAGGTGCATACTTACCAGAGAGCAATCAGGCCTTCCAGTTCGGAAATTTTGCATCTAAAAATACATAGTATAATTCCATCAGTAATACAAAAAATACAAGTGCATAAATGTCGCGTAGGCGTATACACAGCTACCTGTCCACCGGAGAAAGAATATGTATTTCATCGTCATCATCATAGCTATCAAATGATGTATCAGCAGTAATTGATGGTTTGGTATTGTAAGTCTCCAATGAGCTCTGGGGGATAATAGGATTGCAGACTCGTGAGGATGATGCTGTGTTGACATTTTCCTGTGCAAAAGAGTGCATACTATCGATTGAAGTTGCATTAGTAGTGGGTGGAAAAGTGTGATTTTGTATACAGGAGGAAAACTCTGCTTGATGCAAGGTACTGGAGGGGGTTTTCAAATCCTTTGAGCGATTTTGAAGATTGTGATCAGATCTAGTCCCAAGTATAGGGTCTTGAATTTTAGCTTGCCGATGAGTATCTGAAAAGTTTTTTGTGGTATAGTGGTCGGGATTGTCTTGAGAATGTTTCATTGATCGTTGAGGCTGCCAAGTTAAATCTGTTTCGAGTTTGATATCGAGATCCTGATTCGATGATGGCTTGATCGTTTGGTTATTCTGATTTGTTGAAACAGACGAATTGATGGCAGCATTGTTGATTTTTGAATCATCAGATGAATCTTCGCCTCTGTACATTGAAATATATTTTATATCAGATATCTGAATAATAGATGCATGACAGTTTTGATGGCCTATAAATATACCTATTTAAAAGACTTTTCAAAGTATTTTCCAGGCGAATCAATGGGTCCAAAGCATTCATTTCTGAAATTGAACCACCAAGCACTTTTGTGTTTGCTGAACTTAGCAATAATATGCCCCGACTAACACGAACATTTGATATCAAAATCTACTCAACGGTAGCATTAGTGATTAATAGTAAAATGTGGCGAGTCAACCATCAATTCAGATTTGACGATGGTTGTTGGGTTTGGCATGTAAAATCTAGAGACAGCATAAAAACACAACCTTTGTACCGAGAGGAGTGAGTAAGTTTATCTGGCCCATTGGGGTGTACTCTATTCCAGTACAGATCTGGCCTCCATCAGAAAGTGTGAGTTGCAACATTTTACGAGGAAGCTGCAGTTCACCTGGAGTAGGAGGCTCGCCACGCTTTGGCTTTCTCTCCAAGATAAGATTCAGCATTGAATGTACTGAATGACCAATTTCCATAATATCATTTATTTGTAGTATGTAACAAGTTGGAGATCCTAAATATCAATTTAAATTATTCAGCAAGCAATTGGCACTGCGTCGAATCGCCAGAGTTCGGACTCGCATATTTGCACAAGTGCATTTTCAAACCTTGATTATTTGTAGCAGTAAGAGCAGATGAATTACTATTCGGAGCTAGTACGATATCATGCAGCATATCTATACGTTGTGGCAAGGCAGATACTGAGGGATATACCATCATTTCAGACAGGTCAGAATGAAGGATTTGCTCCAATAAAAGATCTAGTATTTGCGATTGATTGGTAGCATTAGTTTGAATGTATTCAATACACTGTGATATCCACTCTGGATGAATTCCTTGTAAGCCATACGAGTCCAGCAATTGGTTGATGCTCATTTACGCTGTCTGTGGTCGTCAATCTGCACTTTTATGATTGGCAAGACACCCTCAGGACTGACGTGAGTTGATGAAAGCCTTTGGTATTCACGTGACCTGGTTTATAAGCAAATTGGAATTCGTTTTTTCGAGTATTTCAAGTTTATTGGAATTGTGGTGTCGAGCTCATTGCACTTCTTGGCTACATAGTCTTTACTGTCATATTAGGATCACATTCATCTTTGGGTTTCTATTGTTTCGACAAAAAACTTCCAATTCACCATGGCATTTTCACACTGCACTGCTACCCGCATTGTGATTTTTTCTATAGCCGCACTCTTTATTGGTGTGCTTACATTCTCTACCATTGATCCACCCAAACCACAAGGGAAAAAAAGTCGCAAAAAGAACAAGAAATCCAATGTATCGTCTTTGGACGAACAAGAAAACAAGCCCGTTTTGTCGTCTGCCACAAAACCCGAAAAGTTGAGCAGGGCTAAAGAGTCGGCTGTACCTGATTCCGGCTACGTTACACCACAAGTATGATACCAATACCATTGTTTCGCCATATGATATTCTATTTCTTGCTCTATTTTCTTGAAGTCATTTGTAATCACTATTGCCTTGGCAGCTGTATTCACGTAATATGGTGCATTTCTTGTATTTATTTTGCAGTGATTGCCACTATTCTGCTTCGGAATAGCCAATGGTTGAATGTTGCGCTTTCCTACTACAAATTGACTTTATTCTTCAAAACACACCGTGCATCATATGATAGAATCCATGATTAGTTTTGGACACTCGTCATTCTATGAGATTGGTTGTTTACTGTGCACGTTGACATCCTCATTCAATATTTCATTTACATGAACAAGTTACTGATCAATCAATATGGATTTTTAATGCAATATTCATTCATACACAGCTGGGTGCTAGTAGCAATCAAGACCTTGCCATAAATTCTTTGAGTGACTCTACTGCTTTTAGTGCTGATTTGTTAGACTCGGATGATCTTGTTGACATGATGCAGCCATATAAGCTGCCATTGGAAAATATTGCACTTGCTGATACAAAAGAGTCGAAAAGCAACTCTGTTTTCTTTACAGCAGACTTGTCTAATAATGACATCAAAGCAGTCTCGATTAAATCACCCAAACTCGGTAAATATTTGTAGCTAATTTTGATGCTCAGATAGTCGATAATTAACTATATTTCAACTTTATTTTTTACTGCTTTATCAGAGCCAAATGCTACATCCGAGGGAATTCTTTTTCCACAAATGACAGAAGATCAACACGATACAAAATACTCCTACGATCTAGAGCACCCCAGCTATTCTGACGCTATATTCATCAATAATAATGACATTGATATCATAAGTGATGAATTAGAGGCATATGTACCCAATGGCATGCCTTCAGCACAAGAAACTCTCGAGTCAGTACTTGAAGTCATGGGGGCTGATCCCGATAAAAGACGTGAACTTGCTGAAATATTACAGCAGCTCAGCTCATATGATCAAGACGAATATTCTGGTACAATCACAATCAAAGCAGATCAATCCAAAGCAGACTTGCAATCGCAAATACTAGATATAGGTTTGGAAACATCGATTGCAATAGAGTCCTATAGCCAAAACCAAGCATCCCCTTTATCGCCTATTATGGAAGAAAAGGAAGAGGATGCCGTTTTGCAGGAACATTTGCACAATGTAAGCTGCTTGTTTGACAAATGCATGCAGTGTTACCTTTTTATTTTCAAAACTAAACATCATGATTGACTACGATGAAATAACCTTTATTTACTCAACTGGCTAATAAGATTGCATATGATATACAGAATCTGCACATTCCTAATGGAGTTTCAGAAAAACTTGAGCAGAGTACCGCTATTGCATCACAGGATGTTAAAGACACTTGCACAAATCTGAACAAGACTGTCTGTATGGACAATAATGAATCGTATGATACTAATTCCAAGGAGCTAAAAAAGGTCGACGTATCGACTACTTTATGCCCTGAATTGGACGTAGCTAATGGTTTGGTTGATACGAGTGCTGATTTCGAATTGACTGAAAAGGCTGCTCTTGTTGAATTTCCTGTAAAAGCTCTAAATTCAGTCACACTGACAAAGATTGCCTTGGACAGTCCTATGAGCGTTGTTTTATCTGTAAAGAATACCGATTTACAGAAAACAGACCACAGTGCTAGTCTAGAATCCCCACGATCACCTTTTGTAGAGAGTTTTATCTCATCTACACCTTCTGTTTGGGCTCCAGTTGACAAGGAGCTTACCTCGAAACCTCGGCAGAGTGCATCACTGGTTTCTAATCAGAAGCATCACCCGTCTTCTCGGTCTTCAAAGGAATTTTCTACTACAGCTTCATTTAATTTGGCTGCTCCTGAATTTGTTCCTAGTGAGTAAAGACTAGTATGATTTATACAAATACTCTAATGCTGGTATTGACATTGCTGTTTTGAACCATTAGATTTTTCATTTGAAGACAGCCATACATCGAATATCAAAACTGCCAATTCCAATCCAACTCCTCAGGTATTTAATGGCTTTAATATAAATTGTGAAAGCTTTTATCCTGCAGGATACGAGGCAAATATCGATCAGAAACCAAGCCAGGTAAACTTTGAGCAATCATTGTCGCCACTACGTCACGCCAGTTCATTTCCATACGTGCTTGCCGAGCCATTCGATGCCATAAATACGCACGATTCAAACTTTGACACTGCTATCAAGCCAACCACCGTTCCATCTTCAACTTCTGTTGATTACTTTGCTCAAAATATGCTTGATTCAATTTTTCATGAGACCAAAGATACCAACCGTCAGAAAAATACACCTTTTTATCAGCAAAAAAGTACCAGTGCACATCAATATGCGTTTTTCCCTGAAAAGACCAGCCATACTTTCCCATCTTCCAAATCCACCTCACAACTCCTGGCCCAGTCCAAAATCGATTCCCCAAAGCGTGGATTGGCCTCTAACAAGATCAATCGGATAAAGTGCAAATTCGGGGATTCTTGCCACAAGAAAGACCATGATTGCGCATACTTTCATCCAAAGGAGAAATGCACATTTTATCCAAATTGCAAATATGATCAAGAATGCACATTTATTCATCCATCTCAGTAAAATAATCATTGCTTTGTTTTACCCATTCCGACTACTTGTCTGTTAACAAACCATCTTTTCAGTCCAATAAAATTGATTTTTGCCAGCTTTCCAGGTTTTGTTGTTTGACAATTGGCTCAAGTTCAGCAAATGCAAGCTTTAGATAAATGTTGGATTGGCAGATGTGAGACATTGTGGCTTAATCATATTCACGTGATTTTAAATTATGGCCAATTTTGTTTGAATTGTAATTTTGGGTAAATTGCTGCAGCAAATTCTTTTCAGCCAAAGACTAAAACTTTCAAACTCATTTCTTTCTAGACGCTCAGAAATGTCGGATTATGGGAGCGATGGCGGCGGAGGTGATCCATATGATGAACCTATAGAATACGATGAAGCTGGTGATGAACCACTTTTGGAAGATCAGGACGAGTATGGACAAACCCATACTGAGCGAATGGAGGTGCTTCCAAATGGTCAGGATGATCAAGTAAGATAATCTCAAATTGTCATCAGTCTGGACAATATTTTCAAACCCTGATTAATTGCTTTTCAGTACATGACTAATTGGGTAGCTTGCATAAAGTTTCAAAAATGTTTGAATATTGAAAAACTATTCGAGCATGACATCCCAGTGTCTTGTAACAGGACGCAGATTCATTTGTAATCTACTCAAAATGACATGAATTTTACTTTATTTTTTACAAACTCTAATGTATTTTATATTTAGGATGCTCGAGGTGTTAGCGGAACGACTGGTCCAGGACCTATACCTAAAGATCAGCGTATGACAACTCCCTATATGACTAAATATGAAAAGGCTCGTATTCTTGGCACCCGTGCATTACAAATCAGTATGAATGCACCTGTAATGGTCGATCTTACTGGTGAATCAGATCCGCTACAGATTGCTATGAAGGAATTGCGTGAACGGAAAGTCCCGCTAATGGTTAGAAGATTTATGCCTGATGGAAGTTGGGAGGATTGGTCTGTGCAAGAATTGATTCCGCCAGAGTAAAGCAATACTTGTCAAATCGATTCGACTTTTTTCATTTTCTCTCCATCTATTTTGATTGTGGATGTCATGATCCTGTTTGCCATTGAGCATCTATTTATTTATTTTAAAATTGATATACTGTCTAAACTGGCATGAACTATCTTAGTCGACTTGTCAAGTCTAAAGTATAGAATTATTTGTTTCCAAGCTTATTATTAAAACGATTAGTTATGCAATAAGACGTTGATCCTACACATCAAATTACCATGAATGAACAAGAGCTACTATTTAGCAGATAAGGGCAGTTGTGAATTGCGAATAGCAACAATAAACAAGACTCGGATGATTTGGACGTCGCGCATATAAAGAAACTCACCAAACAAGGCAGATTGCTGATAGCGTTGACTGTTAATTCAATTGGTTAGTTTGAGCGTGCCTTTATGTTATTTGGTGACAACTGCACTGCAACTTGAAAGAGTTGCGCAATCTCGCTGGTATATTCTGTCTAGTTAATGGCTGGAGAAATAACTCGGCGTTTACAATGATTTACCAATCCAAAAATTACAATGCAACCATCTTGACTGTATGTTCTACCAAGCCGCATATCGACTACAAACATTAGCATTGCCAATAGTAATGGCATTGATAACGATCAGCAATGGCTTAAAAGATTCATTTCGTAAATAGAAACAAATCGAGTCAATACTTGAGAAATGGGAATCAATAGTCTACTGAAACAGCAGTATGCTTGAACACAACTAGATCTTCATTAAATTCACGAGTATTATGGTAGTGCCAATGGAAAACAAGCTACAGCTGTGTTGAGATAGCTGCTAGAAACTGAGACAAGATCAACCAAGGACGTTCCATTAGGAGTCGAAACAATCCTCGGATAAGCCAGGTAGTGGCAGTATAGTGTCAATGTGCCTCTGTTGAATGCGACTGGCCTTCGCTGTGAAGCCGTTTCTCTCTCTCCACCATCCAGTCTTTCCAATACTGTGCTTCTGCAGCTCCTGGGCCTTTAGTAGTATACCACTGGTCGTAGAGAATGTATAGGCCAAGACTGGCCAGTCCGGCAGTGAGTCCAGGAATCATAAGTCCTATGCGACTCTTCAAGGAAAAGAAAGGATGAGAACGCCAGGCTTCACGACGAGCCCAAGGATCCTTCATGCCTTCTGGGAGACTTCCATTTAAAAATGGTGCATTTGGACGGTAGAACCAGTGTGGAAAGAATCTAAACTCTTGCATATCGAGTCAAGTGAATGGACAAACTTGTGGATTGAAGTGTAGAAATAGCAGATGATTTTGAACATGGTTTTCAATGCAGATTTTCACAAATTTCTGACAATAGAATCGTGCATTTGCAAGATCTACAAGATGGTAATTCAAATATTGAACGACACTTTAGTATCTCTCTAGACTATAATAAACAATATACTTTAGATGATTTCAACAATTTACGCATCTAAATCTACAACCAGTGTGCTATTTAACTTTTGATTAAACCCATTTGCAATATTCAATCAAGATAGTCTTGGTTCTACAGCAGCCATCCAATCAAATGAATGCTCTACAATACACACCGTGCACAAGTAAAAACTCGAGTGCAAAACATATGGCTTCTATTCAAAAATATAATCTGAAAACAGGTTGGATTATGGATAGATTGTTACGCTATAGGTGATTGTTCTGTTCAAGAAAATGCCTCAAAAACATCCATCGCTTTCGATTCCAGGTTTCAATCCCACCAGCAGAAGTAGCTTCAGGAGGGATAGGGGGACCAATCATTGCCGCATTCACTTTTTGTTGAGTCGACTGTTGCGATTGCTGCTGAGAGTGGCTGTTCCATTGTCCACCTATTGCTCCAAAAAGTACACTGCTAAGATACGAAGACGTTGACTTGGGCGGTGATAAACCAACTGCTACAGAGCTGGCATTGGGCGAAAAAGTACCGCCTCCTTTACCCGTTACATGAGGTAGTGCACTAGTACTTGCACCAGCATTGTTTGTAGTGCCAATGGTTGATCCAACACCAATAGCAGAAAAGCCATTTTTCGGATTGTCGTCTAGATTCATAATCTGTAGCAGAATAGGAGCAAACAGTCGCGCTATTGATCCAAAAACAGTAAAAGTCATTAAACTTGGCGTATACAGAAACCCCACAAGCAAAAAACTTTCAAATATTGGTTCTGCAATAGTTGTGCAAATCAAACCCAAAAGTATATCTCCTAGTCTTTTAATAATCACGGTAATAGAAATTATAATGCGATTCTCCTACCTAACTTTTCCTCGTCTAACCCTCCACGGCCGCGATAGTTGGCCAGAACCTCTCTTAAAAAACATGTGGTATACATAAAAGCACTATAGTGATCCTTTGGTAAAAACTGGATAATCTGCCGAGCCGCGGCAAACGTAAGATACCCTTCTAATACACAGCGACGATGAAGAAATGTGGGAATAATAGGCTCTGGTAGTGCTTCAAGTAGTCTCAAGAGTGTTTCTGCTGCAGAGTGAACCGATACAGCTCGACCACGTGGGCGAGGTAATTTGACATATGGCATAGACGCAGTATTCGACTTTGATAGATTTGATAATAGCTCTTCAATATTGATAGACTGATCAGAAACAATAGTATTAGTCAGAGATTGAGTTTGCTGTTGCAACTGGTCAGTGGGAATTGGCGATGATTGTCCACTAGGCGATTCGCATGGGGTATCGACTTCATTTTCGGGAATCTCGTCACTCAGCAAAACAGAAAGATCAAACTCTACCCCAGTATCCAAGCATTCTCTTAAATACTCGGTAACGGCAGAATCACCAGTGGAAAGAAATAAATTGTCCTTGCGTATAGTTGTTGAAAAGGTAAATTAGTGGCATGCGCTTCAATGCAATATCATTCAACAAAACATGATTAAACCATATCATTTTGATACTCACCACATCCATTCCAAACTTGTAGATAAAGTCAATAATACGCCAAAGTTCTCGAGGAAAACTCAGTCGATCTCCTACTTGCGCAGGCGGAATGGGACTTGGAGAGTCGTAATTAGTTTGAACTTCGTCATTAGCTTCAGCCAAATTCGCAGTGTCAACAATATTCCCTGTACTACCAGTGATGTTGGATTTTCCACCCTGACTTGACTTGGCCTTCTCCACCTCTTCATACAAAGCACAGAGCTCGGTCAAGGTGCAGCTACGTATAGGACGAGCAAGTCTGCACAAGACACCAAGAGGATTTCCAAACGATGATGGTAGCCATTTTCCAGAAATTGTGATAAAATGGTCTTTTCCATTCTCTGTATGAAGAATCAAAATATCCTCCAAGTGATCTCTTCCGGCATTTAGTTTAGGGGAAGTTGACTTGTCAACCAAAATTGTAATGTCTATATATATCTTTCCTCCTAAATTTCGACAAGATTGAATAGCTTTAGCTACACGTAGTTTTTGCTTGAAATAAATTTAAACACAGCAACCAATACCTGGAATCAATGTGCCTGTAGATGGACTAACATAGCACCATGGCTTACAGATACGATCATCGGATGCAGGAGATATAAATCGATATTGTGCAATTACCTACATTTCCCCAACACAAAAAAATTGTAAATTCAAAGCATTGCCAAGTTGAACCGTTCAGACTATAGGCGAGTTTATCAACTGCAAGACTATACATACCTGGCCTTTGTTTTCCACTTCGATTGTTCTAGTTGTAGGAACCATAAACCGTACATTGCCAAATTGAACCTGGTTTGAGTCTGGCACCAAATCTGGCTGGGCCTCATTTTCAAACTTATCCATACCGCGTGTAATTTCATCTTGGGACTCGCAGAGTTTCTCATTGTTCAGCTTTCTGATCTGCCAGTTTCATAAATGTTAATACTTGTGTATATAACAAATCATTCCATTTTATATTCAAATTCCCAATCCCAAAAACAAGTCTATACACACCTTTGCCACAAAGTGAGCTCGAACAGGTTTATGATCGCTCATGCTTAGTTGCTGCACAGAGTCATAGCTGGTAATGGTAAGCCATTCTGGATCGTCAACTTTTAAAGGGTTTTTAAACCACAATATTCTGTCACACCACGAAGGCGATCGTTTTTTTTCACTATATAATGAAAGTCAGGCATCAAAGCGTGGTGATCGTGACAACAACATAGAAACATCCCATAAACAAGCTTCTAGTTACAATAAAATCACTGTACCTAGTGTCATATCTAGACGTGCCCACGTCATACTTGTATGTCGGTGGGAAACAAATCTGGCCTTCATTAAAGCCGTTAAAGCACCTACTAGCAGCCTGTTCAATTCCCAGCTACACGATGCATCAAGTATATCATTTCAAAGTTTAATCCTCAAATAAAAGCAATTTGAAAAATATTGGAGCGAAATGACCAAACTCTCTACAGTCCGCATATAAAATTGAATACTTGAAAAATAGATATTTACCTGATCAAAATTGAGAAGTTCTTCAAGACGATTGCTTTCGATCATTGCTTTTGCCTCGGCATCAGATATGGGTACACGATAATTTAAATCTCCTACCCAAATTAGATGGCTAAATCATAATTAAAATCAATACTGTTTTAATCTCAGTCCAGCATTTGAAAAACATACTCTGCATCGAATGCTGACAATAAAACACGATTTAAATTAAATAGATTGTCATTGGACATGGTAGCTCCACCTCCTGTAGGAAATCCGCTTAATGAAGGGGCAGCGTCCATTGAATTACAAACCCATGCATTGGCTTGTGCATATGCAATATAATTTTTGAAATGTGACTGTAATGGAAATGATAGACGACGACATATCTCCTGATAGTCTTGGTTTCGTCGGTCTACCATGCTGGTATCCGCGGCAAGATGTGCATTTACAAAACAGAGGTATGAATCAAAAAGTTTCAATCGAATCCCCACTGCACCCTTGTTTCCCTATTTAAAACAAGCGCATGATATAGGATTGCGGTGCGTAAGAAATTAAATACTTTGAAGCAGCAAGCGTAAATCCAAAAACAAAAATAACGCACCATCATTCCCAGAATACCAGTTCCAACAGACTCAGTAGACACGTCATGCAAAAACGGATAGAGGGAACGTCGAATGTATACAATCATGAGCATACCAATTAGCTGTTTCGAAGCAATCTATAGAAAAAATCAAATGAGTATTTAGTCAGCACAATGATTTCGCACTTGAAGTGAATCTTATACTGCAAAAAAATACTTTAATGTACTTGTCTGTGCGTGAAGCAACTAATGCTGCTTCAATTGCAGTGCTCCACTCCTCTTCTTTCATATTATTGTTACCAATAATATAAACTTCGGTACTGAGATCAACTTCTTGAAACCTAATATATTTCAAAAAAGTAAATACAACGTATATTTTTGCCATATTAGTCTCTGAAAGTCTCGACATACCCCAATATGTACATATCTGGATCCTCGGCCTCTTTTGATCCAAGCCATGGCACCAGCGACTCACTTGCCAGACGACCATTAACGTTCCAGGATCCAACACATAGTCTATTGCAGTATATAATTCATAAACATGCACACTATACAGTGTAATAAAAGGCTGAGACTAAAAAAAGCGCTTACTTGAGTTTGGAATAATCTGAAAATTGCATTTCGCGCTTTCTAAGTTCTTGGGCTGCCCAGCTGTCTTTGATCGACTTTAGTATATTTGCAGAAACGTTGCTCTCATGACTAATAAATGGATTTGAAACAGAGGAATTGATTCGATCTGTAAAATTCAAACTAGGAGTCAGTCCCAGTATTGATAGACTTGAAACAAAGTTTCTAATCAAGCACATGTTATATCACAATGGCTTACAAGCTGAAGATGGCCGGACTCCAAGCGCTCCATCTGTAAACCCACAATATTGACAAGTCGGATAATTTGGGATTAAAAAGTAAATCAGCTTGAATAGAAATAGTGAATATTGTGCTCATTTAAACTAATATGAATCTACCTGCACTTTGTAAAGTATCCTGTCGCATTTGTTCATAATACCGCTTCCATGCATGAGTCTTTCCAGAAGATAAATACCCCATAGCCTCTAATTGTTACAGAATGATAAAATCAGAATTGTCTTGTAGTAAGTTTTTCAACGCTCTCAAAAACTACCAAGCAAACATCTCTTGCCTGCTTTTGCCATGGCTGTTTTGATTTCAACAAGAAGACCGTGCAGATGCTGTACGTCTGCACATTCAAATCGTACTTCGTTTGATTTGTTGGATGATACTTTTAGTACAAACCCTCCTTTAGATTGCTCTATTGATCCAGGACTGTTTAAATTGACTGGTGTACTTTGTGCTAAAGCATAGTATTTTGTAAGATTTACATGGTTAGTAAATGGTGTACCGAATTTCTTGAAATAAGAGTATCATTTCATCATGCTTAATTTAGATCCATTCAGTGCATATACACTCTTGAAAAAATTGAAAAATGCAGCCTTCAAGGAACATACTCATTGTCAAACGAAAATCAGAATATATGGGTAAAATGTCCTCGATAATTAAACTGTCACCGTGCCGTCTTTTGAAAACCATGAGACTAGGAATGTGATACGTTTCGTGTAATCAAAGTCGGATATTCTTGGTTAATTCAACGAGTATTATCAAAACATAGATTTAAAAATAGACAAGCGTTTATAGCGCAACTAATGATTACAATGTCAAGATTGGGTATGAGATTTGATGGTATAAATGAGTTTGAAAACAAGTGTATCCAGACTCCATCAAGTTAGAATGGACAATATGAATCCATTAAAAGATAAAACTGGTATAATTTTCAAGTCATTTAGACGACAGCTTTAGGAAAGCCACAAAAAGATTGATTGCAAACATGAAGCAATCCAGAGACTTGATATCAACACCATGGATGTCGTCTATAGCATCTGAAATCATAAAAAGTAATACAGCTGTAATGGCAGTAGTTGGACTGTAAACTACATACCAGGCCTCATGACCACCCTTGTTGTTAACTATCACTCCAACAATCCTCACACGATGCTCCCCATCTTTGCGTATCTTGGACAACCTCACACTATGAGTGCAGAACTCGGTAGGTCGAAGCAGTTGATTCACGCCATCCTGAAAGTCATCTTTCTCTTGAAAAACAGTTATAGCCTGTACATCAGTGTTTTCTTCAGTCGCAACCATGGTTGTTGACAGAGTCAATGTTGCTGCCATAACTGCAAGTTATTTTTATGGCACCAGAAGTAGTGAATGAAAGTCGAATGTTACAAGGTTAAAACAGCAAACTTTAGAATACAATTGCGTATTGCTTTTCCTATCATCTCGACTAAACATTGTCTTTCACGACCATATTCACGTAAAACCAAGTATAATAAACTGCCAGTATCGAAGAATATGATTGGCATCACCAAGTTTACTGTGCAATATTGCTGTGACCTTTTTATTCAACTAGTCTGCTCATTTGTGTGCAAAAACTGAGCGAATGCTGATATTAGTTCCAATCCATCTTCAACTCCACTTTCAACTCAATATTGGATGATTGATATGTATAGTTGCATTCTTGAGATTGTTGGACTAGAACGCGAATGAGTTGAAAAATACAAGTTGTACTGATAACATTGGAACATAATATCTGGTTTCAAACTGTGTGATTGTCAAAAAGGCCAATATCTGTTCAAAGTATAGTTTGTATCGTATGATGTATGTTGTATTTTGAAGAATAGAGAATGCCTGATAATAAAGTACAACAAATATCCAAACATTATCCACTCCAAAAAAGTTGAGGAGTCCATATTACGTGAATACGACTGCAATATGGTAGATCTTTGGCTTTACAACTGTTCCAATCCCTTCCATTTATCGAGATAACAAACACGTGGCTAGTCAAGGATTCAGTGGAATTTCTCGTCAAAACACTATTTCATCATGTCAGAACAGACTGCAGAACTAGCAAGTCACTCGATGGTAAGCAAAAGGTTATACTTAGTACTATGCAATCCCTTAAACCACTCGTTGGCTTAACCAGCTCTGCTTCTAATTGAACGCTAACAGACTACCTCGAGTGTAATTATTAGTCAATCATGCCATATTCTCATACCGAACAGTCATTACAACTATGTCGTGCTGCTCGTGCAATAATTGAGGATTTCAACTCACTACTTGGTGTTCTTTCATCCAATCAATTTACTACAGAATCCAAAATCCTTCCACACTCGACAATTGGCAAACACATTCGACATGCACTCGATCACTTTCTACTGCTATTAGCTGGATTGCAAGACCTACTGGATACACGCAGATCAAGTAATAATCACCAAAATGGTAGTTCAATTTTGACTTATGCAAGTATCCGACTTTACTGGATCTAAAAGTATATCTAAACAAATATCCGGTATCTTGCCAAACCCTCAAATTAGATTGCATCGATGTAACCATCGATTATGACCATCGTCAACGGTTGACTTTGCTAGAGACAGATCCAAAGGCTGCACAGACAGAATTTGCCCGTATCTGTGGTAAACTAGAAGATGCCCTTCTGTACTTGGACATGAATACGTCTGTCTGTGTGCTGGCAACTACTGAAGTATCAGGTCTGCCTATTAAATTAGCTTCTAGCATGGGCCGTGAAGTGTGGTTTGTAAGTCGACCGCTATTTACTTTTTGAAATACTCGAATATACTCAACTGTTTAACTTTGAGATACTGCACAGATCCGATAACTTGTAATTGTTTATTGGCTTTGTCATTCTGTGTTTTGCTCAGAATCGGCACTTGTTCACATCAGTAATCTCTAACCGCTTGATTCTACCATCACGTTACCAACAATTCCTAGTGTTTATGAAGCTAATATTTAGTATGGATTTTAGACACTTCATCATGCCATTCATCATGCGGCCATTATCAGAGTTATCAGCAAGGAACTGGGCGTTAATGATTCGGACATTCCTTTGACTTTAGGCTTTGCTCCATCCACAGTCCAGCACCTCTCAATAAAATAGATTTTAAAAGAAAACTTTGATGTTATAGCTTGAATAACTTATATCTGATTCCAACTTGGTGATCGTGCAATGCATGGCTATACCAAAAAGGATCGTTTTAATCTAAACCTCGAGTTTAAAAGTCCATTTTACGTAAACGCAGCTGTAAACTGGGCAAGAATTTGGCCAAATTTTGAGCATCTGTCAAGAATGTTGGATTGAATGTTCAGATCTTTAATCCATCTTTACATACAACCATTCGACAATCCAATTCAACATGTCCATTGTGAGTTGGAAATACTGTTATATAAAAAATGGATCATCATGGTATTTTAAGTCATAAACAGTTTCTACAAACTCATTGTAACATCAGCCATGGTTCTACTTGGAAATAATGCCTCGGCATCGTCTTTTTGCAACTTGAAGATTGCATCAAATGCAATCTATCCATTTGCTCACCTATTTATCTAAACTAACTTATGTTTGGCTATTGATATCAATTATATCACATTCATCTTCAGCTTGACTTAAGCCAGCATGGATTCGTCGACTTTCATCCTTTATTCCCTCAGTCTATAACTCCAGCATTGGCGTTTCTATTTTTGATTGTATCCTTCTTGTCAGCATCCATATTTTTCATGTAAGTAGAAACCCATAGTGCTCGAATCCCTGTTATATCTATCTGAACATACTCGTTTGGTTTGCGCAGAGTCTGCTGATATATTAAACTTGATCTGCTTTGACCAAACGCTTGATAGCCTAGCATTGATAATATTCTCTATTCAAAGTCTATGTATTTAGCTAGATCAAGTGTATTTAAACCATTACTTTCAAAATCCCTTTCTTTTATCCAATTGATATGGAACTGCTTAAAAACTGACGTATTGATATTTAATATTAAATAGCAAGCAAGTCGGAACAAACAAGTATTCTCGGAATATATGTCAAGAGATCTTGTTTGCCGTGATAGGATCGCTTTCCTTTGGATTTGGGCTTGTATTTATGTTTCTTGCCGTTGGGATTTACGTATAGCATAAATAATATTGGAGAATTGTGAATGAAACTATGATCGGAACAAAACAATTGTTTATTCAACTGCATTCCATTCCAATCACCAGCTAATTGGAAATAACATCTGGTGGTGGCATCCATTGTTTATTCCAGTTCTAGACCAGTCAGATCTTTGAATGCAACAATCGCCACTAGTCAATCGTGTTCAGTTAATTCTAGATGCAATCTTTTTCAGCTATGCCAAAAACTGCTTTATTGGCGACGCTTTTTTCTCTTTTCTAAATCTTCCTCGAAATCATTTTCGTAAACCTTTTCAGTGAGAACAGCATTAGGCTGATTGACTTTGTATGCGGGTGCAATCCAATATGGATCAGCTAGTGAGATATTAGATTAATATAAAAACGATTGGTTTGTACATCCATTAAGCATTTAAAGCCGACGAGAAAAGCAATAAACCCAATTGGAAAATAATAGCAGCATACCTGCAGCTGTATCTGCAAATTTCAAGATAGCCTCTCGAGGATCTTCCTGTCGTCGCGTGTCTTTCATCATGTCTTTCATGATGCCCTGGGTCATATTGGTTCCAATCTTTCCACCTTTACCCTTTGTCAAAACAGCAGAAGGGATTTCTAGATTAAAGGATTAACAAGCAATCCAATACGTTGGGATGCCGAGTAAGTGCATGAAAAATGTACAGTCGATTTTAAACACTAGACACATCAACTTACCCGGACGTCTACTAATAGCCTCCTGCTCCAACATTTTACGCTTAGATTGAAATTTGGATCCACCTGTATTCACTCCCGGATTTATAATCGGCCCAAGCATAGTGTCTCGCGAACTATTATAAAAACAATCATACCAATGACGGCAATAGCATACAGTTTACAAGCACAACATGCTTAGTCCTATTAAAAACATTGGCCAATTGATTGCACAAACCACTTTGAGACTTACATCAGTATGTCATAATCTTCAACTGTTAGCTTTTTCGGCTTTTTAGATAACGGAACTTTGATGCCGGATCTGCTCAGCACAGGATCATACAAAACCTGTACTGCTCCTTCACTGGTTCCAGCAAAGATTTGGCCAAGTTTACCAGACCATTGAATTTTTACCACTGAGCCGGGTATATTAATACTTTCAACCATTTTTAATGTATGGCGGTCAAAAACCACAATACTTCCATCTGAACATCCTTTTTTTGCAGATGTTCCCGTAATAATATACCGATCGTTAGGTGAAAATACTGCATTGGTCTCTTCAAAATATCCTTCAAGATCTGTAGCTACAGCAACTGGCTCTTTAAATTTGCGAATATCCCATAGTTTCAATGTATTATCCATGGCGCGTGTAATCAAGCTATGGCCATCCATTGCAAACGATATAGATGAAGCTGCTCCACCTGGAAGATGTGCATTATCAACATTCTATTCATGAATTAAAATCGCATAGTTTACAGATATATTGCATTTAGACTTTGTAAAATAGGCACAATGAGCTTATAGAGAATCTCCACGTAGAAATATGTTGATAATAACCAGAATAATACCTTTATAGGAGTTAAAAAAGGTCCATTTGAATTCCAAATGCGTAGTGATCCATCTGCACCTGCTCCTGCAATCAATCTTCCATCGTTAGAGAAACATACGGCAGTGATACTAGTGCGACCACCAGGTTGTCTAGATTTGACATAAATAACATCTTTTTGTCTGCGTGCTGTAGCCTGTTCTAGATCCCATATACGAATGGTGGAATCTGTAGATGCAGAAATGCAACAATTCTTCATTGTTGGATTCCAGCGGGCATTTGTGAGTGCCGATACATGACCCCTTTAAGCCAAAAACAATTAATATAGACGATAACTTTAGTAAAAACTACAGCTATTTACAACACATGCTTACTTTGTATGGCGTAAATCACGAATGTATGGATCTCCTTTTGGAAACTCTGTGCTAAATCATATACAAAAAATGTTCAGGACAAGTCGACAGTATAGCGAATCACCTTAAAATGGTAACTTGTACTTGTACTTGAGCTACACCAAAACACCCCAACCAAATACCGTTTCTAAACTAAAAGTAGAATACAAATTGCTTACATAAAACCACCATCACGATCATATACTTTTAGCTGACTAGTGGCAGCAGCGACAAGGAACTGATCCCCTGTAGTACTAAACTGAACATCACGAATCTATTATGATAAACCCGAGTTAACATAACCAATCAAATGTATAGCTGGCTAGTCACAGTAAACTCTGATTATTTACATACTGGATTCCCCAGACTAGGCTCCAGAGTGCGAAATGGTTTCATTGAAGTGGTCATTCCATAAAAATCCCAAAGCTTCACTGTACAATCTCTTCCTGCAGTAATCATCCGAGAGGCTGCTGGATCAAGAGACAAAGCGGCTACCGCCTTGGTGTGATCCTTGAGTGCAGCCATTGTAGTTGGAATGGCATCCACCTCGTTGTCCTGCTCATCACCGCATGAACTATCGCTGGCCAAATCTGAGTCGGATTGTAACTCATTGTTTTTTGTGTCAAATTCCGAGTGAGTGGCAGGCAATGGTCCAATGATATCATCCAGAGAGACTGGTTGCTTGGGTTGCTGATGATCAGATACTAATGTTGATGTAGCACCATCTGATTTGAATTGGTCTGGATTATGATTTTGCAGTTTATCAGATTGAGCTTGACTTGCAGACAATACTTTTGAAGACTGTGGTAAACGACGGGAACTTTTTCCAAACCCAGAAGGAAGACCCATCATTTCTGCCATTAAATAATCTGCATTGTTCATCTGAGATGGTTTGGACCTGAACAGATTCACTTTGAGGCAGTTGAATATCAAGCCAACATCAAAATACCTAAAAATTCGACATTTCATCCAAATTTCTGCACTGCAAAATTTGCCAAAACCTGCAAAGATTTAGGCTGATATTTTCGTAATCAACCTATTTACAATTGTATTCATGTAAAATGGGACACTAAGAACTGAGCGAATGTTGATATTAGTTTTAGTAGATCTTCAACTCCACTTTCAACAAACTCAACATTGAATGATTGATATGTATAGTTGCATTCTTGAGATTGTTGGACTAGAACGCGAATGAGTTGAAAAACACAAGTTGTACTGATAACATTGGAACATAATATCTGGTTTCAAACTGTGTGATTGTCAAAAAGGTCAATATCTGTTCAAAGTATAGTTTGTATCGTATAATGTATGTTGTATTTTGAAGAATGGAGAATGCCTGATAATAAAGTACAACAAATATCCAAACATTATCCACTCCAAAAAAGTTGAGGAGTCCATATTACGTGAATACGACTGCAATATGGTAGATCTTTGGCTTTACAACTGTTCCAATCCCTTCCATTCTGATTGTAGATTTATTTAAATGAATCCAAACAAGGTTACTAAACCCATTTCAAGCAACAGTAATTTGAATCTAATGGCTTCAAAATGCATGCACTTTTCATCCGTTGGCTGATAAAACAACTAATAAGGGTGCCAAATCAAAATGGTGTCATACATCCAAATCATCATCGGGATCCTATATTAAATAGCACCATTAGCACCAAAATGATCAAGAATGACAAAATTATAAATCAAAGTTGACTGTTTACCTCGTCATCATAATCATCGGCGTCGTCATGCTGATAATGAATGATCCCTCCACCGCTTGAAACTTCAGGATGATTTTGCATTACATGTTCATTCCCTCTAGCCTGTAAATACGGTAAAACAACTTGTGAACGCTGTGTACGTTGAATACTTGTAAGAGATAGATTGAAAGACAAGTTGGAAGTTGGATCTGGCTAAACATTTGAATAAAAATGCGTATGATAATGAAATTATTGCATTAGTGGGCATCAGTATACGTTTAAGCATCAACTTGGAAAAGGTTGAAACCTAAATAGAATTCGCTGTTGACTCACCTTTTCTGGAAATGCACTTTCTGCAGCATTACTTGCTATTGCAGTTGTTTGATCAATATGACCAAGAGTTGCAGATGGGTCTGTTTTTAAATGATTGAATGGTAGGAAAACTAGCTCAAGTAACTTTGAATGACTGTTTTTGGAAAATCGATATGCACTTGTCTACAGCATCCACAAACACAATTAACTTGCTATTCTTGATTAAAAGAATAAAATACAATTTTACCAAGCAAGGATACATTCTTGTGTACTTACTTCGCGAATGACCTTTCCTGATCTTTTCTTTAAAATCAGCTCTGCTAAGCCCTGGGCACCTTCATAGTCTACTGGCGGATCAAACAATGAAATGTACACATCGGCATGCTGCATCAATATGACATTTAATTTAGGACCGTACACCTGCTTTAATTTGGATATGTGAACATCCATATGTATAGGCACTGATATTGAGGCAGTAGCTACATTAACATTCAATTTATACTGTGAGAAAAAACAATTAAATGCAATAGTAATAATTTGATTGTTGGTATGAATTACAACTGTATTCATGTAAAACGGGACACTAAGAACTGAGCGAATGTTGATATTAGTTTCAATCCATCTTCAACTCCACTTTCAACTCAATATTGGATGATTGACATGTATAGTTGCATTCTTGAGATTGTTGGACTAGAACGCGAATGAGTTGAAAAACACAAGCTGTACTGATAACATTGGAACATAATATCTGGTTTCAAACTGTGTGATTGTCAAAAGGCCAATATCTGTTCAAAGTATAGTTTGTATCGTATGATGTATGTTGTATTTTGAAGAATGGAGAATGCCTGATAATAAAGTACAACAAATATCCAAACATTATCCACTCCAAAAAAGTTGAGGAGTCCATATTATGTGAATACGGCCAATTTAAATACCTGATTCTTTGACACTGTTAAATAGCTGGACTATAAGTAATGAAACCTGGGATACTGAAGATTGAATCAATAGCGGATCTAACGAGTCAAAAATCACATTGACTTGATTTGCAGGATCTATGCCAACAGTGCGAATATACAATCATAAAGTAAGCTATAGTACGAATGCAATGACATGTTTCACGCAAGACATAGTCTAATAACCACATACATGATTTGATAATACGATCTACGGAGCTTACAAGATCTCCAACTCCAATGTATTCATGATGGAACGAATCGGTAAATGAAATAGTTTGAGAATCCAATGGTGATTGAGTCAAAGTTGAGCTGTGCGAGTTGGTCAATGGCACAATGCTAGATCGTACATCAATCAAATGCACACTAACCATCAAAAAGCATCGGTTAGCAACAGTAATGTATTTGTTCAAACTCATCCATAATCAAGACAAAGACAACTGTGTTATCAAGGGGATTTTTGTCATTAATGAATGGATGAACATCATGCATGGACAATGTTTTAGACACCTGGAATATCGATTCTCTGACTGGCTTTTAAAGTATTTTAGTGTTACTTGAGGATGCGTCTGTAGACAAACCAAGACCAACACCGATTTACTCTGATCTCGACAGTTGAGTAGCTGCTGAATCCAAGGCAATGCTGGCTGATCCAAAGTTGAAGCAATGGCAATAGTTTGTGCTGATGTTTCTTTTCCTCTAAGAAGTTTGGTAAACGATGAAGTTGTAGATGTTGAAGGAGGCATTAGTGGAGAAAAGAATGGATATTGTAATTATCATCAGTGTATACCATGTGCTTAAAAAGATGTTGATAAAATTCAATTACTTTTGTGTATGTTCAGTAATGCGATGTTTTCAGATATTGGCAGAGTGTTGATTTGAATGGCAAGAACATTGCTTGTATTATGACGACAATCTGACTTGAGCAATTTGCTGTTTTTGATTCAATATAAAAGAATGTCATCTGGTCTAGTGATGACTGCTTGCTGATCTTGTTAGGCTTGACATGGTTTTTAACGTTCCACTCGAGTATACATCAATCTAAACCAATTGTACAATGTCAAATAGAAAATTCACGTTGTTAAAGTATTGCAACAGCCTACTTGATGATTGTATTAAACATGATGAGAGTAGAGTTTGTATATGAATCTTCTCCATTCTCATCATCTCAAATCAAATCTTGAAACCAAACACTTGGAAATAGTACACTTATTTTTCACCTAAACTCTTAAGAATTTAAAATGACAAGTGTTTCCTTCAACTTGATTGTTGCTGCTACTCCTGATGGTGGTATTGGTTATAATGGAGATATGCCATGGCGTCTTCCAAGTGATCTGGATTACTTTATGCGAATTACAACGTCTTTTAGAAGATCTTCTAGAGCTCCACTGCCCTACCCATCAGTGTCTTCAGCGCATGAGTTGCAAACAGTCACTGCCCATTCAGACTCCCAATTAAATGAATCTGTCCAGGCAAATCTCAACGTAGTGATCATGGGCCGTAAGACTTGGTTTTCTATACCAAAGAAATTTCGTCCATTGCAGAATCGCATCAATGTTGTGCTGACTAGTAATGAATCTCTAAAACAAGAAATTGTCAGGTAACCCAATAATCGATACTTGAAGATTGAATATGCTTTTACTGCGTAACTGGAATCAAGTAGATAATGTGACACTGATTATACTTGAATACCTTGCTCTGTATTGTATTTTCAGTGAGTCAACCCCTACATCTCCTGTGTATGTATTTTCAGATTTTCAAGAAGCACTTGCCAGCATCTCAACTGGAAAGTCACCGATCGGAAGTATCTTTGTTATGGGTGGATCGCAGCTCTACCAATCTGCTCTCTATAACCCGCAGTGTCAGATAGTTTTTTTGACTAGAGTAGAGAGACTGGCATCTACTCTACAAGACACTGAGTCTAAGAATACGGCTATTCAATGCGATACATTTATTCCGTCCATTCCAACCGACACCTTTCGAGAGCTCGGTTCCAAGGAAATCATCGAAATGCTAGGTCCCAACGTAAACTTGTCCCAGCAATCATGTGGAAAATTCACATTTAAACATCAAGTGTATGTCCGAAATACCAGCACTTTAGTCTAATGAGGTGCAAATAAACAAAGATTGTTCATGTTTCCATATTTATTCATCTGTTTGTGATGCCGAAGTGTTGATCTGAATGCCATGCATAGCTTTAATGTCATCACGCAAAAGATCTGTTACAATACGATGTTGTTTTACCAATGAAATGCCATAAAACATTGGGCTGGCTACCTCGACAGCATACATTGAACCACATCCACCTATAAACGGTGACACAACGGCCATTCCGAGGACAGTACAATTGTTAACCATGTACAATAAAACATTACAGTTAAGAAGCAACATCCTACTCTACAACATAAGGATTGACAAAAAATAGTATGCAATGTACCTGAAATGTCTTTTACATTGAGTCGAGTAGCCTGTAACTGGTTAGCGAGTTTCTCATGAATCATGCGTTCTCCAGGAGTATACTCGGGTTTTAAAGGTGCAACCATTGGCCGGTTGTCCAAAGTAGAAGCTGCATATGTTCCTAGTGTTCGCCTTGTATAATCCAAAGGCAGTAGTCGGATCGATTTAGCTTTAGCAGAATGTGCAAATAGGGCCATTAGTTTTCCACTATGAGCTTGATTCATGGTTTGGAGTGGTTTAGTTTGACGCCAAACAGATCAATGCCCAAAATCCACAAATTATAAAACTTGCGAATACTTTCCTAGTTGATTTGCACTAAAACATGATCAAATGCAAAGAACTAACCATGTGACAGTCTTGATATTTAGATGATCCAAAATGGCTGAAACAAAATGACAAGGTTTATAGAATAAGACTTACTAAAACACGCATAGTTTTACAGCCATGTTCATGTAAAATAAAGCAATAGATAAAATCCCAATTCTCGTCAGATTGATTCAACAGCATTAACATATCAATCCTTTGATAGAGTTGAATGATTTTTGCTTATTTTTGTATAACAAACTGAGCAAGTGTTGACATTAGTTCCAATCCATCTTCAACTCCACTTTCAACTCAATATTGGATGATTGACATGTATAGTTGCATTCTTGAGATTGTTGGACTAGAACGCGAATGAGTTGAAAAGCACAAGTTGTACTGATAACATTGGAACATAATCTCTGGACTAAAATGAATCTAGAAATCACATAATTTATAATTTTCAAAGGAGAGTTTCAGTTTAAAATTATGGTTTGTATGACATGATGAATTTGTGTAGAAATCTTGAACAGGAAAGCACAACGAATACTGTTTATTCTGGAGCAAAAGTGTTCCATTCTACGTGAATATGGCTGCAAATTTAAATTTAAATTTTGCAATTCTAGTTGATTTTATCTACTAATTCTTGAAAATGGCAGACAGTTCAGCTGCTGCTTTGGCAGATGCTAATCCGAGACAAGGTGCCCAACAGCCTCCTGCTGAACAACCTGGAATATTTTCCGGGATGCTTGGAACTGCACTGCGGATGCTGGCATTGTACTACCTCGTTTCATACTTTATGTCGCCCAAACAAGGAAGCTCACATCTGCCTATGTCGATGAACGAAGAAGGAGCCGGAGACCCAATTCAAAATAGCAAAATAACCCACTACCCAGCACTGTGGAATCTTGGTCTTAAAAATGTAAATTGTACAATATTGGTGCATAGCTAGTTCAATCTATTGGAATCAGGTTTACCTGATCATGATTTAGTCATGCCTAATGTACAGTATACTGTTTTGAAGTTGACTAAACATTTTGTTAAGGACCTTTATTTCTATATTTCAGAAAATGAAAGGCATTCGTCATCGGATCTTCTTGTGTGGAAGGAAGTCGGTATTGCATTTGGCAATTGGTCTGACATTCGTCAAACCGAACTTGATATTTCGTGCTCAAAGGTATGTTCTGCTGATGCAAATCCAAGTCGAGTCTGATGAAACTGATTTGCTTTTTAAGCTACTAATTGTTTTTGTAACACCTGTTTTTTTGACATTATCTTGAATCCACATTAGTCTGTCCAACACAATGGCACTCTTTACGCTCATATCTATCTCACGCAGTCGGGTATATCTCCAGATAGCCAAATAGCTCGTGCCAATCCCGACGGAAGCCTTTATATTCGCAAATGTAGTTTTATTTATCTTTGGAATAATCCAGCTGCCTTTAAATGATTAGGATATGAACTAACAATTAAAATAGTGCTTACTCGCTATATGCCAAAAAAGGCGGATACGATTAAAAAGAAGCTGGTGGCAAGAGATTCAAAATCAACTCAAAGCTCATCTACTAGTGCTGATCTCGACGACGAATCCAGCACCAATCATCCAAACATAGACTCTGGTATTGCCGAATCATCCAAGCCTCTGCCTATTATCTCATACTGGTGGCCAAATGTTACCATCAACATCGTGGCTTCTGATGATGATATTCCAGCAGCTAGTCCTCCAATGGTCATCAAGAGTAAGTAGTGGCAAATAATTGATGTTTTTGTGCCTATGATGATAATTTTTATACACAATTGTGATAGTTTAGTAAGTTGATGTGTAACATTTGCTTTTACATTTAGATCTAAGACTGGCACAAGATAATTTCCATTTTCTTCCAATTTACTATGTAAATGATTTCTGGCTTCTTAATGATCAAATTCATCCCATTAACGATACCATCAAGTATGTTGTTTACCAGTCATTTTATCTGTATATCTTTGCTGGTATATTTCTAATCTATTGAATTCCAGAACCCTTCATATGAGTATCAGATATGCCCCCATTGAACTTTGGCGCTTTCAACTTTACCAACAATTTGACGAGTCTTTTCGCCTTCAGCATGAAATGATGGGTGTTCAAACCCATGAAACCGATGTTATGAAGGTAAATTTTTAAAAGACTTGGACTAATGGGTATGATTCTATATATCACTTAATCATGCTTGTCTTTTAAATATTTTAGCGGATGTTTATTGAAACAAATCCGGTTCTTCTGGCAGTAACCATGTTTGTTTCGATTCTCCACAGTGTTTTTGATTTTCTGGCTTTTAAAAATGGTTTGTCTAGTCGTAATATGCCATGACTTTTGTGTTTTGGCGATGAGCGTGTACAGTTTACCAAATCAAATGGAATTTTTGCTAAAATATGTACTATTCTAATTAACTGATGCTCTAGACATTGATTTTTGGAGAAAGAGAAAAGACATGGAGGGTTTATCATTTCGCGCAATTATTCTCAATGTCGTGTTTCAAGCAATTATTTTCCTGTATCTATTGGACAACGAAACATCTTGGATGATTTTGGCATCAAATGGTGTCGGACTGCTGATTGAAATTTGGAAGATCAACAAGACTGTTATAATCAAGGTAGGATGTATGAATGCATTCAACTACTATTAGTATGTCTAGCAATCAGTCTCAATATTTCCAATCCTAAACATTTTTTTTTGAAAAACGACAGAGAAAACCTGAATTTCCGTTTGTGGAGTTTATTGATCGAGTAAAACCGTCGAAACTAACTGAAAAAACTCGGAAATTCGATCAGGTTTGTTGTATGACATCGATGCATTTCATTTTTTAGAAGAGTGATTTGATTTCATCCCTTTTTATTTGCATGACTATTTAATATATCCTTGTGTACAAAACAACTATTATTTTAAATGTTTGTATAGATGGCTTTTGGTTATCTGTCATACGCTCTTTTCCCCCTGTTGGTAGCCTACACGATCTATTCGTTAGTTTATGAAGAACACAAGAGCTGGTATTCGTTTGTTGTGGGCACTTTAGTTGGATTTGTCTATACTTTTGGTAAGCCTCGACTGCTACGCTTTTGTATATTTGACCATTCTAATGCACCTTGATGGTATTATACGTTGGCTTGTTTAAACAGGATTTATTAGCATGACACCTCAACTTTTTATCAACTACAAGCTAAAGTCTGTAGCTCATATGCCCTGGAAGACGTTCATGTATAAGGCCTTGAATACCTTTGTTGGTATGTTTATTTAACCATATGTACTCATGTGAAAGCTTCAAGTTTTTTAAACAATGCAATTTCCATTTTTCTTATGCTGTCTAAAAATCACAGACGATCTTTTTGCTTTTGTCATCAAAATGCCATGGTTGCACCGACTTGCCTGTCTTCGTGACGATGTTGTGTTTGTAGTGTATTTATATCAAAAATGGGTGTATCCTGAAGACAAGCGTCGCCGTAACGAATTTGTATGTATTTTTGGATGCTCGTTGGAAATCGAATATTTAAGCTTTACTATGCTTGGCTCGTTTTATCTTTAGCTGCCTGCAGAGATACCAATGTTTTGGTCACTTGAATTTGTACTAATCATTGGCATACAATGTTTGACTTTTGTATACAGGGGCAAGTTGGTGAAGCTGTTAATAATGAAAATGACGACGATTCAGACAATGAAGTGGATGAAGTGGATGACAGCAAGGAAGCTTTACGTATAGCTTCTGAGCCTGATCTTGTTCCTACGGCAAAAAGCACTGCCGTAAAGACGGCCAAACCAGCTCATAAACGACCTTTAAAAACAACTCCAAAGAAGGCTACTTGAACAATGTATTGGCAGTTGCAGCAACGTTTTAATAGAAATGTTTCAACATCACATTTAATCGTTGGCTTTATTGAGTGGAACCAAAAGTTTGATCAGAATTTCTCACAAAAGCTTTTCTTTTCGTACGCTTTCAATAAAGGGAATCAATGAGCTGAGTGGTGCAGCAATCAAAAAAAATGGATGCTACAATAAAATAGGATTGATAAACGGCATATAATGAAATTTGTTAGTCAACTTTTACTGTTAAAATAATTGGACGATACTATTCTTACTAATCGGTCAGATTTAAAACATACTTGAAGAAGTTCTGCACTTGAAGCGCGCTTTGATACATCAACTTCTAAACATCGCTTTAAAAAATCTCGCAGTGTTGCGCTTAGTTTTTCAGGCTTTTTTAGTTTCGGAGTACCATTTGTGGCAATAAGATATAAAGCCTTGAGCGGTTCTTCATTGATGTATGGGGGCTGGCCTTCAATCATTTCAATTGCCATGATTCCCAAAGACCAGACATCTACTTTTGCTCCATACTCTTTCTGGGATACAACCTCTGGCGCCATCCAAAATGGAGTGCCAACCATAGTTGCTCGCCTTGAGCGATCATTCATCAGCTTGGCCGAGTATCCAAAATCAGCTTTACAAATGTGTGAATTTATCGATTCCAAAATAAAAAGTATTGGTCAGTCTTTGCTACTGGGCAGCTGAGCCAAAGAATTAGATTGCCCGCAACTTACATATTTTCACTTGTCCTTTTCTATCAAGTAATATGTTATCAGATTTGATATCTCGATGAATAATATTACGTGTGTGCAAATGATAAAGTCCACGCAACGTCTAGTGTGTATTATATTTGCATGGAATCAATAAAAGCATGTGTATGTCCATTTAAATTTGATGGAAACACACTTAAATAGTTAGCATCGAGTAACTAGCAATTGGGAAACATGTTTAAATCAATTTATATTTTTGGAAAGTAGCTTACCTCTAAACAGATACTTGAAATTTGAGACTCGGTAAACGTGTGCTTATCAATAATGTCGGTTAGCATTCCCCCTTCCATGTATTCCATAAGCACCCATAGACTTTCTCGAACAAGAAAACTATCAATATAATTGACAATATTTGGGTGTTGACATTCTTTCATGACTAGAATTTCGTTGACAATCATATCTTTTCGAGGTTGACGTGGCATAATCATGTCTTTGATGGCGACAATCGCCCCAGTGGTATTATGTTTTGCTAAATACACTGAACCAGACGCGCTGCATATGAATTTTATCAATCATGAGTATGTAATACTAAAAATCATGGTGCTTGAACAGTTTCAGAAACCAATAGAGTAATTATACATTTAGACACTTACCCATGTCCAATATTCTTTATCTTTGTGTATAATTTTAATGGATCTTCTTTGGATACAATCGATTCTACAGACAATCATATTTGTGTTCATTAAACTTTTAACAAATTAAACTTACAGTTACATAAATTAAAAAAGGGAAACATACTGAGTACATCCATTAGCTGCTGATCGTTCAGACCAGAAAGTCTGCGTTGTGGTGGATCTTTCTTTATTATTGCTACCCCAGTATCTTTTAAATTTTCTTTACTACTTCCATTGGGCTGCTTGGCGTGTGATGATTCTTTTGTATGGCTACTTTGCAGCGAGTAGTTACTGGCAGAAGCTGCTGAAGATTCTGAATCTGCAGCCTTATTTTTTTGCACATAATTTTTGGTTTGTGCTTGTGAATGAGCGGATGGGTGAGATAACGTTGCAGTAGAAGACATTTGTTCAGAGGCTGTAAATATGATTTTAATAGTTAGAATCAGACGACCATTGTACAGCCGCGCTGGTGAAAACAACTTGAGATTCCCAATGTATACATTGCATCGTACCTTTTTCTGCTTTTATTTTGGCAGATCCATCAGGTAAATCTTGAACACCACTCGCTAATAAATCTGCGACATTTAATCAAGGACGTTAAGCCATGCAGTGTTAAAATGAAAAAATATGCTGCTATGAAACCACTAATCAAAATAGATCCACACAAAAGCACTATACATACCATTGGTACTATTCTTCAATGTGTTGGCAACAATTACAGGACGAGGAGGAGGTGGTGGAATAAGAGGATTCGATTTTTTAGTCTATTTCAACGAGCAGCAAAGATTTTAGCAGCTGTAAATTTTCTGGGTTTAAACCAAATAGATGTAAAACAAGAGCTTTTACAAACCACATACAGTATTGCGTGTCGAGGTATTTAGCGTTGCATTATTGCTACCAGATTGCAAACTTTCTGTCTTTGGGAGAAAAGATGGTATAGGTTCGAGGAGAAAAGGAGTCTGGAAAAGATTAACTTCGTAGCCGTCACCATTGGTTTCTATATCGTTTTTTATACCAATAGAATCACCAAGGATATCTACTTTGGGGGATCCTTGAGCTAGATATGATGTCATGTCCAGCGAAGGTACTTTTTCCAGCATTGTCATACTGTTGGCTTCCTTTGTGCGTCCCATTCCCATGTTATCTGCAAAAAATCCAAGAACATCAATAACAACTTGAGGGTTTTTTGCCATCTCATCCTTGGAAATATTGGATTGCTCCAGCAAGGTATTCCATTCTTTAGGAAGTCCCTAAACACGATGGTTTATGTTAATTTGTAACTAGAAGCCAGTCAAGTTTTAGAATACGCATTGGCCAATAAAATGATATATACCTGAAAAACTCCTGTTTGGGAATCGAATCCTACGTGAACATTATGCGCAAAGTTGGTCGGGCTTGAAATGCCAACCTGTGGTGCTCTCTATCAATTATGCAATATAAATACAAAGGATAGAAAAGTAAGTCACAGCTATCAAAAACATGCTTTAGCCACGAAAGGAATAGCATACTCACCGCGTAAATGTCTTCCATCCAAGAGTAAACTTCACTGTCGCTGTCGCAGGCAATATAATAAGACTTGTCTTTTGTAGTTATTTCAAAGCAAAATGGTTTTAAATCCGACCTTTGAACACTTTCAACCTCTTTGAGTAAGATAATGGAAAGAGCTTGATATGTATTCTGGTGGTAGTGTGACAAATCAGAAGCGCCGTTGAGTCAAATTGATGATATGCAAATATATATTCAAAGGATGATTAATATCTATCTATTCAGCATACTGGATAATGATAATCGTAGAAAAGTGTGGTAGATGGGCACAAAGTACCACATGTACCCTGGATATATCTAACCTCGTTTTTATGGACTGTAACCATCTGGTCGCGTAGCTGTAGCCAACGTTTAGACCAGATAAATGACCTCAGCCCACCCTCCTTTACAAACACATTACCGCGTTTTAGAATCAAGGATGTAGATGAAGACATTTAAATCAGCTTCAGCCGAGCCTGAAAGCCTGGCAAGTGCAATATAGACAAATAAAGGGTTGATAGGAAAATGGTTTGCTAGTAGGCTATCCTAGAAAAAATTGATACAGCTAGGACACCTATTAAAAATAAAAGATAGTTTAAAAGTATAAAGTGGCAAAACCAACAATATAATGGAGCTGGGTGAGGTACGAATATTTTTGGTTGTTGGATTGGACTTTGGTCTGCAACAAAGCGCGACCAGGATCATTGCAGCCAGCGACAATGGGAATGAGAATGGAGAAGATTCATATACAAACTCTACTCTCATCATGTTTAATACAATCATTAAGTAGGCTGTTGCAATACTTTAACAACGTGAATTTTCTATTTGACATTGTACAATTGGTTTAGATTGATGTATACTCGAGTGGAACGTTAAAAACCATGTCAAGCCTAACAAGATCAGCAAGCAGTCATCACTAGACCAGATGACATTCTTTTATATTGAATCAAAAACAGCAAATTGCTCAAGTCAGATTGTCGTCATAATACAAGCAATGTTCTTGCCATTCAAATCAACACTCTGCCAATATCTGAAAACATCGCATTACTGAACATACACAAAAGTAATTGAATTTTATCAACATCTTTTTAAGCACATGGTATACACTGATGATAATTACAATATCCATTATCATATTCATTGTTACTATCCGTGATTTAACTGATTGCTCATTCTTGACGGCCGGAATCCGGACAAACCGAAATAAAGCAACATATTTGTACTCGATTAGATTTACAAATGGCCTTGCTAACAAATTGTATCAGCATTATGCTATTTCTCTATTACCAAGTCAAACATTTTATTGCTTTTATTTTGCTAGAAATCTGGCTCAAATATTTTCAATCTATATTGGCAATGCTCGATCGTCTTTAACATGGAAAATAGACATTTACCGTAACCTAAAGGCAGTACTTTCCTGTTAAACAAATCAATCGAGAAACAGCTGGAAGATATGTTAGAAAAGGCGCAGAAATAGTCCATAAAGCATATCCAAGTGTGCTGATACCAAACAAAGTTTGCCACCCACCAAAGATTTGAATCTGAAACGACAGATGAAACGGTGGCTAGTTTCATGTAAGCCACGTATAGAAGCACAATGAGCAATCTAGAGCATCACTGGGACCTAGTGCAGTTTAGATACTTGCCGCTCTAGTGCTGGCTCACATCCATTCGTATCTCTCCATAGTGGAATTGGCAGACAGATTTGCATGCTCAGAAATATATCTTTTACTGACCCCCCATTTGGGCATCCACACATTCCAGTGTATACGTCAATCTCATTGAAACAATAGCTTGCCAGTAAGCTGAACCAGCCTGACAGATTGTAATAATCCATCATCCACCCCCAAAAACAAACAAGTCGCGCATGGAAGCAGTGTTCACCGCCGTTCTCATTAAACAGAAACAAAGCCCCATCACCACAAGCAACTCCACCCACGATATACTACAGATCGCATCGTTTGTTATCAAAAACACTTTTAACAGAAGCGCAGTTCTTCATCGCATACTTGACTACCGTTTTATATTTCCGTTTTTCTCCACATTGTTTTTTGCTACGATTTACTCAAAACGCACTTTTAAATAGTATCCCATCTAGTAGTTACTTTTACTGGTGTTACTGCCTTTGCTTTCCTTCTTATTGCCTACATTATCCAAGGCTGTCTGCCTGGAATACACCTATACATCCGAACAGCTTTCCGCAACTCTGCTCTCAGCAGCTATTTTCCTCGCCTTATATCCTTACGCATTCATATACAAGTAGTCCTTTTCTTTACAAGACGCTAAACATTTATTTCTACTAAAATGGACAACCACCACAACGTGCATCAGCCCAAGGCCAAGAGCCAGCAGCCGCAGGGAGAGGTACAGATTGTGTTTTTTCCTGGATTGATTGTAAAGACCTTGGCCCATCTGTCATGGATTGGAGTAGTCAACTGCGTCGATTGTATGTTCATCTATTTTCTATCAACAGTGTGACCAGACACTTGTGTATGGGAGCTTTATAGTAATGCAGAGATGCATTCCACCAGAATACATCTCTGCATTACTGCTCTAGTCATGGATACACTCCAACCATTTTTTTGACACCATGGCTCCGATGAAATGGGTTGAGTGATGTGGTCACTAGACAGACATGCGTACATAGTGCTACACTACATTGTCAAACCATAATAGTCGTCACTATCGCTCTGCGTGAATTTGTGGTCAGGTTTCGTTTGTTTAGTTACTAACACCCCTTGTCTTTTGTGTATGGAATACTTTTCCTGTAATCTTGAACATTCGCTGTGCTGTCCATGCTGCAATGTTTTACTGGGAATACAATCGTATTTGTGTCCACTACAGCTTGCCGCTCTTCTTCAGCCTCATGGTGCATGGGAGTCTGAGGTTTACTCAATGCCCAGCAAGGATATTAACCGCTCGAGTAGTGCTCCACCCACCCAGCTTATGATGTCTGAATTCGCAAAGGTGTGTTATACTCGTCATCTAACGACTGTTGAATACTCTTGTATGGATCTGGCGCGAGGTGTATGACTTTGTCAGATCATGTTGTAGCTAGACTTGCTGTCTAGACATTTGTGGTGTCATGAGCTTGATTCTGTTGGTATCGTCATGCTACAAGAGAATGCTAGGTGTTAGACCACCACTAAAGCCAAGGCAGTTTGCGAGATTTGTATAGCTTATCCTTCAACTGCAAACTCGTGGGTTATATCCTGCAATAATGGCTCATACTCAAATTTAATCCTTCACACGTGATGCATCTTTATTTAAAGCCTGGCATATTCTGCGCTAAAATATCCATTGCATGATTAGGATGGTTGCATGCAGGATATTTGGTCGATAGTGTGTTGATGCAATAGATTTACTTGTTTTTGGCAGCCATTGACACTTGTTTTTTTGGTTTCTAGGGTGGATATGCAGAGGAACTTGGATCCAAATTTGATCAGGTATACCCGCCCTATCAACAGCAATCTCGGCAGCAGCATAGTCAACAGCAAAACACTCAGCAGCAGGGACAGCAACAGAACCAGGGATTTGATTTTGAACAGCAGATGTATCTGCCCAACCAATCATGGCATATGTGGGCTCCCCTATCTTCTGGCACTAAACCTCGACGATTCGATATTGCCTCGCCCATGACTCCACAGCCTCGCCCTACTGATCATTTTGGATTTTCCAATCAACAGGATGTATGTCGATCTCTTTTGTGACCGTGACTAAGCGGTGCAATTACTCTAATATTAATAAGCTCTAATTTCCTGATATGTTTATATACAGGAATCTTCTCCAACATACTTTTCTCAGCGTCCTTCGGGTGCATCCCGTATTCAAACATCTTCACCTTGGTCAAAGACTGATGTTCCTTCGCCGATCGGCATGCGATCAGGTGGTTTAATGGATCATTCAAACTCATCCAAGGGACCAGCTAACATGGTTCGACGTCGCAACTTTGATATCCAAGATGACTATTCGCGGTCATTGTCTCCAGGATATGCCCACCGTCAGCAGGCAGGAGGCGATATGGCCTTTCAAGACCTTATGTATGATCATAAGAGTGATCAGGATGGGGGTGATGCTGAGCAGCATATTGCTACCGTTCTTAGCGTTGCATTGGATGGTGGGCGAGAGGATGGTTTGATGAACCCAATTCCTCGTGCAGCATCTACTCCACCCGGACGCTTGTTTGGAAATGCTGCACGTAACCTAGAGCCTCCCGGGCTATCTGGCGGTTCAGACCAAATCCCACCTGAAGTTTTGCATTCTATGCGGAATATGAACATTACTGAAGATGAGTTTAAAGGATATCATCCATCAGGTGGAAAGCCAACCAAAATCGGTACGTTGCGCGGCGAGAAATACTACGATAGTCCCCATAGCGCTACTAATGTGAATAACACAAATTTGGGCTATGGTGCACCTTCTCAAAGAGGTATATTGACCTCTTATTTTAGACTTGATGATGTGGGGTTTACCCGCCAACCAGTTTTGTACTCACGCTACTTGTGCTATGCTGTATAATATAATTTATAGAACTTGATATGCTAGCAGCATATGAGCTTCAACAACGTGCCTCTAGGGGAGGTATGTTTGATTCGGGAACTATTTTTGTCCCTAACCGACCTGCCAGTGCGCAAGGCCGATTTGTTGCTACAAATGGACGGGTTGCTGGAGCTCCTCCCGGTTTCGATTATAAACCTAATGAAGGCTACATGTCTCCGACTGTGATCCAGGCACTGGCAGCCCTTTCCACAGCCGGAAATCTTTCAGCTCAGCAGATTCAACAGATTCAAATGCAAATGGCTCTTAATTCTGGCCAAGGTGCGACAAGTCCCGTTGGTAATGGAAGTTCACGTGATGCGAAACAAAAGGTTGGTTAACTTGGAAATGAGATTTTGTCCAATAACAATTTTTGTGGTATCTTGTAATTACCAACTCCCAAAATACTAAACTAGAACTTTTTATTTAGCCACGACGTGATTTTTCATCCCCAACTAATGGCAGCTTTTCGGGCTCTGTTAGTGGTACTCGTCGCGAAGGGCGTAGTGAAATGTCTAGTCCGACTATGGATTCTGCTACTGTGAGGTCGGCTTTGTTGGAGGAATTTCGAAATGCCAAAAACAAAAAGTTTGAACTTGGTGATATTGTTGGCAGCATTGTCGAGTTTTCTGGAGACCAGCATGGATCTCGATTTATTCAGCAAAAACTGGAAACATGCACTAATGACGAGAAACAGCTGGTCTTTGATGAGATTATGCCCAATGCATTGCAACTCATGACAGATGTTTTTGGAAACTATGTTATTCAAAAGATTTTTGAATACGGTAGTGCTGCTCAAAAACAGATTCTTGCAGAACTTATGGAAGGAAGTGTATTGGAACTTTCTTTACAGATGTACGGATGTCGCGTAGTTCAAAAGGCATTTGAGCATGTTCCGATTGAGCAGCAGGCTCGGTTGATTCATGAGCTAGATGGAAATGTACTCAAATGTGTTAAAGATCAAAATGGCAATCACGTTATCCAAAAGGCAATTGAGCGAGTTTCTGCTGAACATATAAAGTTTATTATCGATGCATTTCATGGGCAAGTGTACGCTTTGGCGACTCATCCCTATGGCTGTCGTGTTATTCAGCGCATATTTGAACACTGTAGCGAGGAGGAAACCCAGCCTCTTCTCGGAGAATTGCATCGCTATGCAATCAGTCTTATTCAAGACCAGTATGGCAACTATGTTATTCAGCATATTCTTGAGCGTGGTCGTCCTTCCGATAAACTTTTTGTAATCAACAAAGTAAAGGGTCAGATTCTTACAATGTCCAAGCACAAATTTGCCTCGAACGTGGTAGAAAAATGTGTTGCTTTTGGCTCCCCTGCAGATCGCCAAGATATTATTGACGAGGTCGCAACTACAAAGTCGGACGGCACCACTGCGTTGTTTACAATGATGAAAGATCAATTTGCAAACTATGTAGTTCAAAAGATGCTTGATGTTGCCAGCGAACCTCAGAAAGTTATGTTGGTCACAAAAATTAAACCTCAACTCCCCTCGCTTAAAAAGTTTACATATGGAAAGCATTTGATTAGCAGTAAGTTTTAATTTTTATCATGATACTTTTGTAAAAATTAGTTTGAGCGTTTAGACTGCTAACTGATTTTAAACGTTTGCGTTTGTTTTTGCAGAGGTGGAGAAGTTGATAATTCAATACAACATCGAATAGATGGTCTGGTTAAGATTTGGCCTTCTACAACTTTTGCCTTGTTTGTAAAATGCTGAGGGCAATAGTTGCTTGTCTGGTTGATTGCTTCTGTTTCTCACTACTTGTCAACTTTTTTCTGATTCTGTCTTTGCCATTCTGGTTTATAGTTCCCCCCTTATTTTCTACGTCCTCTGGTCTTTTCGACCTTTTTGTTGGCCTCATTCCTACTAGCTCTTATAACGAGAAAATGCTGTTTGTTGCCAACTCGTTTATCTCACGTTTGCGCTGCATAGCTTCAGTTTTCCACCAAAAGAATTTATCAAATCTCTTTTGCTTGATATTGGGTCCACTTTTTTCGGCACTCAGCTTGGAGGAGATGCTGGATTGTATGCAAAAATAAAAACAAATAGCCGAAAATATTGTCATCTAGTATATCGTTTCTTTCATTTGATTTTGATAGAGTCGCGAACGTATTTACGTAAAATGCAGCACCAAATGTACGTAATAAACGGCTAATCTCGATAATTTCTACCAACATTGTGTTTTGACAAGGCTGGCTGGGTTTCTGGTGATTGGCATGAAACAACAATTGATTCTTGAGATACTAACCAGAACGCAAGCGTATCCGAGTTTTTGGAATGATACTGACAATATCAGAACAGTCAAACGCAATGACTGGATTAAAATGAATCAATCTGGTAATTGTACAATCTTGAAGCAAGACAATCAGTCCAAAAGCAAAGTAGACGAGCATTCCATTTTACGTGAATACAGTTATAAATTGGTTTGACCATCTTGACAAACTTTGGGTTGCACTACAGCCAATACTCTCAGACTGGATTAAGCCGCTACTGTAGCACACTATCAAGTAATAAATGGCCCAGCAGCAATGTGTTTCTCAAACAGCACTACCAGTCTTACTATCACACTCGAGCAATGGGACTGGCCAGGCCCTTGCAGACCTTTCAAACACCATCAGAGAAGAAGCTCTACTCCATCCCGTCAATGTTAACCTATCTGCCCGTAAAATTGTCCAATTGCCACCAGAGATAGGGCTTTTAATTGATCTTGAAAGGTGAGCACAAATCCAATCTGGGACTACCTATAACTACATGGCAAAAGCCTATGGCGTAGTAAGTATTCAATCAAAACACATGTAGTTTATCTAATCTTATATGACATGAATGTAGGATTGGACTGAATAACAATATGCTAACCACCTTGCCTCCCGAGTTTGGTCGTCTTGGTGCTTTACGGTATTTGAATCTTCGCTCAAATCTACTTCGTGAATTCCCTTTGCCAGTAAGTTTATCCAATATTTTCCAAAACTATATCTAGTTATTTCAAACTATATGTCAACACCTAACCAACCATTATGGCGTGCATAGCTCACAGAATTGGTTCACTTGGAAGTTTTAGGTACGAAGTCGTAAAATGCATTATGTATAGTTCTTGGTATATTTTCAAACTAGGGGCTGCTCACTATACCTGTTTAAATCCGTTGAATTTAAAATTTACTTTTTAATTTGCCAGATCTCAGTAAAAATAAGATTGAAAGATTTCCAACCCATCCAGGTGCTCTGATAAATCTTCGAGTGAGCTACTTGGTTTGTTTGCAAGCTGGACAATAAATCTGTACAACAACGTCTCACTAAATGAATTTTTGTTTAGGTTCTGAGTATTTCAAGAAACAGAGTACAGATGCTTCCAAAATATGTTGCATCGATGAAACTATTGCATATTCTCAAGCTTGGTCAGCAACTGGATTTACTCTATATTTTCAATCTGATCTAAAAAAACTAATACGTATTTTTTGATTATATTGTGTAGATCATAACCCCTTTGTTTGGCCTCCGTCCAAACTGATGGCATGTGTTGATGAAAAAAATAAGGCCGAGTGGCTTGAAAATATACGCTTATTTCTTTTAAAAGAAGGTATGTGTGCACATGAGGCTGAAATAAAAACATAATTGTAATGCGATAGTATTTCAAGTGCTAACGCATTGAATAACCATCTACATGTAAGATCCTCCTGCACACCTGTTGATGCAAAATGCAGCATCTCGTAGTATGGTGACCCCTGGTTTGTCCAGTACGCAACCACCTAGCTCTACAACTCCATCATTAAACCAGATATTTGATCACCATACTAGCGAATGCACGATAGCGGTTCGAAAATACTTTTTAACAAGTGTACAATCTTTGATTCCAGCCCTGTCACCATTTGACTGCCTTGTAAAAGATGCAAGCAAAACATTTTTATTTTCCGTGTGCGAATTGTATGATGTTTCTTGCACCATCATCTTTTATTTAACTCGAAGCGGAGAAATTGGTAACATCGCCAGTTCAGCTTTATCTCCACCTATAACCATAGAACGCGAGATGAAAGCTTTAGATCGAGAATCCATCCAACTTTTGACTGTTCATAAAAAACTTGATTGCGTTTATTCCAACTCGGCTAATGTTTCAGGCTTCCAAGATTCCGCTCAAAAACTGCAGATTGAGGATAATAGTAATGAGATTGCTCTTATGAAGAACTTGAAGTTGCTCACTCGCAACCTTTCCCGAAGAGTGCATACCGTTATCAACAGTATTTACAGCTCTGTTTTGCCGGTTTTATTCAATTATTCAAACCCTTTGAATCATTTAGTAGTGATATCGATTTTATGTGATTGGCACAAAGCCAATGTTGGGCTCAGCGGTGCGATTCAACTTGTACAGCATGCACTTTTAGGGCCAACTGGGGCATCTTTGGCTGACAACTCGATTTTGATGAGCGCTATGCCCAGCGGACCATTCATTTCACGACATGTAAATGCAACGATATGGTCTGAACAGATGGATAGAAAGAACACTGGAAATCATACCCATGGACGCAACTTATCATCAGCTTCTGACACACTAATTAAGAGTGTTTACTCCACTTCTGAATCTCAATCTTTTGCCTGCCAAGATACTATTAGGGATAGCCAGGGACTCCAGACCAACATTCATACGGTATCTGGTAAAAATGCACTGGCTCCCTTCAAAGCATCGCCAAACATTGTTTCTGGTTCTACTTTAAATGCGGGATACAATACGACTCTTCAAAACACTTTGCCCATTTCCAAAACCATTAAAGACGACGCTCAAGCTATAAATGTGCTACTCACTGACTTATCCTATCTTACTGATTCTACTCGCGTCATATGTTTAAATGACACTAATAGTGCCAATGAACCTTGCCAGAATACTCTTTGGAACTGTCTCAAAAGCGTAGAGTTGCTTGTCGATTCTTGTAAAAAGGAATACGAGATTCATGCTGAACTGTCGTCGGTAATTTTACAAAATATTTTTAGAGCTGTTGCGCATTTATGTATTGCATTAAAGCAGCGGATTGCCAATTCTGACTCGACACCTTTTGTGTCGATTGCTCCTATTGCTGCTAGAGCATTGTCCAATGTTAAGAAACATTTGAATTTGTAACAAAAAACACTTTAAATATATGCATTTTTCTGATTTATGCTTATAAACCACCTCATCGGAGCCGTATCCATGTAAAATGAATCAAAAAATACACAAGTTTCATAAAATGACAATTTACTGGACAGCACTGTTTTATGAATTCTTTAGTTTATTGATATCCTGGTAATTGGCATGTATAGTTGCATTCCTGATATATGCAAATCTTGTTGAGTTAGAGTGCAAACGTATTCGAGTTTTTGGATACAAAAATCCATCAATGACATGGTCGTTCCAGATATTATTTTTTGTGTAAAGCCTACATCTTCAATGGAAAAAAACAATATCTGATCATGGCTTATGCAATGGTGTTTACCTTTCCTCTTTGTTTTTATCCAACTGTGTTGTTGTTTCAAAGAATGAACAAAATATGCTTTTATGGCAAATCCTATCAGGTTGAACCATTGTAAAATCGTGTACTAGGAAAGCGTTGAAACTTTATTCTTCAATAATCTCAAGACCTTCAACTAGCCCTGGTAGCTGATTCATTGAAGCGTATCCGGAATCAACTCGACCATTTGCAGCTAATGGGGCCGCGGGGATATGACCGGGAAGAGCCATTGCAGAACCCATTTGGACATTATAATAGGCTTTCTTGTCTTGAGGTACTTTCCATTCTTTCTTGCAAAACTTGTTACAATTGTGACGTGAAAAGAATGTAGAGATTCCCTTGGGACCAAAATCGGTGGGTCCATACTCTTGAGTCCTTGACATAACCACGGGATCGGTAATAATAAATCCGTTGTTTTGAATACCACCTTGAAGATCACAAAGCAATAACTGGCAGTCAGTTGCATGATACGAATAATGACTCAAGGCTTGCATTACTAGAGTCCAACCAGACAATTCATTCGACGTCCATCCAGTGTTGCTATTGAATTTTTGAAAATTGATAATCATTGGCTCCACTAAGCATTTCTCTCCTGCTCTTGTAGTGCCTGGCAGAAACGTCCATACAGCTGGTATATTGAGCCAAATATTCTGATCGACAAGTTGATCCTTGTTGAATCGATTGATGATTTCAAGTGCCTTGTTCACTATTTTGAGCTCATTATCAAAGTAAGACTCTTGAAAAACACTGCCAGATTTGAATATTTTGGTAACAGATTCCTGTCCCGTTCTGTTTCCTTTGGTATACTTTCCCTTGTAGACATTCTTGAAAGCACCTCGAGAAAATACAACATCCATATTGGGAACAGTTTCAAAAGAATCGTTTTCTCTTGCAAAGTTGGTTGTCATTTTGAAAGAAAAAGGCTACCTTTAATGAATATAGAATTTTCAAAATATACCAATGTTGCTTACTTTTGGATGCAAAGATTGTATGTGAATGTGGAGAATCTTATTTTGACTGCGAATTTGAATGAACCCTTGATTGCCTATATAAACCCAAACTATCCCAAAAGCAACGAAAGATTAAGCAACATGGATACCAAATACAAGAATATCAAGAAAAAGGAATACATGCTTTTTTGGAATCCCAGTTACATTGTTAAACTCGGAAAATCATGAAGCGAAATCATCATCTAATGACAACAAGAATTCTCTTAGTCGTGAAGAGATATGAACGAAGCATCTAGCAGTATATCGTACAATTTTGAACTCCTTATAAAAGCACGATGCCATCATTAATTGGTGGTAAAATTGCTGAAATTCATACTCAGCTGCCAATATATCCTGAATCAAATCGTTGATTTTGTGAAAAGGCTCATACGTTGTAACCATTGATGGGGAGACCAGTTAAAGGATATTTGGAGGTTTCTCAAGCTATTGCTGACCAGATACACAGCGATTTGTCAGTCACAGTCGTATCCGCATATAATGGAACATTGAATAAGCTAAATACATGATAAACAGTCATGCTTGATTGGTGTCAATTTTACTGAACAATGTTGTGCTCCTGGAATCATCGTTTAGAAACAGTTTGTGATAGGTTTAGCATTCAAAACATGTCCTTTTACGTATGGAATAATGTACTTTTATGTCAAAACTTTCTATGATATATTGTCATCAAACCAGCACATCAAATCATTGATTGATGGTCAGCTTTTGGAATGATGTTTTCAAAAATGCTTGGATTTGAAGGTTGCAAGAAATATACTTTCGTGGTATCATGACAAACAAATTCTAAACAAAAAATTGATGACATTCAAAATTGGACATGTAACAAGTTGTGGTCCTCCACACTTGGGCAACAAGACACTGAGACGCATTTGTGGACCTTGCCAAGCGCAAATGTCTCGGCCAGCATTGTCAATGATCCTGATAACAATATTACGTGGAAAAACCAACTCTTGTGAGTGACGAACAGATTGGTAACAAGGAATGTATCGAGGCTTTTATTGACAACAGTAGAACAGTGAATCCAGATATCTGGATTTCAATGGACGGGTCTAGTATCAAACTTGTCGATCTAGAATGTATGGTTATGCAAAAACAAGAATGTAAGGTCTAAACACAACAGATTAAAACTGTGGTTTGATTGTGTGCATCATACAATGGTCGGTATGTTTGAGGCTGACCAAGGAAGCTGTCAAGATCGTAATATTGACTTTCTAAACAACGACATGCAACATTTCCAAACATGCATGCTATCCTAGACAGTATTACATTCCACAAAGCAACTTTCTGATTAGACATGGTTTACCAACCATTCAACAAACAGCGCGCAGATTGGAACCATACCACACAGTTCCATACTATCCATTCCTAAACCTTGCAGAAAATGACTCGAGTATAATAAAGAATGGGTTCGTTTGTCGAGCAATTCCAGACACTGAAGAACTGAGAGTGCCTATCAAGTCAATCTGTAATAGGAAAACAATGAATATTCAATCATTGCATATTCTGGAACGATGACTGCAGGACAAATACAAGTCCCACTTTACGTGAATACAGCTGTAGATTAGACTGTATCAACAATTATTGGAAAGCATCAATCAACATTAAATGCTTGTCTACATTTTTCTTTATAAAAACAACCTACATAAGCCATTTTTCATCCTCAACTCTTTATTTTATCATGCTATCAAGAGCCATGCCACTCCAACAGGAAGCTCATCTCCCATGACTTTGCAATGTACCTCAAACCAAAAGGTGTTCAGCATCAGACCATTGCACCGTATAATTTTCAGCAAAACGGTATTGCTGAGCGCCAAAACCAATCAATAGGAGATACGATTAGACTTATGCTGACCACTTCAAACATGCCCAAAACTTTTTGGGTTGAAGCTACCAATACAGCTGTTTATCTCCAAAATCGGCCAGCTCACTCCACATTCGACGAATTAACCTCATATAAGATGTGGACAGGTGCTGCACAATGTGTGCAACATCCTTGTGCATTTGGCTGTGAAGCCAACATTGTCCTACCAAAAAATTCGGGAGATTGGATCCAAGAACCACCAAGTGTATAATGATTGAATACAAACAAGACTCAAAAGCCTATCGATCCTAAAATTTTGATGAAAAAAGTATGATATCCATTAGAGATGCCATTTTGAATGAATACAAGTTTTCTATAAAGGCATCTGGAAATTAAATCAGGATTCTGTCGTATCACACTGGAAAATATCCAACAGTATATATGGGTATATCAGACGACTAAGATGAACATGTGGATATTCCATAAACGGTTTCAAATTAACCTCAATCATTTCCTACCGTAGATTCTTGTCCTATTCCTCCTTTAGAACTGTTTGTAGACGTCGCTTGAAACTTTCAATCCTTATTACAGTTGAATCAACAGTTAAACGCGAATCTTCAAGCTCACTAGAAAAACTACCACAAATCCAGATCCCTTTGCAAGATCATATCAAATGAATTTCAATCCAAACAGATTGGATGAGCCATACAAGAGATAAACCTACGTGAGTGCTAACAAAAAGTTTACTCCGGACACCCTTACTCCAGTCGATCGAGGTATTTCTAGAAACAAGCAGATCTCAGACTCGTACAACAAAAAAGATATTTTCAGATCCAGCTATGCACTAACTGCAACTGCTTGCACTCAACCAGGCAATATTCCTTTGGTTCCATGTCAGAGTCAAGTGTACTTTCAAACAGTGGCACATTGGCTTGGTTTCGAGTAGGAGCAGTTGTAGCGATCTCATCTTCATCGTTGTTCAAGTGTTAATTTTGCTGGTTTGACACCTTCCTTATACTAATGTTTCTTAATTTTTTCATTCAGCAGAGGCTAACGGATTATACAGCAAAATTTTCAACAAGTCGACTAAACGTTAACAATACTGCTGATTCAAGTCAGGAATCAAAGGGTTTTCAGGAGAGTTTTGCCATTTTACAAAATATTGGCTGAATTGAAAAGTCGAGGTTTTCTTTTTGTTGAATGTAAAAACACAGTTTCGATTAGCGCAAGAAACAGTGCAAAAGGCAAAAAGTAGAAATAGCTTAAAACTGGATGATTTAAAACTAGCCTTTACTCTACAGTGGCTTGAAAACAAGAATTGTGTTTCTCAAGGCAATGAGTACCTGTGAACTGGAGAATGGAAGCTTACACTCTCAGAGCACCACTTGAAATTCTATTTGAACCAGAATTTAACTTGCAAGGAGGGAAATTTGGCTTTAAAGGAGCAGCTTCTTACTATTAAAGAGAAAGAAATACTGAAACTTTAACCTACTTTTGAAAGCTTACAACAGAAACTCGAATGGGCATTGGTTCTACTCAACGATCTCTATCTGTGCAAACCAAGAGTGACGAGGATCTCGTTAAAACCGAAAATTTGAGATTGCAGAACCCAAATGATGCTTTCGAATACTTGATATACCATCTGGAAAAGATTGTCGATGTTTCAAAGCTACAAAAAAATAAAACAGTCTTCAGATCAACTTTACAAGTATGAACTTTGGTAGGAAAAGCATAGGATATTGCATTGAAAGACTCGAGCTGCTAGAAAAATTCACTGATAGACTTTGAACCTGACTTTTGTTTAGAATAGCCTTCAAATTGCTCACAACCTTTCACAAAACTCAATCTTTTTCCAACAGTAGTTTTGAACCAGAACTCTGATGAATGCATTCAGCTAAAAAATAGCTTATATTAGGAGACCCAAATGTCTGGTAAATTCTGCCATAAAGGCATAGTGCTCCATATAGTAGTAGTAAGATGATTTGGAGATGCCAAGTCTGCTGTTGACATAGTCCAAGAAGCGTCTCTTTTGGCCATCCCCAAATGTTTCCAGCAGTTTCATCAAGGACCTGGCTATCAGCATTACTTGTTTTGATGCCAGTACATCGGTCGCTTTGAGTTGCTTCATATTCAATCGGATGTATTTCGTCAGCCGGTTTTTGATTTCCTCAGCATCCAACCCAGTAAACCTGTATGACGACGACTCATCCAGCACACTGAGAGATTGATGTCGTAGTGTAGCATTTCAATAAGAATGATTTAGCCTTTTCAGTGTCTGTTTTGACAGTTTCTGGCATTCCCCTTGACTGGTCCATTCCCTTCAATATAACCAGACAAATTTAATGTCAATTTGAGTGATTGTTGCCTCCAAGGTTGCATTAGGACATTTTCGCTGCTTCTTGACTCAGTTAGTAAAGTGGTTGTAGCCACTCATTTGAAGTTTTTGGTAATGATTTGTGGCAATTGCTATTTTTATACTCTAGACGCTACCGGGAAGGTCTTGGGAAATTCTAGAAGCTAAATTTTTTCCCTTCACAAACTCATTTTTATGAAACTAATTCTCCAAATCATTCAACAATGTCAACCTCGAACCAAACGAATATTCCTGCCGCAGTCTTGACAGAAGAAGAGAAGCAGTCAATTATCAATGCTGCTAAAGGCCAATACAAGGAGTCTATAAAGAGCCGAAGAGTCGAAGCCGTATTGGTTTACAGTGTGGTTTTATATGGGAAACCTCCATCATTCTATTCGGGTTGGGCCAGTGGAACAACAGGCCATTGGGGAATCGTTGTTGATGGGCTATTGCACCACCTTGTTTTCAAGTTGGATGAAGACAGACAGCCAGTGGGAATCGAGTTTGAAAGACAGGATTTTAAACAACAATGGATCGATGAAGGAAAGGTGACTGCTAAAGAAGAAATTGGCTCAACATCTCTTCCGCTGGAAGCTATCAAGGCTGTTGGAGAATCACTGATTTTGCATTTTGGCGATTACCGAAGACTGTACAGAAACTGTCAGACATTTGCGGACATTTTTGTGCAAATTGTTTGTGACGTCGACCACAAAGCATTCTCTTCACCATCTATCCAGAATGTTATCGCCACTACTCTTTTGGCTTTTCCCCTGACTACAGTCGGCGGCTCCGTTATGCACATCAAGCAAAAAAAATTCATCAAGAAAGTCATCAAGAAAACAAAAAAGGCAATTTCTTGGGAAGATATTGTTGATGCTGAAATTAATGATGAAATCAACAAAATTGAGCTGGGCATTGTTGGATCAAAAACTAGTTGTTCCCTTATGTAATTACTTTTTCATCTTGCATAGTAAAAAGCATGTTCTTAATAATACGTTTTATGACAGCTTTCTTTCTGTTCTGATATTATTGCGGGATAATTCATTTATGACAAATGATACATTCAAGTTCTTTGGTAAATCAAAAGATAATATCTTCATTTTTGTACATCTAACTGATTTTTTATTGGATAATGTGAATGACGAAATTTACCAAACTTTCAATTAATATGAAGAAAGCGTAAAATGTCGCAGTAAATGAAAAGCGGTATCATTCGGTGCTCTACCCTTACTACTTTCATTCCTTTGTGAAGATGACAGAGTTGAAGCTCAAGTAAAAGGTGAAATGGTTATTTTTACGAGTCTTGCCAATTTGAACATTTAAAAATAAAGCAAGTTTTGGAGTCGAAGCTCCTATTTACAATATATACAACCAAAACTTTTAATCTTACAATATTCTTACTATTGTCAATCAATTATACAAATCTTGATTGACTTGTTTAACTTTTTTGAATTCAACCAATTTCTGATATTGTTTGTAATCATTGGAACAATTGGTGTTATTACACCATTTCTAATGACCTGTTATCCAATGTACTGCTAACTGTTTAGAGTGACTCGTGTAATCAACAGAAATACCAGTTAAATCTTGTTTTAAATTAATCTGAAATAGAAATACTTTTGTATAATTTGGTTTGTCAAGATAAATATAACAATCAACATTCCTTGTTTTGAACAATCCTAAAACTTTTATTCTGTAAAAAACACTCAAGTTTCAACTGTCTTGAAGTCTTTCATTTGATATCAAGTCGGTTTTATTTCAAATTCAATTTAAATCAACTATTTGTTTGACAGGTTGAACGAAAGCAATTACACAGTGTGGTCAGACTTTTTGTACTTTTGTAATCGCTCTTTTTCTTTTTTTGAATTGTTAACAATAATTGCAATATCTCAGTCGTTCGGATTCCTTGTTTTGGGTCGTTTGAATTCTTAACAAAGAATACCAATAGTTTTCATTGAATTATCAACATAATTCCAATTATTTCTTCATTACTTGTATTAAACAGTAAGAATGAAATTAACGTCACACTTTGACTTGATGATGAAAACACGCAATGTCCAATATGCTTTTCTACAGTAACTACACGATTAATCCAATGCTTCAACGCAACTCATTTTGTCTGTTTGACATGCTCCAAGAAATTTCAACGAAAAGGATATTGTGCGCAGTTTAGAACCACACGATCGTTGCACAATAAGCTCCTTGAAAAAACCATTAAACAACAAATGATAGCAATTACGAGAGTAGTATGTATAGGGCACCAAATGATACCAGTTTTTTGGCGAGAGTCTCTGCTGAAATTTGACGAGATTTCGTCTACTAGAATGTTGACAGAAATTTGGCAATTAGAGTCTGAATTGAGCTTTTACAATCTAGTCAGAAACTAACCGCCAGAAAGTGTTGGAGACTTTCTTTACCGGTAGATGAACTGTTTCTCCTTGTTCATTAGAGATTAAATTTCAAGCAAATAAAGTGTTTATTATGACATACTACTTTTCAATCTTGGCCTTTTTGTTTTGAATCGGAAACTTTGGCCCAAAGCATTCTCTGAGTTGGGTAAGCGAGTCAGCAATCATTGTGTCAGTCAAATCCTCGCTGGACGCACGGGGAGAGACAGACTTGATGGCAGTCATAAACCAAGTGAACCAGCGAAGGATTTCAGAGAGAGATGTGCTTGTCTTGTATGTTCTGTCATTTCCAAGTTCCAACATCTTCTTGGTGGAAGCATACACCACCCCGTCAGTATCAATCGCAAAGAAGCGAAAGTCCGTCCCATTGGTGAGGACAGCAAGCACTGGAGTGTTCTTTCCAGCAGCCAATCGCTTTTTCAGTAGGCATCCGGCTTCGCAGAGAATTTGAGGTACTGCGCTATCGGGCCATTCTTTCTTTGCCCCCACCACCAAAAGAAAAGAGTCCATAGTATCGACGGTTTTGGTATCTGAAGACCCAAGCATATAGTCTACATCTCCTGTGTAACCGAATTCCTTCCCTTCCCAATCATTCTTGACTTCGCAAAACCCCACTAGCTTGTCATTCGCTTCAGACGTTAAGACTTCTGTTAGGATAGCATTGATGACGATTCGGCAGGCCTTCTCGTTGTCTAGCGCCCACGCCTTGTCCACCTTGTCCAAAGTTTCACAGAGCCAAGGAGTAACAGCAACTGCAGGAATATTATCGGGGATGTGCAGGGTTGGTGCTCTCAATTTCAGTCAATGTTCAAATTGAGCCCATCAGGTCTTTTGCAGTCTTTGAGAGTAGCAGCCGAGAATGGAACAGAAGGCTTGGAACCAACAAGGGTTTTGATGGCTTTCTTTTGCTTGTCTGAGAGTTGGTTTTTTTCCTCGTCGGTGAGTTGGTTGAGTTTGCTGAACAGTTCGTCCATTTTTTGTTTTTTTGGGGGAAAAATGGCAAGAAAAAAAGGCAAGAAAAATTAGCTTTTTAGATCTCCGATCACTTTGCCAGCCAGAGACCTATACGGATTTCATTATGACTGAATATTCAATCTTTCCCTTTCGGCTTCTGTATTTGAGGCATAGTAGTCTCTGTAACGTTTTCGTTCAGCTTCCTTGTTATGAGAATAATATTCACGATACCATTTCCTTAATTGGTCTTGTTCTTGAGATGAATAAACATCCCAATTCTTGATGTATTGTAAGTAGTCCTTGTAATTTCTAATTGAGCTAATGGGTGTCATTTATTGTTACTTTAGAAAATAAGTTGCTCCAAATTTCTTTGTCTTTTTATTGGTTGGGCCTTGAACTCTTGCCAGTTCTTGTAATTCTCTCTTGTTGCGACGCTCCTTGTTTGTCATTGTCGGCTCTCTGTGTCTCGGTTCAATCAAAAAGGTCTCCGTTACTTCAACTCTCTTGAGTTCATAATATTTGTAAGACTTTCCAAGAACATTGCCGTTATCATCTGAAATTGAGAACAAATATCCATTCCCACTGACAACCGTATAAATGGCGCTGCTGTACTTTGACACATATCCTTTTCTGAATGTTTGCTTACCTTTGAGTATCCGAACACGATCTCCAACTCTAATTGAATGCTTGGTAATTTTAACTTTCATTGACCCACTTGCTGGATTCTTTAGATACATTGATTCAGGAATATCATTTACACCACGGTGATAAGTGTTGTTGTAGTTGAATACAATGTCTTCCAAGACATCAATGTATCTATTTGATTTCCGCGACTCTTGATAACGAGCAATGATATTCTCCAATGTTCTGTTGAATCGTTCAATCAATCCTTGTCTATTGTGGTCACCCACATTCACAGTGATGTGACGAACACCTTTTTCTTGCAGTAAGCTTTGGAAGTTGTTGTTTAAAAACTCTGTGCCATTATCGCTTTGAATCAGAATAGGCTTTTGCACGTCAAGTATCACTCTCATTGCATCTGTAGTATCTGATTTCTTTTCATCGCCACCACAAATGATTTCCTACTAAAAACATCTATGGCGCACAAGAGATACTTGTATCCGGCATTCCACCTTGCATATTTAGACAAGTCAATCAAATCCACCTGCCATTGGTCATTGACTGAATAAATAGTTATGGGGCTGAATGCTGGCCTTCTTCGTGATTCTTGATGAAGTTGGACTTCTTGCTGGTCAAGAAACTTTATGATTTGTGAGATTGGAAGTTGTTTGTCCAGCTTCCGGTATAATTTCTGCGCTGAAATGAGGCCAGTCTTTGGATTGTAATACAATTCGTAAAGCTTATCCATAACCTAAAATAAGAAATTAAGTTTTTACAATTCAGCTGAAGTGTTTCAAACCTACTCGGAGTCGTTTATCATTAAACAATTTCATTCCTGTTTTTGTTGGAGAATACGTGTTCATCTGGTTGTTGTTGGCTCTGAAGCCATTATTACGAAATCCTTGGTTAGCATTTCCATTCAAGGCACTCAGATACTTGTATTTTGTAATTTCATTTTGCCCTTATTGATTCCCTTTGAACTAAACTTTTTCTCGTCATAATAGTACATTTTACTGGCCAATGATATAATGCAATCTCCTTCATATTCCAACTTGAACAGCCCAGGTGTCCTACTGTCGTATAACTTGTTCTCTAGAGTATCATCTCTTTCCAGCCAGACTTGCCTTTTCTGTTTGAACTCGCCTAATAGATGTGGTTTCACTACGTCTTGTAACGAACTCCCAGAAATGGCAAAATATGCCGAATCCGTGTCCATCATACAATACTGAAAGTCACTTCTATCAATGTAATAATCCACAAAGTCGTAGTAAAACTGCAGCATTCGTAACTTTGCCAGTTGGTACACTTGGAAGCCAATCTGTATGGGCAAGCTTTGTTTGAATGCCGTCTTTTTGAACCGAAATTCAAATCCATCAACAAGGTCTTGATGACCAATGTAATCTTTTACCCTTCTGACATTTTTGTTGTAGTTATTAGGACCAACAATCTTTACTGTCTCGTGTTTCAAGAAATCTGTGATGCATTTGCCATAGGAAGACTTTCCCATCAGCTTCATCATTTCTCCACGTAGTTTATAATCAGGACTTGTATCTCCGGCTCTCCTTTCATTAGATACTTGTTGAGCAAACGACTTGAATGGTGCTTTGCGTTCGTACTTGACAGCATATGTGATATTTGATACCATCAATCCGTGTTCAAGATACCATTTCAGTAATTCAGTAGGAAATATTATCTTGTTGCCAAACATACTCCCAATTAGTTTCTTACTCTTGTAATTTGGTTTGACCTGTGCTTTTGTGTCACTGCTGAGGTCTTTGTATTGAATCTCTGTATTTTTGAATATCGGTGGCATCTCTGCAAAATGTTCCTTTACATGCTCAGGTACAGCAATATCGCATTCAATCTCTCCAAAAAACGATCCATTCATAACATCTTCCAGTATATCAGGATACGGCTCAATCATTTTATGCTCACCACAAGGCATATCTTGACTGAGGGCCCAGAGATACAACGCATTGGCATCATATCCAAGAATCTTCTGACAAAGCTTGCCTCCTCTTATTCTTGTCTTGTTCCTCTCGTGATAGTGATGAAAAACGATACTTGGCCCACCTATAAGATTATCTCTGTACTTTTAATACAGTTCTTCGTTTCCTTTGAACAACTGAAACTCACATTCGTGGTCTTTTGTGTTCCAAAGATATTTCAAAGTAAGTCCAGGAATGGAAATGCCATCCTTGTGCATATCGAGATTCAAAGACTGGAAGAAATTGCAAAGCTTCTTTGTCGCTTCCACGCCTGGCTTAACATCTAAATTGTTGTAATCCATTAGCAAGTCGTATAAATTTGTATATTTAGAGTGTATTTCAATGTGTTGTTTTGATGATATTGCTTCACCTTTTAGGCCATTGTAAAACCACTTTTTGGATGGAATGGGTGAATGTTTGAGAAGTTGGATGACATTACCAGAATATTGCTTCAGTTCTGGATGCTCATCAGCGTATTTCGTCAAGTTTTGGGTTACCTTGAGTGGGAAGATGCCTTTGTGAACTTCAGTGTCAAATGCCTTCAGAAACTTTTCTAATGAGGTATTTGGAGCCAGATATGCAAGAATGTCTTTGAAAGTAAAGGAACCATTAGATATCATTCTGCATTTATTGTTGCATTTGATGATGCCATTTATCTCCTCGTTTGTTGGCATCCTAAACTCGCAACCCCAAACAGATTTCATACCGTATCCCATCTGATTCAAGTTTGCCTCTTTTCTCATCGTCTTCTCATACAACACGTTCATTTTGTCTCCTGTATGGGGATTAACATCATCCGGGTGATAACACTTTCGGCAGCCGTGAAAGAAGCATCCATTGAATTCATAGACTGTGTTTGTCTCTCCATCATACCCATCAGCATTGTATCGTCCAATTCTTTTGCTTTGTTCAATGTTGCGTCCCAACTCTTCCTCAATTGAACGAATCCATAACTTTTCACTCTTTGATACATTTCCGTGTTTCTTGTTATATTTCATCAACACTTGTGGAAGGTATTTCTTTATAACATTGATATCATATGATGAACTGTTAAATCCATAAACTGGAAGAGTATCAAGCCATTCAAGTAATTGAGATCTTAACCGCTTTCTAACCTTTTCATCCTCCAAAGCTGTTATCATTCCAAAGAATTTGGAGTACTTTGGATACAGGAATTGGAGATATTTCTTTCGTATGTCATTCATTTTCGTCATCATTAGATCCAGAGCTTGTACAGGTGTACTCTCAACTGGGATAAATTCCGCTTGTAATTCTTCACTTCCAATCAAACTAATGCTCAAAAGCTCGTGAGTGCCAATATACTTGAGCTTGGAGTTCGTCGTAGATTCAACGGGTTTTAACCACGTTTCAAAGTCAAAGTAGATGAAATATGGATAGAATCTCAATTCTCTTGGTACAATAATACCGTTCTATTCAAGATTCTCAAACACATTGGGCTTTGGTTGATAGTTTCCATCTTCGAATACAATCTTTGGTTTCTTGCAAATATTCAGGTGTGGTTTAATCTTTTTGAACTCGTTGAAGAATGAATGGCATTCAGGGTATTGAAAGACTTTGGTTAACTGAGATAGGTTGATGCTATAAGAGAAATGATGGAGATTCTGTTCTGAATCAGTGTAAACGTTCAAACACAGTGGAGTCACAGTTTTTCCTAGAATGTCGTTCCATCACAGCTTTCTTTCCGTTAAATCGGTAAATATTGATGTTTACGCTGAAATGGTCCTCAATGCTATCTAGTTCTTGGATATCCACGCCAGGATAGCTCTTGTCAGGCTTGACTTTGTAATAGTCCTTGTAAAGCTCTTTTGATTTCGTTGACAATCTATCTACTCTCACATCTTGATACTTGTGACGTGCAAGGCAAAACCAAAAACACATTATTTGCTACGTTTTCAAATGAAACAATACTCTTGCTGTTCTTGATGAAACCAGGCAGTTTAATGGAGGCTCCAATAGGAATGCCTTCCAACGGAGTTGTTAGCAACACATATTCATAAATACTTTCAATGCTCCACTTTGAGTTAGGTCTTTTCAGTCGTTCCACGATATCATCGCCTTCAAGTTGTTCTAGAATGTCATCCACTGAATTGTTGACTACAGGACGCTCATTTACATTGAACAATGAAGTATTCCCGGACGGATAAAACTGCATTTTCTCGTCTGTTTCCACATTTCTCAGAATGTATCCGAATTGAAGTCAAACCAATACCTGAGTTTGATTGTGATGATTGTTCAAGATATTCCTTGTAAGTTCATCGAATTCAAGAAACAAGTGTCGTGTCCGTGGATTGTTTTTGATTGTGGTTTAAATAGATATTTCTTAATATGATATCTTGTAAACAGTCTCTTCTCTTGTCCGATTCGTTTTCTTTCCTGCTTCTGAAATTTCAAAAGTTGTAAATATGCTTTTGTTCCTTCTAATCCGCTAGTAAATCCTTGAATTCGCTTTCTGAATCTGAGCTTAACTTTCTTGATTTCATTTCTCTTTCTTTTCAACAAATAGTAATCATTTCTCTTATATCTTTCCTTTTCTTTTTCTTTGTGGTCAAGAGCAAGTCGATGGTCCTTGCCTCATTCTTCATTTCAAAGTTCACTTTGTACAGTCCCACATCCCTTGTATTTTCATCCAACATTTGCTCGGTTTCATCCAACATTTGATCCATTTTCAATGAATTTGATATTCGTAAAGAAAATAAAAATTCAGTTTTTCTTAAATTACCGTGTCTCAATTTATGAATATTTATTTTGTTGCTATTTCTCAAACAAATGACTATAGAATCGTTTCTGATGAATGTGCCAAGTAAATTTGGTCCTGGCACAAATCCCAATCAGTATCCTGTTGGAACCGTTAGAATGGGTCAAAATAGAAGACTTTACATTGTAAAAAAGATAAACAATCGACGGATTTGGATTCCTTTTCAAAGAATTTCAAGTTGAATTCCAAAAATTTATTTTCTTGGCAATGATTAAAAATCAATAATGTTGGTCATTCCAAGCTGCTCTTTACGTTCCAAGTACATTCGCACCATCCCGATCAATCAAGTCATTCTAGATCCAGTAAACAAGTTGAAGTATATCATTGAAGAGAAACGCTCCAACAACAATACGCTTTCAAAGGTTGCTTCCCCATATTTTGGCGACGAAGAACCACTCGTATTGGAAGTTAGCGATGAAAGCTTGAAGATTGCTAATCCAAACCGGTTCAATCCTTCAGTTTTGATGAAAAACAGGATTGCAGAGTTGAAAGATAAAGTTGTACAATTGAACAATCATTTGAACTCATCATCAAAGTACGAGCGAATCAAGTATTATCTTGGAGATGAAAAGTAGCATTCTGACGGCAAGTATTTATACACCGCTAGAGATGGAATCATTTACGCCGTGAAAATGAATGGTTCTTTAGAAGAAAGTGAATTGGAACTGGAAGCCTTTATCAAATCAACCTGGAAGAATCCTGATGTGTTGCACTCACTGATGTTGGGTCAGAAGCGACTACAGTCCAAATTGTTAGAGCTATTATCAAAGGAATCGATTGAAAAAGAAATAGTCTTTTAACTTGGTCGTTGAATAATTCCATTGAAAAATTCATCTTCGCTTGCGAGGGAGACAGAGTCTTCATCTTCACTATCTACTGAACTTTGTACAAATTCAACACTGCGTAAATCAACTGGTAAACTTGCCATTTTTTCTGAATATGGCAGCTCTTTCAAAGTCCTAAATGACTTAATTGATACAATTGTTTGTATTTCGCATACTTTAGAGATAGCGTGTTTGAAATAGGCATCAACCCGAATGGAGCTTGGTGAAATGACCACTATCAACCATTTATCTTGCACTCTTATTGCAAGTAACATCATTTCATTCAAGATGACTGCAAAGTCGGATTGGAGTTGATGAGCATTGATCAATTTGAATCCATTGCGTTGCCATCTCAAGTGTGACAATAGTACAAACGAACCTTTTGGTTCCTTATCGTTTCTTTCAACCCAATCCGATCGCTCGCATTGAGTAGTTATATGATTCTTGAAATCTTCTGGGTTTACTAGTTCTTTACAAAAAAGACATTTAGAAGCAGCATAAATGCAGGTATCAGTGTGATTGATCAAATCCCATTCAAATACTAGTAGTAAGGGTAGAGCACCGAAGAATACCGTTTTTGGTTTCCAGCCGGAATTCCCGCTAAATGTATAATAGGAGCTATGAAGTCGGATTAAGAAATATTAAAATCTATAGTAGATGTATAAAATGAGCGAAAACAAAGAAATTATCATCCAACATTCAATTCAAATCGACAACCTACGATGTATCATCTGTTTTGAATTCATACACCCTCCTTTTTACCAATGTAATGGTGCACTGCATTTTGTTTGCCCTGTGTTCAACGAAATTTAAGTCTGAGAGCTGTCCATCCTGTAGAGACAACAGCCTGTTTAAAAACATACTCTTGGAAAGAGACTTACGTGAATATCTAACAGAATGTCTTCATTCTCTATGTGCAAATTCTGTGTTTGAATGGAACTTGGAAAATCACGTAGCGACTTGCATTTACGGCATAGCAAAATGCTACTTTTGTAAAGAAATGCTTAAACCCGAAGATTTTAAAAGCCATATCATTACAAAATGCGAGCTATTAGAGTGGGCCGAAAAGAACAACCGAGAAACAAAAGGTTCGCTGGCACTGTTGTCACACTTGCGTGGAATTCTAACAGAGTCAAAATTATCAATACACATAAACTACAATCCAATTTTGTGGTTATTCTGAATGAAATGATATTACTAGGGAAAAGGTATGAGGATAAATGTACAATGGTCGTGCTCTCTCCAAACTCAATGCGAGTTGATGCATACTCCAAGTATCCATCAAATAAAGTCTTTGAACTTCAATCGATTCTAACGATCAACTCATTCAGGACGTGTAAAGAGTTACCGGCATTAGAAGATCTGGCAGCCATCCAACAAAATGTACGAAAGACTGAATTTGTACAAAGTTCATTTGATCGTGAGGATGAAGATTCAAAGTCGTATGTTAGTGACGATGAATTTTTTGGTGGGCTTGTTCAGCATCCTTTTTAAAAATTTATTTCTTTTTCTATGGATTCCTTGGTCAACAAGTCCAACAATTTTGTTTGGAGTCGCTTTTGTCCAAGCATCAAGAAATGCAGTAGGTCTGGCTTTTTCCAACTCGATT